GACACCTTCATTCTCTACCCCACGGGGGCAGGCCATACCTGGCTACTACTCCAGTCTACACCTTGGGCAGCCCAGGCGACCCTAAAAGCGGGGGTCAAGCAATCCAGATCAACGCTACTCGAGACACGGCATGAGACTTGCCAGGTTTCTCGTTTGATGCGCTTTGATGCAGACGTGGCAATTGGTCTCTAGATGATTCGAGTGTCCCATAGCCCCAGCACTTCCACATGGTCATCTGGTCGCAAACTCCGTGGCGTAGACGAGATCATCTCCATCTTTGTTCTAACATGATGGTTTTGCCCGTCCACAGTCCTTTCGAGCCTACCCGGTGACTGGAGACAGGGTGGTCTGTCTTCGCCTCGTCCGATTTTCTTTTTCGTCCTGGAGGTTCACCCGGAGGCGACCATAGTTGTCTCCCAGGTTAGGGACGAAAGAGTGCAAGCACCATCGCAGTCTAGGACACACCCTCTGGGGTCTTGCAATTAGCATGTTATGTGACCATTATGACCTGGCCACACAGGTATTTGGAACATGCAATTGGCTTTTCTTACCTGAATAATCAGTGTAAAATCTGCCTACTTAGGCAGACCAAAGGGGTCCAGTCTGCGGTTCCAATTTGCCCTCAAGCGTTAGCGGTATGGTTCTGTGTACACGCTCTGAGGCACACTGATCTGATATAACACTGGATGCGCTGGACTGAGTTCGACGAAGAAAGCAGTATTCTCCTTTCGTACGGTCTCGCGAAACGTCTCCGGAGAATCGCATTGCAGGATCTCTGAGCGAATCTAGACAGAGGAAGTCCAATTGCTCGTGTGTGCACTTTTATCTAAGTTCATGAGGCCCGCAGACAGCAATACAAGTACAGATGCCGTATACCGGGCTTTCTTCGAAACACAACCAAGGTCCATAATCTATTGTCCCTTCTTACTACCGATTCGGATAGTATGGTCGTTTCCCCCCCGAGCCACTTCTCAGACCCGGGGAGCAGCTCCAGTTCATAAGCGACTTCAGCGTTCGGCGCGAGGTATTCTGCGGTGGTCGCACTTGCCTGGAATCACCACCCGCGCTGTAAGGACAACGAGACCTCGCAAACAGCCATCGACTTTATTCCGAGAAATACTGCTGTCGCTAATGTGGTCATCGCCAGATAATCGACCGACTCGTTCATACGGTTTCATCACTGTGATTGAAGTCACATAGACGGGTCGACTCACCTTGTTCAGTCCGGTCTGGATATACTCACTTAGCATGTTATCCATTTCCCATCGAGGGGGCTGCATACGTTGCGGTCCCGGGACAGCCCATAGGCGGGATTTATTATCTAAGTTGGATATAAATCCAATCAGAGACTCCGAAGAGTCTATCAGGATCAAAAAAGGATCTTTGATCAAGACTCAGATCTGTGCCTGGGGGAAGAATGGTAGTCAGCAGGGTCTGCTCCGGTGTCAACATGCCAAATATTCTTTTCACGCCTCATCGACCGCAGATAAATGCCTTATTCATGTTCTGAAACAGCAACAGAGCAAACGCAAGATCTTCGAAACGAACTTGTCCAGTGGAGAGGTGTAACGTTCCACTTATAATCAGGGCTTGACCTACTATGAAACTGCAATTTGTTCCAAAAGGTCAGGACAGTGGTCTGTCCGGCGCTGGTATGCCCGTGTTCCAACTCCCTCACCACGTTGTGCCTTCTGCCTTTTCTTCATGTTGAAAAAAGCCCCAATGTGAAAGCTATATACCTTCTCAGATGACCGACTGATACTGGGATAAAAGGCACACCATCTTGCTTATGTGCGGTTCGCCATATAGTTTATCTTGTGAACGACACACTGGAAGGCTTAAATCCGCGATGCAAAACTAGTCCACCTTGCCCGTTAGCGAGACTGGTTTGCTTTGTTGCGCGCCACTGGCTTGTAGAGTGAGATGATGGAAGCTATCTGGGTCTTCCATAGTCTCCCATTGACGCATCGCGAACGGAGTTATGTCGTCAATCGTCATCTCGGAATGCAGAGCCTGAGGCATGTTGACGTTATCAACCGTCTTACTGGACAGCTCGGATTGGTGGTTAAGGAATTTTCCGTCTCATCTGATGGCATATAATACCATCATCAATCGATGAGAGCTACGTTATGGGCCTCGAAGAAGAACGAGGGCTAATCTTCCCATTCTGTCCAGCTGACGGATATGATACCAGCGAGAGCATATCCATGACATCTCCGACTTCTGACCCGGTTTAAATTTTGCATGCCGACGAGGAATAACCCGCTGCATTCTACACCATGAGCACACTTATGATGTATGCCGTTGTTGACACACACAGCGGCTCGGGGTAGGAAGTCCAGCTCCCGGACGACATCAGTTGCGGCTGAGTAAAGGTCTTCAAACTACATGCCGAGGACTGATAATCTCGGGGAAGAAGCCGTATGTCTGGGGCAAAAAATTAAAACGAAAGAAAGCTGTTTTCCTTTCCATACTTATCTACCATTGCAGAACCGAAAACCTCCGGTACTATTGTCCTGCAATGCGGACCTCGATGAACGTGCTAATGCACGGTTAACCAATTGTCTTACTAGACTGCACAGTGAAGAATGCGCATCTGGCCAAATAGCATACAACCTTGCTCAGTCAAGTCTTGGCTGAGGGGGACTTTGTACTTGCCACCCTACTTGACGGATAATTTACATTATGACTGCGGGTATTGGCAATCTGGTTTATCGACATGCCCCGGAGTGCCATAGGGACACTCACACCGGATGGTCCACTATGGACAAAACAATTTCTCGCTAGATCAGGACTGTTCGAACTCGCTATTAATACACCCCCAATTAGGGACCATCCCTAAAAATGATAGGGTAGAGGGTCAGCAAACTTCCATACAGTCATCCTTCAATCTTGACAGTCACCATGGAGGAAAAGAAAGAATACGAACATGACGTGTCGAATCCATGAATCGTCCAGACGATCACTCCGGGACAAAGGAGAAAATGAATTTGTCCTTTCAAAACATGAGACAAAATGGCGAATTACCGCCGACACGCTCGACAAACTGAGCAGGGATCACAAGTTGATGGGTGACTTCCACAGACGTGGCTTTCCTCTTCCAGAGTATGCTTGTGTCACCTCAGCAATCGCATAAAACCCTGCTAGGAACTTTCTGGCACATGACACATCCAAGCCATCAACCCGATCCGATCTGTGGTTGGGCATTGATTATGCCGAGTGGTGATCGTGTCGGCTTAGTCCTTTTCACTCGGAGAGGCAGCAAAAAAAGCCGTGGAGAAGATGGCTGCTTTGTAGCCGGTGGTTGCAGTATACACACCCAATATCCCGACATAAAATATCCGGGTCTGCTTTGTTTGACTTGCCCTCATCAAAAACCCACAACATTTGGCAATGAGCTTTGCGCGCCTGCAGATGCATTTCGCAACATATCCTATCTACTATGGATAACCACCACATTTGCCGGACAAAAATAATACGAAACCATCCAATGTTAAACTCAGGTTTCCTCCTTTGCGATCGCCCTCAGAGCTCAACCAAGACCTATACGAGACAAAAGAGGCCTGAAATATAACAGGTCGTTCGGTTATCGAGGACACATACGTACTCGATACTGGAATCTAGATAGAGGATACATCTGTCACTGGCAAGTCCGTTGCTGGCGTTGATGTAGAATACAGCCTTTTGTCATTTGTGAAGTCTCGCGCCAGCTTGGTTACATACGCTGTACCCCAAACCAAAACATGGGAAGTCATCGCTATGGCATGGCTTGCAAACGCCGACATTGCCCCATCCTCGTGAAGACAGACAATCTTCCATTACCTGGTCAGATACATTTTAAACGAAGAAATAAAGACCTCCAGCTATTAGATTTCAAAGAAACCCGTATTAACACCACTTCTCCAACCCTATCAACTACACACCCGCTCATAAAACAGCACATTACGGAAAAGGGTTTGGTTCACGATGGGGCTCAGTCATATCCTTCTCGATCTCCCACTCACCGAAGCAAGCGCCAGGCTCTGTCCTTGCCGTTATCCTTCGCCTGGAGCGTGCGTGCGAAGCCACTTTCCAGTATGGGCAGCCGAAGTACCAATGCCGTTTGAGTCTGCGAGCATACAAACTCGACATTTCAACGTTCAACGAGACCGCAAACGAATTGTTTCTTCCAGCCCACTTGCTGTTCCAGGGTTGGAGTTCCAATTTATTGCATAATGCGGACATCTATTCCTCTCAGCAGATCCTGGCTAGGCATTTCGGTCTATCATCAGTCGCCATATCCGGCTGCTAATGAATGAGAAAGCTGCTCTACAATCCGGTCAGCCTTGAATATGATATGGCCGTTAGACTTGTGACGTTGTGGATGTCTTGAAAACTCCATGGAGAACAAAGAAGAGTGGGAATAAGACACTATCTGGTCTCCGTTCTGGGATATATACTCGATGCTATGAACAGGAAATTTTATTCTATTCCGACCCGGCGTATGCGGTACAGCCCATTTTCCGGGAGAGGGTCTCCCCCGTTTCTTCAAATATCCCACCCAGTCGAGGACCGGGAAGAAGGAGTATTGGATTGCTTATCCAGGCAACGGTAAACGGCCCGTTCTTGTCGACAAATCCAGAAGAAATATTGACAGGAGCAATGAACATCGCGAGACAGGTGTCTGTCCCCATGCAAGCCGACCATCTCGTGCTCTCCTTGCCGCCTCGGACTCAGACTCGAGAACCTCTCACGCGTCTTGACGGGCTAGGCTGGGCTGGGCTGTCCTCATCTGCTTGATCGAATGTCTTTGGTGCATAGGGTTTGAACTATGATACCGCGGTTCCATCCCAGAATGATGAAAATGACATTTAGACTGATTGTGGGTGGCATTGGCATGTAAATAAAACAGACTGTATCAGTCTCATAAATGGAGGCTCTAATATATATATCTACTCCCATATATAAGTCTCAAAAATACAAAATATGCAACCATCCAATATCCACACCCGTAGTCTACTTTACTCCTCATCTCTAGTGTGATGGTCTTCGTCTCCATCCCCAATCAACCTCTCCACCTCCTCACGATCCAAAACATGTCTAACCCGGAAATCGAAACTCAGTTCGCCAACTAGACTTTTCACATTCCTACATCACGCCCAATCAATCGATGGTCAGCCAATTATCCAAATGAAAAGAAACACCAACGGGAGAAAGAAAGAGGAACAAAAGAAAGCAAAGTGCGGGATGAAAAGGTCGAGGGGGATGAGAGGAAACATAAATTGAAAAAAAAAAAAAAAATAATAAAAAATAAAAAAAAAATAAAAAAAGAAGGATAAAGTAATAAAACTAGAAGGAAGGAATACATACCCCAACAAATCGCCCACCCCAAAACTGACGACGGACCTCAACACCTCCAGACACACAAATGCCGAGAAGGCCGGATCCTCCACGTGCCGGATATTCAGCAGCTCGCCGTCGATGCGCTGCATCTCGCGGGCGAGGGGGAAGGAATCTACCGGGGCGAGGTAGGGGGGGAGCGGCTGCGCGTTCATCATGGAGGCGGAGAGGTGGCACAGCAGAGAGGAGATTTTGTGGGATTTGAAGTCGGAGGAGTGGAGGGCTATGGAGGCGAGGTTGGAGATCCATCTATCGTTCTGTTTATCATCCGGATCGGGATTGAATGGGTTGGTGTTGGTGTTGGTGTTGGCGTCCGTGTCAGGATCTGCGGTTGGGTCAGGAGAGGCGGTGCCATCGCTGTTAGTATTACTCGGCGTCGGCGTCTTAACAGCCAACGCATCCAACGTCTGCGTGGTCTGCGCCATGAGCGCCATACTCATGAGCACGCGCTGAATCTGGGCGATAATGCGATCATAGGTCTCCTTGGGAAACTTGCCCCCGATCGGGGGCTCAAAGGTACTGAAATGGCTATGCATGCGCAGACTATTCAGGAGGATCATCTCCTCCCTGAAGACCTTGTGGCGCGCGCGTTCGAGCTCCTGCGACGCAGCCCGGACGTCCGCCTCGTTGCCGAGCTCGCTGGTCAGCCAGAGCTCGATCGTCGAGTGCATGCAGCTGTAGAATTTGGCGAGCACGAATAAACCCCGTCCCAGGGCTTTGCGGAGCGTCGATTTGGCGGTTATGGGGTATGGAAAGATGACCCAGAAGAAGGAGATGGCGCACCCCGCGGCGACGGCGGCGAGTTTGTAGGGTCCGAAGAGGTAGATTGGGTAGTAGGGTTGGCCGTTGGAGGTGGCGAGCTCGAGGCCGAGTTTGCGGACCTGGTTGATGAGAGGGGTTAGGGAGACGGAGGGTTGGCTGGGTTGGGTTTTGGGGGGGAGGGGGGATGGGTACCTGGAGTTCGTAGCCGACGATGACGTTTAGAGTGACGATGGCGACGACGGAGGCACCGAAGTATTGCGGGAAATTGACGTAGAAGTAGTACTGTAGATGTAGATGTGGGTTAGGAGGTGTTCTTTGTGGAAGAGTTGGTAGCTCACCTCCAACACGTTGGCCAGATAGAGAAACACAATGACACCCGGAGTTTTCTCGTCGACGATATACCAGACAATCAGACTCAAGACCACCGAGAAAGCTGTTGCCACAATGCGCGCGATAAAGCCGAACATGGTCTGTCCACTCGTCGGGTTCATTCCAATCACAATGACAATCATCGCCCAGATGCACCGCTGGTGGACGAAGAATTCCTGTGTCTGGCGCAGGTACGCCAGGATACCGACGCAAAACGCGGCTGCAGAAACACGGAAGCCGAACACACTTTGCTCGGACCGAATGAAGTGGGACAGGTAGTGCAGCGCCAGACTACTCTTCTCGAACCAGTTCGCGGGGGGCAGATGCTCGGGGTCGGGGAGTTTCCGGACATTGCTTTCGGCATAACTGCTCGAGGATTGTTTGCTATCTGGCTCAGCGCGGTCATCCTTCTCGGTGAGAGCGAACCATCGCATGATGGTGTTCAGCGGAGGGCATATCAGTCGGTTCCCCTTCATTGTGCCGTCTTCGACTTTGCCATCTGCGAACTGGATCATGTCAAGCGTGGCCTTCAGGAGGCTCTCCTGCAGGTGACCCATGTATAGGATGAGGAAAAACTCCTGCTTGACATCCGGGTCCGACGCGACGGTTCTCGTGTCATTCTCAGACGAAGCGTCGTTCAGTTTTTCCGCGACGGAAAATGCCTCCAGCGAGGCCAATGTTCTCGTCAGATCCTTGCGCCGTGACAGGTAATGGCGCATTTCCCGTGCAAACCGCGATGCAAAATCATCCTGCAGGGGGCTGAGCATCTCGCCTGACGCCTCTTCATCGCCCCTGGCTGAGCGTTGTTTCTCCATCGTCTTCCGTTTGACGAGCTCCAGGGTCAACAGAACATACTGCAGACCTGCCGTCACCAGTCGGGAAGACTCTACGAGCCGATCTTCAAGAGTCTCCGTGACCTTCTTGATCTCAGACTGTTTCAGCGGCAGCTCCTCATCATCATCCAGCGATCCAACACTATTACTCCGCGTCGTTTCGTGCTTGATAATCATATCGAGCACATCGGGCAGCATTGCCATCCCCGACAGCGGCAGCAAAAGGCTTCGCAGCAGATTTCCAATCTTAATCAGGTCATCCGCCGAGAGCTTGCCCCAGGCGATTTCATCCTTCGAGTACATCAAATCCGACTGCAATTTTCCGTGCAGGGCGTTCAGCTTGGTGATCGCCGCGGTCAGCTGTTTCTGTTTCGATTCCAGGTCTGATCCCTCGGTATGGTTTTCCATCTCTCGCATACTCCGTGCCGTGCGACTCCTTTTCAGAAGTCCCTGGCCGCCTGTCCAGGCCTCCGACGTGCCCTTCACGAAGCCGATTTGGGCTTGCAGCACCGCGTCGATCTGCGCGACGTAGCCTTTGACGTCCTGGAAGACATGTCCTCTGCATGTGATCGGTAAGATGAAAAGCGAAACGCCAATAGCGATCGAAAAGCCGATCATGAATCCCTTCAATAGCCGAGCCACGAAGCTGAGTGCCTCCGATAAACTCGTGAACATACCACCACGAGTAAGAGTCACCAGCGCAAAGATAGAGAAAGCGACCATCGGATCCTGTAACTCCTGTGGTCTCCACGCACGGATCGTGTTTGATATCCTATCGCCAGTTAGACCAACCATCACCCACCCTCGGAAGAAGCACATACCACATCATGAAAATCAGCCATATGGCCGACACGGCACACGCCTCGCTACTGTAACTAGCATCGGCCGGCGTGTTATGCTCTCGCGCCTTGATGGCACAAAAAAGCGCAAGACAGCACAATGACGAAGATACACATGCAGAAAAAATGTCAAAGAACACAATCTTCATGAACTTGGCTCGGGGCATCAGCGCCTGCGATAGAATCGAGATCAGGGCCGCCAGGTACCCGATCGTCGTCGTGATGTCTGCTATGGCGCTACTTTGGGATCTTCGGGGTGTTAGAGGGGCATCTATCTAACACAGCAGCCGTTGGAAAGAGGTACATACATGGCGATGACAATGGTAGGTGGCAACGCCCCCTTCAGCATGAAGAGAAACGACCGCGCATCCAACCCCAATCGCTCTCTCCACGTCAACGGATTCAATACACTGCGCACATGTCAGCCCAGCACCCCTTGTTACATCTACTAAACCCGGGTTCAAGTTGCTTATCACTTACCTCACCCACTTCCCCATCGTGCCTCCTCCCGAGCTGGAGCCCCCTGCAGGAGCCATGACGCGTTGACAGCTGCGTCCGACCGGTGCGCGTTATCCGTCGCGCAATCTTGCAGGGTGAGAATAAAGATGGAGCCTAGACAGTGGACACACAGAAGTAAGGATTTTTGCCAGCCCTCTAGCTTCCATCACTAGGCTAGGCCCGAAAGATCTTCGATCGATCGGGGTGAAGCACGCCGCGTCCGGGTCGGGTTGCCGGGATGGTTTGAGTGGCCGCGTGCCGAAATAAAGTGCCGGCTGAACTTAGATACTACTGGGAACTCTGTTGTAGGGCGGTCGGGTCTGCCTTGTTATGCGATGGAGTATTATTTGATAACTTAAAATCATGTGTGTTCGGTTCTGCAAGGTCTGGAGGGAATGCTGTGCGGTAGGTGAATCGACAGCTACTATCTATCGATCGTCGCGAGGGAGAAGTTCTACTCCGCCGCAAAGCTAGATATATTGCGCGGGAAGCTGGTGCTGGAATATGCCTCCGACGATAGGGGATCAAACTCGTGGTATCAAACGATTCTCGCCAATCGTGGCATCGACAACGTGCTATCCTCGGAAAATCCAAAGGGATGAGATAAGATCTCGACCCCTGTCGTCTAATTTCGACCGCAGCCAACGGAGGGCGAGATAGGCTCCGACGAAGAAACTCGGACGAGGCTGCCCGGTTGAAATCTTTGCCGCTTTCCGGAGATACGTCACGTGACTAAATGATCTATGACGATGGTTGATGCCCCAGGCTCTCGGCATTCAAACCAATATTCCCTCGCTGAAGACCAGACAGAGTCCAGCCATAGTTGTCTAAGCTATCAAACCCATCCCCACGCTGGACCAGAATGCTACTCCCGACCAGTCCAGCCCTGTATGACAACAGCCAGATGACGAGTCGAGGTCCGACTGTGCTCGTATCAGCTTACACCCAAGACATGACCCCGCATATGCACTGGTATCTGGCAGCCAAGGATGGGCTGTCATGTCAGGTAGATAGCATCCGAGCGGGCTGTTGTCTAGACTCGGACTCAGACTTTGGGGACTGGGCTGAACCAAACGGCGGGAGGGGATTACGATAGCAGCTAGGTATCCTGGATGCGATGCATGGGCATGATCTCATAGCCATCGTGGCCGTCGCTTGGTATGCGACGTATGCAACCACACACACTAACAGACTAACACTACTAGCAGTAGTGTGGTCTGGCCTGGTCACCCTCCATTCCAGTCCGCCAGACTGATAAGAGATCTTCCGCAATGACTCCTTCGCAACAATATCCGTAGATGGATAGTACGATGTAGTGGTCAATATGACATCTACCTACGTAGTACTCCAACGACCGATGACATACAGTCAGTCAGTCAGTCATACACAGCCATTCTGGCGCTCAGCCACAGCCACACCACACAAGCACGCCGTTGTGGAGATGGGTGGAGGTACGGGCCAAGACCACTCTTTCGGCTGGGACAGAGCCACTTTGTCAAGCGCGACTGAAGCCAAGAGCACGCGGGATGGGTCGAAGGGCTAGAGCGTGAGTCAGGGATGGAAGAGGAAAATGCGCGGGCGAAAGGATTCCACGAGTACGAAGGAGTGGGATTTTTGAGCATTGGCGTTGGCGTTGGTATTGGCATTGACAGGGCATTGATCGCGAATTTGCGAGATGGACGGGGGATCCGGTGGTGCTCCGACGACGACGACGACGACGACGACGACGACGACGGTTTGGACTGTATCGTGCATGCATAAGTTGCATCGAATCAGGGCTCATGTGACGGGTTACCCAAAGCTGTTGGCAGCCGTGGGAAACGACTGAACGAAATCCAAGCCCGAAGCAGAAACCAAAACGCAGCGCAGCGCCGCGGGAGGGAACCGCCCGTGACGATGCCGGAGGCCGGAGAAACCGTCCCGAAACGAGGCTGAGTCCTGACGTCGTCTACGCCAATGGGAGGCGAGCGCCCTTCCGTGCCGGGGAAGGCGCAAGCCAGCCTACCCGCTGATTGGTCGGTTGAAATGTTGAGTTTCTGGCTTGCACATCCATTCCCAGAAAGTCGGCCTCATTCTAGGGCCGATTCTCGACCAGAAATTGAAATTGCGATCTTGGTCTGGTTACAGTACAGAGTACGAGGAAGTACGGGGTCGGCGAGCTGCATGTCCTGTTCGGTATAGTTATGGGGTATACTGCTGTATTCGTCTGTATCTGCTGTACTGCCCCTTACATTGTGCAGTGCGCCGTCCACGCCACCACAAATGTGATCATGGCTCTCTCCGCTCCCCGTCGGTTCCTTTGCCATTTCTTCGGTGCTTCTTTGTTTTTTCTTTTTTTTTTCCCCTTCTGCTCGTCTCTTCCTGGCCCCACTGTAGATGTCGTAGCCGCGCAGGGTGCGAAGGGACTGGGCTGATTCGGGCAAGGTGAGATTTGGCGATGGATCTGCGGGCCATAGTGGTGGAGACCTATCACTTGATGAGTTGATGTGAGCTGGAATGATGAATCTATGGGATCGCAGACAACGCCGAAGCGAAAATACCGCCGAACGACGCAAAAACCGGTTGTCTCGGTATCCGAGCAGACCGGAGATAGGGAGAGCATGACCTCAGCAGCGCCTGGGAGACGATGGAGGGAGTGTGATAGGAGGGCATCATGATTGATAACCCGATAAGGTGCAGAGTGGAGACGGTGCGTGTCGGTCGACGCCATTAATATTTCAGAGGGCAAGTAAAGGCGGACCACGGCTCCCAAACGCTTCGGGGCAGGATGATCATCCTGGGGCGCTTGGCATCCATCACTCGCCATCATTGGCGGTCGCCCGCCAAGGGCCCGTCCCAGAGCGTCCCTCTTTCACTATAATAATCCGGCCTCGCGGTTCTCGACCACCCAGCATTTCTCCTCTGAAGCTTGGCTTGCTTCTGTCAGTCTTCGACACAGTTTCTAGCTTTTCTGTCTGTATCACATCACTTCCCCTTCCACACCACCTCCCCCGGGCCTCTCTGCCTTCTCTTCCCTGGTTATCCCCGTTCCCTGTTCTGAAATACATGCGTGAGTGCCCTCGTCCGCTCTATCCCTTCCTTCACATCCCTGGCCCTCAACTGCCTCGCCACTGCTACCGTCCCCTCACTGACTCCTCTTCGCCAGACCGGATTCACTCGTGGGCGAAAGCTCACGCGTCTACCCGCAATACTCAATCCCAGGGTCCCAACCAACCCTCGGAAGAGGCACCAGCTCAAGATGGACAAGTGAAGGAGGCTATACATAACCCCGAATCAGAAAAAGATGCCACGCAACCCTCCAAGCCCGGACTGGGCGTCCGGATGAAGGATGGGATTGTCCGCTTCACCGGGCACACCAAAACCGCCCTCTGCCACAGCTGGGTCAATGTGCTGCTCGTCTTCGTGCCCGCCGGTATTGCCGTCGAGGCTGCAGGGCTGAACTCGGGCCTGATCTTTGCTTTGAACGCGATCGCCATCATTCCTCTGGCTGGTCTTCTAAGCCATGCCACCGAATGCGTCGCCACGCGGCTGGGTGACACCGTGGGTGCACTGATTAATGTCACCTTCGGAAATGCAGTAGAGTTGATCATCTTGTAAGTCAACCGATTGAGGTTTCCAGTGAGGTTTGATACTAACGTCTCGATAGCATGTAAGTCGCCATCGTGCGTAAGCCTAACATTCAGGTACTAACCGCTTTGGTGCCCTCAGTATTGCACTAGTCAAGGTCAGTGGATCATGAACAATGGCGGGAACGAGTCTAACCTGTGCAGAATGAAATCCGAATCGTCCAAGCATCCCTGCTGGGCTCTATCCTCGCAAACCTGCTGCTGATCATGGGCATGGCCTTCCTGTGTGGAGGTCTGCGCTTCCAGGAACAGGCATGTTGACTATCAACTCTCTGTGGATCACCAACTGACCGTACCAGATTTATAACAGCACCGTCACTCAAATGAGCGCTTGTCTCCTCAGTCTGGCTGTCATGAGTCTGCTCTTGCCTGTAAGTTGTTCGTATTTATCATCCCGCCACCATACTGACAACTCCAGACGGCTTTCCATGCCTCCTGGTCGGATGAGGCAAACGCCGACAAATACACCCTCAAAGTGAGCCGTGGAACGAGTGTGGTAAGTAGGAGTCAAATGACATCGCAACCCGTCTAACCTGTGGATAGGTTCTCCTCCTGGTCTACGTCCTGTATATTCTGTTCCAGCTGAAGTCCCACTCGTACCTTTATGCCAGTATCCCCCAGCAGATCATTGACGAGGAATCCCACCCTGGTGTTCTGGCCGAGTTCATGAACAGCTCGTCGGATTCCAGTAGCTCCTCCGATGAGTCTGTCGATACTACGACATCCTGGTCGACCGCCAAGCGCATCAAGAGGGCGATGAAATACAGACGCCATCGTAAGTCGAGCACGAGCTCTCGCGGAACGGTCTCCCCGCAATCGTTCCGGAAGAAGTCTTCGGCCGATGTTGCCCACACAGGAGCCATCGATGAGAATGCTGGCTCCGCTGGTGACCTGTTCGTCACGCATCAAGACGGTTCCGGCTCGTTTGTCATTGATTTTGGAGATGACAGCCGGTACGACGCCGATCATGAGCCGAACGTGAGGGACTATGAACCACACTCGCGGGATTTCGGACAGTCGTCGGCTGGTGTCAAGGCGTCCAAGGAAGACCGCAAGGCCAAGAAGCGCGAGCGAAAGCGAGAAAAGCGCGTTGAGAAGGAGAAGGTCGCCGCCTCAATGACCAGCACCGCCGTGACCGGCCGCCCGCCCATCAAAAGCCACAAGTCCGAGCCGGCCGTTGAGCAGGTCCAACCCGGCCAATTGGACGACTCGGAGCCGACCAAGAAACGGTCGCTGTTCCGTCCAACTATCCCATCTTTGCTCTCGAACACCGTTTTCTCCAGCTGTCCGTCAACCAACCAGAATGCGCCTGCAAGCCCGTCGAATCCCTACGGCCTTCGCCGCACGCATTCTCTACCCTCTTTCACCAACCGCCCTCCCCCTCCCGGCAATGCGGTTCAGTTTGCACGGGGCGCCTCGCGCGTGCCCACCGTCGTGACCACTACCACCGTCGAAGCCACCCCCGAGCATCCGGAGCCCGAGATGTCACGGACGGCCGCGGTGGTCATGCTCCTGGTGTCGACTGGTCTTGTCGCCGTGTGTGCGGAATTCTTGGTCGACGCCATTCCCACCATGGTCCAGAGTTCCTCCGTCAGCGAGGCATTTATCGGACTGATCATTCTTCCCATTGTCGGTAACGCAGCCGAGCACGTGACAGCCGTGAGCGTGGCCATGAAGAACAAGATGGACCTGTCCATCGGTGTTTCCGTGGGCAGTAGTATTCAAATCGGTATGTGACTGCTCAATTCCAACGTACCTGTCATGTAGACTAACAATCAGCAGCCATCTTCGTAACGCCCCTGGTCGTCATCCTGGGATGGTGCATGGACAAGGACATGTCTCTTTACTTCACGCTATTCGAGACCATCTGTCTTTTCGTCACCGCATTCGTTGTCAACTTCCTGGTCTTGGACGGCCGAAGCAACTACCTGGAAGGATCTCTGCTCATCGCGGCTTATGTGATTATCAGGTACGTGTGCATCACATTGCCCCCTTTTCCTGCCTACCCAACACTGACATTGCCATCTGCAGCGTTGCTGCGTTTTATTACCCCGACAGCGCCCAGTCCAGCGCCACAGCCGGGGCGTAGTTGGTCGCATGATCGGCTCATGGGCTCAATCAACCTGCTTCAGGGGCATTGAGTCCGACCCGTGATTGCGCGTAACGATGCAGATCATCTGCCCTACGGCTCCGAGGAGGAGAGACTGAGAATATCAAGCGGAGTTTAGCATTAGTCCAGACTGTAAATATTGCTGCCTCGGTTCTTTGAAGCGGAATAAAGATTGCTGTGCCGTGTCTTTGCTATGATGGTTCGTCACACCTGCGGCATTTCTTCCAACCTGGAAGAGGTGTCGGCGTTTGTAAATCCCACGCACCCTACGAGTTGTCTTGCAGATACGTAGATGATCCACACCAAGTTTCCTGTGGGTAGCAAGTGCAAGAACACTACTAGATAGCTACTAGTTACTACTCCGCACGAGGGAACTGTAGGCAACTGAAACCAAGAACAGTTCGCATCGCATGGCATCCCTTCCATGGACATGTGGCTGAGGCATCTCCAGCCACTGGGCAAGGCACACGTGGCGATTCGCTCAGGGGCTGCGGCGGGAAAGGCCGGGCTTGGCGTAATCAACCGGTGACAGATACAGCAGACATATCTTACTATTTTGCATAATGTCATTTCGTTTGTCCCTTTCTTCATAGTGCCAAGGGATGCTCTCTTTGACAACATGTCCCAAGCTGTCCTTGTTTTTCTCTGTAGACAGATTCTAAAAAAAGACAGCCTGCCAGCCTTCTGTCGCATTCTGGAATCACGATACGATCCCTTACGGGTGGAGAGTGTGGCTGACAGTATAAAAGACTTCCGATTGGACGGAGGAGGGCATCAGCCCCGTGTGGCGCCAAGGCTGACAAGTCAGACGGGGAAATTGTTACTGGTTGGTATTTCGGGGTCTCAGGCATCCGTCGATGGCATGTTGTTGTCTGCCCCTCCATGCACGTCGTCATTGTTCTCGCTCGCTGCCGAGGAGAGTATCTCAGGCGCCTGCAAACCCCCCTCTGCAATCAGTCAGCCAGTCAAATCATCACCGAATAGGCATTTCAATCTGACCCGGAGGGCTCGGTTCCACCGACTGTCTCAGAGTCAGGGGGCTGTTACTGTTCGCTGTTACGCATCTGCCTAATCAGCCTGCATCTCCATAGTCCAGTCCATCACAGCCTTCAGATCTACAAAGCACGACCACCACACCCACCAGACTATTGACCCTTCCCCATCCCACCTAATAACCCGGTGGATATGCGCCCTGGCGCCAATGGGCTGAGTACAATCAGGGCCCTACGGAGACTAGACCCAGACCCGTTAACGCCGCGAGTGGCTGCGACATCACATTCACAATGTGTCCCCTCCCCCCCTCCCCCTCCGCCTGACAGGGTCTCATCTCCGGAGCCGTGCATGATATTTAAGGGTCCTTGACCCTTCCCCTTCTTCTCTCCCTCCTCCTCCCCCTTCCCACCTCCCCCTTCCACAACACCCAACATCAAGATGTCGTACTATCCCCCCCAACAAGGCTACTACGGGGAACGCCCCCCTACGACCGCCCGCCATACCAAAGCGGCCCTCCTCCCCCCGAGAGACCTCCCTACGACCGTCCCCCATATGACAGGGGATACGACCGCCCCCCTCCCCCAGACAGATACCCCTCCGGGCCTCCCCCGCCAGAGCGTCCGCCCTACGACCGCCCCCCCTACAGCGGCGACCGCGGCTTCGATCGTCCTCCCTACAACAGCCCTCCTCCCTCCGCGCGTCCTCCCCCCGTCCCTCCCCCGCCTCTTCCTGCCGGCTGGGCCCAGGAATGGGAACCCAACGCCCGTCGCGCGTACTTCGTTGAGATCCCTACCGGCCGTTCCCAGTGGGAGTACCCCTACGGCGACGACTCGAGGGATCTGCCTCCCCCTGGCCCTCCGCCGCCGGCTGGGTACTACAGCAGCCCCCCGCCACCCCAGGATGGCTACTACTCCCCTGGTCCGCAGGGTGACCCGCAGGGTATCAGTCCCGAGGAGCAGAAGAAGAAGGATAGGAAGAACATGATGCTGGGTGCAGCGGGTGGTCTGGCCGTGGGTGCGCTGGGCGCGGCGTTTATTACGCATGAGATCGGTATGTTTCCCTTATCCTCCTGCGCGCATCTCCTGCTTTCCTGCCTGATATATATACTGATCATGGATCTCTCTGTATAGACGAACACAACGAAGACGAACGCCGCGAAATCGAAGAGGAGCAGTTCCAGCAGCCGCCTGTCTTCCAGGAGGAGGTCATTGTCGAGCGCGAGGACCCTCCTGAGTTTGAGGCCTACGAGGAGGATAACTGGTAGTGGTAGTGGTAGTGGTAGTTGTGTCTGGATTGGGAAGATAAATGGATGGCTCCAGTGCTGGTCGGTTTCGGGTTGTCTATCTATCCATCCATCTACTTGCATTTTCGGGATCTAGCATAGTGTATCAATTGATTGATTTGACTGCATAGCTTTGATGGAGTGGTTGGATAATTTGCAATCATTACATCATGATCGTGTGGAGTACTGTAGGAAACTGGTCTAGGTTCGGATACTTATATATTATCAGTGAGTGATGGTTAACCCTCCTGCCATCCCCGAAGACTAAGTAAGTAAGGTACAGAGTACAGAGACGAGAATAAGATAATAATGTTAGTACTCACTGGAAGCCCTCGGACCTTAGTAAACTGGATCATACTGAGACCTTTGAAAAGGAGTGGCAATAAAAAGATAATGAAAGCAAGCCACCAGGCTGTATATACCCCTACACTTCTTCCCAAGGTATCATCATGTGATGGCCACCATGTTCGCCATCTCGCGCCTTCTACTGCGCTTCTTCCTCCTCTTTTTTTTCCTTCCCCTTTCCAAATACTACCCAATCTAACAAAACAGAACAACTGGTCACTGAATAATGAGAATAAATATCATCCTAGACTCCTGTGGACTTGGAGCCCGTCCTCTATCCTCTCCAACAAGGGCAATACTCACGCACACCAGAAACAAGACATTCTACAAAACCGCAACAAGATAAAAGAATCCCCTCAATACCGAACCAGAAATACAAACCATACACAGAAGTTCCAACCACCGTACGCCCTTCCATGGCTCCCTCCACGACGCTAACTCCATCCACACCATAACACCCATCCTCCCAGTCTGTTACCGCATCAGGGAACCAATAAGAAGGGCTTGTGGTTTAGGGGTATGACGCTCCATTCGCATTGGAGAGGTCCCGGGTTCGATTCCCGGCGAGTCCATTTTTTTGTTTTTGTCGTCTATGTAACTAACACATTGCGGGAAGAATTGATTGTGTTAATAGAACAAGGGGGTTTTTTTTTATTTGATCGTTTTGGCTTCTAACAACCCTCTACAACCTTCAGTGTCTATTGCCTCAACTACCACCAGAAATGCAAAACACTCACTAGGTACGTGCTCATAGCCAAGCAAAGCTGGCTAATAATTCTATACAAGCCGACGCATCAAACCTCAACCAAGCCCCAAAATTCCCTCGTTAGATCAACAACCCGTTTATCCGCGTTCTGAACACCAGGATCCTCAATTGGCTTTGTCGGCTCATCGAACCCAGCAGAAACCTCTGGCGATATAGGGCCGTAACGGGTTCTGTCCGACTTCATCGTCGCCATCCGTTCTAAAGCGTCTACCGGTCGACACACTCGGCGGATATCCCCCTGACGCTGAGACTAGGTTTTAAAATGCATTGTTAGCAGGTATATAATTCCATGTCTCAAAAACACTTACTCAAATTCCTTGCACTTTCCACCGAGGCCCCGTAAATATGACGGAACACATGTTCATCTTGTCGCTGTCTGGAAGGATACAAGCTGGAATCCGCATCTAGAGCGCCGTATCTCGTCCATTAATGTACATATCCATCATCGGCCTCATCCGCTGGGCGTTCCGAGGCAGGAGTCATGACTCCTTTGATGTACTTGTCGATAAACTCGTGTCGGGGTCCAGATCCTACGGTGCAGGTGCCTTTTGCTAGGTCTTCGCGGATACTGCGGAGGTGTTGTTCCATTCTGAGGACTCCCACTCGATGTGTTCCGCACGCCACTGAGTCATCCGAGTCTCAAAGTCCGAGAATTGTCGTTGTAGGTAATCGTTGACGACAGTGTACTGAGTTGAGATGACGTCGTACTTTGCCGATTGCTGTTCAAGCGACGGAGCAAAGATCATGTCCCTGTCAGGCGCAATCTTCTCCCACGCATTGACGTACTTCGGATGTCCTGTGTCGACGCGCATCCACACAGACTCATAACCGGTCGAGACCAAACATACTGATTCGCTGCCTTCAACAAACGTTTCCGGTTCCTGGTGTCGTCGGATTCCAACTCGCACCCACGGTTCCTGGAATTCCAGTTCCGGTATCACCGGGGGCAAGGCTAAACGCCCGCAGAAGCCACTTGAGTCTTCTTTCATATCATGTGTGCAAGCCAAGCTTTGGAATACTGACATCATGCCAGCTATTCGAAACGTTTTTATTTGTCTCTTTGTTTCGAGATATGCTTGTATAATGCATAGCGCATTACGGAACCGAGAGCGGCAGTTGAATGGACGTCTTCTGGTTATTCGACCAGTCCAAGTTCCTCTGGTGGTCAAGGACACGTAGGAACAAAAGGTATTCCTTCGCCTCCTGTCCAGAAATAACCCGTGTGCGTAGGCAGGCCGAAGGCATTTTTCTGACAGCATCAAATTGTTTTGGGAATTGCCTTCTCCATTTTTGGCCTCCAACCTGTCCTATAGGATGGTCGGTTGGTGGGATTAAAAACCTCTTCGGTTGAATTTTCGCTGCGACGCATCAAGAGAGACACTGCTTTAGCAGATATAGTTTAGCGGAAGGCTCCAGGTCAATATAAATCGGTTTCTCGAACGCCATTCTGGCGGTGTCATTTGCACTAGGACTGAAGTGAAGTATTTGGCAACATGACCATTCGACATAGTTAGCCATGAAAGGTTTTCATGCTGGGTCTTCAGAATACGAAAGCTCTGTGCAGCCGCCTTCGCAATCCAATGTAATCCTTCGCATCCCCTGCCGGCCACACGCATCGACCGCAGATTATATTCTTCCACCACGATGATTCGGATAATAAGGCCAGAGTCCGTTGGACCACGGGAGGCTTGACTGGAGACAGCTGTATGACAGGCCAAATACGTAGTTGTCTCTCTCTCTCTCTTTGACCGAAATGTAGAGAAACATCGTTAGTAAAAGCAGGTGACTAGACAGGGGAGGACACGTACGCGTCAGACCTGGCAATCGACCACGAAACGACCGCGGAGTGACGACGCGTGCAACCCCGCCTGTCCCAGGTAAGGTCGCCATATCTAGTGCTCGGTGAAAGAAAAGCTTGCTACCATGATGTAAAGTAGAGAAAGGAAGAGGAAGTGATATAAGATCACTCAGGCAAAAGGAGAATTCTCCGCTCGGGGTTTTCGAGGAAGTCCTGACATGAATAACGACTGGGAGAGGGGGGAAGGCCCTCGAAGAATGCAGTCAGAGTGAGGAGAAGGGGAGAAAGAAAAATAAAGATTTGGGGGGGGGGGGGAGGAAGGTCTTGAAATATTCGAGTCTTTCCTAAGAAGAGTTGGAATCAGTGAATCAGAAATTGGATTAATAGTGCAATGTAGTATTCACTATCTGCTTGCTCCTACAGTCCATATCCTGACTATTACTATCACTGGGAGAATAGAAATTACTGAGTGGGCATAATGGATTGGATAGGGTAGTAGAATTGCATCTTGATTGTGGTAGGTTGGCCGATGAATGTTGACGAGCAGGGAATTGGAAATAAGAAAAACTACGGAATTGATCTAGATGGAGAATATTAAAAGTTCTAGCAGTTATAATATTAGCGCGTGCGAATAATAAATGGTACAATCTGATGATGAGAACTTTTTGATATGGAGGAAGCCGTTGGCCACAGCTGTCAAGAATTTTTTTCGCGCGTCTTTTCAAGCTCAGGGGATATCTGAATCAGCCGCACTGAAGGTATGAAGAAGTTTGAGTAGTGTGATTTGTTCCTGAAGACGAGATATGTACCTAAATGTGAGTCGTTCGCGCAAATGGCCTCCATATGAATTCGATAGAGGCGGCTCAGCGGAGGCAATCTCATCGGACCTTCCGACAATGCTCTCGAAGGATTATCGAGACAAGGAAGTGCTTTAAAAGCCCAGATCTGGCCGAATGGGTGCCTGTCCCCTTCCACCTGGCTTCTGTCGGCTTGTGTGAGTATCAGTGTCAGACGTAGGGAGCATTTCCGGATACCAACACCCTGAGTATTGCAGAAACATCACGGACCATCAATGCCAATGAGTAGCTTCGCAAGCGACCAAGGAGGAATATTCATCATAGCCATCCGCGAAAGGCGTCAGGGCATCACGATCTATCCCATCCCCTTATCGACCTACTTGTTACCCCTACCTTCATCGGTCCAAGACGCATAATTCCCTTATGGGATTCGCACTTGGCTGCTGGTCGTAGCTCGATCGGTGTGCATTATGACATATAGTAAAGTACGACCGCATCGACTGTCGTATCCAATGTAGCTGCGGCCCATAGTCCAGACGTCCATATATCCCGACAGGCAAATCGTGTGACAAGTTTCGCAGGGGTCTGGGAATGCACATCTGGGATAGTCCGACCGTCAGCCAATGCCCCTGACTACTAAGTGGTGGGCCATTCCCACGACGGAAATTGCAAAGTTGCACGCCTGGTCAAAGGTGAGCTGTGGCACTGGGAAGCTTTAGTGGGACCTGATTTCGAATCTAATTGGACCGCGTGTTCTGTTGGTCAAGACTGGGTTCAAGTCAGCTATGAGAACGATGATTCGAGACAATATTGGAGCATGGGTTTTATATGTTGAATGAGCAAAGTGTAGGGCGGTGTCTGTTGTTGGAAAGCAATTTGAAGCAATAAAATCTTCTGCGGGGTAACTGTCTAGTTTCGGCGGTTTGCCTGCCATGTTCCTGCCTGATATACTTTTGAGCCTCACGTCGGCATTGTCATGATGAAGTCTTCAACCGTGCGGATCCTCGGCAGCAGCAGCAGGACCATCAAGCTGCATTGGTTTAAATGAGCTCCTTTCCACACTTCAGCCTTGTTCTGACTGATCGACTCTCTCCTGATCGACACGCAAGGGCGGATCTTCTGGTCGATCGTTACTGTCTCGGTAAGCTGTATTGGATAGAATCACAAACTGCTCTAATAGGAAAAGCGATTTTTCACGCAGGGACGGAATTAAACTCCCACCTTTTTGTGGGAGCTGCTTGCCTTATAACCCGACCAGCTCTCCCCTTCAATACACCCTCTCAAGTGACAACGAACAGCCAACCCAGACAATGCGTTTTTCCCATTTGTGCCTCCTGGTCTGGGCCCTCCAGGCTTCAGCCACTATCTTGCAGAACGGCCAGGTGCGAGAAGATGCCTATCCCGGTCAGGCTCCCGAGATTTTGGTGGACGATTCGTGGCGGGCATACGGGCCGGACGCGCCAGAGATATCTTATAAGGGGCGGTGGGACAGACAATATGTTTCATGTGAGAGGTTCAAGTCCATGTCGCCAATGGTATTCTGACTACTGTCTAGGGTGGTCGTATGTTCTAACCCCCAGTTGCCGAAGGAAGAAGTCGTGACTGACAAGTGCAGACTTCCGGGCATCAAGCTCGGATTCACAGGAAGTCAGGTATTTAGGACACACATCATGCTGGAATTGAGCATTGACGAGATACAGCTGGCTTTGAGATTCGGCTCTCAGACGAGTGAAGGTGTTCTTTTGGCTTATCGGTTGGTGCTCGCAGCCGTTGTCTCGTTTTCCCTCTGACTGGCCAGATTTGGTGGGCTGGACTGGAAATTTTCGAACGTCACCACAAATGCGATCTATCAGTTTGCGGGGCCATGGACGGCAGGAATGAATTCGACACGAGAGAAGACATTCGAGATGCGAGGTTGGATTCTCCCTCATACCACATGGCTGTGCTAATTCGTAAATAGTCACAAACTGGGGCTATGGATAAGTGTTTCAACCTCGGTGAAAGTGTCTACCTAACCCATCACACAGTCCAACTCTCGGGTGTTTATATTGCTTCAGATGGGGAGCTCACCAAAGCTCTACAGTATAACAAGACGGTGGAAATAATCGGTGACTCGTGAGAACCATGTATCCACATTCTTTCAGCAATTAACAGCCATAGCTTTGCTTCCGGACAATATGCAACTTACGAAGGGCTATCCGCATGGGCTTACAGCTTCGCTGCCGGTCTAGGCGACGTCGAGTACTCAATCACCGTTTGTCTCCCCCCCAGGCCCCTAGTCTCAATCTGACCATCACAGGCATATCCCGGAATCTGCCTGACGGACAAGAGCTGCTATTCCAATGAGGCGCGCGGCATGGTGAGCTCCATACCACAACAACCAGCAAAGCCCACCTTCTGATTCCGACCCAACAGACACACCAATGGTTCTATGCCGCCGATGTGGGTGCGCGCGCAGAAGCTACTTACGGAAACAACCCTCAGAAATGGAACTTCAGCGCCCATCCACCAGCCGACCTCGTCATTATAGACCTAGGAACAAATGACCAGAGAAACAACGTCTCCGGCTCAGACTTCTATGACAGCTACACTGCCCTAATAAACAGCGTACACGATACATACCCACAAGCCGAAATAGTCCTCATGGTACCCCCCCCCCCCTCCCTAGACACCCCTCCCCATCCGTACCACAACCAACTAACTAACAACACAGTCCCTCTGGGGCAAATTCTTCCGCTATGGCGACAAATACATCCAATCGCCCTTCTACGCCCCCGACCTCCACCGCGTCTTCGAAAGCTTCCACGACCAGCCATTCGTGCACTACTTCGGCACGAAAGGCATCCTACAACACAACGACATCGACCCCCAAGGGCACCCGACCGACGTCGGACACCTCAAGATCGCAAGCCACCTGATGCAGTGGACTAAATTGAAGCTAGGGTGGGAGTTTGGCGCCACGGGCGCGGAGGTCCAGCATGATACACTTTACTGGAATGATCAGGCGGGGTATCGCTAATCCAATGCACGCAGACGGAGGCGCGACATTGTTATCTGGATATTATGCAACGCAGGGTGTGGATTCTGGCTAAATTAGGGGAGATGATTATCAGATCGGAATACATGGATGCATCAACGTTCCACCTTCCACCTCGTCGAGGGGTGGTTGACTTTGACAGGAATGTAGGATATCAATCCCCTGCTGATGCGCGACGAGATACAAGGATCTGATCGGATGTGTGCAGCAGCATGGAGTTGATATCCATGAATTTATGTAGGTATTGAAATCATACAGCGCTCGACACGCGCTCGTGGAAGACGGCCAGGAGGTTCTGTCGTTGCTGGGGTGTAATACCATTTCTACGCTGAAGGACATTCTTGGAGTAGACTGAGATTAAGCATGTATAGAGACAGGGGATGAAGGATGTGAGGATTCAAACGAGTGCGCTAAGTAAAAAAAATCATTGATGGCGATGGAGATGGAGATGTGAATGAAGCACTGGATGTAAATGGTAGATAACTACTAACTAGTAGTAGTGTAGTACTACTGTAGAAGAGAAGTGGGGCAAACGAGTGGACCCTGTTATAACCGAGCAGTAGTGCGTGGTCTAACCGGCCTTGGTTAGTTCCAATTCTCCGAGCCAGGTCGTGGTTGAGGAGGCCTGTATAGAACGGATGATGCCAGTCGGAGTGTTAAAAAGAGAGAAAAGCGCCTACCTTGGTTACATTATTGAATTACGGCAATCTACACTACACTTACAACGCTAGATCTCTACAAACACACCTGAACATTCACAATAACCTCGACCCCTCCACCACGCGGGCATACCGGGGACAAGTCGCGGAAAAGAACATATTTCCTGCGGCCGCAACAATCATCGCTCGGGCATAGGTTAACTGCGGGAGTGCAGGCAGTTGCACCTGTTCCAAGCGGGTGTATTCTGCATCCATCTGAGCTTCCAGGTCGCGGATCAGAAGACGAAGAATGGAGGTGGCCGATGATGTGGACACATTCATCAAGTCCTGGATGACCTGGACGGCATTGAGTACCGTCTCCGGTTCTGCCATCGCTTCTTTGGGATAGGAGTATAGGTCGTTGGTGAGGAGGAGGTGTTTCGCGCAGAGAGATTCCAGGGATTGAAGGGGTTGCTTGTCCTGCGGTGTGAGGGGGGCGGGGAGGGAGAACTCGACCATGCGGAGGATGAGGGAGGCGCCGAAGTCGGGTAGACCGTGGATGAGGTATTCGTCTAGGTTGTTGAAGGTCTTATGGGTGGGGTGGGTTTGTTGGGAGAGGGACGCCCATGATGCTATCTCCTTTAGGAGGTGTTGACCTTGGATGGGGTCTTCGGTGAGGAGGTTTCGTGAGAGAGTATCGTAGGCGGGGTGTAGAGTTGTGAAGGGCTTGTGGGCTGTGGGGATTACAGTGGTGCTGGAGTGATCTCCTGTGTCGACTGCGTCATCGTGCAGGAAGAGTAGGAGGAAGGTCTTGGTGAGGAGGTGTAGTCGGTTTGGGTTGCTCAGTGGGGTAAGGTTTGCGGCGTAGGATACTGCCGTGTCGATCATGGTGTCAATTCTTGTTTGGGGTGTTGCTTGTTGGGGGTTCCTGGGGAGGATTGTCTCTGTGTATTCCTGCGCTGCCCTTTCGGCTGTCTGCCAGTGTCGCGACTGGAGGGAGGTAGGGAGGGATGTTGGCCATGGGACTCGTAAAGAAGGCGGGTAGATGGGAATGGCATGTTTGTAATCTGCATCTTGGGAGATGTTTGACCATCTTATAAAGCTGAATGAATCGGATGGTGGCGTGGTGGCTGCAGGATCGAAAGCGTAGAGTATTTTGCGGGGCGCGCTTTGATTGTGGCCTGACCGGCTCTCGGAGGATGGAGGGGTCTGAGAGATCTGGCGGTATCTTGTATTCTTTAAATGGATAACTGAGAGATCTCCATCTGGAATTTTGGCTGTTAGCCGAGTGAGAACCCTGCAGTTGGCAAACATTGTGCGTGATGATCCCTGTCAAGCTGTTGCGGAACGCGTCGAAGACACGCGCGACGGACCCTCGGGCGGAGATCTCTCGGCATCAAATTTGTCGCGTCCCCGGATCACCGACACTTTATGGAGTTCATGGCTTGCGCACATTCAACGATAGTGAGAGTTGTATACTGGAAAGGAGCATAAAAGTCGTCTGAGTCGTCTGTCTTGTCTGTGGATCACAAACACGAGATCGGCTGAGAGTGACTAATCACCCCTCTCCCTCCGTCATTTCGCCTCGGAATTCCGAGCCCGAAGAACAACTCAACTCCCAGCCATGAGATCTCCACACCTGAAACGAGGGGACAGGCCTCCCCCACGTAAGAAGGCCTGCCAAAGCTGCACGAAATCCAAAGTTCGCTGTGATCTTGAGAGACCTGTCTGCTCCCGATGCAAGTCACTTGGCCGACCGTGCGAATATCCATCCAATCCTCCTGTTTCTGTCCCTCCGACCGAGCCGAATTACACGACTCGAGAACGCTCCATCGAAAGGACACCAGTGTTATCGATCCTAGGGACGCCAGGGCTGGGTCAGACTTCGGGGATGCCTATAGCAGTGCCATATGGCCTTGAAACCCCTATCTGGTCACCTCCAATTCACCCACGCAGACAAGTGATTCGCAGTGGCCGTGAACTTGACTTGAGAAATATTGATCTGGTTCCCAGCGGCAATGCGGAGGATATTCGCGATCGATGGCTTCGACCGTATATACTGCCTCCCTTGGGTCGAGATGAAGTTCCCAAGGCCTATCATCCGTTCACACTGCAATATATCTCGATGACCTTGAGTACATATCCTCGGTCCATGCTGAAGGATGGCGATGTCCCACCGATAGTCCATCGACTGCAGGTCGGACGACAAATGCCACCTGCCATGGCGAACTGTTACAGTCTCGTGCGGATGTGGGAGCAAGCTGCAGCTGGAAGTGAAGCGCTGGTGGTGGATACTGTAGAGAAAGAAATGGAACGATTAGCCAACGAGGTATGAACCATCCTGAAATGCCGCATCAGACACGCGCTAATCGAACAGACACCGAGTTTGTACGACATCGATCTCCTAGCAGCCTTCCAGGCGTACCTCATCTACTCCATAATGCTGTACCTCTCCCCTCTGGCAGGATCACCTGCGATCACCGACAAGGTCATGATCACCCTGATGGAGATGGCCTTTCGTACTGCTCGCAATGGGCTCTTCTGCGCTGCTGAGATCTCCCATACAAGACCCAGCTGGGAATCCTGGATAGTCGCAGCCGCCAAACGACGAACGATCTTCACCATGTATTTGTTCTGCAGCGTTTATAATGCCGACCGGATGCTGCCTAACTTTATCGCGGACGAAGTAAAGGGTGTTTTCGCACCGGAGGCTAAATCACTGTGGGAAGCCACCGATCGGGAAACCTGGGAGAGAGAGTACGATCGACATCTGCTCAGTTGGGAAGACGGGATGCTGGAGATCTCGGAGCTCTGGAGGTCAGCAGAAACGGGGACGCCGCAGCGGCGAGAAAGGATCGGACGGTGGCTGAGAACAGTCGACGAATTTGGGATGACGATGTTCGGCGTGACGACCCACGTCCACGGCTGTTGATACCTGCCTTCCGCATTGGTCAGTGCGCCACCTCGGAATTCCGATCAGGAACTCCGAGCGGGCGGGTATGACACCATGGGTAGGACGAGGGGATATAAAGTCTCCCACGACTCGCGTCCTCTTTGTGCGTATTAAACTTCATCAGGTACATACTCGTTCAAATCCCACCACTGATTCACAATGACAACCTACACCACCGACCACGCCCCCGCGGTCCTCCAAACCCACGGTTGGCGTACACTCGCCAACTCCGTCCCTTATATCCTCCCCTACCTCAAACCCGACATGACCATCCTCGACATCGGCTGCGGCCCCGGAAGCATCACAGTGGACTTCGCCCGACACGTCCCCTCCGGCCACGTCACAGGGGTCGAATACGTCGCCGATCCGCTCGAGCAAGCCCGATCCCTCGCCTCCTCCAAACACGTCACCAACATCGACTTCCAAGTCGCAGACATCCACGCCCTTCCCTTCCCAGACAACACCTTCGACCTGGTCCATGTGCACCAGGTCCTCCAACACATCTCCGATCCCGTCCTCGCGCTCCGCGAAATGCGCCGCGTCGCGAAATCCCACGGGGGCATCATCGCCGCCCGCGAATCCAGCACACTCACCTGGTACCCGGAGAACGAAGGAATCGCGCTGTGGTTCGATATCACCACCAAAATGGCCAAGGAAAAAGGCGGAAACCCGCACCCGGGATCCCGGATTCATGTGTGGGCCGAAGAGGCTGGGTTTGAGCAGAGTCGCATTCGCAAGAGCGCCGGGTGTTGGTCGTTTAGTAGTCCGGAAGAGAGACAGTATTGGGGCGGGTCGATGGCCGGGCGTGCCGCAGCTTCAGGGTTCGCGACCAAGGCGGTGGAGGAGGGGTTTGCGACGAAGGAGCAGTTGGAGAGTGTTGTAAAGGGCTGGGAGGAGTTTATCGAATCTGATCGCGCGTGGTTTGGTTTGTTGCATGGGGAGATTGTTTGTTGGAAATGAATTTATAGTTTGTTGGTCCGTCTGAGGTTTGGGGGGTGGGGTCGGCAAAATATATCTTTGAGCGATGGAAGCATGACACTACAAAACCACCTCGTACTACTCCACGAAGTAAACTTTCTTTCCTATGGGCACTTCATTATTTATTAATTACCTGGTTATACTATAGTACTATCAAATGAAATAGAAAGAACAATACTGCCGTGAATGTAGTCATTGAGGTAAACACGGACTTGTGTTTTCTCCATTTTGCCTCTATTTACGGAATAGTAAGCGGTCCATTATTCTTTTGATTTTTATTTTTTCATTTTTTCTATATCTGCATGTTTCTGGCTGTTTCAGTTGTTCCTGAATTCTTCACTATCCTTATAACCTCTTGGGTATTTGTTTTGAGGTTATAATATTGCATGACCGTCTCTCTATGCTAGAAAACCCATCCTTTACATCTACAGTACTCTCTACGAGTCTAGAAAGAAGAAGAGAGATGACAAGCAGAACAAATATATTGCTGCGATATACTGTAATTAAACTATATCCAACCAACAACAACGACAGCACAACAATCCAGAGATAGACAGAAAAAGAAAGAAAGAAAGAAAGTAGGAAAGACCAGGGCGAGACGGAAAATCCACTGGGGCAAGCAAGCCAGCTGCATTAATCTCGCATCCGTCGCACCAAACCGTAGCGGGGAGCCCGAATTTTTCTCACCGTTCGGATGTCCCACCAGCCACAGGAAGTGAATCCGCGGTCAGCGCGGAGAGCAAGTCCAGGTTCGTGAGGAAGTTGAAATTGCTTAGACACCGACGGTGATGGCGACGGCGACGGCAGCGGCACCGACACCGAAGGTCATGGTGACGCGCTCGACGGTGGCAGCACCGGTGAAGACGGGGCTGGCGGAGGCAGAGGCAGAGCCGCTGGGGGTGGCAGAGACGAGGGCAGAGGCGCTGCTGGTGGTGGCCTGGATCAGGGGAGCGGAGCTGGTGGAAGCAGCGGAGGACTCGGCGGGAGCGGCGGCCTCAGTTCCAGCGGCGGCGGCGGCGGTGGTCTCAGCAGCAGCGGCCTTGGTGGTGGCAGCAGCGGCGGCGGTGGTAGCAGCGGCGGTGGCAGCGTTGGCCTGGTCCTTGTACGAGTCGATACCCTTCTGGATGGCGTCGGTGATACCGGCGGCCAGGTTGCTGGCGATGTCGGACAGAGAGGAGGGCACCTTGGAGGTGATGGCGTCGGCCAGGTTCTTGGAGGCGGTGTACTGCTGCTGGAGGTTCTTGTAGACGATGGCGCCGGCGTTGGCGGAAACGAAGGTCGACTTCTTGGAGATCAGGTCGTTGACCACGGTCTGCACCTGCTTGGTGACATCCTGGACGGGGCTGGTGATGCCGAGGGCATCAACGCTGCTCAGAGTGGAACCAGCGTTGACGGTGGTGACACCGGAGTTGATGGCCTTGACCAGGCTGTCGGAGGCGGACTGGACGCCGGAGGTGTCACCGCCGTTGAAGCTGTTGATGGAGGTGTCCAGGGCCTTGACCTCGGTCTCGATGTTGGAGAGGACGCTGGTGATGGAGGCGACGTCCCGCTCAACGAGGGAAGGAGTGCGAGCCACCTTGGTGGGGTTGGCGAAGACGCTGGTGGCCAGGCCCAGGGTGAAGAGAACGGAAGTGAGCTTCATTTTGAATAGATATTAAGGCAACGAGTGCGGTATTATTAAGTAGGAAGAAGCGAGTGCTGGAGACTGAAGAGTCGGAGAAACTTGAAAGGCAAGAGAGAGAGAGAAGAGATTGTTGTGCTGATGATTTTCGATTGAGGGCCGATATCCAGGCCCTATATATACTCGACGAGGCCGTATAGAAGCTCAGATGGATAGGCTGCTGGCTAGGGCCGAGGTGGGGCAATCAGGGGAAGGTTTCCCTCTAATTCTGGGGTTAATATAATTAGCCGGGTCAGGGTCCCTGGAACCATCTGCTGAGGTAGGATTGTGCCTGAGACGTGCTCGGGATCGTCAGTGCAATTCTCGTTCTGGGCCAGCTGGTTTGACGAGACGAAAAGATGCTCATTTTCCCCTTTCAGCGTGGTCGGAACCTTCCACCCATCCTGGATTTTTGGCCCTCACCAACTAACCCAACTCTGCGGTGAGAACCTCCAACCTCACATCCAGACCACTGGCAGATCATAATCGAGTGATAGAGACAGAAAATGGGCATGATAGAGGAAGAACGGCCTAGACCAACAAAAAGGCGCATCGTGCATCGTGCATGGGCAGAAATGGATTCGAGTTCGGGATCAAACCGAGCAGCAGTGCTCGCTGCAGCATTGCTTAGCCGGCCCGCCCCCGGATTCTACTTACTTGTTATGGAGAAATATTTATTAAACAATGGTAGTGAATCCATCCTACACTGTGCCTGACCCTGCACGGGCATCTCTCAGGTTCAAGGGTCGGGAGTTCAACGAACGGCTGGGTATGGCGGACGGACACTAAGGATTGTCTCAAGCCACCCGAGCCATCCGATGGACCAAAGCAGCCATGGATCCCCCCGCATCGCCCGACTCAATTTCCAGCCCTCCAGCCTTCTCGTTGGGCGAAACACTCGCCCCGCCTAATCCGGTAAGATGTCCGCGATCGGCAGGGTCGACCCCGAAAGCCTTACCACAGCGGGCATCCACACTGGCGGATACGAAGTCAACATCCGCTCGAGGTCTAATTCATGGGCACCACCAAATTCTCAACGCTTGGAGAAAAGCCACAGATTCACAGATGAGACGGCCACTGCTTCATCCATCTCTCATTCGGAAGGGTCCCGTCACTCTTGACACTTTCTCCCTACGGAATGGCGTGATTCCGTCCGTCCATACACATGTCTGTGCGGGACCAGATTCTCTTGGCGGATGGTTTGGCTCAATATACAGGCGAATCTCGCTGGAGTCTCGGAGAAACCTCCTTAGCAGCGTGCTCTGTGGCCAAAACCAGCTAGCTGATCCCACCTGGCACGTCCAACAGAGTTCAGCCTGCGGACACTCGGCGCCTGGACTCCCCCTCGAGAGGTTCGTTAATCTCGCTTGCGGGTGATCTTCCCCCGATGAGCTTCATCACGGTGGTTCTGCCATGAGAAGAACCTCGTTCATGGGTAAAATTACTAAGACGATCTTCCGAAGTCGGTGGGCCTCATTTGGGATGTGACAACGGTCCTGCGCCTGCACGCCTCTGCGGGACTTTCCTCCAATGATAGACATCCATCTTGCCTTTGGATAAACTGGTGGCAACTCACTATTTTGACGAGCGGCCTGGACCGTCAAACAGAGACATATGCCACCCCGTCATGGGGGCTAATTTTGCTCGATACTACCTCTCATTTATTCGTCCATGAAGCACAGTGAGCTAAGGATACAAACAGGTACTGGAAGTCCGAAATCTCGAATCCTGGTCGCTCAGTGCCACTGTCGTCGGTCATGTTCGATTCGAAATCGCCAAAGCGGGACCGGATATCCACTCACTGGTAGGTGAAATAGGAGACCATCGGTTCGGATTCATGTGGCTCTATGTTAACTATTTGAAATTTCTTCGCCACTTCAAACAAGATATTAATCTTTAGCCACGGACGAACAAACCAAATGGGCATAATAAAGCCAGAGGTAACATCGAACCTTACGCAGACGAGTCGCATAAAATGATGCTCGGACTACTACCGTAGCACATGACAGCATGTCGCCAGCGGTAAGACCACAATCTACTACCGAAGACATCCTCGACTTTTTTTTCAGTCCGTTTGTCGCCACAAAGTTTGTTTTAAAATTAGCAGTCGCAGATCGAATGTAGGTTAACCTTCGAGTCCATGAGCATTGGGTGGTGGGAGGGGGGTTTGTTGAGGAACGGGCTTCGGATATTTTATCCATGAGGTAACACCTGTTTTAGCTTAGAGCAAAATCCGTCGTGCCTCGAGTATGCCGTCCGCATCCCCCTTCGTTGTGATGCACACATCTAGCGGTCCAGGAAGGGTGTATGCCCATATAGCCACCTTCCTGGAAGACACAGACGAGGGGGTTCCTCTTCCCGCCGCGATCTTGGATCAGTTCGGTGCAGTTCTTTCCATCCGAATTCTTCCCTCATGATGTTAATGTATTCCCAGAACCCCGGATACAATCTTGCACACGCTACTGTGCTAGATATATTCTTCCAAGACAACACTTGAGAATGTTGGTCACCGAGATCAAATGTTAAAACAGCATTCTATCCGCAAGTGCGGATGCAAATAGGAGTCCTGCTGAAGCGATGCAGCTGGTACGAACCAACACCACCGTTATCGTTCCCAGAGCCTATGAATCCGCAATGAACCCAGACAATGGTCGGATAGACATGGATACAATTCACAGCATCACTCTAGGATGGGCTTCCCCCTCTATCCGAGGAATCTAGGCCTCCAGGCGTGGTGCTGGGTTGGAATAACATAGTAAGTTAGAAGACCGAGAAAGCTGCATGCTAATTTAAATGGTCCTGTAGATATTTATTCGCCGTGGGATTCCTTCTTACGGGACATCGGACCTCCCTCATGTCCGCTTTTTAGCGACGAACCGAGACAACGACCGGATGGACATGGAGTTCGTTCACGGCGCGCCTGTGGATAAAAAATGGGATGGGCTTATGCCTCGCCATGACCCGCGGGTTGGGTACGGGGTTGGATATCGAACATGTAGGTCCTTCGCGGGTACCCTCGCGATAGACACAGGAGTGGCTTGTGATAAGACGCCGGCCCTGCCGGCGCGGTGGTGGTATATAAGTCGGATCTTAGGGATGGCAGCATAAAGCCTGACATAGCAGTCTTTTGACCGAGTGGTTAACCGTGGCTACGCAGCACCCTAGGCGCGTAACACATACCCGCTATTGAGCAAAAAAGACGTGCCAGCTCGGAGCCATGAAGTTGCCTTTATGTTACAGCTGCTATGAGGATCAATTGCTGTAATATAACAATCGATGATATATCCCGATCATTGGGCTCGTCCACTGGGAGTGCGCAAGATGATATCCGGATTACTGCGCGGTGATTTTCACTTGTGGATGAAATATCCCTCTTCGTGTTTGATCTCAGTGATCAGGATTTTCGGGCAATCCCTTAGGATAATGATCCTTATATGGCTCTCCGGCGTGGTGGTATCTGCATAAGTATCCCGCGGTAACGTTGAATTTAATCAAGGCCCTCTGAAGACTGGGATGGTCTCCTCCATTCGGCTGACGTGTTGGTGACGACCGAATGACATGTGGATGAAGGAGCTCTGACAGATATCTGGTAAATGACCTATTGGAGTTCCAGGCAAGTTGACCAGTCAGTGACAGAAGCATCAGTATTCAGTAGCGCATACCTGGTTGGTGAGGCTAGTGAAGCAAGAAGGAGGGTAAGTTGAGACCGCAAAGCAGCCAGTCCTGTACTGCTTTTATAATCACTCTTAGGTAGTCTCCCTCTCCCTCACTCCCTCCTTCTCCACTCCACTCCGACAAGGTAACACAACCCAGGCAGGCACAGACAAGCCCAACAACATCCTGCCATCCAATCACCCTTGCCCTCTGCCCTCTGCCCTACACCCACAACCGGTCTAGTGCTGAGCAAGTGACGTTGTCCCCACACTCCTCCACGCTCTATACTTCTCCTCTCCATCTATCTATCTCCTTCCCCCCCCACCTTTTTCATTCGGTAACACGCTGCTACTCTCGCACCACATTCGGTCGTACGAATCTTCTCTTTACTTACATCTCCAATTCCCTTGATACCGAGTTAAGCAGATGTGATGGCCGATACTCCTGCTCCTCCTGATGTGCCCCGTCGTGGCAGAAGAATCCGTGGTTGGGGACGTGGCCGTGGTCGCGGTCGCGGTCGCGGCGGCGGTCGTCAAACGCAGGCTCCTGCTGCCCAAGTCGCTAGCTCTGAGGATAAAGCCCCAGAAAGTACCCAGGCTCCTGTCATCAAGCCCACCAATCCTATAAAGAACGGCCCCGGTCAAAAGAAAGGTGGTAAAGGAGATGTGGCCAAAAAGCTTGAGGTCAAGGTCATAAAAAACCCAGAGTCGCATCCAGAGCCTCCACGGCGTGGAGGACGCGGGAACAGGTAAGTATATCTTCCGCTCTCAATGAGATCCATTCCTTCGATCGCTAATAATAAAGGTCCCCCAATGCGAACTTTAGACGTAGATCGTTCCCCAAGGCCTCCGCTCAGCCTGTGCCGGAGCTCTCTGCATCGCAAATGCGACAGTTTCTGGAAAATGGCCTCACGATGATCACTAGCTCGCTGGAAACAAGGAGGGCGTTTGTTGAAGATCTAGCTACCGAAAGCGGCCTTCAGAACATTCGCCTGATTGTCGAGACTGATTTCGCCACCTCCTATAGTGTTTTGAAGCCCACGTTCGACCCCCATTGCCTCCTGTTTCTTCGAATGATCTCTCATCAGGAGATTTTGTCATCACTGGTGCTCGAGAAGGCAGTGGGAACCATATACAATGTCATATATGGGCCTGGTGGCAGGAGGGGAATGGACTTTCTTACGAATGTGACAAGATATCTGGTTGAAACTAACGGTGGTTCTGTCAGCGAGGAAAACACCAAAGTGAAGGGTGATGCGGCCACCAATGGCTCTACCAAAGCTTCCGCGCCTTGGGCCGAAGCGCTGCTCCTCACTACTAAGGTACTGCTGAGCACATTAAATTTGAACCAGGAGGCTGCCGCCCATCCAGATCTAAAACACATTATTGAAAGCCTCTGCAGCTGCTGTCAGAAGGAAAGCGCCACCGCGGACGCCAACATTGACCTGGCTCGGGCGAACATTATCAACATTGGCGATTCTCTTTCGATCGGAGATTCACTTTATATCTCGAAGGTCACAGAGAAAGTCAAAAAGACTAACCCCAAGAAAATCGAAGAGATGCCTGTGGATTTCCCCGGTGAATTGTCAGAACGTGGCCCTCGTCACGATAACGATCACGCTGCTATACCACGTATTCGTATCTTACCAACAATCTCTGAAATCCTCAGTGATGCTCGAGCTGAGTTCCTTCCTTCGCAGGGCTCCCTTGACCCTTCTTCACACCATGAAAGAGGCGTTTGCAGGTTGATAGACACCCACTTCCGCCTCCTAAGGGAGGACACGTCCGGTGTGGTCCGTGATGCTTTGCGCTTGATAATTCACAACTGGGACTTTCTGGCACACAGCTCAGATTGGAAACTCAAACATAAATTTCTTCGTCAATACAGTCCAACGCCACTACGAATCTTCTCGGGCGTCCAGATGCGACAGATTAATGCGGATCAAAAGAAAGGTATCGAGATAGACCTCGAGTTCGATCAACTCCATCGGCTGAAGAATATGTCTGCACTCAGGCGTAAGCAATGGTGGCTTGATACTCGAACATTGAGGGGCGGTCCCTTGCTGGCTCTGCTAGACGCAGAAGACCTTGACAATGCATATGCAATGTTCTTTCTGGTTTCAAAAAGAGAGGTCAACCACATTGAGAAGAAGCGGAATGCGTCACCTACTCCAATCAGTGACGTAGTCAGCGACGCCGAGCGAGCCATGATCACGCTCCGGTTAGCAGATTCAGCATACGAATCGGACGCGAATAGACTCCTCTCCATGATGCGGGAGAAACCGGCGAGACCACTCATACTTATAGAGTTCCCAGCAGTGCCATACAACTCTTTTGAAGGGATCCTACGCTGCCTCCAATCCTTGCATAAAAGTCCATGGCGCGTTCCTTTTGCTACGTGGTTGGCTCCGAGTGGAGTTAGCGATGAGCTCATCGAGGCTTTAACGACGAGTTGCACGAAGAACATTAATGTGCCACCCCCGGTATATCTACAAGGTCGCGTTGTTAATCTCTCTTCGCTCCCCCGACGAAACCTCGACAACGGGGACCCTGCAATCCCGATACTCATGTCACCTTTTGAAGATAATCACTCGATCACCGCCAGACTATCACAAGAGACCATTCTAGACGAAGGTCAAGCAGCTGCAATGGTGTCGGCCCTACGGTGCAAGCTTGCACTGATCCAAGGTCCTCCGGGAACCGGAAAGTCGTATGTGGGTCTACAAATTGCAAGGTGCTTATTGGACAACCAGGAGTCCTTGCAACTTGGTCCAATTCTCTGCGTGTAAGTACATTTGCTTTTCGGGATATAGGAGAGCTGAGACTATCGGCCTCGCCCACTGTCGGCTATTGCGACCCTCAACTTTTTAACTCAAGTTGGAAATTGAAAATCCCAAGATATATATGCTAATGCCTTGCAGCTGCTACACTGCTCATGCACTGGATCAGTTCCTTGACGGCCTTGTTAAATCAGGAATCTCAAATATCGTAAGGATTGGCCCTCCGAGTGCATCTTCGCATATAGAGGCGCTCTCGCTCGACGCAAGGAAGAGGGAGCCAGGGCCGCGGGTGGGGGGGGTAAACAGGATTAAAGATGAGTCGCGAGGCGCTCTGCTAACATTAACGTCCAAGATTAAGTGCCTCCTCGAGACGGCGGGAAGAGACATCAACAGCCTCATCATGGGCTTTTTGAGGAAGAAATTCCCCTCCCAGGCGAGCATGATCAATCTGGGTCCATGCGAGAAAGACGGTGAAGCCATGCAGGAATGGGCATCTGGCGATGTACCTAGGTGGAATGAAGATGGTACTGCTGAGCGCTCCATTGAGGAGCTTCTCAAGTCCGACATGGACCTCTGGACGCTTCATAACGCAGAGCGCGCCCGTATTTTACAATACTGGCAAGATACAGCTTGGACTGAGCTTTCAGTGGGTCTGTCTCGTCTTCTGAAGTTCCACCATGAGGAAAAGAGAAAGCACACATCGGCTTTTGGCTTGCTGGACTTGCAACGACTCAATAGCTCCCAGGTGGTAGGGATAACAACCACCCAGCTGGCTAATAACGCGGACTTGCTTCGCAATATTAACTCGAAGGTGCTCATATGTGAAGAAGCAGGCGAGGTTTTAGAATCACATGTTATCACTGCCCTCCTGCCTTCCGTCCAGCACGCCATATTAATCGGGGACCATCTGCAACTACGTCCGCGGATTTCTAACATTCGGTTGTCAAAGGCATGCGACGAAACGAACTTCAACCTTGATGAGTCACTCTTCGAGAGGCTTGCCACATATCGCTTTGGAGACCTGAACGCTGAGGAACAAGGCTTTGGCTTCCCTGTAGCACAGCTGAGTCATCAGCGGCGAATGCATTCCGTTGTCTCCGATCTCGTCCGCGATACCTTTTACCCCAATCTCAAAGATCATCCAGTTACGGCTGCATATCCCCCCATATCTGGACTCAAGCGCAGGTTGTTCTGGCTCGATCATCGAAACATCGAAGATCCCACCGATCCGGCAGACCCAATGCAAAGTAAGACCAATGCGTGGGAGGCTGGGATGGTAGTCGCGCTGGTGAGACATCTCACTCGACAGGGAAAGTATGGGCCCGGAGAGATTGCTGTCTTGACACCGTACGTCGGGCAGCTGAGGATGCTGGAAGATATCCTTGGCAGAGAAATGGCACTTATCATCAGTGAAACAGATAAAGATGACCTCGATGAGGAGGATGTCGAAGCACCTGTAAGCATTCCTACTGGGCCGAGCAGAAGTAGAAATCTGCAAGGCAATGTGCATAAGGGGAGTTTACTGGACGTTATCAGGCTCTCCACGGTGGATAACTTTCAGGTAAGGTCAGCTTCATCGGATCAGGCAGAGAGCTCACATCACTAGGGCGAGGAGGCAACAGTCGTCGTTGTATCTCTCGTGCGAAGTAACCGCTACCGCAATTGTGGGTTCCTCGACCTGCCCAACAGGATTAACGTGCTCCTCAGGTAAGTGAGCCATCACTCAGTTCTCGATACGCGCTAACGGTCAACTAAAGCCGTGCTAAACATGGCATGTACATAATCGGCGATGCCAATACCGCATCCACGGCGCCGATGTGGTCATCTGTTATCGGTATATTGGAGCGGGATGCAAACATTGGACCGAAGCTGGAACTACATTGCAGTCGTCACCCAGGGATACAGTCCTACATATCCCAACCGGACGACTTTGCTGTCTATGCACCGGAAGGAGGCTGTGCAGATAAATGTGAGCTGAGACTGGCGTGCGGACACCGGTGTCCGGTGAAATGCCATTCGGAGAAACTGCACAAAGCGGTCAAGTGCATGGAGCCATGTACGAGGGTGAAGGGGTGTGGCCATGCATGTCCAAAGAAATGTCATGAGCGATGTGGCGATTGCCAAGAGACGGTGCTTAATGTTCTGCTCCCCTGTGGGCACAGAGCTCAGAGGGTGGAGTGTCGAATGATGGGCAACCTTAAAAATATCCGGTGTGTGGAACAACTCGTCCGCACCATATCTGGGTGCAGTCATCGGCTCAAGGTACGCTGCTTCGAGAATGCAAGCTCCATGAAATGTTTCCACTTGTGTGGCAATGTTCTACCATGTGGGCACAACTGTCGAAAGCCCTGTTGGCAGTGCAGATCTACTATGGCAGGGAAGTCTACCATCGATCATGGTGTCTGTCACAATCCCTGCGGTCGACCATTTACAACTTGTGCCCACGTCTGCAACCAGCCATGCCATCAGGGCACGGCATGCGCCCCGTGCGATCGAACCTGCGAGGTGCGATGCAAACACAGTCGTTGTGCAAAGAACTGTAGCGAGCCATGTGCTCCATGCGCAGAGCCGTGTGGATGGGGCTGTGATCACCGCAAGAAATGCGCATTGCCGTGTGCCGTCCCCTGCAGTAAAGTCCCATGCAACCTTCGATGCAAGAAGAAGCTGTGGCGCTGTGGTCACCGATGCCCGGGGATGTGCGGCGAGCCGTGTCCGGACTCTGCGTACTGTCGACTTTGCTGCAACCAGGGCGTTCTCACCCGGAACGTTGATCTTTTGGAGTTCAAGGCCTACAAGGACATCAACATTGACCAAGACCCGTTAATATTCCTGTCGTGTGGCCATTTTTACACCTCGACTTCTCTTGACGGCGTCATGAGCATGTCAGAATACTATGATATGGATCAGTTGACGGGCATAATTATCAGGCCGAAGGTTTCTTACCGAGCGATGAGTTCTGGAGACGTTAAGGGATGTCCAGAGTGCCGGATGCCTCTCCGGAACATCAACCGCTACAATCGCATCATCAAGAAAGGCCTGCTGGACGAAGCCACAAAGCGATTCGTTTCGCATACAAACTCCATCTACGCAGGTCTGATGGAGGCTATTCGGAAGCGAGAGACAGATATCGAGAAAGAGCGCGTCCAGTTCATGTCCAACTGGCCACTGGATGATCTCGGGTCGAAAGGCCCCGACCAGGTGCAACGCTCAATTGAAGCCTATCGGGCAAAGGGAAACAGGCTTCAGAGACAAATTAAGGAATTCACCAAGTCGGTTGGACGAGAGGAGCAGCCCTTCGGGCGAGTAAACAACATGCTCGCGGCGGCGGCGGCACGAGACCAATCGATCGTAACGACCTCATTCCCATTTGACGAATCCATCATCCAGACGGGGTTCGAGTCTCGCGGAGAGATCCTGGGTCTACGACTCACCTGGGCCCTATTCTGGGATCTGGATGCGATCTACACCCGGAAGGACACCGACCCGCGAATCAGAGCGACATTAGTGCAGGTGGTGGCCAGCCAACTTGAGCGCATTCTGAAGAGATGCCACGAGTTAGCCGAGGCCAGTCAAACCGCGAGATTCCCACAGCAGGAAGTCGAGTCCCGAATCTACCATGTTCTCTTCACGATGCTCTCACTGAGCAACAGCGACGCACAGGGAAAAGTCGTCGACATTCCCACGCAGACCGCCATCCGCGACAAGGCACGCGAGGAACTCAAGGCCTGCGAGGAAATATGTCTCCGCCATCGCCGCATCCTCTCATCCCTGCACGAGGACATCGAGAAGGCAAAGACCCTCGTCAACGGGGGCATGTTCTACAGCTTCGTGAGCACCGATGAAAAGCGCCAGGTCTACCGCGCTATGGAGCAGCAATTTGCCGGCACGGGCCATTGGTACTACTGCGAGAATAACCATCCAGTAAGCCTCCCCCACCTTCCCCCCTCCCATGACTGCCTGTAGTCTGTGACGGTAAACGGTAATTAAACTAAGGCAATCCAGTTCACGGTTGGCGAGTGCGGCATGCCGATGGAGCAAGCAAGATGCCCGCAATGTGAGGCGCCAGTCGGAGGACTCAATCACGAACTCGCGCCCGGCATGCGTAGAGCAGATGATATTGATGTGGAGTTTGGGGGTACGAGCAGGAACTGAACAGGACTGGAGTGAGTGGAGGTGGATGTGGATGTGGCTGTGGCTGTGAGGTGGAGGGGGGGTGGAGATGACAGAGGGGATATTGGTCAATAAATGGAATGGGATGGGTGTACGATAGTGGATTATTTGGCCATTTAGATGGCTACGGCGGAATACTGGTACTACTGGGAACTGGGGGTAGGTAGGGAATCAGGGAATCAGGGAGTTAGGGAATGGAACTGGATGTCGCTTTCTGGTTGGGTTAGGTGAGAGGAGATTGTAGCTGTAGCTGGTTTTGTGCCGAGGGGAGTTGAGTATGAGCGGTAGAGGTACTGGAGATGTATCAGGGATGTAGGTAGGTAAGGTATGTCCCTCGGTGACAGCGACAGCGACAGTGACAGAAAGTGACAGAAAGTGACATACAGTAACAGCAACAGCAACAGCAACGTGGATATCCCCTCTCCCACCCGCCCAATTCAAAGCACACACACAGACGCAGTCTGCAATGCGGCATTTTCTACACGCATCCACCTATGCATCGATCCATCCACGTCACGCAAGTCATGGTCTTGTCCCTGCCTGCCATACAGGGAGCAGCTAATGTCGTGGGAATCTTGTCTCGCAGGTCCCTGTCTACCTACCTACAACCTATATCCCAGTCGCACCTACAGAACAAAACCCCCAGACATTATCCAGTATAAACTCCCGTCCGCATCCCGTTCCTGTGCCAAGAAACGTTGTGCAAACATCCAGCCTTATCAGGCGAAGGACGGCGATGGTGTAGGGCGGGAAAACAAGGGAAGGGAAGGTGTTTGTGTAACCATCTCATCCGGATCCGGGATCTATATGATCCAGGATCTTATCCATTTCATGATCCATGCGACTCGTCTCACCAGTAGTATGAGTGCTATGCTGAGGTGAAGGTGATGTGAGTGGGTGGGAAGGTAACGAGGGAAGGGGAGCTTAGTAGATACCAGTATGCAAGTGCAACGTGTCCGGCATCGAGCCCTCCTGTAGGTATCTATCTGTACCCCCTCCCCACTTCGACCTGTTCTCCTCCTTTTTTCCCTGTAAAGTGTACATGGGTAGGTAAGCAGGTAGATAGGTGGTGCTGTGCGACCGACCTGATCAGCATACCACGTCGACAGGGAGTGGGGCAGGGGGCATACATGTTCGGAAGGATGGTGTCTTTCTCATAGGTTGGGTTGGTTGTAATAGTCCCTAATCCCGGGTAGATATGCGTGCGTGGGGCTGGACGGGGAGGGGAGGGAGAAAATGTGGGTTTCACGCTCGGACGGGCGGGCGGGCGGGTCGTGTTGGTCTGTGTGGTGGGGTTGGAGAGTGCAGGGCTGGGATGATTTCTAGCTCGGTAGCTACTAGTAGGTAGCTAGCTATACCCGTCTCTTTCTATATTCCGGCTTGCTAGTTTGGTGGTTCGAACGGGGAGAATTATCCAGGATGGATTGAAGTTCAAATTAAGTTATTTTCTTTCCTTTTTGAAGCTTGGTTCATCTACCGACTATCTAATTAGCTCAGGGATAAAGAAAGTGGATGGGTAGCTAGAGGATACAGACAGAGTGAGGGGTCGAAGCTGCACCTGCATCTGCATCTGCATCTGTAGGAGATAGGCAGATGCATTTACAGTTGAATTCGCATTTGCATTTGGGCATTTCTACATGCAGCAGCAGGTGTCTGTCTGTCTATCTGTCAGTTGGTGACAGCGAGAGCAAATTGAACATCAAAGAAACTACCCCGCAGTCAACATCCATCACATCCATCGCATCACATCGCGTCCATCCAGCCCTCCAGCCCTCCAGCCCTCCAGCCCTCCAGCCCTCCAGTCCAGTCCTACCTCCTCTTCCTCCCTACCGACCTCTCTCCAGCAACTCAATCAAACACCGCTCAGATCCGACAAAGAAACTGCACGATGCATGCCCCTGTACGTCCTCATGCCCAACCCACTCCCTCTCTCCCTCTCTGTATGTACGTGTCACCCAACACCTGCATCAAGAACCGGATTTCAAACGCAGTTGCAGATACACATGGACATGGACATGGATATGGAGGGGAAGATAGAAGGAGGGGAAGAGAAGAGGAGGGGTAAAGCGTCTATCATGAAGACATAAAAGCTGCGTGGATTCCCGGGTTGAACGAGACTTCTTTCCAGCAGCAACAGCAGCAACAGCAAAGATCTAGTCAACCATCCATTCACCAACACAACCAACCCCAACTTCAAGATGCCTCAGGACGCTAAGGTACATCACTCTTCCCATCCTGGCTTCTAGTAGCAGAATGCAGAAACAGAGCGATGGTGGCTAATATGATAAATGATGATACAGAACGCTTTCTACTCCGCCGAGTACCTCCGTACTCTGAAGACCAAGTACGAGCAGGCCGTGAGTTTCCCTCCCTAGAACCGAAAGCCAAGGCGATACTAACAGTTAAAAAAACAGACCTCCGATCCCTGCCGCGGCCTCACCCTCGACGACGCCATGAAGCACATCGCCCTGACCGGCCGCAAGAACTTCTCCCGTGAGGACGTGATGAAGTTCGACGACAACCACGACGACAACATCAACTTCGCTGGTCAGACTCTCCCCAACTCCCCTCCTCCATCCTCCATCCTCCATCCCTCTTCCCTCATTCAGACTTGTAACTTTCTTCTTATGAACGTGTCTAACGCTTCTGGCGCTGGTAGAATACCTCAACATGATGCTCGCCAACGACGAGGAGATGAAGTTCCAGGCTGCCAAGTTCATGCCCTAGATGCACTCGCTGGGAAACTGCAATTGGGAGGACTGGGACTGGTCGTATATAGGCCTGGTATGAATGAATGTTTATGACTATATACTCTTCTCTGCGTAGGAGAGCGTAGAGGGGAGGCGTAGAGGGGAGGGGGTGTAGACTCGGCGGTCCAAGTTGTAAGCTCGAATGACTGTAGTGAGAGTCCAGTCGTACCCGACGCGCTCAACACTACCGGCCTACTTGCATTGCTCTTCGCCGGCAACCGATCTGGCGGGGCTGCTGCCTCCTTCCTAATTTGGTGGGTTGGCGCGAGTATAAACCCCCCCCCCTCTTTTTCGCTCACCTTCGCCCGTCCCTCCGCTTTCTTCTTCTGCCCATCCCCGTTCGACTCGGGCTTTGCTGAGACACAGATGTGGTCGAGTGGCCATCTACATTCTACATTCCCAAAATTAGATCTCGCGATCTGGCAAACATGGCTGTGTGACTTTGTTAGACTGGTGCTTCGGTAAACTCGTTCAGTATACCAAGTTGAATTCGGGGTCAAATGTTGTTCGCCAAGGTCTTTTACTCTTGTGGTGGCGCTGAAAATGTTCGCAAACAACCTAACGTTGCGCAGACTTGCTGTTCCGCTAACGACGGCCTGGTACAGTATATATTGCCTTTTCTTAGGGCAGTGGCTCCAGACTTTCGGTCGAAGGAGTGCAGTGGACAGTGGCAGGTCCTACTGGTCAACGAGTAGTTGGGAGGTATACAGAGAATTATGCACATGCGCACCCTTTCGCAATGATGCTTGCGTTGATAGCCTGTCGAGGCTTCGATCATGTAGATCTCCGAATACATAACACAGCAATTACCAAGTTGCTGCTGGCCATCAACATGCAAGCGAGACTACTTGACGTATAAATTGTTATGCCCAGTGGGGGCATCATCCTGTCGTTCTATTCGTTAGAGCCCAAGTGTCGTCTTCCGCGGCATGCATTCCAAGATACCATACCATAGTCCTAACAATACCCGAAAGACGCCCTGGGCCGCCACTTTGTGTCCACGGAATACGCGTAGCGATGGCCAGACAGCCATCGTCATTCAGCCGTTCAAGGGACACAGGCTCAGTATTTGTAAGTATATACCCATGCCGGGCGCCATGCTGGCTCCCATAGAATATTGACTTGAGCCAGAGCCTGCTTGTACTCCCGTCTGTCCGTGATGTCACGAGAAAACTGCATCGATGAGGACCATTTCCATGGACCTCTCAGGTCTCGCGGCGCTCTGTTGGCGCTGTAGTGAGGCTCGCACCAGGCACTACGAACGCAGCATCAGGCCTGAAACGAGCTGTTCCATTCTCGCGATAGCATCTACTCCTACTCCTTCATCCTGGTCTCAACCACTTGGATGTTTGTAGAAGTAATGGTCCTCTCCATCCTACGATGATCCGGCCCGGTTGCCTGCCGTCGTCAGAGGGGTAGATAAGGTGAGAGGTATACAAGATTCGTGTAGAGGATGAACTTGCATGTTCTGAAGGGTTTTGGGGCCATTCTCGTCGCCGGGGATGACTTTCAACAGTATCAAGCGGTGGTCGTAAGGAAAGCCACCCGTGGTGAGGTTGGCGGTGGTCAGAGGGACCCCGTGGAGGAACTTGATGGGATATATAGACGTAGAGCTGGTTAGTGGTCAAAAGACAAAAAACTAGAATTTGCCGTTTCTACTATCTACCTAATAGAGCTAGCTACTCTAGTGACGGATTTTCCAAACACCCCGATAAGTTACAATGCTGGTGATTGTTTTCCATTCCCCTGGTGAACAGTTCACGCCTCCCACTCAAGCATACTGACAACCTTGTCTGTGAACTCCCCCTTTCCCCATTTCAATATTGCCTGGATACGTCTTGACAAGGCCACGCAGTTCCATGTCACTGCATTCCTGTAGGCACTGAGGCGAGCCATCAAGACTTTGGGGGACTTGCCATCTGACTTGCCGTCCGGAAAGTAATCAGTGTGCACCCACAATTCGTGGACTGACCCCTCAGTGACGATCGAGAAAACCACATCCAATGTAAATTCTGACTGTTTATGGTCACTGCCTTGGGTGTGTTTCGGCCCATTGAACTCACGCAGACCCTTCAGCATGCGGAGCGCGATCGCGCCACTAACGGCAGCTTTGTTCTGGGCCTGATGTAGATTTTCCCCCTCTTCAACAATGAGGAATGGAAATCGAGGGCCATAGAGATTGCCCCGCGGGTTGCTAATTAAAGTCAAGTCTTCTTGCAAGGTCGATAGGAAGGCCATGGGAACGTAAATACCAGTGGTCGTCTCCATAGCATGTGCGAGGAATTCGTCTGATAGCCCGACACTTATTTGGGGTCGAGCGTCATCCAGGTGTTCCGTCCCAGGCGGCTTCAGACTTGGAATCCAGCCTTGTATAAAGTCAGCATCGCTTTAGGGCCGGATTGCAAGACGCATACCTCCTTGATAATCGACACGGAGTCCTGAAGTGTCGAGGCATTTAAGTGCGGACAACAAAGTGCTCTCCGATTCGGGCTCCCCAATCGCGCCAAGGGCATTCTCCTCAGAACCCTTCTTGAGCTTATCTGCAGCATCCTTGGCGTGCCTAATATCACGGGCACCGTTTGGCAAGGTAAAAATGTGCACATTCACATAGTCTCCGATAACTTTTGGCATCTTCTCCTCGAAGTAAATATTTGCCAACAGTAACTTTCGGCCGCAGTACTCGACGTCGCTGCTCCCTTCTGAACTTTTGGCCCGCGCCTTTTGGGTATCGCTGCTATTATCGGAAAGCGGAGATGTTTTTTTCTTTGATTTTCTGTTCCTTACTAGACTGTTGGCCCGCGGCTGCTGGGTATCACCGATGTTATCGGAGAGCTGAGAAGTTCCCTGCTCTGATTTTCTGTCCCCTTCTGGACTGTCAGCCCGTGGCTGCTGGGTATCACCGATCTTATCGGATAGCTGAGAAGTTCCCTGCTCGAATTCTTTGTCCCCTTCTGGACTATCGGCCCGCGGCTGCTGCGTATCACTGATGGTATCGGATGTTCTCTGATCCAATACCGTGACGGGTTCGCAGAGGAGCCAGGTCTTCTGTTCGTCAGCTTTCTACATCATACTCATCAGACAGGCGGGTATGGAAACGACCTTTTGCTTGTTCGGTCTTGGGGGAGGCTCCATTTTTGAGTGTTTGGGACGGAGAGGGTCTTGGGGCAGGAAATTCTGGAGTCGAATTGAAGTGGTATAAACTGAAGAGGTAGAGATTGAAGTGGTAAAAGATGAAGTGGTAAAAGCTGAAGTGGTAAAAGCTGAAGTGGTAAAAGCTGAAGTGGTAAAAGCTGAAGTTGTAGAGACTGAAATGGTAGATACTCAAGTGGTAGGAAAATGAAATGGGAGAAACTGGAGTGGTAGAAACTGAAGCGATAGACGTAATTGGAGTGGTGGAAGGAGCTGTAGTGATGGAAAGAGCTGCATTGATGGAAGGAGCGAGTAGCACTAAATCAACAATGAAGCGAGCTGGAGTGATGGAAGGATATTGCTAGACCTATGTAAGCCGTCGTCCACCACACAATCCATAGGCAGAGAATCTGTTATGAATCAATGATAGCCAGATCAAGCCATGACAGAGAACTTCATGTATACATTCGCTGTCTTTCAACCCTCAAAAGGTTTATGTATACTTGAGATCATCCTTCCGATCACCCTCCTCATAACTGATCATCTGCCGGCGTGCTAGCCTGGCCAGTTTCCAAGTCCGCTCATCAAGCCTCTATTCTGGAGAAATAGAGACAATACGATTCTTCCACTGCCTCCAACGCTCCAAACTCCACATCCATCTCAGATAATCAACTTTGTCCATCTTTCAGCATTGCTGATAAACATAACGTCCCTGCTCTGACAACAGGATCCAATGCACGCCCGCAACAAGATCGCTGGCGATCTGTTTAGGCACACGAATTCCCAGCCTGTCTGAGGGTAAAATGCATGTCAGAGAGCTGAGAAAACCGCAGTTGATCAAAACCGGGATGGCTATCCGTGCAATCGCACACTGGGAGTTGCGCCAGCGGAGCTATATTTCACTGCCAGGCGGCTCAATGTCAGGACCAGGTCATGAATTCTCTACCCGTGTTATATCTTGCTTGGATATCTTCATCAGGATCAAGCAGGAAATTAGACCCCGCAGCTAGAACGTTGCCGAGAGACCCTTTTAATCAAGGGGATGTATCTTTGTTATCTGACAGTCTGTCAGGTTTTCGAGGATAGGGGCATTCCTTATGAGCTTCATGTCATGCATTAGCTTCATAACCCCATGCCTGTGGTGCTTTTGTAGGTGTGAGTTCTCCTTATACTAAGGCTACCAGCTTCCGTTCGTAAAATATGCCTTCTCTGTCTTCTTCTTCATCATCGTCTGTAAATAGCTTGTGATATGGGGAAGGGTTCTATATTTTCGAAAGACATTGTGGGGTATTGTTGTACTATGGTAGAGCTTGTGTGCCACAACCTGAACCATAATAGGAAGGATGCCGACAAGCAATCGCTAGGCCGCTCCGACGCGGAATCAAACCCACGCTGATCTACCAATGTTGATCAATATTATCGGGATCAACACGCAGGTGGTTGACAGACCTCAGCTATGCAGGTGGAACAGGCGAGAAGAAACGAGATATGCGACTATTTGCTAGCTGGATATTTATGGCTGAGGAGGAAGAAACAGGCAGACCGTGCGGTCGCTAGTACGTGACCAGGGAAAGGCTCTCCTGCGTCAGGCGCTTAACCCAAATAGGCCAGCGGTCCACCGGTCCATCTGGATAGGAGCGATTTGGAGATAGAAGTTATTCCCTTCCACTTGACTTCCTTTAACCAGAATACTGACCAGATATCATGATATTGGGGTGTTGGACTTGACCCAGGAAGGGATGAAGACATAGTCCGATCTGACAAGTGTGTAATACATACGGAGTACTCTCCGGCAATGGACTTGTGGAAGTAACTGAAACAACTCGTCTCAGAATCGAACTGATGAAGCCAATAAAGCTGGTGAACCTTTGTGTACGGATAATGGTGTTGAAACATAGGGTAGGTGAGATGACAGCACAGGGGACAGCAACAGGCGTGATCTGATTACATAGCATGGCGTTCGGCAAGAACAGTAGATTTGATTCATGGAACTTATTATTAAATGCATGCAAACTTCACCTGACAGGACTGTCGGACTCCTTCTAAATAGCAGGCATGACATTGAACAGGCTGTGAACATTGCCCCTGCCTGTTACACCACCCTCTCTTATTTCATCCTCCGTCATGCAAATGATGCAGTGGTCAACCCGTATGCAATTGAGTCAAGTTGCGCTTCCTCTTCAGGGTACCGTGCAATACGGGATAGTACCTATATTACGTGGAGACCTGATCAAGGGTCAGAAACCTTACCCGTAAGGCATCCAACTTTCTGACCCTTCCGCAACTTTTTCTGAACCCGCCGCAACTGGGACCCCCAACTGGGACCCCACCCGCACGCCATTATTCTGCTTGCTAACCCCACGCCTCCTCCGCTAACCCCACATCCTGGGTGTACCACCGGCAAAATCACCGCCGACCGCCTCTCCCCCGATCTCCGCTTTCTGAATGTATATTCAGGCCAGATATATCATCGCAAACAGATTGCAGATCGCTGGCTGCTTTCTTCGAATCCGACTCCGCCTTCCATCCACCAACTTGAACGAAATGGCCTTCTCATAAATCAGATCTCTCTCTCACTTTGATGTCCACTGTCACCCATAACCAGTATGCAATTCGCTTTACACCCAACATTCCAGCTACCACGGTGTCGGGTGGTGAAACAGCTCCCCCTCACCACGCGTCCGGGATTTAATGGCGACACCGGCATCTCCGATAGATCGCTCGGGACGCCTGATCTTCAAAGCGGAGGCTGAATGCGGTACTACTGCCCAAATCTCACTGCGTTTGACAGATGGTGGCTTACACGTCTCGGCTGAATTAGAAATCTGCGGTCACTGGACGATGAGATACGAGACTTTTCGACACCACTGGAACGTTCTTACTACCTCTGGAGACCTGAGCGTGAAGACTCATCCGTATCCCTTCTTACTCATCGTTCGTATCGGATGCGTTGTCGATCTCGTCTTCTGCCTGGCTTGTGATAGGACGATGGTAATCCACGTAGTGTGACCTCAGTAAAGCTCCTGCATGCAGATCTTGGCGCCGGTGACCATTCGTCGTGCACAGGAGGTTTCTCTGACAAACTTCGGGAGGAACCACGGTCTGTCGTCTTGGGAGCTGGCGATGATGGCGAGGCTGAAGCTGTCGGCATTTCTAATCAGAGCCGCCAGAAATGATGGATCAACCGGAGATAAGCCTATGCCAGCCAATCAGGGGCCCGCTAGCCGGAGCTGGCCTTAAATCCGGCGTCAGGCCGGCAGCTTTGACTAATGCGGCCGTTGGCCAGATACAATGGCATCAACCGTGAAGGGCTGTCTGGTCGATTAGAAATTCTGGGCATTCTCGGCCTTCTTCGGGTTTCCTTTTGCTGATCACTAATTGTACTTCTTCTTCGGTATAAAGTATCGGCGACATGTCAGCTCTTGCGACTGTCGACCATTCTTCAATCTATCAACTCCACCATCCTGCCTCTTACGGCCTTTGTTTCGATGGAAAACCTCCTCCGTGATGCCCCGGTCGGGCAGTTGCTTCGTCTGTTGACACGAAATCGGGTTTTCCAGTACCCTGAAGAGCGGTCTGACTTTACTCTGCCGGTCGAGTACACAGTGGCTTTAGCAAACCACAAACCCAAGCCACACTCATCCGCTAACAGTACCCTGGTGCCTCGAGATATTGAATCATCCAGTGCCCTGGATGACCTGGAAAAGGCTACACCTGAAGAAGATCTGGCAATCAGGAAAGAGACCTCTATTGCCCCCAAAGAAGATAAGCATGGCCACATCCTCGTGGATTGGTACACGACGGATGATGCAGCAAACCCTCAGAACTGGACCCAGACCAAAAAGGCTTTCGTTTCGTTCATCATTTTCATCTACACCTTCATTGTCTATACTGGCTCGGCGATCTACACGTCCTCTGAGGAAGGTGTCACCACTGCCTTTGGGGTTTCGATCACGACTGCCTCTTTAGGCCTGTCTCTATACGTGCTGGGATATGGCGTTGGTCCTCTTGTGTTCTCACCGCTGTCCGAAATCCCCTCGATTGGTCGGTCACCAGTGTACTCCATAACCATGTTCCTCTTTGTTATCATCTCCATCCCTCTACCGTTGGTGAACAACCTTGGTGGTCTTCTTGTTCTGCGATTCCTCCAAGGGTTTTTTGGTAGCCCCTGCCTGGCAACCGGCGGTGCCACCATGCAAGATATGTACTCGCTTCTCTACCTCCCATATGCTCTCAGTGTGTGGGTGATAGCGGCATATTGCGGGCCTGCTCTTGGCCCCCTCATCTCTGGTTTTGCAGTGTCGAACATGGGCTGGCGGTGGTCACTGTGGGAGATCTTGTGGGGCGCTGGACCAGTCTTCATCGTGATGTTCCTCCTGCTCCCGGAGACTGCAGCTCCTACCATCCTCCACCACCGTGCCCATCGTCTTCGGAAGCGAGTTGGGACTGATCGCTTCCTGTCTCAATCGGAAATTGACCAGAAGGAGCTCAAGCCTCTCGCCATTGCCATCGCAGCCATAATCAAGCCAATCGAGATCACAATCAAGGACCCCGCAGTCCTGTTCGTGCAAGTATACACAGCGATCGTCTACGGGATCTACTACTCTGTATGCCAATCCCGCCTCTACCATTTCACCGTAACTAACCCTCCCAGTTCTTCGAAGTCTTTGACCTCGTCTACCCCCCGATGTACGGCTTCACGCTCGGCACAATCGGCCTCGTCTTCCTCTGCATTCTGGTAGCATGCTTTCTTGCCGTCCTGTCCTACTTCGCCTACCTGAGCTACTACCTCATCCCGCGTCTCCTAAAAGGCCAATCCACCTCCCAGGAAAGCCGTCTCGTCCCAGCTCTAATCGCCTGCTTCGGACCCCCAATCGGGCTATTCCTCTTCGGCTGGACTGCAAGGCCATCAATCCACTGGATCGTGCCCACGATCGGCATCACTATCTATGCTGGCTCGGCCTTCGTGGTCCTGCAGTGTGTGTTCGTGTATGTCCCCATGTCGTACCCGATGTACGCTGCGTCACTATTTGCTGCGAACGACTTCTTCCGGTCTGCGATGGCCTGTGGGTCTGTTTTGTACGCGAGGCCCATGTTCAATAACCTGGGTATTGGGAAGGGGATCAGTCTGCTGGGTGGACTGAGTGTCATTGGCGTTATTGGCATCTTCGTGCTGTATTGGTATGGATCGGTCCTGAGAGCGAAGTCAAAGTTTGCTATTTCCTAGTGGACGATGACTTGAATTGGAACGGCGGTAGAAGGGTGGCCCCTGAGACAAAGGATTTGGGGTTTGAAAACGAGTCATGTTTACATGAATTAATATTTAATACCTGTCATGTCGACAACATATGGGCCTGGATGTTGGTCCTGATTGTCTCATATTTGTTTGAAAATCCTCTCAACAGAAAAGCACTTTATGATTTAGAATGGAATTGAATTCTAGGAACATGTCAAAGCTGCCTAACCTGACATTGGCGGCTTGGCCACTGCTTATATTCACAAGCTACAGCATCCACATGAAGAAATCTATCTAACCGACCCAACCAAATGCTGTTTCAGCCAACTGTCTTCACCGGCATTTAACTTCCACTACCGCACACTACCGTTTATCGCTCCTCGGAACAAATCTAGGGTCCAACCCGGATGATGTCAATGTTTCAAGCCCTAACATGAGCTGAAACACGGCTCCCATCCCTTGACGATCATCAATATCACGAATATCCTCACATTCTTACAGGCAGTACACACCCGCACACCTCCCTTGCAGAACAAACAGTTACACTGCCTCATGCGGCTACCCTTGAATCTGCTGATCCTGATGAGCCCCACTATATCTCCACCCCATCGATCATTCACTTCCTGTCCATCGCAGCAGCGCACGGAAATTTCTTTTAAACGAGAGCTCCATGCAAATATTCCGAATCCTTTCTTCGGCCTGATACTCCCGTTTCCCATTCCACGCCGCAGACAGTGACAAGTTTGGCAACTAGGATGCGGTTCTTGTTTCTGTGCAGCATGCTGCTGCTGGGGACTGTCAAAGCGCAGTTTCCCTATCTTAATAATAAGACTCGCGGTATTTACTCCTCACTGTTGTTTTGTTTTCTGTTCCTGGACGCCATTAACATCACATATCCAGACTTCTTGGTCAATGGCAGCGCGATTCCCAACGTCACCTGGGACATCGGCGAGTCCTATGCGGGCTACCTAGCCAAAGACGTCGTCGAGTCCACGAGTCTATACTTCTGGTTCTTCCCGTCGTCCAACCCCAAAGCATCCGATGAGGTAAGGATCTAATCACCCTGCAAAATGAAACCCCGTTGACCAGCAGATCACCATCTGGCTGAACGGCGGCCCCGGCTGTAGCTCGCTGATGGGCCTCATGCTCGAAAACGGCCCCTTCCTTTGGCAACCCGGCACGTATCAGCCCGTCCCCAACCCGTTCTCGTGGACCAACCTCACCAACGTGATATACGTGGATCAGCCGGGTGGAACGGGGTTCTCGCTCGGTCCGTCCAGTGTTGTGTCTGAGTTCGACGTGGCGCGACAGTTCATGAGCTTCTGGAGACGATTCATCAAGACGTTTGATTTGCAGGGCCGGAAGATCTATCTCACGGGGGAGAGCTACGCGGGGCAGTACATCCCGTATATTGCATCGGCGATGCTGGATAAGAAGGATGAGACGTATTTCAATGTTGCGGGGGTGCAGATCAATGATCCATATATCAACGAGATGAATATTCTCCGAGACGGTATCCCCCTTCCCCCTTCTCCCCAACTCCCTAACCACTTCAACCCCTCATCTCACTAACCCTCCCTTTAGTCCCCGCCCTCGCCGCAGTCAACCACCACACCTCCCTCTTCCCCTTCAACAACACCTTCAAAACCGCCCTCACCACCCTGGCCGACGACTGCGGCTACACCTCCCTCCTGCACGCCTCCCTCCAATACCCGCAAAACGCGCGTCTCCCGCCCGTCCCGACGGACCCAGGCTGCTCCATCCACACACTGGTCACCACCGCCATCAGCGAAATAAACCCCTGCTTCAACCCGTACCACATCCTCTCCTCATGCCCAACCCCCTGGAACCCCGTGGGCGGGCCCATCGTCGGCGCCGGCCCCACAAACTACTTCAACCGCAGCGACGTGCAAAAAGCCATCAACGCCTACCCGACCGACTTCTTCGTCTGCAAGACAGGCATCTTCCCCACGCCGAACGGGCTGGACACATCCCCGCCTAGCTCGCTGGGTCCGCTGGCCAGCGTTATCGAGAGGACGAATAATACGATCATCGCGCACGGGTCGTTGGATTTCGAGCTCCTGGTGAATGGCACCCTGATGAGTATTCAGAATATGACCTGGAATGGAAGACAAGGGTTTGAGAGACGGCCCACGGAGGGGTTGTTTGTTCCGTATAGGGCGGGCGCGGGGGGTGGGACCTTGGGCACGGCGCATACGGAGCGTGGGTTGACGTTTTCGGAGGTGTTCATGTCCGGGCATGGTATGTTTCTCTTCTCCCTCTACTTCTTTCTTTCCTTTTCTTTTTTTTTTTCTCCTCATCTTCATCATTCTACCTCGCGCCTACTTTGCGCCGTGGGAAGTTCAGAATTGTTGCTAACGTACCATCTGTATAGAAATCCCCCAATACGTCCCCGGCGCGGCCTACCGACAGCTGGAGTTCCTGCTGGGCAGGATCGACAGTCTCTCCAAGGAAGCGAAGGATTTCACTGCTTGAATAACGGGAGAGATTTAGATTTGATGAATAATAATGACTACTAATCATGATTTTTAATTTTGATTCTGTTATGGAATGAGTAATAGCACAGGCATGCAATTCTACCTAATGTTCAACTTTGTCTCATGCATCCATCCAACCGGACATATAGATAGTAATGATGTGTAGAAGGTATAAGCATAGTGGATGCTACGCTGTAATCCACAAGTAAACATAGCTGCCTGATCCTTAGCTATATACATAATATAAACATCCATCCATTCCCCACACACCACCCAGTCAACTACGCTTACTGGGCCACAGAGCCTGCCCCTGTCATGTAGATGCATATCCTAATGCACCGTTATAAACAGTAGATGCATATTCTAACGCAGTGTCATAACACCAGGCCCCATCTAGCGACCCACGGCCACAGTCTTCAGTCAAAACCCTGCATCATTCATGCATTATTGTATCAACTGCCGACCTCATACATACATACATCCATACATCCATACTGTGGACCTTTACCCGGGACTCGCCTTTCAGGTATTCAGTCCCTGCATGACTGCTAACTTGATACCTGATTAGGAGGGGGACCATCTCGGTGTATATGAGAGTGATGAATGCGGAATCTGAGGAGGTGATCGTTTATTCTTTGATAGTATACGTTCCGGGATCCTCTGATTGATGACGTTGGCAATAGGTCAGACATATACAAAGACATACCTCTCGGGTCATGAGATGATCGGCTGTCCTGCAAGGTTATGTTATTCTCTCCTGCCATATAGGAATCAGTGAAAATTAAGCTCGTGGTATCTGATCCTGGCCTCGGTGAAAGACATGTGAGAATTTCCCTTTACTGTTCTGTCCATACAACACCACTACACTATTTGGGAAGATACTATATATCCCAAACACCGAAATTAAACAGTTTATCCCTCCCTGCACAACATTCCTCTGCACAGATTCTCAAACCCAAATTCCTCCTGAAAACCATGCTTCCATTTCTAGACATCGTCCACTCTCCCAAAGGTCCACGGCCAGAACCCAAGACAGCACTATATTTGACATCAATCGGTTCAATGATAATAGATCTCCCAATAGGCAGAATACTCTCCCCCTTTACTCACACATCCCACGATCCCACTAATTCAAATCCTCATAAACAAAACAGCCAGCCCCCCCCCTCCCGGGCGGCATTTATCTTTATCCGAAGGATCTGACCCCGGTGACGGTTGTGGGACTATCTCATGGTGGGTCCCCCTCCCCCTCCCCCCTCTCGACCCACGAAAATAGAGTAGAGGTTAATTATATACCCGGTCTGGCCAGGCCAGGTGTTACTTCGTGCTGTGTACCGAATTGTGAAGAAACCCTATGAAGCTTGAAGAAAGATGGACGGATGGATGGATGGTATCATACTGGAGGCGGGGGATCAAGTACAATGGAGGAAGTGAGTGAGTGAATAGTTGCGTAAGTACTGCACTGCATTGTTATTATCTACATGTATATTTAAGTTATGCCGTGCATTATGCCATGCCCCGTTGTCGGGAGTCCGAATCGGTAGCGGAATCGGGTACCGTAGGTAAGTAACATTGGCATTGCATTGTTGGGCATGTTTGACTCCTATCTACGGAGTACCTTATCCCCTTTTGTTGTATTATAGTATACAGTTTATGAGCGATGGTATCTATGAAAGTGAAGTCATCAGAAAGAAAGAAAGCAGTTGCCTGCCCTACCGTGCAATATAGCAAGCGCTCTGGGACACTCGACGCCGTACTCTTTCTTCCCCATAACCCAGCCCCCACATATCCCATCCCGTCCCTTTGCCTCCACAACATATACGACTTTTATATGCAGAAGCCTCGACGACCTCGGCTCTGCTGCTGAAATCGTCATCATCAGGATCAACACCACCTCCGGGTTTAGAAAAGAAAAAGGAAAATCCCGCTTCTCAGCTGGTAGTAAGCACAGTGATGTGTCCCTGTACTTATGTATCGGACGGACCCCGACCGGACATCCCCTCCCATCCCATCCCAGCCCATTTCCCATTCCAGCTCGCCGAATCCGAATCCTCCTGAGTCGGACTTCCGGGAATAATCGCTATTTACGGTGCACTCCATCCATGACCGTGGAAGAAAGAACAGCAAACCAAACCCTGTTGCAGACAGACAGTCAGTTAGCCAGCCAGCCATACGGGAGAGTGTCAACCCATAGATAATATCGAACATCGAATTTACAGCTGCCGCCTCGAGTCAGTCCGAGAAGATAGATAGATAGTGGTGGCGGTATGCGGTGGAGGGCCGGCCCGGCCGGTGGCGGAATCCGTCGGTAGCCGAGCCGAAACCGGCTGTGGGGTGGTGGAGCATCATGCTCATGCTCACCCATCATATTCATCACATTCATCACATTCATTAGACCGATGGGGAGGGGGACACGGACGGCAGGGCGGGGGGGGGACGAGTCAAGTCGAGTTCGAACCGATTCCTTCAAGCGCCCATCATCAATCCAGTGCCGTTGTCGGAACCGAGCACGCCGCGACGATCCTCAGCAGGATCTGTGGGTTTTAGATGAAGCTTTTACGTACCGTATACCCCAGGTCATCCGGATGCGATCTAGCGTTCAGGCAACCAGAATTGACCACATATATATCTGAGGAATTAAGGATCCAGTGGGTAGTTGGCAGGTGTCGGGAGTGACCAAGGAAAGCGAAGTATAGGGACACGGGTGGCTTGAATAGTGAATATTCAGGATTGTTGTTGGCCCACACACCCGCCCATCTACCGAGGTACTTAGTTACTATCTGGTTAATTAGTTACTATCTACTGATTAGTGGGTGGATGGGTGGGCCAACCATCCTTCAAGGCTCCAAGCTTGAAATATAAATTATACTATGCTTGATATCCATCCGGACAAACATAGATAGATAATCGCTATCTATCCAACCACCCTGCACCGTGCACCTCCCCGGGTATCCCGATTGGCGCAGGCCCCCTGATCTAGCGTATATCCGCAGGGTCGAATCGGAGGGCTGGTTTCTCGCATGACTCTGCACACCACCGCACGTATAGTACTCTACTACTCGACCGCTACGAACTCCGTACTAGAACTGCATGAATGCCATTCTCCCCGAATCCCGACGCCTTCTCCGATCGCGTGGGGCGATCGCCGGGACCTGCAGCAGGGTGGCCAAGGAAGCTGCCAATGTGAAGGTGTGTTTTCTTCACGATGTAACGTTGTTGTGTCGGTAGAGCGTTTGGGTGGGGTAGCAGTGGTGATAAGATTGTGCAGTAAGCTGGGTAGACACGGAGGATTGGATGGGAGATTGGATGGGAGGATGCTGGGATCGTATGACGGGTCTGGGTGTAGTTACGGTATACACGGTTGTTGGAGTTGTGTGCCGGATGCACCGGTAGGGTAGTGCCTATCACACTATCTGACGAGGTACTAAATGAGTGAGTGAGGGGGGTTTGGGGGGGGGGGGGGCGCAGATGGTAAGGTAAGAGGTGAGGTATATAAACACCTCGCACTCCCAGCAATTAACCCATTATCCACCACCACCCATTCATCCACAGCCTCAAGCCAACGAGTCTACCTCTACCTCCACCTCCACCCGTCACCATGTTCTTCTCCAAGGTACCCCCCCCCCCTCAATCTCTCACTCCCAATCCCCTCGAACCTCAACCTCAACCTCAACCTCAACCTCAACTTCAAAACTAACCATACACCCAGTTCACCCCCCTCGCCACCCTCCTCCTCGCCCCCTGGCCCTCTCCACCCCCACCCCCGCCAAGCGCGACTGCGCCTACGTTTGCGGCGATAACTGCTACACGACCGAGGCTGTGGCCGCCGCGCAAGCCGATGGCTGGAAGCTCTGGGAGGAGTGGAAGACGGTCGGCAAGGACGAGTACCCCCACCGGTACGAGGACTACGAGGGCTTCGACTTCACCGTTGGCGGCTACTACGTCGAGTTCCCCATCCTCTACGACGGGGAGATCTTCACTGGAGCGACTGGCCCCGGTGCCGACCGCGTTATCTTCAACTACAAGGATGAGCTGGCCGGTGTGATTACCCACACTGGTGCGGAGGGTGATGACTTTGTCAGCTGTGAGGGTGACGTTTTTGCTTAGATTTGAGAGAAAGGGGGGTTGGGGTGATGGTGGAAAAGCGTGGTTGTGTCGTTAGTTGGTTTCTTGAGTATATGTATATATCGAGACGGAGAAAGGAAGGTTGAATAGTAGTCCATGATACCAAGTGCAGTATATCAAACTAAGAGCAACTCGACTATATTCAATCAATTGTAATAGGATAAACCAGATCCGAAACAAGAAGTGAAAAACTAAGCACATATACAATCAACAAACCGAAAGTAATATCCTCCTCTGCCCCATCCACTCTATTCATCCCCCACAACCCCCAAATCTCTCTCTAACCCATCATCTAAAACAATCCCGACAACGCACTCAACGGGTTACTCGCAGACGACGACGACGCAGCGGCCGAAGAAGTCGAAGACCCCGAGCTGGAGCCCGAGTACGACGAATCCTGGACCTTCTCCGCCAAGAAACTGGCCGCGTCGCCCGCATCCAAGCCGTAGGTCAAGTGCGCGGCGTCAACGATGAGGGTACCATCGCAGACCAGATCGCCCGCGGCGCAGTACACCTTAACGTCGTCCTTGGGGTAGTTGGGGATCTGGCCCTTGTCTTGCACGTTGCGGGTGAAGCCGAAGAGCACCACTCCGACGATCTGGTCGCGGACTGTGGAGCTGACTTCTTGGACGGCGTTGTCGATGACCGCGCTACCTTGACTATTGTTTTTTTCAGGTTCGTTAGTTTGTGGGCCTGTTGGTGGGTGTGGGGGTGGTGTGGGTTTCTTTTGCTTGGAAGGAGGATGGGGTAGGGTGAGGTGAGAGGTGAGAGGGAGAGGAAGGAGAGGGGCGTACCTATATCCACCAGCCACGATCTTCGTGTCCGGACACTTACTGTTCGCGTCATCGAACATCTGCTTCGCGGCGTCGATGGACCCGGGGTCCGTGTTCTGGGGCAGCGCGTTCTGCATCAGTCCCGCGGAGTACTGGCCGCCGACACCCTGGCAGGCGACCTTGTCGGAGCCGAGCTTGGTCTTCAGGCTGGAGCAGAGGGGGGGTCCGATGACGGAGCCCTATCTTTCTTAGTATTTTCTTGTCTTATTTGATTCTGGTATCGAGTGTGGTGGGTGGTTGTTGAGGAGCATTGTGCGTGCGTGTATAATGTGTGTGTGTGTGTGTGTGTGTGTGTGTGTGTGTGTGTGTGTATGTGTATATGAACTCACCATGTTACCCAACTCAGTCGAACCCCTCGCGAAGATCAAAGTGACCTCCTTGCAGGACCCGGACTCCAGATCATTGGAGTTGATATCAAACTGCCGAGTGTGGAGGGACGCGTCACCCATGGGGGAGGCCACAGCCAGTGTAGCCAGCGCGCCGACGAGGAGGGACTTGACGGGGGCCATTGTGTAGTATGGTATGTATTTAATCTGCGCAGCAGAGTTCAAACAAAGAGGGAAAAAGTGAAAGAGAGAGAGAGAGAGAGAGAGTTAAACGAACAAAAGAGTGAACAGAGCGATTGAAGGATCCTAGCCTCTGTCTTCCTCAATCCACCCCCGATGCCAACGCCGGTATATATACCCTCAGCCAGTCAGTCAGCCAGCCGGTCACCAACAATCCAGAAAGCAGATGGAATGGCTCACTCATCATTGCCGTTGCCGTTGTCAGTCTTCCATCTACCGGATAGCACTCCCCAGCCCTAAGCCGATTCACCGCAAATCGCCCATCGCCCATCGCCCATCGCTCATCGCAAAATTGAGTCGACATGAAACGGCCTGCCCACCACTGCCCTGGCAGTGGGAACACGGGTGGCTATCGTGGGATAGGTCTGTTTCATGGCCTGGCCAGAACGATCGCGCGGATGAGTCGGAGATTACTGTAGTTCAATGCTTGGTATTGCGGGAACTGGGGCCCGAGGATGGCCCTGAGGATACTAGATACTATCGGCGGATGCTTTGTAGGTACTCCATACTTACTAGGTAGAGGGACCACAGACATTTACCGGAACTGGGGGATCGACCAAATCCGGAATTCAACCGGCGTATCCATATCCTCGCTAGCACTATAGTGCTTCCGTTGGAATGTGCTGAGACTAGTGGTTTTAGGTGCGGGTTTGGTTTAAATTAGCTCGGGTCAGGAACGGATGGCGTTCCCATGGTTGGACCCTGCCCCGTAGTGGCCGCAGTTGTCTGCAGGGTCTGTCCAAGTGTCTGAGCTGAGTGTCTGGGGGGGGGGGGGGGGGGGTTGGAATAGATTGTGATTTTCGAGAGGAAGTTTGTGAAGAGATCTGCCGCTCTAGAAGATTCCTCTTACAACATCAGTGGCTGTTTCTCAGGTGAACGCAAGTTTCTTACCCAGCGGTTGGGAGTAGTACTATTGAAGGTGTGTTGAAGTACCTACCGGTGTACTCTCCAACCATTGATCCAATGATCCCATGATCCCAGGCAGTCGCTTTCCCAGAATTAAAAGTCAGACTAGTTGCGCCATGAGATATTAGTAGTATCCACTCCAGCCTCATCCGCAACCCTCCCCCTAGTCCCTACTGTCCATGACAATAAACAGTGGCGACAGACAACCGCCCCCTAGCCCGTCAGGGTCCAGTCTACCGTAAGTTCACCAGGAGCCATCCATGGTGGCCGTTTCACCCGGGTCCATCCACCAGTGAGGGATCTCGCACGTTCTCCCGAAGCCTAGCGCAGTGGTTTGGGGCGAAGCTTATCGGCTGGTTTTTGGGCCTGGATGAGCCGAGGTTGTTACATCCGCGCCCGCCGGAGGCTGATGTCATTGGTTGGCGTTCTGGTGCGAAGGTTCTTCTGGAAGAGGATATGCCGAGTCATCTCGCGTCGAGAGTAAAGTATATTCATTTGGCTTTAGGATACGGAATATGAGCTGACGGCCAAAGGGTCCTTGATCTTGCCGGAGGGGAGGAGAGGTAATCAATCCGAATCGGATCTGTCACTGTACCATGCCATGTCATCTCGGCTTTCATTCGTACAATGATGCTATATTGCTTCTATCTATGCCGCGGCTGAATCGCTGTCTAATGTCCCGTGAAACAAGCCTTGCCGTCTGTGTCTGTTGCAGATGTCTATGACTCAGGTCTCTCTCTCCTGTATGCCGAGATAACTCCTTTTCAGCCACGGTTTGCTGGGCGCATTCCTGCTGGCAATATTCCTGTTTCCGAGTGCATCTCCGAACAACCCGCCAGTTGAGAGGGATAGCCTGCAATATCACGCCGCCTGCAATATCGCGCATCGGAGCCCGACCTCCCCAACAGGATGGAATCAAAGTTACGATTTCACCCGAGGCAAATCAGCCCTCGAGATGCTGCGTCAAAGTATCGATAAAGTTTTCTCCCCATTTCGCACTGCGCTTTGTCAGACACGGACACGGAGGCGACACGCCAGGACCAAACAAACCCACCTGGTATTCGTCTCCACAAACCGTCGCAGAGTCTCGTATCTGGTCTTCCGCTCTTCATCTCCCATCGACACCGCCTCATGTAACGCCTCAACCGTCTCCGATATGTTAGCCGGGTGGAACGTCAGACACCCCTCCTTCATATACGACGCCGCCCCAGCAAACTCCGACAGCACCAGCACCCCGTGTCGCTCCGCCTGACACGCCACATACTCGAACGAGACGAGGTTCATTCCGTCGCGCGTTGAACTCAGCAGACACACGTCCGCGATGGCATACAACGCCGTCAACTCGCTGAAGCAGACGGAGCGATGCATGTAGATCAGCGGACAGCCGTCGGCGGTAGCTACAACAGCCATTCCATTAGCCAACCCAGCCCAACTCAACCAAGCCCAGCAGAGACAACTCACCATGTTTCCCATTAATCTTCCCCGCGATCGTGCTAACCTCCGTCTCCAGATCCTGATACTCCTTGACATCCTCGCGACTAGGCACAGCCACCTGGATGAGCACGACGCGCTCGCTCAGCTCCGGATACTGGTCCAGGAACGCATCATACCCCTTCAGTTTCCCCGTTAGGCCTTTGATATGATCCAGCCGATCCACCCCAATGATGACTTTTACGCCACGATATTTCTCCCTCAACTGGCTGATCCGATCCCGCACCTCGCTGCGTTGCAACTCATCCGCGAACTTCTGCGGATCGATCCCGACGATGAACTTCTCCGCGACCACCTCGCGGCCTTCATACCTCACCCGTCCATCTTCGTCTACTACCGCGCCCCTAGACAAACAAACGTCAGCTAGTTAGCCCAATGCACCCAACAGCCAGCCCCCTCAAAAACCGGAACCTTAAGATAGTAAGGAAAGAAGGAGGAAGGAACATACACCCCCTCCCCACACCCCAAAAAGTTCCTCCTATACTCCTCCGTGTGAAACCCCAACACATCACACCCCAAGACCCCCCTCAACAACTCTTCCTGGACAGGTAAATTCCGCCAGAAATCCCCCGCCGGGAAGGGCGTATGCAATGAGAACCCGATAGCGCAGTTCCTCCCACGAAGCCGCTCGCGCAGCATCCCCGGGAGAAGCATGAGGTGGTAATCGTGCACCCAAATGAGGGTGCCGGGGGCGGCAGCGGCGGCGATAGCGTCGGCGAAGATCTCGTTCACGCGGGTGTAGGCGGTCCAGGCGGGGGTGTGGAAGGAGGGAACGGGTTGGTAGTGGAGAGTTGGCCAGAGGGTGGAATCTAGGTAAATACTCATCGTCACATATTAGTAGCTGGCACTGTAGCTTGGCAAGGTGAGGAGGGAGGGACAGGATCTAACTTGAGAAATTATTATAATGCTCATTCGCCAACTCCTCATCCAAAAAGATGGGGACGGCATTATGCGCCCCTAAACTCCTGCGCACCAGGTCCTGTTCCTCCGCATCGGGGACGCAGATCCCGGGCCAGCCAAACCAGCTGAACGTGGTGGTTTTGGTCAGGCCGGAGAGCGAGGTGACGAGTCCGCCGCTGGAGAGGGATGATTCGTAGGTGCCGCAGGAGGTCTTTTTCAGCGAGAGAGGGAGGCGGTTAGATGCGAGGATGAGGGTGCGTTTGGGGGGCATTTTGGATGGTATTATTGTTATTATTAAAAGTAAAGTAAAGGGTGGAACGGGGGGGAGGGGAGGGGAGGGGAGGGGAGGGGGAGATTGTGGGTTGTAGATGGGTCGTGGTCGTGTAGTGGTAGGACTATACTAGGTAAGGTAGGTAGTATTCTAACGAGGAGGTGAAGTCTAGCTGTCAGGTAAGTAAGAATGGTTAGTTCAGCTGGTAGACAGGTAGACAGGTGGACAGAAATAACACATACTCAATTCCAACACAAGTCCCCCGCGATAAGATGTCCAGAGCAAGGTATACCCAACGGCGATCCATACGTCACCCAAGACCGATAGCAAGATGCCAAGCAAGGTCACGAAGACATATCTTCACTCCGCGGGAACCCACCGACCTCATGGCGCAGGGAACCGTCCTGTCCAAGGAGAGGGGTGATGCAACGTAACATGCCCATTGAATGTGTAGCCCCGGTGGTGGTTGTACGAAGGGTCTGGGCCGACGTGGTGAGGATCACGACGTCATCAGTCGCTGGCTGCCTTGTTGCCTGACTGCCTCCGCCTGGATTAACGATGACTCAGAATACAAAACAACATGCTTCATGCAGCGTTATAGTAAGGGGTAACGGATGCTGCAAAGATTCATTCAGCTGCATCAACATGTATATACAACACAATAAAAACAAGCATAGCCAACACCATAACACCATAACAATCAATACCCATGTGTGACATCTTTTCCACGACTGCTAACTCCGTATCCATGCCCATGCCAAGATATACCTAAAGCCACGCCATGATGCTCATAGAGGCTCACACCTTACCGCATCCGCTTGGATGGGCTCGGCGTGCGCAACCGGGACTCGCGGTCGCGGTCACGGCTGCGCTCAGCCGGGAAGTCTCGGGGCGGCTGATCTAGCATCAGCGGCGCGTCCTGCTCGAACCCAGATGCGGCGCCCTGGTTTGCGTATCCGTACTGGTTGGGTGGGTAGGAGTATTGTGCGGGGGCGATCGCCGGGTGTTGGTGTTGTGCGGAAGACTGGCGGGAGTAGGAAGGGGGAGCAACCGAGTAGTCGTGCTGGTTGAGGCGGTTTCGGAACGAGCGGAAGGACCAGTTGCTCACGACGGTGACGGTGGAGATGGTGGCGAGGAAGAACATCTAGAGCTGTTAGTATGGTGGTGGACAGGATGGGGAATACTGCAGGGAACGTACGATCGCCTTCCAGCTAATCGGGTCGATGAAGCTGTTGATGATGATCGCCATCGTGTGCGCCGACACCTTGGCCCGTCCGACCTTGGCCGGATCGCGGTTCATGCAGCGCTCCCAGTTCTCGCACACGGTCTCCAACGCAGGCAGACGATCGCCTCCAGCGCATCGGTTATCGACGTAGCTCTTCGCGCAGACGGCCATTTCCGCCAGAATGGTGTCCGACACCTCCTCCGCGGCCTGCTCAAATTCCGCACGGATGGCCGACACGAACCCGAAGACCACGTAGACCGCGAGCGAGAACAGCGACAGGTTCACCACTAGCTGCGCCCACCAGGAGAGAATGCTCGGGACATTGGGATGGGCCTCCAGCAGCGCGAAGAAATTCGAGAAGGAACTCAGCCTCGACCCTGTCTCCTCCTGTCCCTGTCCCTGGCTCTGTCTCTGCTTGGCCGGCTTCAGCTCGCTGCTGCTCGGACGGTCGCTCTCGTCATCACTCTCCCGACGCAGTTGTAAATCTTTGGACAGAACCTTGTCCCTGCGCCGTCTCTTCTGAACCCGTCGTGCCAGCGCGTTGGAGTAGTGGTTCAAGCGCGGGATCTCGCCGCGTCCCGGACTCGGCGCAAACCGCCCGTACATGCCAAACAGCGAGTTGCGGTGGCCAGATTTGGCAAGCTGATCAGGGGTATCTTCATTATCGGCGTGCTCGGGGGAAGACAGGTTCTCGGCGCCGGAGGAGAAGTCAACGTCGAATTTGCGAGGGGTCATAAACGCGGCTTGGTTGAAGAAGGGCTTGGGGGGAGCGGCGGGCTGCTGGGATTTGGACTGGGAGAAGAGGAATGGCTGCGAGTTGGGCTCTCGCAGGGCGGGCATGGATTTTTTCTCGGGCGAGTCGAAGATGCTGTGAGGGCCTGTCGAGGGATCTGTAGTTAGATTGACTGCTGGATGAGAGGGTATGCACGAGGAAGGGAGCGCACGTTTCTTCTGGTTGTCATGCTGCACGCTGAGCTGGTAGAACGGCGAGGTCACGTCCCCGGGGGCCCGTGTCTGCCACTCGAAGTCCATTGGACTCTCTGCCGAGCGTTTATCCATCGTGTGGATGGGGAGCGGAATCAGGGAGGATGGAGGTGGAAGAGGAGGAGGCGCTGGCGAGGCCGAAGGGGGAGATTCGGAGGTGGAGGGACTTTTTCCGTTTCCTGTCTTTTTTGTTTGGTAAACAATCCAGCCGCCGAGCAACGAGGTCGAGGCGATGTCACTACCTGCCTCGAGAGCTGGGATCGCACCAGAATACTAGGGAAGGGAATGTTCAAATTTTTAACTCTCGAGAATTTAGAGATGTAGTCAAATTAATGCCAGATCGAATTTGTTCCACTCTGGCCGGAGTGGAGCTGCAGGATGCAGAGGCTAGAATTGGTGCTGTGCAGTAGTTGACACTGGCGTATGCAGTGCGGGCGTCTCGAACACCATTCTTGACCTGCCAACATAAACAAACATCCTGAATGGCTGCTTGTTCACGGCCTGAACGGCCAACAATAAACTGTTTTCTTGCTGCGGGGTGTTTGTTCCCCATTTTCCCTTCCCCCATCTTCCGGCTGATCCCCGGACTGTCTTCTCCGTCTCCGTGTCTTCCCGTCGGTCGCGACCGCCAACCTCGAACTTCATCACACGGCAATCAGCCAAGCTGATCATCGCTCAGTATTACTCGGACAACAGTGTTGGTGTAAACCATTGCTGGCATATACTCGCTCTAAACAATACTACAGGTGATTAAGTATGAATGCTAACGCAGGAACAGCAGACCCCAGGCCCCGCATGTCGATCAAGAAGGGAGAGACAAAGAAAGACGCGACGCGAAGTGATATACAACAAGAAGCTCATTGAAGCCATCGAAGCCAACGAAGCTCATCAAAAGCAAGGCTCAGAAGCTCAGAATGAACTGGTGCAAACCATATATACCCAACTCCATACCCATGGCCGCGAAGAAACGCCCACTCACACCAAAGACATGTCATAGCTGGACGTGATCCACCAGCTCAAAGTCATCATCAGCCAAGTAGCCGATGGCCATCTCGCTCTCGGGCGTGATGATCTCGTACTCCTTGACGATCCGCTCCGTCTCCTTGATCTCGAACTTCTCGACCGCCTTGCTCACGGCGACGGAGAGTATGGTCTGTCCCGACACGTCGTAGTCGGTCGGGGTGTCCTCCTTCGCGTCGGACTCGTCGATGATCTTCTCTGCCGCGGCAGGGTCGTCGACGTCCTCACTGGACGAATCCGATGGACCGTTGTCGAGGGCCTCGCGGACGTCGGCGCGCAGGGCGATCTTGGCGTCGCTGACCTGCTGGTTGGTCTTGCTCTTCCGGTCGAAGCGCATGGCGCGGGTCAAGCTAGGCTTGTTAGCTTGGTGGTGGAGAGGGGGTGGGTGACGCATACTTCATGTTATGGGAGACTGGCATGGCAGGACGAGTCAAGGGGAGGGCGCAAACAGGGTCATGGTGACTGCGAGCACTTCGGCTCCCGTACGCCCACTTGGCCTTGTGGTCGTGGACCCGTTTGGCTTCGGCGCCAGCTCGGCGGAGATCAAGTAGAGAGTCAGACATGATCGATGATCGGTCGTTGATCGGCAACCAGTCGTGAATAGGTAGGTTATACGGCTGTTAGAACGTAGAGACGTCTGAAGAGGTGACAGCCCCAGTATGTGGGGGCTTTCGGAGGAGGATATAAAGGATATAGCCAGAATCGAGGCAGGAGCGACGCGAGAGGCTGGTTCGAACAATGACCCACGAACCAAAGATGTCCGATAAACAAATAGGCAAACAGGCTAGGTTAGAGGGCGTCCTTGGTCTGAGTCATAAAGCCGTCCAGTCATCAACGATCCGACGGTCCAGCGGCACAGCACGGAGTCAGAGTCGGGGAGCCAATACGGACAACGTCTCGAGAGACAGGGAGGTGAGCGGAAGAAGTCGAGTAAGAAGTCGAGTCGACAACCGGGGCGGGCACGTCATCCAGGGGGGGGGGTTATGAGTTATGAGTGATAGTACAGTAGTAGTAGTAAACTATAGAGGGTCTGCATCCGCATGCGAGAAGGCGCAATAATAGGCAGGTGCAGCACGGGGCGCGAGGCGAAGCTGATTGTGGCAGGTCATCTGTTGGATATCATCTAGTCTACGAGGAGGAGTCGACCTCGGGCCTATTTAATATCTATCTATCGGGACCGGTCCCAACACTTATCATTACGATGTCAGCTATCTCGCATCCCCTCATCTGGTTCCCCTGGATGGGAACTGTTATCGCGCATGCCGATCCCCCGAGCGCCACTGCTCGACCCACGGTTTGGGATCCCCCCCCTCTTCAGCCCCCGACTCCCGAGGTCCTCTGGCGAGAATTCGAGGCTGCCTCGTCACCAAGGTTTATCCAGGGATGGGACGTGACGGTGTCACTGCTGAGTCCGGACCACAGCCTCAGGCACGTTGATCGATCTGGGACGTCACTTGTCAAGGATGGGCAGGGTCGAGGGGTTGGAGGAGCGCCAATCGAGGCCTCTCGTGTTCCCCGTGACGCCTATCGGCGGCTGTCCGGTGATCCCAGATCCCATGCCTGGCGCGCCTGGATCGGATGACTGGAGCCAGTCATGCTGCAGTGTGATGGGTGCATGCATCGGATTGGCATGACATCAGAACAAGCAGAAGAATGCAGACTGGCTGGCTGGATGCACGACTAGAACTTGCTGACCACTGCAACTCCGACTCTGACTTTGGCAGTTCTCGCATCGCAACTCACCGGACCGCCGGCCCCCGGTTATGGCGATGGCGTTGGCGATAGCGATGGCAACTGGTGTCCCCCGGGTGTCTCGATTTCGATGCAGCCCAGATTTCGGATTTCCGGTTCAGGTCCAATTATTGATCACCGCATCTTGATGGGTTCCAACTCCTGGCTCTATGCGGATGCGCATTCTTATTTTTAGAGACCCTGTCATTTAACGGTTGTCCCAATACCGAGAGATAGGTAATATTACACCTATGCGAGCGTTTAGTTATACAGGGAATGTGACTAAGCTGCTTTATCCCGCACATTGTGCATGTGACCACGATAACGTGCTCAGTCACGTGCACCCCTTTGTTTCCTTGTCTTTGTTTCTCGGGCAACAGTCAGCCTATTGATGGGATAGCCTCGGCCTGGGTTCCGCCCGAAAGCCGACGGCACATCTGTACTTTCACTCTTGGTGGCCAAAACGTGTATACCGATATTTTCAAGTTCATTAGGTATGCTGGGCATGTTAGTATATAGAACGTAGAGTTATATGAGACTTTAGATCTTGACTCGGGCTGTTATGGGATCAACCTAGGATAATCATTGTCTTGGATAGACAGCATTTAAGTTGTATATTCTACAACTCTTCTGGAATCCAAAGGTTCGGGGTCTTTTGACCCGAATGATTCCCCACCAATTCTATCCAAAGATAGTCCAATAGTGCAACCACACAAAGCTCCGGGTCCCAGTAACTCTGTATGAAATGGTATACAGCCATCGAGGCTCCTGGCGACCTAGGCCTCTCTCAAAAAAGCCCCGGGAGAATGAGAAGAACCATACAATGGAAGTGGGCTACTATAAGTGACCTACCCCTCTCATAGTCCGGGGAAGAAGCTTGTGAATGTCCAGAATTACTTCCTTACTCCATATAGGCTGTGAATTCCGAAAGGAGTTACTATAACCTATGTAGATACCAGCGCGTTCCTGTCGGGGTCGGTCCGCAGGAATCGGACATCTTGCCGGGTTAATCCCTCCCGCGCGCAACCCCGCATTACATGGGGTAACCCAAGACGCCCCGCTATCCAGATACTTCTTATGTTGGAACAACAATTCCATTCCAAACCTCTCACCTCATTCTACCCCTCCTCCTCAACCAAAGATGCCTTTCACCACTGCCGTCCGCGAGACCTTCCAGAGCTCCTCTCCTGCCCTCGGGTTCTGGCTCACGTACATCCCCCAATTTCCCTCCTCATCAGCCTAACCTAACCCATCACCCACGGGATGCAGTCTTCCCAGCGCAGGTTTAGTGAAAACCATTCTCCATGGGCCTTCCGGTCTCGATTCGCGATTCACTTGGGTCTTGGTGGATGCAGAGCATGGATTGATTACCGATCGTGATTATTATGAGGTATCCCTCCCCCCCCTCTCCTTCCTCTCCTCCCTCATCTGCATCTGGCTTTTCGATAGCGATGGATACCCCTCGATACTGACCTCGCGAATCCAGCTCTGCAACGCAATTGGCTCCGAAGGCGCCAGCCCGATCGTCCGCGTCCCCTTCGCAGAAGAGTGGATGATTAAACGCGCCCTCGACGCGGGGGCGCACGGAATCGTGACGCCTATGTGCCATTCTGCTGTATGTCTCCCCATCGCTCTCTCCCATTCTCCTCCTGTTGCGCAAACCTGCTATCTATGTCCTCTCTTCTCACGTCTTACTTGTTATAAACCAGGCCGACGCCACCAAAATAGTCCGCGCAAGCAAATACCCCCCTCTCGGAACGCGAGGCTACGGCCCGATGTTCGCCCCGCACGCGTTCCCCGGCGTCGCTGCTGGAGAAGAGTACGACGAGGGCAGCCAGCACGCAGTCACGGTGATCGTGCAGATTGAGTCTCGGGCCGGCGTGGAGAACGTGGAGGAGATTGCTGCCGTGGAGGGTATCGATGTGCTCTTCATTGGGCCGTTTGATCTCTCGAAGAATATGGGGGTTGTTCGTGGCGGACAGGAGCATGAGGCGGCCATCCAGCGCGTGTTGAAGGCTACGCATGACGCGGGGAAGAAGGCTGCGATTTTCTGTGGGTTTCCCTTTTCCTTCCCTTCTTGTCTTCTTTCCTGGGAGGGTGGTCGAGGTGGTCGGGATCGGTTGCTAATGTAGTGATGGACTGCAGGTACGGACGGGAATGATGCAAAGGAACGCATTCGTCAGGGATTTGATATGGTTTCAGTTAATACGGATGTCGGTGTGATCAGGAATGGGATGCTGGGGGAGTTGAGGGTTGCTGTCGGGGGCAGCGCGAAGGGCGCTTCGTCTGGTGGTGGATACTAGTAAGCAGACAGATGAGACACGCACCATAAGCTAGATCCTGCTGGAGTATGCATGTACATAACGGATAAAGGGCGACTGAGCCTTTCAAGCCATCAGACTAGCCATATTCAGAACGATTATTTAGAAGAAAGAAAAAAGTAAACGACGGCACTGAAGACGAGATTGCTCTCATTGTACAGTGGGATCCAGCATCTCTCTCAACTGAGCATTGTTAAACTGCTTGTTCTGCCTAGCCAACTGATCCCCATACTGATTCAGCACTTCGCTACGAAAGCCGAAGCTCAAATGCGGGGGTTTAACCGCCGGCTTTGAGGTTGGCGGGTTAGCCGACCAGACGGGGGTATACAGCTAAAGACGCAATGTCTATATAGCACTCCCCAAATCCATTAATTCGCATTGATTCCTCACCTTCAACTTAATCTATGAATACGGCAGATACAGTTATTGTCGAATCCGACATCGCCACCATGTCCTTACAACAAAATGGAGGTATCCCCACATACACCATCATCCAAGCCGATGGCCTTTATGAAGTGAACCATACCATACCTCCCATCCCCGCCCCCAGCCCCACTGAACCTCGTCCTCAACTAACCTCAAACAGGACGACACCATCGAGCAACAGATCCTCAATCCCCCCAACAAATCGCATGCATACAAGATAAATTACCAACAGACACACCTCTCCCCCGACGGAGTCCCAACATACAAACCCTGGTCCACAATCGACAAGTCTCTCAGGGACCAAGTAGACGGCATCACCCTTCTGAAGCCCTCTTTCACGGCCGCTGATCTCGAGCTCTTCCCAAAATTAAAAGTGTATGCCAACCACCCCCGAACCCAATAGTGAAGCTCACAACGCAAGCAGACTAGTTCGCATGGGCGTCGGCTATGACCGGGTCGATCGTGCAGCTCTGGCGAAACGAGGCGTCACGCTCTGCAATGTTCCAGGTAAGTATATCGTATCGTTTAGGACCTAAAATACCTTAGTCATTAACCCCCTCTGACCTGACAGACTACGGCACCGCCGAAATCGCCGACCACGCCCTCTCCCTGACTCTAACTCTCCGGCGGGGCATCGCCCTCCACCACGACCACCAACGAGGCACGCCCCCGAGTAAATGGTGCTACATCGACAGTCCCCTAATCTCGCGGATCCAGGGCGCCACCTTCGGGATCCTGGGCTTCGGCCTCATCGGGACCGCGGTCGCACTCCGCGCAAAAGCCTTCGGATGGAATATACTTTTCTACGATCCCTACGTCCGGAACGGGATCGACAAGGCGCTCGGGGTCGAGCGCACGCGCGACCTGAAAGAGCTATTCCGTCGGAGTTCGGTGGTGAGCGTGCATTGTCCGTCCAGTGCGGAGACGCGGGGGATGGTGAATGAAGAGTTATTGAGACTGATGGCCCCGGGTTCGATCCTGGTGAACACGGCGAGGGGGGATGTGGTGGATTTGGATGCGGTGGAGCGGTGTCTTCGGGATGGGCCGTTGGCGGGGGTCGGGTTGGATGTCGTTCCTGGTGAGCCGGTGGTGGTGCAGGGGCCTGTGCATTCGTTGTTGAGGGCGTATCGCGATAGGGAGGAGTGGTTGGTGGGCAGGATGGTGGTGACGCCGCATTGTGCGTTTCATAGTCCGCAGAGTTTGGTGGATATTCGCGTCAAGAGCGTCGAGACTATGAGGGATGTTTTGGTTGATGGGTTGGGGGTTAATGTTATTCCTCCACCCTTGATGGAGTAGATTTGGAAGTGCCATTGAAAAAAAAAAAGGGGGAATTAAAGCATTATTATTTGTAGCTAGATAAAGAACTTCAAATCTTGTGAAGACCTGCGAGATGGTGTTACCCTTACTGTCTTCATACATCGTAGTTGAAAGAGACAGTATCATCGAATTCATTCTGTTGGGTTAAAGCTTTCTCTTTTCGACGTTAATTATCCTTTAATATCTCGAGGGGCCGAAAGATCTCAACGATGATGCCAGTGAGGCCAAGTTCCGGGTTATATAGCACGACGCCCACCCCATCCTCTGTTAGCATTGGGAGTATTCTTCTTTCCCTTCGCCACGTGACCCCGAAGGAAAGCAGGCCATCGATACATGGCTTGCCAGGGGTCGTTTGGTATATAGTCCCCCGGTAGTATTGACCCGCCGCTAGGGGAGCCCTTCCAATAAACTATCGCATGCCAGAGCCCCAAGCCATGCAATCGCCAACCATCCCATAATAATATGCCGAGGTCCCAGAATGGCTGTTGATCCTTGAATACGGATTTCTGATCCAGATTTCGAGACTTTAATCGACAATAATCCTGGATTCTTGGCCAGGTATCAAGCACGTCATTCCTTGAAGTTGCGCTGGCCCCACGAAGCCATATATCTGTATTGCATGGAATCTCGGGCCGGGGTGGAGGAGCCCAGACGGGGAACTTGAACGGGATATTGGAGGCGTCAGGCATTTGAGTGATACGCGGCATGGCATTGAGGCTGTAGCTGTTTGATAGAGATCCAAATCTCGTACTATCTTGATAGATGCTTTGGAGACACTTAAATACCGCGTAAGCTTCTTGGCAGAGATAATGCCCCTGCTTCCGGGTAGTTCTTCTTTCCTGCTTCAGCTGGGTACAGGCGCACTGAGAATCCGCGGACCATTGCAAGAGCCACAAGGCGCGATAGACACGATACTCCTCCACCCACGAGCCGGCGCCCCTATCCTGGGGTGTAAACATACTACTTCTATCCAACCTCCCCGTGTCGTCTCTATCCCAACACTGAGGCTTCACGGCACGCAGCCGCGCGAAAAGTGACGTCAAACAGACACAGACCAACCGCTGGATGTTCGCGGCCACGCCCACCATCTCCCGGAGTATAGAACGAGATATAGGAGAGAAATGTATGGAGTCATAATCGTAGGTGTCGAGATCGCGTAGAGCGCCGCGTGTCAATGAGAGTTGTCGCGCCTGTGCACACATGCGAAAGTGGATGTGGATACGGTGGCTCATGATGGGATTTGTACTGAGGATGGTTTCGACAAGACGTACGGCTTCGGGGTCTGCTTCTGCGTCTGGATTATCTCCAGGGTGGAAAAGAGTGGCCACTGGCGGTGACATATGGATGAGACTCTCCAGACTGACCCAGTCTGCTGCGTACTCGTTGATCATGCTTAAGAGCTCGTATGGGAGGTCGCTGAAGGGGTTCATGGTTGTGGCTGCCATGCGTACAGGCGGGTGATGACGCTGGATATAGAACTCGGACTGGAAAAGAAATAGGGTCGCTTTGCATCAAGTGAGCAGAGTGGCAGACTCACCCAAATTGGTAAATGTGGTCAGGAGTATGTAGATGTAATGGTGAATCCCACCCCGCTATAGTTTAATAGAAACTCCGAAACGGTATGTCATACTTTAAACGCAGTGACGCAATTTCATAATCCGGACAGCGTGGCCGAGTGGTCTAAGGCGTATGACTCGAATCCCCGAAATCATATATCTTCGGATGCGTGTGTTCAAATCACACCGCTGTCGATTTTCTTTTTTTCTTTTTTCTTTTCCCCGTACCACGTAACTTACTAGTATTCTTCTAGCCGCAGTTTGACAGATTTTAGCGTCCCAGACAGTGTGGCCGAGTGGTCTAAGGCGTATGACTCGAATTATACGAAATCATATATCTTCGGATGCGTGTGTTCAAATCACACCGCTGTCGTCATCTCCTTTTTTTCTTTCTTTGTTTTTCTCTCCAGCTTTCTCTTCCCTATGAGACAAGTCGCTCTTCACAGCTACTACGATATCTTTGGCAGTGTGGCCGAGTGGTCTAAGGCGTATGACTCGAATTCCGCGAAATCATATATCTTCGGATGCGTGTGTTCAAATCACACCGCTGTCGTTTCTTTCTTTTTCGTTTTTATTCCCCCCTGCCAGTCAATATATATATCATATATACTCGGAGTCATTCTGTCATCAACTTATATTTCAATCCACCATTGCTATACGGGCCTCGAAAGCATTAAATATTGTAAAAACGGACATGGTATTAAAGTAGACAGATAACATTGCTTATACTACGCTCCTAGGCAACATGGCTACCTAGAGGCACTACTTGAATCTTTTTCATGTACACATATATATACACATGACACATAGTAAATTCTGGCGACGATAATAATATATTATTCGTTTTTGAGCAAGTGCGGCAATTTACAGAAACATCGGAAATTAACCAATAGCCTTTAGGTTCAGGCTAAATCCGCCCCTATGTTTGACTACATACATGCAGAGCTTCGCGCTGTTCAAATAAAAGCAGAAATAATATTAGCTACAATATGGTTCGGGTCCAGCATATTGACCAGTGGTCTTCTTATATATTTGGGTAAGGATATTTGGGTAACATTGAGCATTCAGTTGTTATGTAGGTTGCAAACTATGACTATGATACGAGAAGAATTTATGACTAGTTCTTTGAGGTACAAGGCTTTATTATCATGTGCAGGTATTGAAACCGATGTTGGCTGACCACTCATTATCACGAGGTATTGGTTAGTAGCTCAAGGGAATGCCTCTGTGGTTTTCATAGACCTTTCTTCATGTGGTTATTACTCCTGGCTCCTAATGGTGATTAAGTCTTCCCACTACAAGCGAGAACAAATTCCCAGGCCGAGCACCGTCATGCTTGGGACCAACTTCGAGAACCCCTCCCTTCGCTGGAACCAATATCACTGAAATTGATAAAATCGATCCCAGCAAAGTTCACGGACACATCTTCGCCCCCACCAAGGACGGACTCTGCGCTTATGAGCTGCAAGATGGGCCTCTTCCGGACCTGTCTAGCGTTGGACCAGGCTTTATTGACGAGTTTATCGGTTACATCGTCAAGAACAGCCTTTCCAGCATCATTGGACTTCAAGTCCTTGGATGTGACGCTGGTTTCTATGTCAGAACTGATTCTCCTAGCAATGGATTGCCCGTTGAGACTTGCTCGCGGGAAACAGAAAGGCGATATCATGCCCAGGATTTATCGCGCACCGGAAGTGATTTTAGATATGGAGTGGGATAGTAAATTTGATGTTTGGTCTGTTGGTACTATGGTAATATTCCCTAATCAATTTGTTGATCTTGTACACGCTGATTCGATATATGGTGGTGTAGGCCTGGGATTTGGTTGAAGGCAGTCACCTCTTCTTTGGTAGACGAAAGGGTATTTTGAACGATGAACAACACCTAGCGGAAATGGTGTCGCTGATGGGACCTCCTCCGGCTGAGTTTCTCGGACGGAGTGAACGGTGTTGTCAATATTGGGACGAACAAGGTAAATAATAACATTCCTCGTCGCTATTGTACATTCAATTATATCTGAGATAATGAATACGAATTTACATAGGGAACTGGAAGGGCTCTATACCCATACCAGAACAATCTCTGGAGATGAGACTGCTCCAGTTGCCCCGTCGAGGCCGATAGAGTGCTGTTCCTGGGCTTTCTACGGAGGATATTCCGTTGGATGCCCGAGGACCGACCAACGGCGGAAGAGCTGGCGTATGACGACTTTTTTGATGCAGCCGGTTATAGCGGCGAGAAAACAGGATTGACGGTTCATCCCAACATCCACTTAAATACTTATGAGAGCTTGCGATGCACTGGATCCAGATAACACACCAGAGATCATGTTCAAACATAACGCATCAACCTCATACACAGCCAACCGTTCAAATTCTACCACCCCCACCTCCCACAGACACACTTCTTACGAAGTACAAGCCCCGTCAACACACTGCAAGCCTCCATCGGCGGGCTTGGGGCAGTTCTTCAGCCGAGTCCACAAAGCATAAGACTCGCCGCCTTCTCCATCGACCTCAGAAACGAGGTATTCCTCACATTCCAGCTAAAGAAAACGATCAGCACAGAGCAGTGTAATCAGCCCATCGAACAACTTACCAGATACCCTTCATCGCACTCGCAAACCCTCGCACCCCAGCTCTCGCAGTAGGTATCGGATTTGGCGCAGGCGAGAGCCTTGCTCGCAAGGAGGGTGACGGCGAAGAGGACGATAGCAGGCTTCATTGTGGTGTTTGTGTGTATAATTGTGGGAAGATTGAGGGGAGAGAGGTATGTTGAGAGCTGGATGCTTTGGCAGTCTGGTTTCTATTCAGTGGTATAGGGGACACAGCGGCCCTTTTATACCCCATTGACTCGCACTTTGAACATACCAGAGTTATAGCAGAACTCTATTATATCCAGACGTGGTGGATCGCAAGCTCACAACACTATGGTCCAATTTCCATTTCTGTACAGATAAAGAGGCAGTCTGGGGGCTAAATCCTTCATATCCACTATACAGGAAGAGAGACTCCTGCCTCTTTGGGACAGACAGAAGGTCCCATGATTCTAGACCAACTGCAGTATTGAATCGCGCCGTGCACAGTACAACAGTACAAGAATCAAAATTGCTGCATTGTTCCAAACCCCATGGCAACCCCTTTCTCCTCCTGTCGAACGACTATCGTAGAGCATACGACAGTCACACCCTCACCCGCCATACTGTAGGGCTGTGGCAAAGATCATCAAGCACGACCCTGGGATCATCATCCCCAGACCAGAATCCAGGGTACCAACGCTCGTCGGAGTTTATTGTCCCCCCGACAGTCGGATATTCCGACGGGTGGCACGCTGGAGGATCTGGCTTAGTTCGACCCGAACCGAGATTAGCGGACACGCTACCATGCGTTTCTGCAACCTCGTGGTCGCGGGGCCAATCGAAGATTTTCATTCGTTTTGCTTGGCAAGGCTTATCTGGGGTATATTGGTGGCCTGTACCAGGGGCTTTATTCTGCTCTTCTGGGGGGGGGGGGGGGAGGTCGGGTCTTGTCTCAATGGAGTCGTGACTTCTGGGATTGTATTTCCAATTCCTGTGTTTTGAGGGCATGAAATTCCTAGCAGTATACAGCTTAGTGATTGAGAGAACGCATGTATACTTGATCTGTTCAGTTCGGGCTGAAGTAGTCGCATGTGGCGGTGGAAGATTAAGAAGGACCGCTAAGTCCGGCCTCCAGCCTCCATTGCCTCGGAACTCTCGTATTCGAGTGGGCAGGAGCGGTGGCTTGCCCGCCAGTGGCCAAATGAAATGAGCCCTTCGCCCTTCCTAAGGCTGCTGCCCATCACGTGCGTTTACTAACACTCTGGAGGCCCCCCTGTGTACCTGGGGAATTGATTCGGCACCGGGGTTTGGATCCTGGAGAAAGACGTCGAAGGAAACGAGCAAGCAGCAGGCAAGGCAGAAGGCAAGAAGCGATCAGCACGTGACCTCTATTCACCGTCCATCGTGTGAGACGTCGGGGAAATTGTGTCGGCTTAGCAACATACAGTAGTTATTTAAGCTTCTTATTCTCATTAAGCAACGAGCATCTTTCTCCTTCGTACTGGATGAGTGACTCTTCGACTAAAATATATCCCCTCTTTTTAGCTGAAAGCACAGGTTACGTGAACACGGTAAAAGAGTTCGCCATGCCCTCTCTAGCATCCATTTTCCCTTTTTTTTACGGCGCGCACTTGCCCGAAGGAATCTCCGAATTGGCACATCATTCGAGCTCAGTGTTTACAACGCTATGACTGTGCTTGAGCTGTTCAGTCCAAACATCCAGACATGTTTGATGCCAAACTGGTTTCGCTTGACGGAGAATCAGTTGTTACAGTAGATGCATGTGACATGTACGGCAGGGTCTTTTTTGTCATCTTGTTCCCTCGGTCCTGGGACAAAAACGAAGTACGAGAAAGCCTTGTAGCTATTTGCAGTCAAGCCATGACATCGGAGGAAACCGGCAAGGTGCTATCACGCTCGGAATTCCGAACCATGAGAGCTCAATAGAACCATGATACGCATTTTTCCTCTGGATAGTCTGGTCGGGTATCATTTAGCCACTATCTGCAATTTGATGTCGTTTGATATTTTCTACATACCATCTTCAATCAATAATGAAGCGGTATATGTGCAGACGTGGCTTCTAAGTATATCATTTGTTTACTATATACTCTATCGACATTGCTCCTACCCAACGTCTTCATCGCCGATGGCTCGCGCACCCTCGCAGAGCTCGATATCAATCCAGACTGGGGCGCCGGAAACACACTTAAGCTGAACCCGATCAATCGAGTTAAAACCCTCTTGGGCGGAGAGACCAAGTATCGCTGGCAGCCAGAACAAGCAGTCGCCGTCATCCACGTCGGCTAACATGGCTACGAGCATGATTTCCACCGCGACGAGGTCCGTCCTCGGGAGCAGATTCAGCATCCCGCTCAAAAGGCCGGTACCCGGTACCAGTTCATCATTAGCGAGCGGTCGGTCACTTCTGGTGGCGCGGTTCTTTTTGTCCTCGGCTCCTGTCCGAACTTCACCGAGGCCGCAGCGGAGTACCCGGTTTCAGGGGCAGCATCATCGGGTCGTGTCGGCTTGGACGGTTTCTGACGTGACGTCCAGTATGGGCGCGATGTCGGTCGATGAGCTGGACCTGTGGCCTTCTATTTCCAAGCTACAGTATGCCGTGATCCCGTGGGGCGGCTGCGAAGATGGCTTGACCATGAATCTTGGGTTGTATTTGTCTTGTATTCTTGTTCGTCTGGCAGACGAGGAGAATGATCTCCTGCTTGAGTATGATGCAGTGCTCTCACACTCAACATCGTATATCCGCAAGTACCCCTCTCACGGTCCACTTTATGATCTGGCTTCTCATCTGCATGCAAAGCACCATTAGCCATTGACGAGAGGGTGAATTATCACACCTACGCTCTTCTATCCACATGGTCACTTGAATAAACCTTGACTTTGTACTCTACCTCAGTGTTTGTAGACCAGACCTATATAGCTCAACGGTACATGCTCAATAACCTGTTTTAGCAATAGAGACAGTAATTTTCCGCATTATACAATGCCCTAAAATCGATCAAGGACATATGCATGTAAAAGATATTGCTTTTTTCCAGACTCCTGTGAGTTCTAAGATTTATTGCTGATCAGGAGCTGATCGATAATTAGACATCGCTGCACTAATATTAGCTATGAATCTTTATGAGCTAAGCCTTATGCACACAAAACACTAGCAACTCATTTTCAACAATTTAACTATAAATCACTTAATATCAGTTCTTACTATGACAGTATGTATTATGATTTCCGCTCTTCTTTATCGAGCTTTTAGCATAAGATTAAACTTGGATGTTCAAGATATTTAAAATTACACAGGTCGACAGTCATAGTCAAGTATTTATATCTGAGAAACTTGGATACTAACAGTGCTTGTTAGAGCTGGTAAAGAAGACGCTTACTCAAGAGCAAGACTTATATATATGTGTATACCTTTCCCTTTGTTACCCACACACTGTGACTGGAGTTTCTTACAGCAGTGATTCAAACCCTTCTATTTGGTGTATAGTATATAAGACACTGGTACCTAAGCACATACCTATATAACTAGTCTATATGTATGGGTAGTTCAGCATAATATAAAAAGTCAAATCAACTCTTACAGGCTGCATTAAACAATAGAGCAAATATAATGTTGTATATAGTACACAGATTGTAATTTTATTATTTTTCATATGTTGGATAAAAATATATATCTTAACTCCTATGCTTGAATACTCACTCTGATATAGTTAAAAATGGTTTCCCCCCTTTGCTATCACAACATCATGCTATGTTTCCCGAATCCCTTTCTCCCTCTAGAATCCTTCTGAATCCTGTGCAATTATGTTCAAGTATACAAGCCCTCAACCTATTATTATATAGAGAAACTATTCTCTTCCAACATACCTAAAACACCACCCCCTCAGCCAAACAACAAATTCAATCCGATAGAATATGCAACCAGCATCTTAGGCTACACCGCTTCACACCAGGAATAACCGCCAACCCCGAAGAGAATCACCAGCCCCGTATGCCCCAATAAGTAGTTACTGAGGTAAGTGGCTTCACCTAACCACATTATCCCAGACGCATGAGTCAGATCCAGCCATGGGTTCCCGTTGAAGAGCGAACTCTATTCCACGCCTCGGTGCGGTGTAACTACCCGATCTCGACATGACTCGACGGCCCAACCGTCATGATAAGATCGATCGCATGTATTTCCATCGCAGAGAACGTGGAAAGTCAAGATGCGCCGCAGTAAAAGCTGTGCATGTAAGTAGGTAAGTAGGAACCGCAAATCACCCGTGCGTCTGGAACGAACAACATCAACATAGGTAGATAGTAAGTAGGCGCCTGGAATATTAACAAGCGATAACGAGAACCTGCTCTGTAGTCTGTATCTAGTATCTAGGTCATGCGCATCGGACCGATCGATCGCCATCTATCTATCCATCCATCCATCCATCTGTCCGTCCGTCCGTCCATCGGCGCCCGACCTTCCTGCGAACCTACCTAGCCAGTAAGCCAGTAAATATCTAGGTAGGTAGTAGGTACCAGCCATAAAGCAGCAGCATCCAGACCCAGACTCAGACCTTCTCACAGCAGGTTTTGAGTAAACCTACACCTGTGCCTCCTGACTCGAGCAAATCCTCCTCCTCCTCGTCATCATCATCATTACCATGATAATAATGATAATAATAATGGTCAGGAGCTATGCTATGCTTTTCACCGTAATACGTTCACAACCAGTTCGGCAAGTGAGACAAGGGGCCAAACCCAGAACGGGAAAAGACTTAACCAGCGAATACGGCAAAGAATTTGGTTCCCAACCCCGGACACTCTCCGCGCCCGACCTGAGGACCCGGGACGGGGTATCTAGTAGTATTATTATCCCAGTCAGGACAGAGCAGTCAGCACTCCGTAGTCAGATGATGATGATGATGATGATGGTGCCGATGGGTCCTGGACAGTGGACAGTGGACAGGACTGTGGGCTGAATCGCATATTCCAATTTCCATGATTCCATCAGCCCGGAGGCCCATCTGCCCCAGCCGGCCCCCAACAGCCACAAGCGCAAGCGCAACCCGACCGAGGTGCTAATCCTAATTCCAAGGTCCGTTCGGCGTCCACCCACTATGGAATGTGGGCTGCAAGTCAGCAACAGGGTAAGTGAGTGAGTGAGTGGGAGGGAAAGAACACGCGGTCTTCTCCGGGTTTCGGGTTGACGCGGCTGTGTGGGGGGGGGGCTGGGGAGGGGGGCAACCCAGTGAAGTGACGATGGGGGCGACGGCCACGGACTGCCATTGGTGTAGGGATGATCGCATTTTAAACGAGGTCGGAGGAGGAAGAATAATATCCAATGATGAATGTTATTTGGATTGCCTAGTACGGAGTAGATACTATCTATCTCTATCTATCTACATACCACTAAAGCAGTAGTTAGTAGTGGTAGTAGCGTGCTGGTGGTGGTGACCGGTAGCGGTAGCGGTAGCGGTAGCGGTCTCCTCGGCAAAATACTCTATAGGTAGGGTAGATAGACAGGTTGCGCAAACCCCCCGGCAGAGTTTTCATCATCCGTATTATTTTTCCCGAAGGATCGGATTCAATGAATCTACCGATTGGTATTTCCTGAGCCGGCGGGGGGGTGAGAGAAGTCCGGAGTAGATAGCTCTGTTAGTACAAAGTAGTAGATAGTAGAGAGGCTACTGTCCAGATCGCATCATCGGACCCCTTCCGCTTCCCTATCTCCGCATGACGTAGAGGTTTCGGCCGGAGATGGATCTGAAGAGTACGGAGTAGTAAGTAAGTAAGTAGTACGGTAACTCTTGACGAGGTAAGTTTCCCGATGGGTTCGAGCCTCGAGGGATGCTAGGTACCGTGCTAGGCAGCACTTGCAGGGATGCGAAGCTGCTACCCCAGAAGTTTAGAGCTACGGGCAAAAAGACTCGAGGCGAGCAGCCGGTCCGTGTTCATCCTCGACGTCATATTGTCTGAGGTGGGTGGGTGGGTGGGTGTGTGTGTGTGTGCGGCATTTGTTGCGTTCGAGGACGAACGTTGGAAAGTGTGTTGTGCGTCTGGGTTTCCTGTCGCTAGACTACCACGTGTAGATGGGGTGAGGTGGCGATGATCATCTGGCCATGCGATGGATCATGGTGGTTATTGACAGCTCCAGTGAGGGGAGGAGGTGGCGAGTACCATACCGCTGGGTAGGCAGCTAGGTTGTCTGTGTGGGGGGTCGCGGCACGGCGGTTTTGAACGCACTGGTTCTGGGTTTGGATGCTGTTGAGATGCGATGTCGTGAGGGATTAGTGGGATGCGATGGGATGGGATCAGCTGGGCGAGTTCTTGATAGTTGAGCTGTTGCCGTCTTGGAGATGCCCTGCCAAGGATGCAAGGGGTGGTTTTGCCAATCAACACAGATTCACCCGTAAAGCTTAACTCAACTTGGCATGCTCGAGCTGTTCGAAGAGTATAGAGCAGTGTTGTTGTTGTCTATAGTTGGTATGTCTGTGTGGATGGCTCTGGTGGGACTTGATTGCACCCATACTGCTATCTATATATCTGTAAACCTTTTATTGAAATTTGATTCGCAATATATTTCAACACTGAGCACAATGAATGCGACCGCGGATTTTGCGTAGATTCAAGCCAAGATTTCTGTTGCTTGGCTGGTAACTGACTCTTCCCGCTGGGTGGCATATATATAACGGACACGGGTGTTGTACCACTCACTGTATTTTGCTGTACCTAAAGTACTACTTGTATCAACAAAATTTGGGATTTGTTCAAGGCAGTGAATTGTACATGAACGTTCATAGATTGGGTGCTTTTATTCTGTATAGTTATTAGTTACACACCTAGGCCACCTAATTATAGACATAACCTGGGCTCCCTCAGTCTATAGAGCCAGGTGTGGAGTCGGAACATAACAGTACGCTGCTGCTAACTCAACGAGCCAACACACCCCAACCCTCCAGACCCTGCATATGGGGAAGCGGTGCGGAGGCACGCGCAGGGACGAGGGCCACAAATTAGGGGGTTCAATTGTTGTTAGACACGGACTTGCTTGCTTTTGCCACACAAACCGACCATTGTTTAATTATTGACGGCCTCGACCTGGCTAGACCTACCCATACACACCCTGTGGCTTAAACAACCGCAAACAAGCCCCAGCATGCCGACATATTTGATCTCACAAGCTGCCTATTGCGAACTGCCGGTTTGCGAAATACCGAGCCTTCGGATTACCACAAGCAGTATCTCCGACCGGCCGAGTTCAAGGTTCATATTCATTTTACCAAGCAAGGCGCGGGGAATGCGAGACCTCACACATATTCACACACATACATAAAGTTTGACAGGACAATCTGTCTATCGATCGTATACCGATCGGTCACATGCAGCTGGGTTGGAGTCTGGAGCAGACAGAGCCGGCAGGTGTCGGCGCCCCTTGCGAGCGGAGATCAGTCATGGGCGTATCGCTATATTCTGCCAGACGGGATGGGGTGATTTTCTGTCCAAGTAAGGAACGTCACACAAGGCATGAGTAGGTAGTCTCAAATAATCGCCTGTCGATGCCAGGTGAGAGCTCCGAAGCACCATGCATATGTAGGCAGGTTTTGTACATATTCTGCATGCGGCAGCGGTGCAGCGAAGCTGTGCTACTGCCTCAGGCCGGAAGGGAAACAAAAACAGTGGCGAGGTGCAAACCAGACAAACTCCCAGCTGAGGTAACCCGCGCTGTTTGTTTACTTTGTGTACGTTTGTGCCCGCCCACGTGCGGATGATTCAGCGGCCAACAGCTTCACCTCCAAAACCCCAGATCCATGCTTCTCGTGTCAATAATTCATTTGAAAGGGGCATGATGATTGGCCATCTGCAGCATCGCGCAGCTAAGAGTGACAGCTGACCACCTGTAGCGCTGTTGAGCTGCTGGCGCCGGTCGTCTAGAACCCCCTGATCTATGGCGGCCCCCTGGACGCGGTTCTAGAACCGGTGCGCCTCTCTCAACAACAACAAGCTTGTGTCTTGCGACCTTACCTTGTTCTGCTGGCAGGCCGCATTTCAATCAATTGGAATGCTACTATTGGCAGTTTTCCGAGCGAGTCCATGCTCCCCCCGTTTTCTTTGCGGTCCTCGTGACTCCCAACTCCGAGCCCTCCGGCATCCAGACCGAGATGGCCTCCCACAATCGGCACGCCGGTGCCGAATCCACCATCGAGTATAAGAAGCATCGGTCTCCCGATGGTTCCTGCCCCTGAGTCCATGCGCTCGTGCGCAGAGGGTATAAATCTGCTGTGCTACCCCCCTTGCTGCAGGCTGTCTGTCTCTCCTGTCGATTTATTGTTGGGGGTCCAGCCTTGCTTTGTGTCACCACCAACTCACCAGACACCAACTACTCCGTACCAACAATACGATGCACATGATGATGATGATGACTAACACCACTGCCGATCGCTGTCAAGCTGCACCAACCCAGGAATCTCAACTCATCGGGAAAATTCTTTTTGTTACTTAATCGCCTGTCACCATTCCAACGTCCACCCGCTCCTCCAATGATGGCCGGCATGGCTCGGGCGACTACTGTACATTGTGGGAACGGTCGGCGTCTCGAGTCTCGGCAGCCTCGCAGGCGAGGGCACAAATTTCCGCACGGCGGGCGGGTCACATTCCAGAAGCGCAAACCTTCCGCGTCGAACCTGCCGACTCATGGTGAAGCCAAGGCCGACCCTCAACCACCCATCGGCCTCAACCTTCGGGCCGTCTGCGTCGAGAGGTTTTCAGCCTAAGGTTTCGCGCAACCAGGTCGGGTAGGAACCGAGGGTGATCCCTCATCCACGATGTCTGTTATCTGCTGTAGGTTTCGTAGAATGGCGAAGGCGGATATCCACTTGGTCACGGCAAGCCAACCCGAGAAATCCTCGTGACTCCCGTCGCCCAGTCCCTCGACGACTGTCGAGAGGTAGGTAGGTAGGTAGGTATCTAGGCACTTGGTCGTGATACCTGCAGCTAACTCGTCCCCTTCCGTCGATAGAGAGATATCTGGACTCCTGGAGCGGCGGTGACCGCATCGATGTCATCATCCTGGCGGGTTAGGCCGCGATAGTGCATCCCGAAGCAGCACTCGCACTCGCTCTCACTCTCAGATGATACCACCGCATGATCCGGCGTCACCACGCGTCGGTCGGTGCATCCTCGTTTCATTTACCCGGCCGGTCCGTTCGCACGCCGCCGGCCGGAAAATTCTCAACATTGTCGCCCGCCATTCCTATTGATTGATTGATTATTCGACCCGACTCAGACTACTACCACTCTCAGCTCGACGCAGCCAACCACACTTACTTACGCGAGTGGGCCCGACCGTTCTTCCTTTCCGGGCCCTGGATTGGTCGCCCTCAGTATCCGCCGAAATCCGGAAGCGCAGGACCAGATTCCCTCTGTTGGGTGTCCCGCAGGGGGGGGAAATTATTTCGCCGACCATCGCGACAAAGAAAGAGAGATAGGTAAATGGGACATGGGACCATGTGGGCAGAAGTCAGATTGTGTTGCCGGCTGGAGCCAATCCCCGACTGGATCAGGCACAGGAACAGTCAGCCAGCAATCTCGTCGGCCAATGGAAGTCATGGCACCCCGGCGCGGGCAGGCAAGATGACGATGTTCGGGATGTGCGCGGTCGTTTAGCCCCCGACCGCATCCACTGGATCTCCTCGAAAAGCTGGGTCTTTTCCCCACATGTGCGCCCCCCCCACCCACCCATCCATCCATCCTCCCCACCCCACTCCACCCCCACCCCACCCCGTTTCTTGCCGAAGGAAAGACTGGTCGACTTGCTCTGGTCTACTGTATACCAAGGCGTCGATGGATGAGCTTCGCGATTCTTGTCTGCCTTGGCGCTGACATGGGTGGTCAGTCACCCTCTCCATAGACGAGGAGAACGTCGGTGACGTAGATAGAGAGAGAGCTCGCCGCGCAGATGATGATGATGGTGTGTTGGACATCGCGCAGGGTCCCGGACTGAAAGTGGATGTGGCCACGATCTTGACAGGCACGTTTAGCCCTCGACCGCGAGATCCTGGGTGCATGATCTCTACCTAAGGTACTTAGGTACAGATGGGGAGGGGCCACTGGATGTCGCAGCCTGTCAGACCGGATCAGAGTTTGCTTTGTCCAGATTTACTACCTAGATCGTTTAGCAGGTGCGGTGGGACTGGATGGGATATTGAATAGTCATAGTAATAATAAAATAATAACCAACCACAACCACAACAATATATTATTATTATTATTATTATTATTATTATTATTATTATTATTTACTTCATACCATGCACTCCTTATGCACCAAACCCCGCTGCCTGCTTGGCTGCTTGTTTGCTTGGCTTGGCTGTCTCAACTCATCTCGATGACCCAGAATAGAATAGCCAGCCATGCACGCATGCATGCATGCATGTCCAGCGTCTGGCTAATCACAATGAGCCGGGATTATCTGCCAGTAACGTAACCAGAAAGACCAACAGACCTGTATTCATTATTCCCTTCCCTTTCCCGACATGGCCAGTAGGTAGGTAGGTAGGTAGGTAGTGGATCGCCGTCGGATCTCATTGGACATGGCACATACCGTAAGTACGTCGGGACTCGTTCATTCTTACCTTATTTATCCCGTTGGGTGATAATGTAAGTGATTAAGTACTCCGTACCGGTCGAACAAAAAAGAAATTACTTTTTCCGGCGGCGGCTTTGATCGTCGATTGGATTGGATTGGATTGGATTGGTTTCCTTCCCGACTCGCATTGGGCCATCCCGGCGCGGCGCCCGCTAAACCGACCCAAGAGGACGCGGAGAGAATGATATTAAAAATTACCATGTGTGGTATAGTCAGAAATAGGAGGGGGGGGGGGGGAAACGGGGGGGGTACTGACTAACCCTCTAAGTACTAACTAACTTAACTACGTGGTAGTCTAGTACTAGAGTAGAAAAGAAAAGAAAGAACGGGGACCTGGAGATATCTACCTAGGTACTCCGTACTCCGTACTCCGTACTCTCCTCAACAACCAAGAAAGACAACAGTAAGTAAAGTAGTAGTAGATAGGTCTTTCTGTGGGGATCGAAGCCGGGGCCAGTCACTCACCCACCACCGAATCAGCATCCATCCCCTCCCTCCACGAAAATCCTCCATCGCCAAATGCGGCCCCGGGCTAAGCCTTTTCCGGCCCATACCTACCGAAGTACCTGCCTACCGTAAATTCCCTTTACTGTTTTATGTACCATTATTTGGATTTTTTTTTATTTTATTTTCATTTTAATTGGGATGGGGGGGGGGGGGGGGGGGGCTTCTCGTGGATATCATTATTAACCCAATATTGCCATTGGAGCAAATATTGCCTGTCTTGCCTTGCAGGATGCGACGCTAGGCGTGATGCAGTTCAGCGCAGCGCAGCGCAGTCGGGAAATCCTGACGCGGCTTCCCGAACCACGGCCGAGTTTTGAACGGACGGACGGACTGGCTGGCTGACTGACTGACTGACTGATTGACTGCGTTGGATTCAGCCCGTGTCTGAGTGAGTGAGTCTGAGGGGATGAGGGGAGGGACCGGGACGGAAGGAAGGAAGGGAGGGAGGGGAGAGAGGGACGGGGGGGGGGCAAGTGATGTTGCTGAGGAATCAACCCCGTATTTCGGATTTCTGTTAATCACGGGGCAAGCGGTGTGAGGTGGAGGTGGTAGATACCATGGGCGGCTCAAATTCTGGAATTACAATGGCGCCCGCATTCAGGCTTTGTTGTGACTTGCGACTTGCGGCGTAGCGAGTTGAGTCCCTAATTACTCCGTAGTACGGAGTAGTTAGTTAGTTAGTAGCGATTATTCAGCCTCGAGAGCTGAGCGTTCCCCGTGGGATGGATGGATGTCGACTCGCCAGAGTTTCCGGGTCGGGAGAAAGGTCCACGAAAAAGGCAGGTCAGCCCTGTGCGGCCAGGTCCACGTTGAGGTCCACTGCTGTCGCAACGATTGGTCATTGCGCGGGCTTATCAGCTGTGATAGGCTCGTTGTTGGGGGAGGGCCAGGGCACAACCGAGTCAAAGGTGGAGCTGCACGGTGTGCTCGGGTTGGTGGAGGACGGGGAGCAGAAGGAGGGAGAGATGGGGTTAGCGCTGAGGCCAGTGGAAGCCACTGACGCGAATTTGGGCTAGTTGATACTACCGGATACTGGTAAGTGGCAGACTAGAGCGATGGACGAAGTTCGGAGCAACGTCAGAGGGGAATGGTCAAGGTGTGATCCCGAATCCTGCGGGCGTGATTGAAGTTGGGGGAAACTGGGGGAGATTGAGGCAGAAGGTGTCGGGGAGACTGGAGAGAGGGCATGCATGTCCAATGGGAGGCCTCAGGGGCCGAGCCGAGTGTTAGGCTGTCTGGACTCTGTCTGGAGTTGTTCTGTTTGGCTCTCCCCTTTTTTTGGTTTTAATTTTTTTTTATTTGTTCTTCTTTTTTATGATTTATTATTTTTTCCCTTTCTCTTTTTCGATTTAATCTCTTTAGGCGACATCCAGACGGCCTGCGTGATGTCATTGCTTATTGCTCGCCCACAGTGGGCCGCGGGCCTGCGCCAAAAAGATGCTTAACCCAGCGTTATTGATGCATCCGGTCCCCTGCTCCACAAAACAAACAATGGTACGGGTCACAGCCAGCGCTGCTAAACTCGGTGGAGCCTCCCCATCCACCCATCCCATCCTCAATCCACTCACTGGCATCAGTAGTCCAGTAGTCCGGCAGGCAGGCAGGCAGTCAATTCAGTTCGGGGGATAAGAGATTGTCGGCCATCATGCATGCTGCCACACCCGACAGGCGGGCGTCCTGGAGAAGTAGATAATCCCCCTTCCTCCCCATCTTCTCCGCGTCTCTTCTGTCTTGTTTTCTCTCTATCACATCCCTCCTTCTCCTTTTGAACCACCCCATCAGGAGTCCTCCGGAGAAGAGAGCGAATCGACTTGGTTGTTTGATCCGCTCTTCCCTTTTACATCTTCCATATACATTCATCTCCTTCCTCTCCCCATTGCCAGCACAGTCCATCATCCAACATGGCGCCGACCTACGCGGGCATGTCAGGCAGGAAACTGTCCCTGGCAATCACCACCATTGCCACGATGGGTTTCCTCCTCTTCGGTTATGACCGTGGGTGCCTCCGTCCCCGGGATGCCTCTCCCCTGCCATGCTAATCTGTCCACAGAGGGTGTCATGTCCGGTATCATCAGTGACAAGTACTTCGAGGATCTCTACACCGCCACCAAGGGCAATGCCACCATGCAAGCTCTGGTCACTTCCGTGTATGAATTAGGTGCGTGCAACATCCAGCTGATCACCTGTCTCTCTTTTGCTGACCCGTGCGCCCTTAGGTTGTTTGTTCGGTGCCATGTTCGCGCTGTTCTTCGGCGACATGACCGGCCGCAGATGGATGATCTTCTCCGGTGCCATCGTCATGATCGTCGGTGTCACCATCCAGGTCACCTCCATGGCAGGCCACATCCCCCTCCTGCAGTTCTTCATTGGCCGTGTCATCACCGGTATCGGCAACGGCATGAACACCTCGACCATCCCCACCTACCAGGCTGAATGCTCCAAGACCGAGAACCGTGGTCTGCTGATCTGTATCGAGGGCGGTATCATCGCCATCGGAACAGCGATTGCTTACTGGATCGACTACGGCGCCCACTTCGGTAACCGCGACCTTGTCTGGCGTCTCCCCATCGCCTTCCAGATCTTCTTCGGTCTTATCCTTATCTTCGGCATGTGGTTCCTCCCCGACTCCCCTCGCTACCTGATCTCCCGGGACCGTATCCAGGAGGGAGAGTACGTGCTTGCCGCCCTGGGTGGCTGGGAAATCGACTCCCACGACACTCAGCTCCAGAAGCAGCTGGTCATCGACTCTATCAGAGCGTGAGTGCATGCGGCCCATTTTCTCGCGATAGGTCATGGTGCTAACAAGTCACAGTTCCAACGCTGCCGGCAAGGATATCGGATACCGCGATCTGTTCACCGGTGGCCGCTCCCAGCACTTCCGTCGTATGCTTGTCGGTTCCTCGGCGCAGATCTTCCAGCAACTGGGTGGATGTAACGCGGTTATCTACTACCTTCCCGTCCTGCTCGAGGACTCCCTCGGCGAGACTGAGGACTTCGCCCTGCTGATCGGTGGTATCAACATGATTGTCTACGCCATTTTCGCGACCTTCTCGTGGTTCTTCATTGAGCGGATCGGTCGCCGTAAGCTCTTCCTGGGCGGTTCTTTCCTGCAGTGCATTGCGATGGTGATCACTTTCGGCTGTCTGATCCCGGGCAACGAGGAGACCTCGAAGGGTGCGGTGTTCGGTCTGTTCCTGTACATGGCTGCTTTCGGAGCCACTTGGTTGCCTCTGCCCTGGCTGTACCCTGCTGAGCTGTCCCCGATCAAGACCCGTGCCAAGGCCAACGCCCTGTCGACCTGCTCTAACTGGCTGTTCAACTTCTTCATTGTTATGATCACCCCCGTCATGGTCTCCCACATCGGCTGGGGTACCTACCTGTTCTTCGCGGTGCTCAACGCCCTGTTCATTCCCATCATCTACCTGTTCTACCCCGAGACCGCCAACCGCAGTCTGGAGGAGATCGACATCATCTTCGCGAAGGGCTACACCGAGAACATCAGCTACGTGCGCGCCGCCTTCGACCTCCCCCGCCTTACCGACGACGAAGTCGAGCAAAAGGCCCTGGAATACGGCTTCAGCGGCACCGCCAACGACGTCGAGGAGGGCAAGGCCACCGCTGCCGAGATCTCCGGCGACAACAGCCCCGGCAACCAGTCCGAGTAGACTGCCAGCCTTCAAAATTTCATGACCAACAAAAAAATCGCATGTTGCATGTCGCATGATTTGCGCTGCCCCCCCGGTCGGCAACGACAGGGTGTCAGCCTTATGTCCTCTGTTTTTGTTTCTTATTTCTTTTTACATCCTTTCCTTCTGTCGATATTTTGGACTGGAGCCATGCCATGCCGATAGGCTGAGTTTGAGTTTGCATCCGAGCTTGATACCATCGTCATCGTCATCGTCATTGTTCCGTGCTGCATGATCTGCGGCTGTTGGATAGAAAGATTCCCCCCAATTTGCTTTTAGTTGTTTTTTACTGTCTTTTCACGCGACTACCCCCGAATGTGCTTGGAACCCGACAGGGACCGCACATCGATTGTTTGTCTGTCTGTCTGTCTGTCTGTCTTGTCTGTCTTGCCGAGAGGCGAGCTTGTGTATATTTGCGACGGCCGTGATGGTTAGAGCGGTTGGTACCGGATCTGGTTCTGGTACCTTTACCCACGAGACTGGATAGATTATGATATGTGTTTTTGTCTCAATTATTCCTTGATTGTAGATGTAAAAGTAGAGGAGATCGAGAGTTGTTGGCGATGGCTGATTGTCAGATGATGCAGCCAACACCCCGACTCGACCACCGATCCAGGTGTTTGGACAGAAATCATGCCTACCCGTTAGGTGGTTTTCGTTTTGTCTCATTTGGTAGAGTATGTACGGAGTATAGACGGTAGACAGACACGAGGGTGTCGCCGTAGTGGAACGGAACCGGAACGGAACCTGTGGCCCGAGTTGACGGTCGCTGATCACAGATCCAGACAAGGCTGGAGCACGGTCTATCTATGTATCTATACATAGGTCATAGGTAGATAGACTTGGTTGGTATCCAAGTAGTTAGTGAGTGGTACGTACCGTCCAGCGGCCTGTGCCACAACAGCCCGGACGGACCCTGAATTAGACGCTGCTGCGGCTGACAGAAGAAACCTGCAAGTCTGCAAGTCTGCGCTGCAATGCGTTCTGCAGGCCGATCTTGGGTGAACGTATGGAGTCCGTCGTAGCATATCTACTTCCTTCCTGTGTGTGTGTGTGTGTGTGTGTGTGTTGTGTACTGTGTTGTAGTCGACTTGACTTGACCGTACCATGGAGTTGAATGGGATCCAGATTGAAGATTCCAGCCTCCTCTTCGGGCCCTTCGGCCCCCCCACCCACATCCACTCACGCACTCATTGGCCGCGTCCAGGGCGAAGAAGCCAGCCACGCAAGGGGGGTCAGGATTAATAATTCCGAGAATTTGGATGACAACAACACGAGGAGGGCGGCGCTGTCAATGGTCGATGGGGGAGAGGATGGTGGAAGACAAGATGTGAGGATGAGACATTCGCACACCTGATCTGATCGGGGGAGAGAGATGGATGGATGGATGGAGGGAGGGATGGATCGGGTGATGTGCCCTGCCCTGCCCTGCCCTGCCCTGCCCCAGTCGAATCCAGCCAGCCAGCCAGGTTCGATCGAATCGAATCGATGACATGGCCGATCGCATGGAAGGCTGGTGGAAGTTGGAAGTTGGAAGGAGTTGAGTTGAGCCTCCGCCCTGTCTTCCCTGTCTTTTCTTTCATCAGCCACTTTCCTGACACACTCTTTCTCCCTTTATTCCCACTCACTTCCCACTCTTCCCACTTCGCTCCCACATTCCCTTCCCCCTTTGTTCCTCTCCTCCGCCATCTTCCAACACGTCTTCCTACCATCGCATCTCCTCCCGCTGGTTCTGGATCGGATCATGCAAATCCAGTTCTCCGCGTACCCCGCCTTTCCCTCGACCCCGCCATGAGCTCCTCCCTCGAGGCTAAGATCGTTGTGCTCGGCGCACAAGGTGAGTCCAACTTCCTCCCTCCCTCCCTCCCTCCCTAATCCTCCCCATCCCATCTCTTCCCCCCCCCCTCAACCCAACCCAAGCCAACCAACCCCCCCCACTAACCTCCAATCTCAAAAAAACCAAAGGAGTCGGCAAAACCTCCCTCGTAGACCGCTACGTGAAAAACGATTTCTCCCCCTCAACCACCTCCTCGACGGTGGGCGCATCCTTCGTGACGAAACGCGTCCTCGACAGTGCCTCCGACACCATCGTGCGCCTGCAAATCTGGGACACCGCCGGCCAGGAGCGCTTCCGGAGTATCTCGCGGCTTTACTACCGCGGCGCGAACGCCTGTCTGCTGTGCTACGACATCACCTCCGAACAAAGCTTCCAGGAGATGACGGGCTGGCTGGCCGAACTGAAACGCAACCTGGTGGACGGCGATGACGATCCCATTGTGATCCATGTCGTCGGCACGAAGACCGATATCGTGACGCTGGATCCGGGCAGGAGGAGGGTGCCGTTTGAGAGGACCATCGCGTATGTTGCCGATCAGCTGTATCCGACGCGCGCGTCGACGCCGCCGGTTACCGCGGGTTTGGTGGTGCCGGGGTCGGGGTTTGGGGGTGGTGGTGGAGGGGCGTTTGGCGTTGGGGGCCAGACGAGTGCGAGTACGCTTACTGGGGGTGCTGGTGGTGGTGGGTGTGGTGGTGGGACGGATAGTAAACGGAGTAGTGCGTTCTGGGGACAGGATATTGGGTGGGACTGCTGTCATGAGATCAGTGCGAAGGATGGCGAGGGCATCGAGGAGGTGTTCCGTGTGATTACGAGGAAGCTGGTCGAGCAGCAGCGGAATCGGAGGGATGCGGCGGCTGCCGCCGCGGGGAGCTCGTCGCAGAGGTCGTCGACGGTCTTTGACGGCGGACTGGTGGTCGGGACGCCCGGTGGAGGGGAGGGGGGTGCTGGTGGTGCTGGCGGCAGCTTTCGACTTGGGTATGGCGATAAGAGGCGCAGTTGGCTGGGGTTTCCGCCGAGTAGTAGTGTCGGGGATGAGATTGAGGATGCGTTGGTGGAGGGAAGGGGGAAGAGGAGGGGAGGGTGTTGTTGATTCTGATTTTGACTCTGTTGTCTGTCCATTATTATGATGATGATGATGAGGTTATGACTGCATGGGGATGGTTGGCGTTTGGGTTGTCTGGTTCTGTCTTTGAGTGATGATGATGATGATGATGCTTGATGCCTGTTTGTTTATTGGTTTGGTTTTGAAGTCGCGCTTTACTTGCATGGCTGTCTGGGATGTTGCAGCGAGGGCTGAGCATCATTGGTTTTGGTGGTGTGCTGGTTTGTTGATTTGGCTTGGCTCTGCAGGTGCAGGCACCTTGTGAACAGCCATGTTGTTGATTTGGAGTGTTCGAGTGATTTAATTTTGTATGGGATAGTTCTCTGTGTTTGTTGTTGAATACGTCTGGAAACAATGCTCATACTTGATTTGCGTTTGTCTCCTAGAGTTGGTCTGCAATACACGGTATACGGTATATAGACTGCAATGTCAATCCGACCCATCCATCCAATTGGACTAGTCCAAATACAGCACATTACATTTGAAAAGAACACTAACCTGTTAAATCGACAGCCCGGAGACAGATAAGTAGATGGATAGATACTATTAGATAGACAGCCCGCCAGCCGTCATTGTTTCAGCCATGCAGGTTGACTCCGGGACGGACGAATAGATCGATCGGCGGTGATCCGGTGGGGAGGGGGGAGGATGTGATTGATGGATGTTCTGTTTCTTCACCTGATGCTAAGGTACTCCTCACTTAGCACGGAGTAACTACTCCTCACTACTTTAAATTATGTTACCCTTAAGATAGGAGTTAATTCTACAAACCCCCCTAATCACTCCCTAACGCCATCGCATCTAAAACTCCGTCAGCACCACCCACCAGGCAGGCAGGTAGCCGGTTTGTACCATAGGCCAGTAAATATTGCAATGCACTATGTATGTGTCTGTAAATACCAATAATACAGCAGTTGGGACAGCCCTGGCAGTGGATACCTCAGCCGGGCATGGATGGCCTCGGGCGTAAGGTTACCTGCCGTATTCAGGGTTCTCCCGAGGCGGCCAGGCGGCCACTCACTGCCCCGGCCATGGTGGGACGGTTTGAGATAGACTCGGTGGCGGTGGGTCGGATTCCGATCGGAAGCCTCGTCCTTTTTTCTTTTTTCTTGCTCTGACTGATGACTGACGGCGGTTGACACTGACACTGACAGAATTGTAGGTGAAGTAGATAGATAGGTGATGATGTGATTGATTTTTATTGAAGACAGTGACCGTCGGTGCTTGTGGTTGGTGGTTGATTTCTTCACGGGGAAACTAGTCCTGCATATGTAACCACTAGATACCACTACTACTTGATTAACATTGAGTAGTGAAGACTGACTGACTGTCTGGACCCTGGCAATTAACATAACATGGCTTTTAATTTCTGGATCCAAGTGTGAGTGAGTCTGAGTCTGTTACACAACTCCGTCCGCAGTCGAGATTATGTCTCGCTCTCACACACTCACTCACTCTGGCTCAATTTTCTTTCTTGGGATCGGCAGGCGGAACCAACAAACCAACGCCGACCCCCGACCGCATGTGAGGGGCCGAATCAGGGACTGACCGACCATACTCCGTACAATCCCACCCATTCCATTTGTAAGACGTCCGTATCATTCAGGGGAGGGAAAAGAAAGCGAAATGAATCCCTCATCCACGGTCCCTCGGAGCAGTCTAGAGAGGCCCGGCTCCTGCCCGACCGGCTATTTATACTTGTCTCACACAGATGGGATTTAATTTCGTATCCGAGGATTGCTAGTAGAAGAATAGATAGCATAAATACCCGACCTAAGTCTGGATAGCCCAGGCTGCCATGTTACTACTATAATTTTTTGCCAGGTAATACGAGTACGGTATACGGTATGGTATGGTGAAATCCCTGCTGATCCCGCAACCCACCAATCTGCGCCAAGCAGCCAGCGGTGATAAGCCTTTGTGTTTTTCCTGAGCTGCTTAGGTTCTAATTATTGTAGGTAATTACTGCTTGCTGGCAACTCTGGCTGTGTACCTGGCTCGGTCCCAGTAACCGTTGGGCTAATTTAACCCCGAGTCAGTACCGGAGCTGCTGCTACTTTCTCCTCCCTCGGATCTTTCTTCCCACGTTGCCTGTTCCAACTTCCTTCCCCCTTCTTCCTCTTCTTCCCCCCCTCCGTCTCCTTCTCCTCCCTTTCTCTCCCTCTCACATTCCCATGGTCTAATCTCGCCTGGCTCCTTCACGCCCAGGCACGTTATGAGATGAGACTATCCTACCGCGTGGGTGCTGCCGCACTCATCATCTTCGCCATCATCCTCATCAAACGCCATCTCGACCTCATCCAGGACGATGCGCAAGTCCAGTCCGGCTGGCACTTCGGCTCCTTCACCGGCGAGTCCTCCGACAGCTCCAGCAGCAGCAGCAACGGCAACACCGACACCGCCTCCACGAAACCCAAGTCGAAACCGAAGCTGACCGGCGACAAGACCCCCGACGACTACGTCAATGGCAACCAGAAAGACGATGCGCTCGCCTCCCGCCCCGTCTACGAAACCACCCCCATCATCGTTCCCAATGACCGGGTCATTGTCATGGCGAAACTCGCCTCCGAGGACACGAGCTGGGTGAGCAGCGACTTGAACGAGTACGTGCTACCCCGACCCCTGCTTGAACCACACCCCCTGCAAAAATGGATTCGGAATTGGAATAGCAATTGACAAGGAACCAGATGGCGCAACGTCATCTACACGGTCGACGACCAAACCGCCTCCCGCCATACCCCCAAGAACAAGGGCCGCGAGTCCCTCGCCTACCTCCAATACATCGTCGACCACTACCACGACCTCCCGTCCACGCTCATCTTCCTCCACAGCCACAAGGACGGCTGGCCCGGCGCCTGGCACACCGACACCATGGCCTACAGCAACGTCGACAGCATTCGCGCCCTGCAGACCGACTTCGTCCAGCAGAACGGCTATGCCAACCTCCGCTGCCAGCAGACCCCCGGCTGTCCCGAGGAGATTCGTCCCTTCCGCGAGCCGGCCCAGTCCGGCAAGACCACCGAGAGCGTCTACGCCCAGGCGTGGGTCGAGCTGTTCAACAACACCGATGTCCCCGAGGTGGTCGCCGTCGCGTGCTGCTCGCAGTTTGCTGTCTCCAAGGCCCAGGTCCTGCAGCGCCCGCTGGAGGATTATCAGCGCTATTATGATTGGGTCTTGAATAACCGTCTGTCCGATGATTTGACCGCCCATGTTATGGAGTATACCTGGCATATTATTTTCGGGCAGGACCCTGTTTAGTAAGCCCCATCCCCTCCTTTCCTCCCTCTCTCCACCCCTCTCCCAATTTTCTTCTACCAACACCGGTTGCATGAGATGAATACTAACGGAAATAGCTGCCCCGATGCCTACCAATGCTACTCCGACGTCTACGGAAACCCCTACTTCTGGTGATGGTGACGCGACGGTGACGGTGCTTGATTCGCGATTGTGATCGCGATGCGTGATTCGGCTATTTGTACAGAATACCCCCGGTGATTGAATGATTTACTCATCTCATCATTTCTCCATTGATTACTTATTTCTTCATCTTCCTGGCTCTCTTACTTTTCTTGGCCATCTATCTACCTATCCTTCTATCACACTCTCCCTTCTCCTTCCGCCTCCTCTCCTCTTCCTCTTCATCTTACTCCTGCACCCCCTTTTTTCCCCTTCCCTCTTTTTTCTCTCCCATTTCACTTTTACTCTTACTTATCTACTTCTACACTCGTCATCTCTGTCCGCACCTGACGACAACTCACGTACGTATTTCAGCTGCTTCTGTTTTGTGGCGTTCTTTGTATATGACTGGTTTTTCTTTCTTTGGGTTGGTTAAAAGTCGTGGTAGAAATGAAATATATTGAACCATCTTTACTTTCTCTTCCTTTTCTGTTTCTTGGGGGGTTGTTTCGAGGGAGGGGAAGGAGGGGAAAGAGGGGGTTGGGGGTTGGGGATGGGGATGTTGGTTGCACGGACATAGGATTGGAAGGTGGATGGACATTGGATGAATGCCAAGATACCCGTGTGCTGGGTGGGTGTGTGGGTATTTGTTTCGGTTTGGATTGGTACGGAGTACGTAGATCAGGGATGATCGTTCGTGATCATGATCATGATCGGATGGTGATCTGTAGATATAGCGTACCGTAGATGTACTGCCGGAGGGGGGGGAGGGGGTGGTCATGTGATTTACCACCATACTATAATGGATCTAGTTGGTTGGGTCGTGTTGGGTTGGGCTAGGTGGGTTGCTTTTGTTCAACTTACAATATGACATAACAATATGAATAAGAAATAAGAAACAGTGATAGTAGTGGTAGGTAGGTAGGTAGGTAGGTACTTTTGTCAGACGGACTGTTATATTACTTATTGACTGATTGGGGATTGGGGATTGGGGCTTGGTAATATCTGCACTGCACTGTATATGTACCTACCTACCTACCTAGGTACTTTTCTATGTAGTATTTCCTAAACTAGTCGCTCAGTCAGTCTTGGAGTAGACACGCCGGGACTGGCTACTTCCTGTCATTGTGGCATCACAACACATTACCACTTAATACCCCCCCCCCCCAACCACCCCCGCGCTCCGGCTCAACACCTGTTCAACTGCCTACCTACTAACCTACTACTTAGGTAGGGAGAATGAACAAATTACAGAAACCAAAGTAGACAGACCCAAGTAAGGCGAAGTAAACGAAAGTACACCGAAGTAAACCACGTAAACCACGTAAACCAATAAAACCAAACCCTCAGAATCAACCCCCCTCCCTCTCTACCCTATAACGAAATCCTATTTCCCCCCATAATCCCACCACTCCCCTCCCAACCCACCACAGAACCCAACCGCACAATAATAACCCCCGCCACCCTTGTTATCCTTATTCGGCGAGAACATCACGAACTGACTATTGCTGAGCCCTTTCCCTCCATCTCCGGCACATCCATCGGATCCCACGCCCTCGTTCTGCACGGTGTACGCTGTGTGTGCCGTGCTGTACCACAGACAAACCGTGTCGCCTGCGCCCCCGGAACAGGAATGGTTGTTCCCGCTGGGCGGCGTGGTCCACGACTGGGTGACGGGGAAGCCGCCGCTCGTCCAATGGGCTGCTGTCGCGGAGGAAGTCCAGTTGATTGTGGTGCTGTAGGATGGGCTGTTTGGTGAGGCTGAGGGGAGGGTGCATGGGGTTGTTGTGCAGTTTGTGTTTGGCTGTGTGGGAGGGTTAGTGGTTGTTGTTGTTGATGTCGATGTCGATGGTATTGTAGTTGGGGAGGGGGATTGGATGACTTACGCTCAGCTGTTTATTAAGGTAGTTCTGGTGCGGGTTTCCGTCTCCGACGAGGGTGGTGTTGATCTTGTTTGAACAGGTATTAGAGGAAGAGGAAGAGGATGTCTGGCTGCGCCTTTTCAGCTCAGGGTACCAGGTGACTCTGAGGATATCGTCATGGGGGCTGCGGCGTTTGAGACGGATCTTTCGGGTCTGGGTTGAAAGGTCGTCCTCTTCGTAATCATCATCGTCGTCGTCGTCATCGTCGTAATCGTCGTCGTCGTCGTTGTCGTCGGCACTGCGGGTTTCGAGCCAAGGGTACAAGGCTTTGAGATTGGGTGCTACATGGACTGGGATGACCTGGAGCGGATCGTCGTTGTCGTTGTTTTCGTCCTCAGGATTGCGACGTTTGGGTACATGATGGACCTTGGACAATGGGTCATTCTCATCGTGATCGTATTTCCAAATATAACTGTCTTTGTAATCGAGAAGGCCCCGACGTTTGGGTACGTGATGGACCTTGGACAATGGATCGTTCTCATCGTGGTCATATTTCCAAATATAACTGTCTTTATAGTTCAGGAGGCCGCGACGTTTGGGTACGTGATGAACCTTCGACAATGGATCATTCTCATCGTGATCATATTTCCAAATATAGCTGTTTTTGTAATCAAGAAGGCCCCGACGTTTGGGTACATGATGGACCTTCGACAATGGATCATTCTCATCGTGGTCGTATTTCCAAATATAACTATCTTTGTAATCAAGAAGACCGCGACGTTTGGGTACAGTGTGATCGATCTGGGCGAGAGAATCATCCTTATCGTAAATATCACTGTCTTTGTAATCATCGCTGCGGGTCTCCCACCAGATATACCGAAGCTTGCTATTAGCCGCCCTCGTGCCAGTCTCACTCTTTGTCACGGGAGATGTAAGCGACGAAGAAGAAGAAGCAGGAGCAGCTGACCCCTTCCCTTGCTGCGCAACAATCGCTCCATAAGCCCTGTACAGACTCAACCCCGAGATATCCTTGAAACACGACGTGCGATTCTGCGAATCAGCCGGTGTCAGCGAGAGAGACACCGGCACGGGCACGCTGCATGTCAAGAAGCTTTCGAGGTCGTCGTATAGTCTTGCACAGGTGATACCACCTGAGGTGGTGGGGTCTTGGTGGACGGTGTATGTTGTTGAGCCGATGGTGAGGTTGCCGGCGCCATTGGCGTCCACGGTGGCGGTGATGGGGAGGGAGGCGAAGATGCCGCTGTTTAGGGTGTGGGTGCATGAGAAGTCGAGGATTTCGGAGGTGGAGGGTTTGACAGCGGCGAGGGAGGTTTCGGAGGCGCTTTTGAGTTGTTGGATGATGATGTTGATGGGTTGGGTGTTTTGGGTGTTTTGGGTGGTGAGGGGGGAAGAGCGTGGGTAAGGGGGATGTGGAAGAGGAGGAAGAGAAGGAGGGGGGAACAATAATGAAGGTGCATTTTCATTGCTGGGTTGATTGGGATTCTGACTTGGATAGTGCGAGGTGAGTTGGAGGGTTGGTCGTGGGGAACTACTCAACACCCATTTATATATAGCCTCAGCATTCAGGCTCGCCATAGATGTAAGACCCGGATTGCCCCAGGAGCCGAGAGGAAGCTGTTTTGGGAAGTCAGGAACTTGGCCGGTCCAGTTAATTGAGACTCTGATGACGGGGCAATGCAGGATGAAAGACAAGTATAGAAAGCCGATTTGGTGTAACAGGCCGATCTTCTCGGCTTTGTACGCAAGACGTAGGAGATGGATGAAGATTCTGCAAATTTCACATTAATCCAGTAGCGAAAAAGACGCAGTGTTTCAGGTCGGGACAGTGATGAAAGAAAGAAATCGCTCGGTTACATTAGAAGGGTTCTGTGATGGTGGAATACTTGACTGATTCACACTATTGATACTTGCTATTGCACCTTCTACGTTTCCGGATTGATTCGACCAGGGATTATTCTTAGAAGGTGGATCTGGACACTCTTAAGACTGCACCATGACTGGGAAAAGGGTCAGCTGGATCTGTCTGGGTAGCACATGCCTTCTAGTAAAGGTATCCATCAGAAGAACCAGGAGCAAATGAATAGACGAGGTAGGAATAGTATCGGGTATACCTGCCAGTCTACAGAATACTCACCTAAAGCTGTTGCCCCGAAACCAAGTAGTGTGACATACCCCTGAAGATGACATTGGTTGATGCGTGTCAGACATGATCATAAAGAAACTGTCAAGCAAACCGGCTGACCAAAAGGAGTTCGGAGAGATGGATAGTCTGAGTCTTGCATCTGGCTGAAATTGGGTGGCCTGGATCACATCTCGGCCGAGAGCTATTTGTTCCTTTTCTGCTGCACTTTGAAGGGGTTGGTACAGAGATGCGGTGATTCCAGGTGTTTTAATCCATTGCTGCTTTTCAACAATAGGCGTCGAGCATGCTGAACGGGCGGGCAAAGCCACGTGCCTGAAAAGTATAAGGCCCAGTGATGAGAGAGGTGGCGTCCAGGAGCCATTGGATATCCATGAATATAGCCTTTTTGCTAATCCTCCCGAATTGATGAGCGGATGTTCCTGAATTGGGTTCGATGATATCATGGTTTACTTCTATGTTTCGAACGCGGCCCTCAGAGTGCGCGGGGCATGAGTGATGACTGGGAGAGGAGTAAAGATGGTTTAGACTTAGCCCAGATAATAACAAAGAGATAGGTGAAGGACACCAGAAGGTTGAAAAACAGTCCTATTATACACAGACTGATGCTATCTGTTGGCATCGTCATGGCAGTATTCTTGATAGACGAGGGTAGTCCAATGATTGCTGGTCTCAAGGAATGAACCGTAGTTGGTCAGCCCCATCGTGTTAATCCAGTGTTCCTTTTCCTTTTGCCCAGTGGACGTGCGTGTAAGGCCCTATCCGGCCGGGGAGGAGATTCCGCGCTAACCGGATAGGGACTGCCGATGTTATGGAAGTGCTGCTATTTAGAACAAGATAGCCAGCCATGCCGTAGATCTTTGACTGCAAACTTGACAATCTAGGCGTACAAACCAGCCAACCCCGATGACTTGCAGAGTTGATTGCCGATCTCCAGCCAGCCGAGGGAGTGAAAGTGCTGGCACTGCAGCCGCAGTCGGCCGAGAAAAAGGGTCGCCCCGCCATTTCTCCAGTGGATGCCGAGCTTAACGGGATCGACCAACGGCCACTCGCCGATTTTGTGCTGCCGCCCTCCATAGGCTGCTCGCTCACCATTCACCCGAGCTGCTCTCTCGGGCGATTGACTCCATTCTCTCCTTTATCTTCCCCGCGTCCCTGCTTTCTTAAGCTTCCTCCTTCCTCGCTATCCCGGAAGCTGCCTGTTGTCTCTCTCCTCCGTACCCATTCTATCTCACACATACCTCCCACCATGAGTACACGCAAACTTACTGGCGCCGCCGTTGCCGAACACAACTCCAAGGACTCCTGCTGGGTCATTGTCCACGGCAAGGCCTATGACGTGACCGAATTCCTCCCAGGTACATCCCATCACATCCATCTTCTCCCTCTCATCTCCGCAACCCATACTGACCGATTAGAACACCCCGGTGGCCAGAAGATCATCCTCAAGTACGCCGGCAAAGATGCGACCGAAGAATTCGAGCCCATCCACCCCCCCGACACCCTGGACAAGTACCTCGACTCCTCCAAGCACCTCGGCGAAGTCGATATGACCACCGTCGAACACGAGGAGAAGACCGCCGACCCAGAGGAAGTCAACCGCCAGGAGCGCATCAAGCACATGCCCTCCCTCGCGGCGTGCTACAACCTCATGGACTTCGAGACCGTGGCCCGCAGCGTCATGAAAAACACCGCATGGGCATACTACTCCAGCGGAGCTGACGATGAAATCGTACGCCTCCCCTTCCCCCCATATCCCCATATCCCCATATCCCCACCCACCAACCCTAACCTCCCCCCTCCCTCCAGACAATGCGCGAAAACCACTCCGCATTCCACAAAATCTGGTTCCGTCCCCGCGTCCTCGTCGACGTCGAACACGTCGACTTCACCACCACCATGCTGGGCACGAAAGTCTCCGTTCCCTTCTACGTCACCGCCACCGCCCTGGGCAAGCTCGGCAACCCGGAAGGCGAAGTCGTGCTCACCCGCGCCGCACACACCCACGACGTGATCCAAATGATCCCGACACTGGCCTCCTGCTCGTTCGACGAGATCGTCGACGCCCGCAACGGCGACCAGGTGCAGTGGCTGCAGCTCTACGTCAACAAAGACCGCAGCATCACGAAGCGCATCGTCCAGCACGCCGAGGCCCGTGGCTGCAAGGGCCTGTTCATCACCGTCGACGCGCCCCAGCTGGGCCGGCGCGAGAAAGACATGCGCTCCAAGTTCTCGGACGTCGGCTCCAACGTCCAGGCAAACGACGGCGACGCGGTCGACCGCTCCCAGGGCGCCGCCCGCGCTATCTCCTCGTTCATCGACCCCGCCCTCTCCTGGAAAGATATCCCCTGGTTCCAATCCATCACTAAAATGCCCATCATCCTCAAGGGCGTCCAATGCGTCGAGGACGTCCTCCGTGCCGTCGAGGCGGGCGTCAGCGGCGTCGTCCTCTCCAATCACGGCGGTAGACAACTCGAGTTCGCCCGCTCCGCCATCGAAGTCCTCGCCGAGGTTATGCCTATCCTCCGCGAACGCGGCTGGGAGAACCGTATCGAGATCTTCATCGACGGCGGTATTCGTCGCGCAACGGATATGCTCAAGGCCCTTTGTCTCGGCGCCAAGGGCGTCGGCATCGGTCGGCCGTTCCTGTACGCTATGTCCGCCTACGGCCAACCCGGCGTCGAACGCGCCATGCAGCTCCTCAAGGATGAGATGGAGATGAACATGCGTCTCATTGGCGCGAATACCATCGCCGATCTCAATCCTAGTATGCTTGATGTCCGTGGGCTAGTGGGTGGTCATTCCGGCTCTATGCCCTCCGATACCCTTACTATCGGCGCGTATGATCCACTTCAGGCCCCGAGGTTTAGTGAGAAGTCGAAGCTGTGATGGGAGCTGGCTTTGGTGGGTTGTTTTGCTGATTGGTTTTTGTTCGCTTCCTGCTGGTTTGGGATCGTACCGTGCATACATACGTACATACATGACCGGATTGTATATATACCCCGTTTAGATTTTCATATAAACTTGCTGTATTTCTTTTTAAATCTTGGGTTGCTGTGGTTGGTACGTGGTTGAGATCCCGCGTTCTACCGTTGTGATGATACCTTGGTAAGGTGGTGTCTGAGGATGCCTCGTGCTCCTTTTGCCTCAGCGGTCTTCCTGTCAGGTAGGTGGGGTACCAGGTACTACCTGCCTTACGGTGAATCTCAAATGCTACCAGCAGAGATGCCATCCATCCCGGTATAGACCGGACAAGTCACTCATCGGAGCCACTGGACATATACTACAGTAGTACCGTACCTAAGTACTAGGACCTATATATATACCCATGTATAGTATAGGATGTAGCAGACAGCCTATTACAACCACCCCATGCATCTGAATCGTAACTCAGTATATACAGTCCCCTCTCCCTCTCCCCCTGTTCATGCCCACTCCATTCACAACCTACAAAATCACAACCTTGGCCCCATTCCGCAACCGCCCCCTATCTCCCATACAAGCCGCATTAACCAACCAGGCGCCTCCAAAATTCTCCCCGCCCCAGACCCTCGCCCACACCACCCCGAGAACCCCATACATCACCACCCTAACGGCATCAACCAACCCCCCCACATCTAGCAAATCGCGCACCCACCCACCCAGCATCCCCAGCCACGATAGCCGCGCCCGCGCCCGTCGCGCAGCGCAGATCCGCTCCCAGGCCTGTTGCGCGGCGTCGAAGAAGATCGGCTCGCTGCCGGAGGCGGCGTGCACGTGTCCGAAGACGTGCAGGGCGGGACGTACGCGCCAGAGTTCGGATAGCAGGGAGGGGCAGCCTGTTGAGTAGGTCGGGGAGAGGTCGAGGTGGGATTGCGGTGGGGTGTGGGTTATTAGGATGTCTGTTGAGGGGGGGATGGTGTGCGACCAGGCGTTGTGGTGAGGGGGGTAGGTGAAGGCGTGGTCGGGGGTGAAGGGGACGATGCTGGGGATTTGGGGCGCGCCGTAGATGGTTAGGGTTCTGGGGCGGGTGGATGTTGAGGTGGATGATGATGATGATGTTGTTGATAGGGATGTTGATGGGTTAGGGGTTGTGGTGGCGGTGGTGGAGGTTGGGGGGAAGGTGAGCGTGACGGAGGAGTGTTGCAGGTAGTGGATATCGCCCCAGTCGATGGCGTGGTCTGAGTCGTTCTCGTCGAGGGAGTAGAGGGAGGCGGTAGACGAGGAGATATTCGCGTAGGAAGAAGAGGACGCGTGTTGGTCCTCCGGTCGTCGGGAGCGCACGTCGAAGTAGCTGTCGTGGTTTCCGCAGATGACGACTTTCTGCGGATGCGGTAGGCTGCGCAGCCAGTCCACCGCTGCTTGGATCTCGCGCACGCTGCCGTCGTTGCTCAGGTCGCCTGCGTGGATTAGCAGGTCACCATCTGGGATGTCGGCGCATTCGAGCGTGTGGGTGTCTGCGATGCAGACAATGCGGAGAGGCCGGGCGTCTGGGGGTGGGAGTCGGGGAGGCCCGCGGAGGTGGTTGAGCAGTTGGTGTAGCGGGTGGATGAGCGTTGCTAGCGGGGAAGAGAGGAAGTAGTCCGGAAGCGGCCGGCGATTGAAGGGGGAGGTCATGGTGTGAGTTGGAGGGACGATAGTCATTCCATGATTTGGGTATTGTGTTGTGTTGGTTGTTGGTGGTGGTTGTTTGTTGTTGCAGGTGTCAGCGGGTGGAGGAGGAGGAGGAGTTCAGGTGGTAAAAGTAGCTGGGAGCTGGCAATGCCCGTGCGGAGGCGGGGAGTGGAGGGCCAACCAGGGAGAGGCACAGCTGACACAACATTATGCTGATGGATTATGCAGCACTTTTAACATTAACTAACTCCACAACTGTATACGGTGGAAAGTCTGATTCTGCCTCAAACGTCACACACACACTTTAAAGAATATCATGCCGGACCATTTACCCGCCTATCATGATAGAGATGTTGTATATAGTACACGGTAGTAATCCTATGTCGTAGCAATGCCAATTACGGAGTAGATACAACCTCAGCTCGATTACGTCACGTGCAGGCGGATGAATCATCGACTGGCTGGTTGAGATCGGGCTTATCCACTGTCTGGGTGACATCGAGTCGAGATCCAACAGCATCCCATCCTATGCACATCGCAGGACCATCAGGTGCGATTTCTTGCTCGATAGGTCCCCTATAAGATACAATTTGTTCCATAGGAGGAATCTTCGCCGATAGAGTTTTTTAGTACTATGTACTAGTATGTACAGCGTCAAAACAATACCCTTGTCGTAGTCATTAGTAGCAAGAGTACGGAGGAGTCAAACTCAAGCAGGCAGTGGTCAGGTAGCACGGCGGGGAGTCTGGGGCAGACAGACAGGACAGTAAGTACATCCTGATACCCGTCACGATGAATCCCCTCGCCTCTCGGCCAGGTGGTTGCATCGGGCCCTGTGCTGGGCCCGACCAGAGTCTTCTGAAGATGAGGCCCATCCTACACACTGCAGCACACTGATTGTCTGTCTGTCCATGTGTTCATCTGTCCCTGCTTGTCTATTGTCTATTTCTGAGCCCGAGTCCCTCAGGCCCAACGGCGAACCGATCGGCTGTCCAGCGTAGCCCATTTGTGATTTGCCACATGCGCGGTGCTCAACACAACACTTTACTTCTCCCACTCTAACGCTTGCGGACATTCCTGGCTCTTCATCCTCGCGCTCACTACTTCCCGTTGTCTCCTAGACGTCCCGAGCGGTTGGATTTCCGGTTCTTCGCATGGTGATCGGCCCAGTGCATTGCCGGCGTGCTCAGCTTTGTCTTGTCTTGCCTGTCGTCTATATCGTTTGCGTCATCTGGCCAGCCCAGTCAGTCATCTGCACGTTGTCGAGCCGGGATCAAGTGGCCTCAATTTCCTGTCGCCTTGGACGGTGGAATTTTTTGGGAGGCGTGAAGAGGGAGCCAGGATCCAGCGACAGCAGGAATCTTTCCTTCTAGAAGGTTGGTGGTCTCCGAGACGCGCGAGGAGTTGCGGGCGCTGCTGAAGGCTGAACCCCTCCGAATCGCACAACCCGTTCTCACTAACAGTCCAGTCCAGTCCAGCCCAGCCGCCTTCTTCTCCGCCGCGCCGCCGCCGCCGCCCATCTGGACCTGACGACGCTCCAGCAACTCAGCAACTTAGGAACTAACGCCGCCATCCAGCCCAACCTCGTGTCTTTTACTTCGCCCATCGCCTCTTGTTTCCCCCCTCCCTCCCTCCTTCCGATCCGAAACGCTCCCTGCCTGCCCCGACACCATGGACGGGGTTGATATCACCAAGGCCGTCCTCAACAAAGGGAAGCAGATGGCTAGTGTCGCCGCCGCCGCTGCCAATGGCAATGGCGGTAAGAAGAGAAGAAAAGGGACCGACTTAAAGCCGATCGTCACCAACGACGCCGCCACGCCTGGAGTCGACCCAGCGACCTCCTCCACCACCACCACCACCACCAGTGAGGGGTATGGCCAACGCCTCTTTCTTTTGCTTCTGATATTCTTCCCCTTCCCCTCTCTCCCCTCTTCGTTCTTCCCCGCCCGCCCGCCCGCCCGTCTTCCTTCTCTCCTCGATTTTACCTCCTCCCCCCCCCCCCACCCCACACCACTCCCCTCCACCTGATCTTTTCTAACCGCCATGAGTGGCAGGGCTCCCGCACACGGCGTTTCAGCATCGCGCTCATCCTCGTCATCCTCCGGCGAAGAACTGGAGACCACCGCGGAGGAGGAGGACTCGGAGGACTACTGCAAGGGTGGCTACCACCCCGTCTCGGTCGGCGAGACTTACAACAACGGTCGCTACGTGGTCGTGCGCAAGCTGGGGTGGGGTCACTTTTCGACCGTCTGGCTGTCTCGCGATACAACGACCGGGAAGCACGTCGCCCTCAAGGTTGTCCGCTCCGCCGCCCACTACACCGAAACCGCCATCGATGAGATCAAGCTGCTGAATCGCATCGTCGCCGCCAACCCCTCCCACCCCGGTCGCAAACATGTCGTCAGTCTGCTGGACTCGTTCGAGCACAAGGGCCCCAACGGGGTGCACGTCTGCATGGTGTTCGAGGTGCTGGGAGAAAATTTGCTCGGCCTGATTAAGCGCTGGAACCACCGCGGCATCCCCATGGCCCTGGTCAAGCAGATCACCAAGCAGGTGCTGCTCGGCCTGGACTACCTCCATCGCGAGTGTGGCATCATCCACACCGACCTCAAGCCGGAGAACGTGCTGATCGAGATCGGCGACGTCGAGCAGATTGTCAAGACCTACGTCAACGAGGAGGCCAAGAAGGAGCAGAAGGACGACACCCAGGACAACCGCAATGGCCGGCGACGGCGCCGCACCCTGATCACGGGGAGTCAGCCGCTGCCCAGCCCGCTGAACACCAGCTTCGATTTCAAGCACACCTCGCACAACTCCCACAGCAGCCTGAGCCAGATGGTGAGCGATTCATCGGGTATGTTCCTACTGCTTCGTCGCGCGTCTGCGTGCTAACGGATTCAGCTGCGCCCGCTCACGAGAGCCCATCGATGAAGGATATACTAGGGATCAAGGACGATGACGAGAAGCAGAAGCAACGGGAGAAGACCGCGTATGTTGCTCCGACGCGCATGGAAGACGACACTGACAATCGCAGGGATCTGCTGGAGCGCGAAGTGTCGGGGATCTCGCTGGACAAGTCGTCCACGTCGAATGAGGAGCTGGAGTGCGACATCATCTCCGTGAAGATTGCCGACCTGGGCAACGCCTGCTGGGTCGGCCACCACTTCACGAATGACATCCAGACACGGCAGTACCGGTCGCCGGAGGTGATTCTGGGGTCGAAGTGGGGCGCCAGCACAGATATCTGGAGTATGGCGTGCATGGTATGTCATCCCCGGCCTTTCGCCCGAACCACACTAACTGCTCAGGTATTCGAACTCATCACCGGAGACTACCTGTTTGACCCCCAATCAGGCACGAAGTACGGCAAAGACGACGACCACATCGCGCAGATCATCGAGCTGCTCGGCCCGTTCCCCAAGTCACTCTGCCTGGCGGGCAAGTGGTCGCAGGAGATCTTCAACCGCAAGGGCGAGCTGCGCAACATCCACCGGTTACGTCACTGGGCGCTGCCAGAGGTGCTGCACGAGAAGTACCACTTCACGCCGGAGCAGGGCATGGAAATCAGCGAGTTCCTACTGCCCATGCTGGAGGTCACGCCGGACCGACGCGCCAACGCCGGTGGCATGGCCTCGTACCAATGGATGCGCGACACGCCCGGCATGGAGGCCATCGATCTGGGCATACCGCCTGGCACCCGCGGCGAGGGCATCGACGGCTGGGCGATGGAGGTCAAACGGAGATAAAGACCGTCTTAAAAAGTACATTAGCCGTAAGGCGAACTGACGGGAGTCGGGGTGACGAGTTTCCTTTTCTTTTCTGTTATTGTGGCGGATCTCTATATTCTACATTTTTGGCTGCTTGGCTGGCCGTTTACTGGATGTTACGATTGCCTTGAACGTGATGTTTGCACGCTCGTATGTTTTCTATAGAGTTACTACTACTGCTGCTGCTGCTGATACTCTTGTCTGGTTTGAGTGAGATATGAAGCTCAGCTTGAGGGTTTGTTTGTTATCTGTCTGCCCGTCTGTCTGAGGTATATGAGATGTGTGCATCATCTATCGAGGTATTTGAGCATCTGCCTGCAGGCTACTTACCTAGTAAGTAAGATAGGTTGTCTGCAGGTCCGCATTACGTTGCAATTTATACGATAACGATCTGGTACAGCCATGCGGGTTACTGTAGGTAGTTATGGTTGGATATAGATAAGTAGCATGTCATAATCCCGCAGCAGCAGCAGTACCATCGACACCATCCTCAACTTGTTCTTGCCCTTCTTCTTCTTCTTCTTCTTCTTCTTCTTCTTCTTCTTCTTCGTCTCCACTTAATAGTCCCTCCTCACTCGGCAACATCGCCGGGAACCACCCAAACCGCACCACATCCACATAGAACTCCCCCATCGCGTCCACCGACACCTCCACCCCCTCCGCGCGTAACGTCTCCGCCTGTCGCTCTGCACTTCCGGGGCCGCTGTCATTTCATATCATAGATCTACTATCAGCCTGCATTCACCACTACCAAACAGACACCAGACACCAGACACCAGACACCACCCCCTCAGATCTAACAAGATAGGCATGCCTACAAGGTAGATAGATACCTGAGACAAACGAACACCCCCCTACCCAAAACAACAAACAACAGACAAAGCGCAAGCAAAAACACAGCAACGAAGGGTGAGATGGGGATGGATGGATAGACTAACCGATGCGAAATCATTCCTTTGGCGTTAATCACCCGCTGCCAGGGCACATTCCCCTCGTGGAAGAAGTTGTCGCTGGGTGTCCGTGGGAGGTGCTTTAGGGTGATGCCGACTTGGCGGGGGCGTTTTGCTATATATATTTAAGTACTTGTGTCAGCGCGTAGCTGGCTTGGTTGCTGGTAGGTGGGTGTGTGTGTGTGTGTGTGTGTGTGTGTGTGTGTGTGTGTATGTATGTGATTCAGGTAGAGAGTTTAGTTATTGTCCTCCCCTTCCAGGGTTGCGTATACTAACTACCTACCTACCTACCTACTACTTAGGTAGTAAGTGTATATGCATGCCCGCCCGGACGCGGGAATGAGAAGGGCTCTAGGGAAGGACGGAGGAGGGATGGGGAAGGCAGGAGAGGGAGGAAAGGGAAGCGTACGAAACCCCAATAACGTCGCGATATGGCCGTATGATGTCACTCTTCCTCGGGGGATCTCTTGGACCGCTTCGTAGACCGCGTTGAACCACCATTCTGCTTCGTCGGTGCGGGGCATTCTTTTTCTTTTCTTTTTTTTTTTTTTGGACTTTCGGCTCTGTGTTTGGATTGGCTTGGTTGTTTGAATGGGACGGTTATGGATAGATGGATGGACTAGTAGAGAAATGGCGGGCGCATGAATGGTTGTTGTCGAGCTGTAGATGCTGGAGATTGATGTGATGTACTAGATCTAGATCGGATCGATGGATCTAGACTATACTACAAAGGTAACGTTGTATGTAATGATCTGGTATTAAATGTATATGTTACGATGAGAAGAATACCGGGGGGTTATTGTTCCGGCGCAGCTCAGGCGGTAATGTTATCGGGTTATCCGTTCGTTTGTTCGTTCATCCTCATTCATCCTTCCTCTCATCATCCATCATCTCTCAATTCCAACTACTCCTACTCGAGTTTGCTTGACTCCGATCTACGTTTTGATCTGGGTGGGTAGATATCTACATACCTACCACATCGACCCCCACCCTACTCAACATCGGTCCACCTCTCGAACCACACACACACACCCACCAACCCCGATCCAGCGCCAGAGACCTCAAAATGTCCTCCCTCTCCTCCTACCTCGCAAAAAACTACCTAACGGCCGACCCGTCCCCGGCCTCCGAGCGCCCCAAAAAGAAGCGCAGAAAGAACGCCCCCGTCGACACCACGCCCTCGGGCCTGATCATCGCCGACGACGACCCGCCGTCCCTCCGCTCGTGGGGCGGCGGCGGCCTCCACGACGACGAGGACGGACCATCTATCGTCTCCGGGCCTGGGACGACGAGCCGTGGCGGGGAATTCCGACGCAAGAAGACGTCGGGTTGGAGGAATCTTTCCGGCAGTGCAGGGGATGAGGAGAAGGCGGCGGCGGATGCGATATTGGCGGGCGTGATTGCGGAGAGGAAGGCCGGACGGGACGGTGATGAGGATGAGGATGATGAGGATGCGCCGGTGGTAGAGGAAGAGACGGATGCGATGCGGATGGAATCCGGCGCGTTAGCGGGCCTACAGACCGCCGCGCAGACGGCAGCGATGGTCGCGGAGCAGGAGAAACGAAAGAAGAAGGAAGCAGCGCGGTATAAGGATTCCGCGCTGGGCGAGAAGGCGCAGGAGACGATATACCGAGACGCGAGCGGACGGATCATCAATGTGGCGTTGAAGCGGGCGGAGGCGCGACGTGCAGAGGAAGAGAAGAAGCTCCAGGAGGAGGAGGCGAAGGAGGCGCTTATGGGCGATGTCCAGCGCAAGGAGAGGGAGGAGAGGAGACAACTGCTGCAGGAGGCGAAGGTTATGCCCCTGGCGCGGACGGCTGAGGATGAGGATATGAATGATGAGCTGAAGTCGAGGCAGCGCTGGAATGATCCCGCTGCGCAGTTTTTGTCGAACAAGGGCGAGAAGGCGGTTAGTCGCACCGGTAGGCCGTTGTATCAGGGGGGCTTTGCGCCGAATCGCTATGGCATTCGGCCGGGGCATCGCTGGGATGGCGTGGATCGTGGAAATGGGTTCGAGAAGGATTGGTTTGGCGCGAGGAATCGAAAGGGCAGGTTGGAGGCCCTGGATTATGCTTGGCAGATGGATGAATAGGTGGGCTGTTGTGTATGATACATAGGGTTGATCTGGTGCTGGCGCTGGATGTGATAATGTGATGGATGTGCGATAGACTGATTGTTGCATGTTGTAGATTTGGGGTGGTATCTGTAGAGAATGCTGTTCATTGCATGCAGTAAGTCTTCTTGTATGCGTCCCAGGACGTGTTGAGCTTCAAGCTGGATGTTCTGTCCTCAGACACCCTTGACAACACCCAAGATATTATCGTTAGTGATAATTGTCCGAATAAGTTGATCCAGGCTGCTAAAACCATGTTGAGTACGTGAATGTTGCAAAGGTACCGTTGTCCATGTCATCTAACCATGTCTGTTAGAGCCTGGAGGGTATATACAGTGGGAGGATGAGGATATCCGGCGACGTCTGAGCCGATGCAGCGTCTAGAGTGCTTGCAGTTTCTGGAGAGTATGTGGGTCGACACGAGGTATGTATGCTTTGCTATCGGAATGATCCGCACTTGGTGCGATTTATTGTATGGTATTTCGTCGCATCGGCCTAATACCAAATTCCACAGCTGGGTAAAAGACTTATCACACACCTTAAAAGGGCAGGGATTCGGCGTGTTGCAGGCGGACCTTGACCCGTTTGAAGACTCGGCGAGAGGCTTGTACTATACGAACGAGATATCTTTCTGTCGTGCTGAGTCTCTTGCGCCAACACTTCGCGCCGGATGAGAATGCAGCGGGTTCCCTGGAGGGTTTGGCGAGGGAACTCACTGAACAGCATGGTATTGATCATGGTCTGGCTTGGAGGGCGATGCAGCTGGTGGCGAGGAGGGATGAGGTGGTGTAGGAAGTGCTGCTGTGAACCTATAAGACTAGTATATATAGTAGCTTGGTTAGACAAGACCTGAGACTGGTCAACATTACATCGCCAGAGGGAGAATCGACCTCACTGATGATCAACGTACATGGCCAAGCTATAATGCCAAAGTGCCTTGGTAGAAAAGACCAAGTAATAGCATGAATACTGACAAGCACAGCGTTAGAGGAAAGGAAGGGGGACGGGGTATCAAGAAAAGGAACCCTATACCGAGCCGGAATATTTGTGCAATACTTGAGCGTATTGCAGGTAATTAATTCTAGGAATGTTCTTTGCTGATTCGCTCGCCTGAGCGCCTCTCAACCTTCACGGACTATCGTAGTCCTCCTGTCTGGCGTCGGAGATCCAAAGCAGGAAAACAGTTGGCCATCCGACCAGAGGATGATACTTGAATAGAACCTGTTTGATGAATCGGCAAACGGCAGTGAGTACGTAGCGTGTGGTGAGAACTATGAGCATCTGCTCCAAAGTTATATATCCTTCCGTCATTGCTCATCATGGGGCCAGAAGAAGGGGAATAGCATGAATAAAAAAGAAAAGGCGAGATCAGACTCATGTGCTTAAATCATATCCAAGACCATTTCAATCGATAATGCCGTCAATAACAGGACCAAAAAAAAAAAAAAAAATACGAAGGCCAGGACATCAATGCCCATTTATCACCCGGACATCGATCATGGAGGAACAGTAAGGCGATGCAAACGACAGAATGGTTAAAAGGAAAACCCTGCTGATGGGCTTCTCGTACAGATGACCTGCCGTGGAGGGCATTTCCTAGCGGAAAACGCTCGGTACTTTGACGCCCCCCTTTTTTTTGGCATTACCAAGAACCAAGCCATGGCGATGGACCCTCAGGGTCGGCTGCTGATGGAGAATGTGTACCATGCGCTTGAGAATGGTGTGATGTCTCCCCGACGGACATGTGTCGGTGTTGAAGCTGACCATAATTGATATAGCGGGTCTCAGAATCCAGGGTGTCGCTTCTAGGCAAGTGTCGGTCTTTGTGGGCGCATCAAATGGCGACTTTAAACATATCATGGGGCTGGATGAGCGGTCTCTGTTGAAATACCTGCCAGTGGGAACGACGCCATCAATTCTTTCGAACCGAGTCAGTTGGTTCTCTGATCCCAAGGGAAGCAGCATGACTGTGGATACTGCCTGTCTGCTCAAGCAGTCTGGTTGCCTTCCACCTGGCCTGTCAAGATCTCCGAGTGGGAACTTCAAAAATGGTCAGTACAATATTAAATCCAAGTTGAAGCACTCGCTTGGAAGCCTTGCGAAAACTATCTCTAGGCTATTGTGAGCGGTGTCAACCTACTGGAGGACCCGGAGATGATGTTTCGGATGAGCCATGCCGGGTTTCTAGGTCCCGACAGTGTATGCCACAGCTTCGATCACCGTGCCAATGGGTACGCTTGTGTTGAAGGAGTCAGGAATATCATTCTGAAGCCCGTGGCAGACGCGATTAGAGACGGTGATGCCATCCGGGCAGTAGTCAGTCCTGGGACCAGGTTCAAATCAAGACGGGCATACTCCGGGGATGTCGATGCCGAGTTTCAAGAGCCAGGAAGAGCTCATTCGAACTGTATACTACGAAATGTTCGAGCGAGTCTTGATGTCCTGAACCTTTTTTCTCAGCACCAGAAGAGCCTTTCTATATATCTCCGAAAGTATAGTTGAAGCAGCAGCACGGCATGGTTCTGGATTTTATGTTATAACTAACACTTCTTTCTCAGAGCCAGGGAATCTTATCAATCTCTGAAGACATTGCTATTGCAGCCGCCTGCAATTTGAGCGATGGATTTGAAGTTATATAAATCTTTTATGAGCTTTATGGAAGCTTTCCCATCTCTGAGAACAGAGTTAAAGCAGCCGCAGCAAATGTTAATTATGGATTTCAGATCTTAGAGCTTCTCTATCAGGACCAGAGAAATCTTTCTATTTTTGAGGGTATAGTCGCAGCAGCAGGAGGAAACACATCCTATGGAATTTGGATTATAAAATTCTTTTATTATCAGCAGAGTAATCTTCTTATTTTCAATGCTGTAGTCGCAGCAGCGGCTGGAAATATGACTTGGGGAGTTGAATTTATAGAGTTCTTCTATAAGCACCAGGGAAACTTTGTTATTTTGGAAAATGCTGTTCTACATGCAGCAGATAATTGGAGCAGCGGTGTGGATGTTCTTGAAATTATCCATAAGCACCAGGAGAAACTTCCCATGTCCCGAGCTGTTTCTCATACGCGCAAAATCGAGTTGGAATGTTCTGACGCTTCTCTGCCTACGCCAAAGAGATGATGTCGAGGCAATATCAGAACACCTTCAAGGCCCTCCATGTAAAAAGGCAATCAAGGAATCTCTCGAGCGCGCTCACGCCACTTCCAGACTTGTACTCTCTCGCCAAAGGAGGGGGGTAAAGAAGCCGCCTGGAACGTGCCCACGAACAGTCAAGATTTGAATCAAACAAGAGAAGTCACCACTGCCGCTGTCAGCCATTTTTGAACTTCGAGAGACATGTGAATGGTATGAAGGGACCACCTGGAAACTGCCCACGGACACACAAAGAAGAAGCCTTGAGTCAAACAAAGAATCCAAAACGACATGCTGCTGCTATCCATCACCTACCACTGCTGATCACCTTCCCGGACCAGAGACTTGAATGTTGGAAAGGATATCGAATGTTAAGATAAATTGGACGTTTTTTGGAAATTGAATCCACTGTTCTGCTTTTGTCTAGTTTTTTTTATTATGTGTTGGCCGGACGGAAATTGATTACTATATACAGCCCAATCTACCTACATTAACCACCAGTTATCATCAGCTGGAGAAATCCGCGAAATCGCAACCATAGACATTAACCTAACCTCACACCTCCCTATATTATCAAAAATCAGCCATCTCTATATGTATCCGCATATCTCCCATCGCTCTATTCCCTTATCTCCCCCACTACTTGCAAGACCTACTACGTGCCACCATTACCACGCACACCTCCCCACCCACCCCTCCGGCCACCGCCGGACAGCCGTCTTCCTCAACTCATCCAGAATCAAAATGCCCAGTCCAAACGCCGCGGGCAGGAAATAATGCTCCGCTGGCACGCTAGTCGTATCTAGCACACGCTGCAGTTGCGGGATGTATAGCCATAGGACAGCCATTCCGAGTGCGAAGAGGATGGCGGGGAAGAGAAGAAGGTTCTGGGTTTGCTTGTTGAAGGCGGGTGGGTGTGTGAAGATCGAGAGGCGGCGAGTGCGGATGGCCATTAGGTTGAACCATTGCCTGTTTTTTTATTATGTTTATTAGTATGTTTATTTGTTAGACGTTGAGTATTGGGTATTGGGTGTGGCTGGGGTGGGAAGTGGAAGATGGGCATGGGGAAAGAGAAGGGAGGTAGACGTACATAACCACCAAATTGACAAAATACACCGAGCTCGCCTCATTCAGCTTCTCATTCAGCCAGGCAGAATCAATATCACTCGGGTAATCGCCGAACTTGAACCACAGGGCCGAGAACGGGATGCCGTTGCGCTCCAGGTACCAGAAGGCCATGGCAAACGAAGTCACGGTCTCGATCATCCCGATCACGCCGTACGCGTGTAGCATCAGTTTCCAGTCGACGAGCCGGTTTTGTTTGGGCTTGCGGGGTGGGCGGAGGAGGACGTCGGCTTCGGGGGCTTCGTAGGCGAGGACGGTCGCGGCGGCGCAGTCGGTGAAACAGCTGTTTTGTGTTAGTATGTTTATTGAACGTGGGACGGGGGGGTACTCACCAGATGATAATCATGAGAAAAGAAGACAGAACCTGAGGAAGTCCAAACATGACGTTCGTGAACACAGGCCAGAACTCAGAGAAAGAGCCCGCTGGAAGGAGATAGATGATCGTCTTTTTCAGATTATCAAACACCACACGGCCATACTGCACGGCTTCAACAATAGCAGAGAACGACTCCATCAGGACCATATCTGACGCCTCGATGGCAATGTCGGAGCCACTTCCCAGCGCAATTCCGATATCCGCTGCTTTGAGCGACGGTGCGTCGTTGACCCCGTCGCCGGTCATGGCGACGATTTCGTCGCGCGCGCGAAATTCTCGCACAATGCGCAGCTTTTGCTCAGGGGTTGTGCGCCAAAAGACGATCTCCTGGTATTGGCAGAGTTGGTCCCATTGGTGGTCGTTTAGGCTCATTAGTTCCGGGCCGCTGAGGGTGATTGCGGACGCGGAGGCGGAGGTAGATGTAGGGGTGAGAGCCTTTTCGTCGTCGGTCGTGTTCGATCGCTTGAGGGATGTGACGTCGTGGACTGGGCCTTGGGTGGTCACGATGCCGCATTGGCGCGCGATGGCTAGGGCTGTGAGTCCGAAGTCGCCGGTGACCTGGTGGTAATTAGTATGATCGTTGATGTTGGCACCAGGGAAGATCTCACCATAAAGAATCGGACACCAGCGCGTCTCAGTGTGCGGACCACATCGGGGATTTCGTCTCTCGGGGGGTCAACAATGCCAACCAGACCGACGAGAATCAGTCCGGTCTTCGCGTGATTCAGGACTTCCGTTTCGAACTCTCGCGATGTAGTAGAGAACATGACATCTGCCGCCGGAAGAACCTTTCGCGCAAGCAGAATCACTCGTTTCCCGTCATTGGACCACTGATCTTTAACAATTCTGACGTGGGCCAGCATCCGTGCATCCAGAGGTTGGACGCTGCCATCGGTATCCACAATCTGTGTGCATCGCTCGATGAGGATATCAGGAGCTCCTTTTATCGTGAGAAGACTGGGGAAACCATCAGCATATGAGTCAAGAACAAAAAGGGCTGTGGAGGGGATCCTAACGTATCATTCCGCTTAAACTGCGCCGACTCGGCCGCAGACATCGCCGATCCCAATCCCTCAGCCTCAGTCAGACAAAACGTGCGAATCATAAACTTATTCTTGCTGTTAAAAGCCAACTCATACGACTTTCTCCACGCCCGTCGCAGCTCCACCACCGGGCCCAGGCTCTCCGAAAACCTCAGAATAGCCTGATCGGTGGCATCTCCGTGAATCTCCCGCTCATGCAGTAGCCGTTTTATAGACGCGCCATCAAATTCTGCTGCGTTGCAGAGACCAGACATCCCGCGGAGCTGGTGAATGCCAGATTTCCTTCCTTTAGTGACTATTTCGTCTCTTGCTGATTCCGTGCTGAAGCGGGAGGTCGATATGGCGCAGTCTGTTACGAACATTTTGTTCTATGGTCTTGGTTAGAGGAGAGCTGGGACTCGAGAGTTGGACTTGACGAACCTTTGTTAATGTTCCTGTTTTGTCAGAGCATATCACTGAGACTGCACCCAGTGTCTCGACGGTCTTGAGGGACTTGCAAAGGATCTTGTTCTTGCTCATCAGATTGGCAGTGATGGTCAGGTTAGCAGTGAGGGCAATCGGGAGACCTTCTGGGATGAACGCAATCGCGACACTAACGCAGTCGACGATCAGGGTTGGCACGTTGATCCAGTCGGGATGGTCTTTGCGAAGCCAGGTAGCCCTGTAGAGGTCAGTCAGTCAGCTATCAACCCTCATCCAAATAAAAACAAATGTCTCCTCTGTGGCCACTCCCGAAATTCCCACTCACCAGACAATAATCACGACAATAATCATAGTCAGCATAATCGCCACAATCAGCGACACGAAACGCAAAACTTCTTTTTCAAGGGTACTAAGTCCCTTCTTCGGTTCGCTCGTCAACTTAGCAATGCGTCCGAAAACCGTTGAATCTCCAATCGAGACAACCACGCCGGTCGCACTGCCAGTAACGCAGTGTGTGCCCTGAAGTCCAATACAGTGCGTCTCCAGATAATTGTCATCCGTAGAGTCGACAGTCCCGCTGACGGGCAAAGACTCGCCTAAGACGGTCGGTCAGCGCATATCGACACATTCTTCAGAGACCGACCATACCCGTCAGGATTGACCGGTCGAAGCACGCGTCATTAGAGACCTCGACTAGACGCACGTCCGCAGGCAGTTTATTTCCTGCTTTGAGATGGACCACATCTCCGGGGACGATGTCTGGGGCGGAGATTACAGATATCGAGCCATCGCGCAGAACAAGACAGCTCTCTGGCAGCATGGCGGTAATCGAGGCCATCACTCTGGAAGACGACCAATCCTGCCATGCGTTGAACGCCGCCTGGATGAAAAACACCGCGAGCAGCACAATCGCCAAGGCTAGATTCGCCGTCGACGGAGGCTCGCCTAGGGGCTTCCACGAGACGAACACCAGCACGCAGCCGACTAACAGGATCGCCCCGAAGCCCTTGAAGAAGTATCCAAAGATCTGCCAGAACCACTGGTGGGGCAGGGGAGAGAGCGCGTTCTTTCCATATTCCCGGACCCGACGATGTACCTGATCGTGCGATAGGCCCTGAGAGATGTCAACCTGCCACCGCTTTTGTAGTTCCTCCGAGGTTATTGTGTGCCAGTCGAGGTTGGAGAGGTCTAAGAATCGGTGGTTAGCAAGGTTGGCTGCAGCAGCGATTCATGAAATCGGTACCTGTTACGACAGTTCCCTTGGCTTTGGCTGTCTCGGCCTGTTCTCTCTCTTTCGCTTCGTCGATGTCGAATGAACTGGATGTCGTTAGAGTTTCTCTGTGGATTGCAATGGGAGCCTACACTGTGCGGTAATGGATCGGCAGGGAAAGCGATGGGTCGACCGTCGCTCTTCGCATACGACTGCGACTCGACACCTGGGAGCTGTTGGAAGCGATTGACGCAGTGCGAGCCAGCAATGGGGGTTCCTTCTTGGACTGGAGGCCTGTCTCTTCGTCGACCTCCTGCCAACGGAGGCGCGTCGCCTCGGTCTTAGATGAGGGGGGTCTCTCCATCGCGAAATCGTCGGACTTGCTTCTTTGTCTCCCCGTTTGTGTCAATTGACAGAAGAATGGGAGGTTAAGATGCAGGGCCCGAGAAACACAGATGAACGAAAGGTATGAGCTTATGCGATCCCGTCTTTATAGGTGAGAGGAATGCTTGGACGTCAACCACGCGCAAAGCGCATTGCAGCTGCCATGCGAGAATTATCTCCTTGACAGCTAGAACCACATGTCAGTGTCGCTGCGGGTTTAATCAGAACCAGTGGTCGCGGGAGGGGCATAGGTTTAGGCGATGGGGAGGATGGGGAATGATGATGGGGTGGTTGAGATCAGTGGCTTGGGTAAATCCCTCACGCTGCCGATGGCGGAAACTCATCCACCACCAACTCTCCTCCTCCTCCTCCTCCTCCTCCTCCTCCTCCTCGAAAAAGCCGCAGTCTAACCTACAAGGCACAGCCGCTGTGGACCTCTGGGTCCGATTCCAGGTTCTACTCGGAAATCGCGCGGCTAACGATATCTATGGCATTCTGGGAATAGCACCTCTATCCCAACATGGTACGGAAGACATGAAGTACCAGACTTACGGTCGCTGCAAGTGGGACTGCGGAAAACCAGGTGATCCGCCTCTGTTTCTGTCCTTTGTTCTTTGAAGCTCTCCCCGTACCCTCTCGTCGTTGTAACGGAAGATAGTCTACTCGTGCAGTATGGGGAGTGAGATCCGTGACCCAACTGATTCCCACCCCGTGCACCACCCCAGAGCACCTTCGGAGCAGCTTGAGTCCCCAGTTCGTTGCAGCCTCGACGCGGACAGCCAACTGCGAGAGGGTGAAAAGAAACTTCACTCGGTGCCTGCGCGAGTCTTCCCATGTCTTCAGGGCCGAATGCAATCCGTCTTCTTTGTAAGGATCGTCCGATTCCCGAACAAACTTATTCAAATGGTTAGCAAGCGACGCGGCTGACTCGATGGCGCAGTTCGCCCCTTCTGCGATGTTGGGTGTCATCTGCGCTCATCAGCATTGATAACGCGGTTGAGTACGAATGCGCGAATGCTACCTTGTGAACCGCATCCCCTACCCCGGCAAAGCGTCCCCAGGACCAGCGGGTCTGAAGCGACTCTTCCAGAGGGACGAAGACGTATGAATCGGTTCGGTTGAAGATTTCGCCAAACGTGACATCGGAGGCGACATACTTCTCTAGGAGAGGTGCGACAATACCGGACAGAAAGGAGCTATCGCAACTATGACGCGGATTCGACTTGTCGGTACTAGGACGTGCAATTGAAACAAACCAGAAGACTTTCGATTCTGGCCCCGCCATTATAATCGTCGACCAACCGTGTCCATACGCGCGGTGCACATGTCCCCTCTCCAGCGCAGGAAAGGCATGAGAGATTCCAAAGACCCCGACATATGCAACTTTCAAGCGGACCTCCGATATATGGCGACCAGCGCCATCTTCAATACCCTTGATATGGCGCCACATCTGAGACCGCACGGTGCTGTACACGCCATCGGCTCCGACCACCAGATCTCCCGAAACACTGGAGCCGTCCGTGCTGTGAACGGTGACACCCTCCGGGGTGGAGATTATGCGCGATACTCTTCTGTTGAAGAACACACGGTGTTTATCCCGAAGACGCGTAAAAATAATGCCTAGGAGGGCTCGTCGTGCGATAACTATGAGAGGGTAGCCTGTCCTGCTTGCTATCAGTTGCGATCCAGGATAATGGCAAGATACTCACCGTCTGACAGAACCAATCTGCCTCGTATTTACCCGTTTAAGCAGACGACCATCATCAAGCCAGGTGCTGTGCCAGTCCATGCGTACACCCCAGTCCAAGACATCCCGGTACAGCCCCAACTGGTCCAGTATACGGGCGCCATTCGGGAGAATGACGAGGCCCGCACCGTCGTTGAACGAGTTGGACCTAGCCTCCAGGACAGTGAATTTAATGCTGGTGGAAGACAAACAATGAGCGAGAGTCAGGCCGGATATCGACGCGCCGACAATAACAACATGAAACTGCCGGGGACCAGACATTTTTGCCGCCAGCAGCGCATATTTAGCGACCTTCTTGTCGTTGACCCTACCATCAGAACATGGCGAGGTATCTCTATATAGGAATAATCTTAGGTGTAGCAATAACCAAAAAAAAAGTAGCAATAGCCATAGGAATAGCAATAATCACACGGCCATAACGATATCCTTGAATTGGAACAGAAGTAAGCGAAGTCTCCCACTTGACCCATAACCACCATCGCTCGATATCAGCAGCACGAGCCATGAAGCGGCAGGTACGACCGCGCAAAGGGTCATGTCCCGACCACATCTGATCGGCTGTACCACCCGCTGGACGCCCGCAATCGACTGAGTTTCTTGGCTTGAGATGACCGCGCGATCCAGCGCGTGGAATTTCGGGATTCTGCACGCGCCATGTTTGGTGTGATGTGAGTGACGATATCCGCCACATTGATATTGACGGAAAAGGGCATACGGTTATGATGCCGGAAGTCGATCGCAGGGGATGAAGGTTAAGGTGATTGCTTTGTCTGGCTGGAGCGGTCTTCTGATGGGCTGAAATGATATTGTCTTGAGACGCTGCTGCTGTATCTAGTCATTCGTCGCAGGTAGTCATCAGTCTTTGGTCTGGGTTGCTGCGCTTGTTTATCGATGGCTGCTAATCCAAAGGCGTGGTGTGGTGGCTGCGACTACCGACTACCCAACACAGCCTCATCAACACTCTGCAGCAGTACGCAAAGTCTCAAAATTCTGCCCAAAAGATAAATAAAACCCAACGCAAAAACACCAAATAAGTACCATCTTTCAATATCCACCGAGTATCGCCTCACCCAGCCATCGCAAGGAGCAAATTCACAAATCTAAGCTTAGCTCATCCCTCTAGATAGTTATGGAGTAGTCTAGAACGAATCAAAACAAAATACAAAACAAACAACTCTCTGCTGTAAAGTAGGTTAAGGTTCCCGAAAAGTAAGCCCAATAATAAACAAATAGTCAGTATTAACATTGACATTAACATTAACATTAATATTAACCTTCCCGGTAATAGCCAAACTCAACACCGGAACATCCACATCCACACTCACATCCATCCACTCGTCGGGCGCTGTCCGTGTCCAGACTCCAGACCAGTGTCCACAGTGCGGTCGGTCCCTGACGGGAATCGGAACGGGATGGATGGAGATGCCTCGGGTAGATACTTACTTAGACGGGGGTTGGTGGAGCCGAACCTTCTTCTAGTTCTGAGACTGCTTTCAAGCCTTCAACCTAAGTACGGAGTACTAGTTTAAATCTGAGTTTGAGCTTTCCTCATTTCTCATGTCATTCCTCACTCATACTTCTCAGGTCCTAAAGAAATTCATCTAGACTCAAGACTCAAGACTGGATTGTTGACTGTCAGGGTCCGACTCTGTCAAGTGTCAACCTCCCACCCCCCACCCCCTACTTCATACCTCAAATCTACCTTACTGTACGGAGTAGATACGGAGTACACATGTGGGGTCTACCCATCCATCCATCCGTCCACCCCGGGTCTAGACGCGCCCGCGGCGATCAGACCAAGACCGACCCGTGTGCATTGATTGTTTGTTGACGAAAACAAATGAAATGAAATCAAATAAATAAGATAAGTTTGCTGATGCTGATGCTGATGCCGATGCCGATAGATAGATAGATACCGTAGAGAGATGAGCCCAGATCAGCTCTGGTTGATCCGGAGCAGCTCGGGCTCGATCGGTGGCATGTGTCAGGTCGAAGCATGTCAAATTAAACCCAAAGAACTTAGATAGAACCTAGCTACACGATCGGTATCCGCCTACCTACCTAGGTATCTACCCTACCTACTTAACTAGGTCCGTCATTGTTCATCCAGCAGTCAGTAAGCAATCAGCATTAGGATAGGAGTTAGCACTGTCCGATCCAACAAACCCAATGACTACCTACCTACCTTATATTCCTATCTCCATCCCATCCTAACCCCTCCCCCCACGACTCAAAAATCAAACCTACTTTACCCCCTCCATACTCCATCCATCTAGATAATAAAAAATTGAGTGCCTACCTAGGAAAGGACGGAGGGCCCCAGTTCCCCCGAACGCGATACAGTGTGTTTCTGTATCGCACCGCATCGCACCGCATCGCATCGAATTGAATCGATCGGACCCCAAGTCCACTTTCCAGCCGGGAAGAGTGGAGCCCGAGACATACATGGAATGGAGCCCGGTATGGTATTGTGGTACCGTGGTACGGACGGGGAGTACTACGACGGGGACGGTACGGCGCGGACGGCCGGCTGGCCGGGAGTTGGTGGGCGAATTACCTACCTAGTTAAATCCGTCTTGTGTTCGGTCAACTGTCTATACTGACTGTCTATTGTCAGTCACCAGTGGGTGCAACCTGTGCTGTGCCGTCTGTGCTGTGCTGTGCTGTGCTGCTTTTGGGGTATGCGGGGGAAAATAAACTTGCGGGTTGATTAAGTTGGTAGTGTATATAAACTAAAGGAGCCATGGTGGATGATGGATATAGGTACTAATACTATAGATTTAGTAAGGTACCTTACCTATAGGATATAGATGGGGTTAGATAGCTGGATGACGCCCTAGGTGTACGTGGGATTGGCTATGTAGATATAGGTACTGAGCTAAGGCTAAGCTAAGCTAAGAACACAGAATGCATACAATGGCCAACGCTGTTAAAAGATGATATCCGGAAATGCAGGTGAGAAACAGAAAAGCCAGGAAAAAGAGAAAGGAGTCGTCCAAGGGTAAGGTAATGGTATCATCGCTAAATTAGATGGAATGCTCCCCCTTCACGTTAAAAGAGTGCGCCCGCAATGCTGTCTTGTATGTGAGGTCGTCAATATGCTGCTACCGACGAGCCCGGTTGACGCGGAAAACCGTCAGGTCGATCGGCTCCCCATACTCCGAGCCGTCATCGTCGTCCACCTCGATGGCATCGTTGGTCTTCGAGAGAGAGAAGGGTTGTTCAGTGGGGGCTTTGGTCACGGGTGTTATGCGCCCCACTGCTTCTTTCTCCGTTGGTGGCTGTTTAGCCCGTAACTGATCTGCTTCTTTGGTGGCTAGATTTAGTACGGTTTTGAGTCGCTCCTCCACAGTGGCTAGCTCCTTGGAGCAGTCTCCCAGCCGGAGGAAGCAGTACGCAGCCGTCTCGCATATGCCATGTACCACTTCCAGGAACTTGTCGGCCTTCTCGAGCGACTCCTTGGCGGGCACGGCAGGGTTCCGGTCCCGGGCTCTGCGGATGTTAGAAAGCACATCCTCGTCGGTGGTTTCGGCACTCGCTAGCAAGGCCATTGAGCTGTTCATCAACGGGTTTCTGCTCAGCATGCTGTAGCCCAGCCGCGGCGAAGACATGCGGGCTTTGCGGATGTTATTTCGGGCTGTCCCGATATTCCGCACCAGCTCCTCTAATGTCTTCTGCGTGTGGCCGTCGTAATGAATGATCAGGTTGTGTCGTGTGCTGACGCATAGGTTGTGCTCAATAGAGTCCGAGTCCCCCAAGGGCGGGACATCTTCCGCGCCATGTTTCGGGGGATTGGCGGCCGATTGGTGATGAGAGGTTTCCGGGGTCGTTGTGATATCCCCCCGCGTTTCGCCCGCGGACGGCTGGGGAGAAGGATCGGTGTCGGTGTGGATGGAGCAGACAGAGCTATTCCTGCGGCGGCGTTGTCGTCTCACCGCAGTATGTTGTTTGTAGGCCTGGGCGTACTCGGCTCGTTTGCTAGCCGTGTGGGCAGACAGTTCAGAGATTTGACTTATCCAGGTTGGGGTGTTCTCAGTCAGGTAAGTAAATGCCCCCAGGGCATCCATCTGGACAGCGGGCATGGTGTGTGTGTTTGTGCAAGTCACTGCGAAGGCATGTGCTCGGCGGGCCGGATCTGTACTTCCGGGTGGAAGTCAACGGCGGGTTCGTCTAATGGCCCACCCTGAATACGCAATCTTCCGTGATCTGCGAAAAGGGGGGACGAAAGGTCGTATCGTCGTCGAGTCGTGAGGCCGATGGGCGTTGGTGGAAAGTTGGATCAGGAACCTAGCAGTGTTCCGTGGGTCGGCATGAGAAAATAAGAATGCGGCGAGGAATGAGGGGAGGGGGCCGCGCGAGGGGAAGAAATAAGGAGACTGGAGCTGGGGACTGGTGGTAGAGACCTCAAGAAAGAGCAAAGCAAGCCTGAGGGGAAGACGCAGAAGGAGTCGACTAGGGTCGATGAGCTGACCGGAAGAGGAAGAGCCTGGATGGGTGACGTCCCCGAAAGTGAAGCCCGAGGGTGGGTCCGAGCCATGCAGCCGGGGGGGGGGGGCGTTACCGTAATATTACACCAGCCATGCCATGTCTTGCTTAAGCATCGACAGGGGTCTCTGTCAGTCTGTCTGCTGTCTGCGACGGATAGGTATTAATTGCCTGATTGCCTATTGCCTACTGGCCTGCTAGCGACCACTAAATTGACTACACAACCACTACGGAGTCGTACTGACGGAGCACTGTGTACTCTGTACGCTTCCCCTCCTCATGCTGCAGCAGACAAGCGGTGAGCATGTCGGTAGCCATCAAGAATCAAGAGCCATCAATGATCAACCATCCGCAACCCCCGCAGCTACTCCTGACAGCCCGACGTGGAGTGGACGTCTTGAAAGAACCTTCCTACTCGGATTCTGGAAGCCTTCTCCTTTCTCCTCCATTGTCTATTCCAAACCCGCCCGCCGCCGTTTCAAACCGACCATGTAATTTCGCCCCAGACACGTGCCCTCCCCGTGCCACCAAACATGATCACCAAAACATGGCTTCATCACCGCACCACCATCTTTCGATTCCGATCCCTGTCTGTCGCTAAACCAGTTCGTCCTGGGCCTAGCTTCTACGAAAGCAGCAGGGAGCCGGAACGCCGCTCAACGCCGACGCCATCCCTCTGATCCCAGGCTCGCTAACGGCGACCATGCCCGGAAAGGCCATGACACGTAACGGCTGCGCCAACCGCCAGGCGGGGTTTCAAGGTGTCCAGGCGAGTCAACGCCCTTGGAAATGCCCAGAGAGGTGGTTTCCCTGCCTCTGGAATTGCTCCAGCTTGCGTCGTTCGCTTGTTCGCCAATGCGGTTGGCGGAAACGCCGATCGTCCTGCACGGCGCTGTGGTTGGCTCTCCGCAATGCTGTGATCACAGTCCAAGACCCTGGTCGCGATGACTTGTCCAGCGGTGATTCCTGCGCGATTGTACAGACCTTGGCTCGAGGTTCAACCGTCTGGCGGTTTTCACGCAGCCTGGACGCTCCCAGCATTACAGTACGCAGTACGGAGACATCGGCTGGCCTCATCTACTGATTTAGAATGCGTCCACACCACATAAGTTCTTTTTCGCACAGTATGTGTATATCAACTCCGCAACGTCAGTCCATCGCCCTTCCGAGTCTACAGTATTACAGCGCAGGATTTACCAGGATCACTCTTAATCTGAGTGCCGAGCCAGCCGAGCACGATTTGTGGCACATACACGGCTGCCTCGTCTAACATGGCACAACCATGTGAAGGCAACAAAAAGCAAAACCAAAAAGAACAGCAACAATAGCATTCTATGAGAGAGAAATAAGGAACGATGTATCTCCCATTATATCTGCAAAGGCAGCCCGGAACCAAACAAACCAAAAACCAGCCCGACAGTCTGCACCAAAACCAACCAATCACAAAAGCCCAACGAGTTTGTCACTGTTGGTGTTTCCAGGCAGCACTGCTGCTGCGAAGCATCATCTGGACTTCATACAGTGCGTGCATCGCTTCGTTCCATTTCACGTTGTACTCCAACACCTTGTGCCCCATCTCATCGCTCAACCGGCCTGACCGCGCCATCTTGACTGCTCCACCCAAGGGGTTCGAGGGAAACGAGAACAGTCCCGAGGGAGAAAGATTCGAACCGCTTGTACATGTTGATTCGTGGTCGCTCTCGGACGAGAGCGCGTTGCTTAGGGACTCGGGCCGTGGGGGAGGATAGTTGGATTCCTCGTCGTCGCCTTCGTACCCTCCGTCTTGGGAGACGAGACCGTGCTTCGCCATGCTATTATTCCGCCGTGTGGTCTTCCACCTGCGCCTCACCGCGTTATTCATGTACAGGGGAGAGCCCTCATCCTCGTCCGGGATATCATACGAACCGTATGTGAGGTTGTTTTCCACGACGGTCGTGTCTTTGTGCTCCTCGGCGGCCGTGGGGGCAGCACTCGTGTTGGAGTCGTCCGCGTTGTCCTTGGTATCGTCCGCGGTGGTATCCATCTCACCGTTTGGGCTCTGCGCGGCTTCGGACTCGCTGTTATTTGGGCTCGTCTCTGGGTCATCCTCCACGAACCTAGCGAATTCTTCGGGGTTCTGGGTGAACCACTCGATGATTTCCTCCAGCGAGGAGCTAAGGACTTCGTCCGCAAATTCTTCCATGATGGTGGTACAGGGTTGAAGTTGGTTGATAGAAAACGTTCGGTTGGATGTTCAGCAATGGGCGATTGGCGATCGAGCTCTGTTCAGTCGGTGGTCAGACAAGTAGAGCTGATGTTCAGTTGAATGATCAAGCAACTGTGCAGAGCAGTGATCGGGCCAATCTCGAAAGCTGATGATCCAACGGATTAGATAGCTAGCTGTGCTCAGGATGGAGAGGGCTATTTATGTCTTGGGCGTTGATGAGAAGCTCGACAAACGGATTCAATCGAGGTATGGAGTATCCATCATCCATGGTGATTTCCTATTGCAAACAAAGTGCTGTTGAATCAAGGACGTTCATCTGCCTGTGGCAAACGCCACTGCAAACGAGCTGTTGTTAAAGCGAGGGTATATCGTATCCTGTCAACATGGCCAGCCCTTCTGCGAAACAGGCCGTTATCCTAACTTTTCAAAAAAGACAAGCCGTTTTAACAAGATCAGATATCTATCCCGACAAAGCCGATATCTACAAAGCCATTGTCAGAAATATACAACGAACACAATAACACAACAGAAAACAAAACACAATATACATCGACAAATCCCTTCCAGTCCTATCCCGCCAATAAAGCCCCCGCCAACAAAGACCACCCCCATCCCCACCAGATCAAACCACCGAGCGAAACCATCAAAGAAAACGAACCCACACCCCCAGACCGAAAGGCCATCTCAACACCCTTCTACTAGGAATCCCCCTATCCTGTCTGATACAAAGAAAACTACGGCCACAAATCGACCTCCTCCCAGCTCCCCTCCCACGCCCCTCCATCTCCCTCGCCATTTTCCTTTTTCGCTGGAAGAAACGTCCACCGCGTGCGCGTCACATTCTCCAGATCCCGTAGATCCAGCCTCTCGACCTCCTCCGGCCGAATCACCACAACCCGGAAGTTGTCCCGCGCGACAGGGTCCAGGAGATCGTCTACCTTTTGTCCGAGCTTTAGGGCGGGGTTGTTGGGGGCTTGCGAGCGGGGGGTTCCGGGGGGTGGGTTGCGGAAGGAGCCTGTATAGTAGAGTGGTATGTTAGCGTGTCTCATAGGTTGTAGATTCGTAAGTTTGTAGGGTTAGCTTTAACTTCAGCTTTATCCTCCGCAATCCAATCTCCTCCGTTTGGAAATCCCAAAACTGACCATCCCATCCCATCCCATCCCATCCCATACCAAAAGCCAAAAAAGGAAAGGAAGGGGGAGAAAAAAAAAAGGAAAACAAACCCCTCATCCCAGGCGAATGATTCGCAAAATACATCGTCACCTGTCTCTCCCAGGTCCACTCGCCATCCCCCCCCCAACATCCCTATCCTTCCTCCTCAACCCCCTCCCCACCTCCCCCTCTCCCTTCCCATCACCACCACCAAGAACAAACGCCCCCCTCTAACCCGCCACTGCACCCCCCTCCCTCTTTCCCCCCGGCTCCGTTCCCGTTCCCCCAAAAACACCCCTCCACCTGCCCCGACCCCCCACCACTCTCCAGCTCCCGCACCTTCTCCATCCGCTTATCCGTCGTGATCGCCAGCATCTCGCTCTCGTAGATGTCGGGGTTTAGCCCGATGTTTTGCTCCCTTAGGGCCGTGGTGGCGCTGCTGTGTAGGGTCAGGGTTGGGAAGAAGCCGCGGAATTCGACGGTGCGGGCTCGGGGGGTTGGCGATGCGGTTGATGGGATGGGGTTTGGCTGGTTTTGATTGGGGGCAGGGAGGGAGACGGTCGAGAGCGTGAAGGACGTGTTGGATGGGTTGGAGAGGTGGGTTTGTAGGGCTGGGAGCCAGGGGGCCAGGGGGGAGGTTCGGGGGTTGGGTTTGGGAAAGGGGGACATTTTGGGGGGTGGGGGTGGTTGTTTTGAAGGTGGTGGTGAGGGGTGAGTGTGGGTGTGGATTTGGCGGAGGTAGGCGGTTAGCCGGAGTAAGGGCGTTGGTTTTGGTGGGCGGAGGGAGGCCACCTTGCTTTCTGCTTTCTGCTTTTGGGGTGGTGTGTAGTATGTAGGGGTGGTTGAGTGGTGGTGGTGGTCAATTGGTGGTGGAAGAAGTGGTGGTGTGCAGTTGGAGGGGTTGTGGTGGTGGGCGATCAGGCCATGACGTTCTCGTTCTCGGAGTGCGAGTCGCGCTTATCTTATCTGATCTCTGGCTGTCAGTTTACTGTCGACGAGTGACTAGCGAATGCAGTGCTTTATGTTGGATATTTTGACTTACTACGTTTCTTAAATATCATCATGTTTGATTATGCTGTGTTATTTGAAAGTTTGGGATTTTTTGGTCAGCAGTGGCTTAAATGACTCGGTGGGCACTGCGATATAGTTATATCCCGCATAGCTGAAAGGTATTCCATGGCCTGTAGTGAGACAAGATTTGAACACCAACAGCATCCCCAGTCTTTCTCATGCCCAGCTCAAGCTATTGATCCGGAATCATTCCATCTCAGGCATTCGTATTTTATTACCAAACACCACACACCAGATCAGAGACCCAGCGAGCCGCAAACAACCATAAATGCAATAATAATATAAGCATCCCAAACACACCCTAATACCACATAACAGACCCTCACGACTCCATCTTATCCCCCGCCCCCTCGTCATCACTCTCCGCATAACCCAGCGCCCCCCCCGGTATCCGCCCCTCATTCAACTCCCGCTCCAACTTCGTGATCTCCTGCAGACTCTTCGCCTCGCGAATCAGCTTCTCCACGCGCTTCCGCTCCTTCTCCGTCAGCTTCACCCGCACCGCCTTGTCCGTCGGCGCCCGGTCCGTCGCCCCCGCCGGCACATCGAACGTGTGCGACTTGATCCCCATGATCTTCGACGCCAGCGCGGACGGCGCCGCTGCCGTGCCGAATAGCTCTGTTGCTGCGGACCGCTCCGCGTCTTTCACTTTTTGGTAGTCGAGGAAGCGCACGCTGGGGAGGCGCCAGATTACGTAGTAGCGGTAGTGCTGCGACAGTCAGCTTCTCATTCACGGGCTGTGTTGTGTTATAATCTTGTTGGGGGGCTCACCTCCTTCCGCGTCACCGGATTGTCGACCAACACCAAATGCGTCAGCTTGGACAGACTGTGTAGCGGGTCCAGATCGGCCAGCTCGCTCATGTTATTCGCTGTGAGGACCAGGGCGCTCAGGTTCGGGATGGACGTTGATATCGAGGGCTGGATCTGCTTGACGCGGTTCCGGGCGAGGAGGAGCGTGCGGAGGCGAGGGAAGAACGGGAAGTTTCCCACCGACGTGATGTCGTTGTCTGTGAGGTCGATGGCATCTTGGTCCTGTCACCGGGTTGCCAGGTGTTAGACGAGCCCGTCCGTGGCGATGAGATAGAAATATGGGGGGATGGCTCACCTTGGCAATACCCAAGTTCTCAATGGCGGGTATCTTGTGCCCTACACGACGCAAACACAACCGATATCAATCTCGCTCTCATAGTGCAGTATCTGTTCTTTTCAGGTCTGAGTGTGGAACGCACCTCGGAGATCTAGCTCGCGGTCGTTGACCGGGTTGATGTACGACAGGGAATTTTGGATCAGCTCGACGGTCAATCGCATCGTGGCGGTGGGATCGGGATAGTTGAGGTCGCGGAATCAGTGGGTATCATGCAGTAGTGAAGGAAAAGCGAGCGGAAATGACAGCTGTGGTGGTTGAGATCGGGGAAGCAATTGAGCTGAAGGAGATTGCTGCGAGCTGTCGCGCATGCAGCCCGCTGATTTTGCCCGGGCGGTGAGCCGCTCAGATCAGTCAGCGGCACGTGACGCTATCGGCATACATTATTTACCACTGAACCACTATTTTTCATGGAGAGAGTACGAGTATGGGAATGATTAGTATTTGATGTATTATAACTGCTTTCGCTAGTCTAGTCGGGTAATAAATAAATAAAAAGGAGTAGCATGACTCCGGGCCAGGCCCTGAATATCGTACCAAGAAGCAAACATATGCGTCAACGCCGACTTTTCAAACAGCGACTGCAAGGAGCTCCGTCCTGCGCAAGCCATGACACCGAGCCAGAACGCCTGGAATGATGCGACAGTTGTCAACATAAGACATAATCATACAGCAAAGCATTACTCATCGGCCAGCGGGGTCATCACCGGCGACTTGGGATGCGCCCGCGACGGACTGCCCGCGCGCGAGCGCCGCCCGTTGGTCGTCGGCCCCAGGGCCAGCGGCGCCAGATGATCCCGGCTCTCCGTCCTCACCACCAGCCCGTGCCGGTCCATCGCGGTAACCCCTGACCCAGCAGTGATTCCCAGCCCAATGGTCCCTGATGAGGAATTGTCCAGTGCATACTTGAACGTCGGCGTGTTGCTGCTGCCCCAGCTCGAGGCCCGTTTGGGCGCTGTGAACCGCGCAGAATCCGTTTCCGACGGGCGACCCCCGTCAAACGAGCTGCGACTGGACCCGGCCACGCTGAGGTCAAACTCGTGCGCTCCATCTTCGAGGACACGCTCGTAGGTCGGACTCCTGGGCCCGAAGAACGGGATCTTTCCTCCAAACAACCGCCGTCTCTTCGGATGGTTCGGGTGGGACGGGCCACCGCGGCCGAAAATGTGGTTGATTTTGTGATAAACCTTCAGCCGACGGCCTCGTCCGCAGAGGAAGAAGGCCGCCATGACGATAATAAGCAGAAACAAAAGAAAACCCGGAACGCGGCGGGATGGCGTGCCCTCGAGCAGCGCATCATGCCACGTCCCGGTGTGGATGCCTTCGGGATTGGGCAGCAACTCCACGCTGGGGTACTGGAAGTCGCTGGGCACGCCGGCAACATTGCTGCCAAAGCCGACCGGAAGAGCATCTTCCACCTCCAAAGGGACCTGGGACGAGGCATAGAGAACCATCTTGCCAAGAGTCCAGCTCACTTCGGTGGAATCGATCTTGTTTACGGCCTGGAAAGAGTCCACATAGCCCTTGCTCTCTCCGTGAGACAGCACTTCCTTGGTCCCATTGTGGCCCGAGCCCGTGGTTTCTTCCAATCCGACACGCGGGATCCCGATGCCGTCATGCAACACGTTAATAATCCAGGACGCCTTGAAGCATATCTCCGAGGCCGATTCCCGATCGAGTTTCTTGCCCCACTGGTGGCGCTCAACACCGCCCTCCACCGTGGCCCAATCCTGCGAGCAGAATGATTGCACGCGTTCTTGGTAAGTGGCGAGATCGTACGCCTTGTCCTTGTGACCCATCTCGAACGCCTCATGCGTTGTGTGCCAGTATTCGCTGATGCCGACGAAATGGTTGACATCGAAGTCGATAGCCGGGACGTGCATTCCATGAAGGAGACAGGGTTGATCGGGGCAAGGGGCATCTTTATCGAGTAACGGGTACGTTTGTCGCAAGCACTCGTCGAAGCGACCCGTTCCAAGTAAGTACAACCCGTTGTCTTCTGGTGACAGAGGCTTGCCATCGATCGTAGTGCGCAGCCCCGCAGGCAGACACGGATCGGGGAGTTCCTTGTTGTCCCCAACTGCGCTTGCAGCCTGGAGCGACTCCACATAGCGCCTCCGAGCCTCATGCACGCCAAACTCTAGCCAGGACGTGACGAACACCCGATGCTCCTGGGCGGACCCATCAATATTACGCAGCCGGAGTAGCGTCAGATCGTTCGCATGCTTTTCGCTCTCGGTGGCGTTCGGGGCGAAAGCGATCTGCGCCGAGGCACCACCCATGTCCAGAAAGCCGTAGGTGTGATGTCCCTTGCCGTGGTCGTGAGAGCCCGGCGAGTCGAAACTTCCCAGCAAGTAATTCGTCGCAATCCATCCATACAGCCCTTCTGTGACTCCCGGAATCACCTGAATATGAACGTCGCAGTCGGGAAGTAGAAAGTCGGAGTTGGTTCCGACATAGGAGCAGATCTGATCGAGCAGGACCTTGCGCTGCACGTCGGGCAGAAGTCGCATCCCGGCGGTCGCAAGTAGAAAGATAGGGGTATCCCGCACGGCGTCATCCGGTATAATGTTACGGGCGTGCTCGAGCAGTTCCGCGAGATGTTGGTGGCCGACCTCCTCCGGTTTGTCGGCAAACGAGGAGACTCCTAAACAGCTTGTAAATATCCAGACCGCAAGCGCTCGATCATCCGCGAACCTACCTGGGTGTATCTTTTTGGTCCAATCCGACTTGGTTTTCACCTCCGGCAATGATGGCGCATGCTCACCCGCCTCATTGCGAGCGAGAGCGTTGTCCAACCAGCGATAGACGTGGACTCGGGTCCCCTAGCTAGCCATTAGATGGCGCAGAGCCAAAGATAGTGGTGTGTGACTTACGGACGAGCCCGCGTCCAGGACGACTCCATAGCGCCCTAGCAAAACATTAGCCTCAACGAGGGGCGCAGAGGGGCTATGCGACAGTCTTACATTTGCCCATGAGGAATTCGACAGACGATTAGATGATTATAATTGTGTAGAACAGTCGACCAGCATGACCACGGAGCAGACGACAAGCGGCGTAGGGTATGAGGGACAAGCCAGGCTGGTGAAGGGGTTGACGTAGTTTTGTAGTATGGGAGGCGGGAGAAGCGAGGCGGGAGATTAGGAGGCGATGCGGGAGTAGATTCGGAAGAGGCGGGACAAACGAATGGCCTTGCTGGTACGGAAGTACAGCAAGATAGCTGAGGCGTCCAGGGGGGGAAGGAGGGGGGGGGAGGCAGGACAGCCAGAAGACTGGGCGGGAGGAGGGTGGGGATAGAAGGATAGAAGGATGAAGGGAAGGGGAGAAAGAAAGAAAGTAAAGTGACAGACGGACGGCGAGGGCGAGAGCGAAAGTTACGCTCCAAAGTTAGATAAGACGGGAACGGCTGACGCGACCGATGCAGGCCTAAGGCTGCCGTAGGCTCGTTCGGGTAAGGTCGGAACCGGGTGAGCAGTTCCTGCTTCTGCGTTGCTTCTTTTCCCCTCCCTCTCTACTCCGTACACCAGGCACCACACACCAGACACAGTCTTCTCTTCCGCATTACCATCGTCTGTGATCGAGCAGTCAACAGCTCAGAAGATTGTTCAACAGCAGTCTTCAATCTCTTGAACGGTTGAAGGAAAGCCTCCGCCGGCAGTCCGGAGGTCCCAAATGAGACCCCACCGCGCAATCTCGAATAGATTAAGCCAGGGTCTCGCCCGCCCGGCCCAGGCCAGGAATGTCTCTTCCAGGCAAAAATGCTACCCCGGGCCGCTTGACGTAAGCTCCCAAGCCCGCTTGCGCCATCCGCCCGCCTGATTGGCCGCTGGCACGGTCGGCGATTCCCCCGCCTTCCTCTGCCTTCAACTTGCACGGGCGCATCCTGCGCTGACGACACCGCGACACCTCCGTTGCGCGGCCTTCGGTCTGCTGATCGACACTCCATCGCCTTGATGGCACCCGAAAACCCTGATCTGTCAACTCGTCCAGCCTCCCGTCCCGGGGAACCACTCTCAATGATCGTCCGTCACCGGAAGAGGCCTTATGCAGGTTACCTGGCGAGGTACATACCTACGACTGCTATCGTCTGTGCCTAGAACCCTGCAGCTTGGCAGGTGGGATCGTGCACTGGGTTTGCCTGCAGGTCGGTGGTGGCACAGCATGTGAGTTGGCCGAGGCACACAGTTGCCATAGCATCTGGTAAACAGGACAGCGGGGTTATTGCCCGGGGACGGCAGCCGGGACGGATGCAACACGAGGCTACTCGGGAGGCCAACTTTATTACCTGGAGCTGTCCAAGCTCATTGTCCTCTGGCCATTTTGCGGAGTATCAAGAGGAATGCATCAGTGTCGGAGCATAAACAAGCCCGGCAGATAGATCCGCTACCCACATGCTTGGCTCAGCCGTGCAGCATTCCGCAGATCATGGTCAGTGTCGCTGGCCAGTTTGATTCAGTTTCTAATTAGGGGGTCATGTGGCCTGTCGAAAGAAAGAAACTAATTGCCGATGTTTTGCAGATATAATAAGATGCGTGCCTTAAATAGAAAGCTAAAGTGAACTCAATACACACGGGATAGCCGACATTGCTCGCATTGTCCTATGTTAAGTCAAACCTGCACAACTATCAGACCTGCATCGATAGGCGACAAGATACTCCATGACTTGCCACTTCAACCCGAATTGAGCAGATCGCCGTATCGTTACGTCAACCTGCAGATGAACCAGGGAACAATATTGATCTAAAATACTCTATCTGTTCTATACATCGCTGGTCTTCCTCTCTCGACACTCCTTGACCGAGGCAGATGAATCCTTCGATACCCCGATCAAGGTCGGGCTAGTACTGCCGTGAGCGTGAGCAGTCATGGACCAGTCCCCGATCTGCTCATCGAAGAACAGAGTTCGATCGAGTCCCAGCAGTTCATCCTCCTCGTCCACCCGCAGGTGCATGCCCGGGATATATTTAAGAATCAGTAGCAGCGCGGAGGAGACGACAAACGAGTATGAGGCGATGGCGCAAATCTCCGCTAGCTGCTTGGCCACCTGGATCCCGTTCCCATCAATGGCGCCAGGTGACAGAGAGCTCCCATCCAGAGCCGAGATCTTCTCGCTCGCGAACAAGCCTGTCAAGAAAGCACCCACCATACCACCAATGCCATGTAGTTTGAATACATCCAGACCCTCGTCCACGCCAATCCATTCGTTCACGTTCTGCAGAGAGGCACAGACGACGCTGGTGATGAAGCCAATGCATGCGGCGAGCCACAGGGACACGCAGCCGGCAGCTGGAGTGATCCCGACCAGACCGGCGATGGCTCCTTCGCACGCACCAACCAATGTGTACTTGCCCTTGTGCTTGATCATGTCGACGATCACCCATCCGAGGATCCCCATACACCCTGCGGTGTTTGTGTTGAAGACGGCCACCATGGCGCGCATGCTCGCATTCAGACTCGAACCGCCCTGTCATTGTTAACCATGATCGGGCATTAAGTTATGATTAACGTACGTTGAACCCTAACCACCCAGTCCAAATCAGCACGGTTCCGATAAATACCAACGTCGTGTTGTGCGGTTTGCGGAGTGAAGGCTCTCCATAGCCCCGACGTTTGCCCAAAATCAAAGCGTATGCCAAGGCTGCGCAGCCAGAGGCAATATGCACGGGACCGCCGCCCGCAAAATCGATCGCCGGCAGGTTGTATAGCCACCCGTTACTGCTCCATGTCCACCGGGCTAGGGGGCAGTACACAAGGGTGGCCCAGAAGAAGCTGAAGACCAAAGACGGCATGATGCCACCTCTTTCGAATGCACCTCCAACGACGATCATCACCTGCTACTTTTAGTAGTTGTTTTCGGCCGCGGGAGGTGACGTACTGTGCATGCGCAAAAGAGGAGCTGGAACAGACAGAACACGACCTCCGGGATCACGGCGGAGCCGGGCGAGGGCGCCACCATGACCTCCATCAGGCCAAAGTTCTTGAGCGTGCCGATGAAAGGGCCTCCATCTCTCGAATAGGTAAGAGAATAGCCCCAGAATAGCCACTGGAACGTGGATCTGCATTCGATCAGCCCATCGGACAGATGACAGGTCACAGAGCCGCCGACTTACACCGCAAGAACCATGAACGACTGGAATAGCAAGGCTAGCGCGTGTTTCCTCCGCGCCAGACCGCCGTAGAGCAGCCCAATCCCGGGTAGGATGAGGAAGACGACGAAGACACAGGTGATGATGTAGGTGTAGTTGTACTCGAAGCCTGTATATTGCGCGTTCACGTCGACCTTGGTCGGATCGCCGCCCTCGGGCATGGAGGCATTGTAGACTGGCTGTCAGCACGCTGCCAGTCAGTTTGTGCTTCGAATGGTTTATTGGATCTGGAGGACGGACCTCAGCCATGGCGCAGGCTCGTGCGAAAGAGCTGAATCACAACGTGTCCGATCGAGCTGGTCAAGGGTCTCAGTCTCTGGTGAGGTTGAGATTGTTTTGGAGACTGTGGAGAGCGGCCAACAGAAGTTGTGACTCGGAATTTATCTCTCCCTTGCGCTTCGACTGCAGGTCCTGCTTGGCTGGATCCATTTCATTGCCAGAGGCGTGGGCCATGAGTCACTCCGACCCGCCCAGCGTCGTTGTTGTTATCTCGCAGCCAAGAACCCCAGGACTTCAAATACCCGGCCTCGTCGCTGGTGACTCTTGGTTGAGCAAAAGTTTCCGTCATGGTTGGTTGTATCGCGAGGGGATATCGAGTGCCAAGATGGGCGATCATCCCCAAGGGCCTGGCAGCCTGATAAGATAGCCCGCAGCCCCCGATCATCCGCGACTGATTGGCTCCGTCGCCCTCCCCGGATCCTACATCCCTCTGCGGTTTAGGGCCTGACCAGCTGGAGGCGATAGCAAACTGCTACCCATCCATGGCCACTGGGGGCAGTGATTGGCGAGAGATAACCAGCAGAAGGTGCCCACAATGCTAACTACCAGAAAGAGACAGTAATAGTTAGCGGGGTGTCGGACTGTCGGACTGTCGGACAGCCTGGACTCTGGCGATGCTGCCATCTCCCCTAGCGATTCCGATCTCTGGTGGCTTGCATCAGCACCATGATCACACATGGCCTCCCAGATCTCGCATCCGCCCCTCGTGGGCTAGGGGCCGTGATATACGAAGCCGTGGCTGCTAGCTGACTGCTAGCTGAACGATCGGGTGACGTGAAAAGAACGCCTGCATACTCCCTCGCCAGCAGCCGGTCCATCCTACGCCGAAGGCAACCCAAGGATGCGCAATTGGGGCTGAGGATGAGACAATATGTAGTCCGTATCCATCTGCCGTCAGTGTGCAGGTCTGGTATGTGAGTACCCGTTTCAGCGCTGTTCGGTCCAGGCACCCACGATGCCACGTCCTCTTCTGACGTCAGTCAAGGGATATACATCCCATATCGCTTGACCTCATGCTGCAGATGATGGGGCTTTTCTCTAACGGTGTTGCAGGGGAGAGATCCTTTTCCTCGCGGCCATCGATCATGGACGATCATCGCGGTAGATTATCACGGGAGAGACGGAGGGGCCAGGAATGAGACAATATTGAGATGTGAAACTCGGATTCTTATTAGATGCCGAAGGCCCAGGTGCATCGGCTGAGGATACCCACCTTGCAGCAAGGGGAGCGGCGCGAAGGATTCAGACACGAGGGGAAGGAATGGTCGTCTAGACTAGCTCCATGGCCACTCCATACCCTAGCCCAGTGCATGAGTCGTAATAAGTACTAAGTCCAGCTACCACGCGCCTCCAGCTGACCTGGGAGCGGCGACGCTCGTACTGATCGGAGGGCGAGGCAGACGCCAGGGCTACCAGGCGCCCCTGGCCGATGGCAGTGCAGGGACAGCCATACTCCGTACAGACTGGGGAAGCGACAGGTGCAAACCCACCCGGTGGACGCCTTCCTCCCGTCTCCGTGGTGAGGATCTCCCGGAAGCTTCGGAGACATGTCAGACCCGACGCCCCTTTCGAACACGATGGGCATCACCCACGTGCCAGAGCTGGGGTGATGGGTGATGGCAAGTATAACTATTCCTGGAGCGGCGCCAATCGGGACTCGTCGCCCCCAAAACCGGCAGGCTGACTAACGGCAACAGGAAGCCTTAGTGCCTTGCCCGCCTGCGGGTTGCAGCTCATCCTGGCTTGCTTCTGCTTCCTTCATTCCTGCATTCCTTCCTGCTATGTGTCTCCTGATTCCACTCTGTCGATCGCCCGACTAATCCTTCTACTACTACTTATATCCCCGCTCAAGGCTTGGCCACACCCAGACTCATGTCCTCAACCATGGGCGCCCAACCACCTCCCCCGCGCAAGCGGACTCGGGTCAGTCACACCAAAGTGCGCACTGGGTGTCGGACATGCAGGTACGCTACTACGCACGAAAGCCGGCACCGTGCGGGGTCCTCCTCATTGACGCTGGCCTTCTAGGATCCGTCATAAGAAGTGCGATGAAACCCGTCCCATCTGCCTCATGTGCAGCACCACCGGCCGCGTCTGCGATGGATACCAGCAGACCCTCGACCGGAGGACCCGCGCCTCACGGCTCCGGCTGCTGTCGTCGACGCCCTCGTCCACCGGCAGCACGTCGCCCCCCGCGGTGATCATGCCGTCGCTGGTGTCCGATCTGATCCTCCACACCAACCAGGTCGACCTCACCCGCCAGGAGCGGTGGTATCTCGACTTCTTCCGCCGCAGCACCGCCTTCCAATGCTCCGGCTACTTCGACGACGACTTCTGGCTGCGCCTCGTCCACCAGGTCACCGAGGCCGAGCCCGCCGTCCGCCACGCCGCCATCGCCCTCAGCGCCCTGCACTGGAACTTCGAGCGCACCAGCTCCGGCCAGGGCCTCTCCGACACCCGTCTCCCCCTCCAGCAGTGCGCCAAGGCAATCACCTCGCTGCGTCACCAGCTCACCGGCGGCCGCCTCCCCTCCCGCTCCAACATGGAGATCACCCTTGTGACCTGCGTGCTCTTCGTCTCCTTCATGTTCCTCCAGGGCGACACCCACCTCGCCTGCACCCACCTCCGCGGCGGCCTCAAGCTGCTCCGCGAATGGAAGACCACCGACCCAATCGGCTATTCCACCACCGGGGCCGTACTCATGAAAGTCTTCGCGCGTCTCCAACTCCAATGGTCCACCTTCGCCGACGAAGTCTTCATCGAGCAAGACGACAACCGCTTCAACATGCCCTACATGGAAATCAACGACCTCAGCATGGAAGACCGCATCGACTCCCTCGACAAGGCAGGCAACCTGCTGGTCAGCCTCGGCCGGCTCGTCCTCTCCCCGCGACCCCCCGACTCCTCCCCGCCAGGCTACTGCACCGTCCTCGACACCAAACGCATGGCCATCCTCAACAAACTCCAACACTGGACCTCCGAACTCGACCCCCTCCTCACCCAACCCTCCCCCTCCCTCCTCCCCCTCCGCGACCAAACCATCCTCACCGTCCTCAAACTCTGGAGCGAAACTATCTACATCATGGCCGCCTCCGAGAACCGTCTCGGCGGCGCCGAATCGCGCTTCGACGCCTTCCACTTGCATTTCGGCCACGCCGTCGCCCTCGCCAAGACCCTCCTCATCTCCTCTACCGCACAGTCGAATATGCCCTCCTTCTCTATTGGAATGGGCATCATCGCCCCTCTCTTCTTCTGTGCGTTCAAGTGTCGGGACTGGTATATCCGTCGCGAAGCGTTACTTTTACTCAGGAGCTGTCAGCGCCAGGAGGGGCTGTGGACGACCCCCGGGGCGGTTTTGGTTCTTGAACGCTTGATTGAGATTGAGTCGGAGGGCTTATTGCCGGGGGATTTGGTTCCCGAGGCCGCTAGGATTGATTCCATTCATGTTAACATTTTGCCGGATGATCGGAAGATTGGCATTTGGTATCGGAGGATGGGAGGGGTGGGGGTGGTGGTGGTGGGGGGGGAGTGGGGGAGTGCGAGTAGCAGTGGGTTTGGGAGTGGAAGTGGGACTGGGGGAGTGGATCTCGCGGAAGGCGTTTGGGAGAAGGCGTTGTTGGATTATCATCTTGGCTAGGCAGGGTAGGATTGTTTAGATACCTATTTGATTGTTTTTTTTTTTTTTTCTTCTTTTAACGCAATACTCCCTCCCTAAGATATGTCTTATACCCGTCTTAGCATAGGTAGGTAAGGTATATATACTAGGTACTAGTACTGTCCACACGACGTACGATATCCAACGAATATAACTACTCACCCATGAATGAAGAAATAGCCCCAAAGCAAACGAACCATGACATCAAACGAAACCTTCCATTGTGAAGGATCACGAAGGATCACACTACTGTATGTGTCACCTAGGAATCCCGTGATCCTGTGATGATCCTGAGGGATTTGTGGGATTTGGGGTGTTCTTGGAATTGTAAGGATTTTCAGCACTAAAGGGCTAATTTCTTACTTGCAGGAAGTGCCACGTGAATGCGATGTTCGTGAGCAGGGCTGCCGCTGAAGCTGAAGCTGGATCGGACTCGCACTCTGAATCTGAATCTGACCCCCAAGTCTGACTGTAGTTGTAACTGTAACTGTAACTGTACTGAATTTGACTGACTGACTGACTGACTGACTGACTGACTCCGACTATCCCATCCCTCTCATTCTCACTCTCACTCCCACTCTCACTCTCACTCTTCACCTACATACCAGGATAAGATAAGATAAGCATCTAGCCCTCGAGATCTTCCTTATGGAGTACATTCCGCCCCGAGTATACGGAACCCTCCCCCCGTCCCGAGGTTATTATCCATCATGATACAACGAGTTTATTATCTATATATCCAGGTAGAATATATAATGTTGTACTTGAGAGTATATCCCAGGTGTGATATTGAGGTGAATACGTAGATATGTAGATACTGTAGATACGTAGATGGTGGGTTTGGGGTTTGGGTTTAGGCTTAGTTACTAGTGTGAATCATATACTTCGATCAGATGTGGTTACACTGTTGTTCTCTGTGTTGGAGAATGGGCTGTGCCGCAGTACTAAGTCTACACAGGTCACAGAGCAACCATACGGAATTGAAATCAGATGCAGACACCACCAAGGGGACGGATACAGGTACAAACGATGGGTTATAGGACCAGGGCAGAAAAAGTAGTGATTAGAATGATATATACTACTTATCAATCGATCCAAAATCTCAAAATCTCAAACACATACACACACTAATCTGTATATCCAACTTAATCCCTACCTATCCATCCATCCATCCACCCCCCTGTAAAGACCTCACCACTCACCACTCACACAAAATCTTCTCCTTGTACATATCCACCCCAGCAAACTCATAACAATCCTTGACCTTCGCCCCCACAATCCCACTACACTGCACCTCATCCAAATCCGTACACTTGAACGTGCCGGGCTCCGTATGCGTCCCCGTATACACGCACCCGGACAGCCCATGCACCTTGAAGTCCAGATCATACGTCCCGTCCGGATACGGCGGGTCGTCGACTACGATGCTCCCGCTGGCGGACTTCTCGCCGATCGAGCCGTCGCATAGACTGATGGTTTTGTCCATCGCGGGCGTGAAGAAGGCCCAGAGGCTTTCGAGGACGGCGGCTTCGTATGCGATGATCATGCGTGCGGTGGGGGTCGCGGACGCGGTTGTTGTGGTGGAGTGCGTGCCGGTTTTGATGGTTGTGCTGCTGCCGGCGCATTTGGTGTAGGTGAATGTTGTGGTGCTGTATTCGAAGTAGCTGAGCGTTGCGCTGGCGCAGACGATCACGTCGCCGTCGACGAAGGAGGTCGTGAAGGGGCCGGTTGTTGTGGTGGTAGTGCTGGTGGAGGACTTTTTGGTGCTGGTTTTGGTGGCTGTTGCGCTGGGGATGGACGTGTAGGAGCATCCGCTGCTGGAAGGGAGGAGAGACAGCGTCGTGTAGTCCCCGTCTGGGAGCGTGCAGACGCAGTAGTCTGTGTCGGTGCCGGAATCGGGGTCCGCGCTGGGGGGGAGGGCTGGTTAGTGGGGGATTTGACCGGGGAATGTGATCGGGGGATGGAATCGGTGGATGGGAGGCTTACAAGTTGGTGCACAGCGGGGAGGTGTCGCTTGTGGTGGACGTGTAAGATGTGATGAGGGTGGTAGCGGTCTGGTTGCGGGAGGGAGAGGCCGTGACAGTCGAGCTGTGACTTGTTGTGCTGCCGGTTTCGCTGATCGTGTGCACGGTGATGGTTGATGTGGTATCAGTTTTCGTGGAGCTCTCCTTGGTCGCGGATTTGGACGAGGTTACAATGGTGCTGCTTCCGCTGTGTAGATGCGAGGAAGACCCGGAGGTGGCAGAAGAAGATTCCGAAATAGATGTTCTCTCGTCCTTGAGCATTCCTGAAGTTGTTGTGCTCTCGGGCTTGGTGGATACCTTGGCCGAGGATGAGGCATCGGTGCTTGATTTGGCAGACACGCTGGGTGAGTGAGTAGTCGTGGAGCTGGCCAAAGACGAGGTCGGGGACAAGGTTGAAGTGGTAGAAGTTGAAGTGGACACAGTCGAGTCAGACTTGGAAGCGTCCGTAGTGGTGGTCACGGAGCCTGTTTCAGTTGCGGCAGAAGTGGTCATCGTCGCGTCTGCGGAGCTCAAAGCACTCGCTTCGGTCTGAAGAGCGTCAAAGAGGGAGGATACGCTGCTGACGGCGTCGTCAATCTCGCTCTCGGTCCCCGAAGCAGCCCCCTCAATCGCAGAGGCGATATCGCCCGCACTGCTGGAGATGCAGCTCACGATTCCGACAATATCTCCCAGCAGTCCTCCCCCACTGGAGCAGTCACCGCTAGAGCCGCTGCCGCTTGAGCTCTCGCTACCCCCGGGTGCGCCGAGGATGTCAAGCGCGTCGTCAGCAACGGTGGCGGCGCGATAAACGACCTTGGCGACATCGGTGGCCTTCACCGACTTGGGGTCCTTCATCCATTTTTTGATCAGTGGGTATGCCTCCTTTACGAGCTTGTAGACGTGCTTGAGGGTGGAGAAAACGTCAACGGACGACGATGTGGAGGTGCTGGCGGTCGTTGTGGAGGAGCCTGTTGTGGGGGCGGTCGTGATAGTTCCGCTGCTACTGGTGGCTTCCGAGGTCGTGCTTGAGGTGGTGGACGAGGACGTGCTTGAGCTAGTAGGTGAAGATATGCTTGAACCAGTGGACGTGGAAGATGTGCTTGTGTTACCAGTAAATGTTGATTCCGTGCTTGACGAGCTAGGAGCGGAGTGGCTCGCTGTGTGAGATGCGGTCCGGACCGGAGAGCTTGTGGAAATAACTGGCGTGGAAGTGGAAGACTCCGAATGATGCGTCGAGCTTAAAGTGCTGGAGGTAGAAGTCGACGTAGTTGAGCTCGTTGAAGCGGTTGAAGTCGAAGTCGAGGACGTCGAAGTGTCAGATGTATAGGACGTCTCAGTGTGAGGTTTTGACGTGGGAGTCACCGAGCTCGACTGAATAGTGGACTCTGCGTGAACAAGCTTCGAGCTTGAGGGCTTCGAAGCAGTATGACTTGAGCTTGGGGTGCTGGTGGACCCGAGAGAAGACGTTGTGGAGCTCGCAGAGTCGACAGAAGGGGAGACAACAGGCGAGCTCGTGTAAACTAAAGAGCTCGTGGGCCTTGTGGAAGAGTCCACGGATTGAGAATGAACGGACAGGCTAGTGGCCTGGGAGAAACGTTGCGTCGAAGAGCTCTTCGGAGTTGAGTGGGGGATGGAAAGAGTGTATTCAGTAGACGACCCGATCACACTGCTTCCGTTAGAACATCATAAATTTCGGTTGGATAGACTAACCTGTGGGACAAAGATGTTGGGCTCAAGGCCGTGCTGATTCCAGATGTGTGAAAGAATAAAACAGAGCCTGCATCGTTGTCCCTGGTCGACGTCTCCGCAGAGCCCAAACTAGGCGGCGAGTATATCGCGGTGCTTGTGCTTGTAGTCGCAGTCGACTCCGGGTCCGGATGCCACGAATGGCTCTCTGAGGCGCCCGCAACGACTGACGAGCTTGGATGCAACGACAGGGTCAGTCCCAAAGAAGGCGACACAAGGCTGCTCGCCAAGACCCCAGCCAGCAGGGCTTTTGTGGTAAAGAGAGGCATGTCCGATGTAAGGACAGTCAAAAGAGCGACTTAGCAACAAAATCAAAGAGGGAATGAATGTTGGTTTGCTTGGCATTGGAAGAGGAAGGCCATTTCTATAAAAGTGTGGCCGATGTGCAGCGTGCGTAGTTTTGGCCCCCAGAGGGCCAAAAGTATCAGTATGAATCGTGCAAGGCTGCTCCGTCCCACATCCAGAAGCGAAATCCGAGGCAGAGAGCAGTATTTCTGGGACCGGAATGATGGCTACTGCAGGTACAAATTTAGTATTCAGCCGCAGTAGGATGGCAATTGGTGGGTGGATTGGGGAGCGATCTCCATGCGTGCAAGATCGGCTCAGTGTAATGAAACAGATCCTCCGCCCCCAAAGACGGCCTGGGGAACGAATGCTCCGCCAATCTGTTGTTCCTGAATTACTACACGCCGTGATTTGTCTAGTGCTTATGGACTGACTCGGTGGTTGATTGCATCGTCTTGCTCGTGTCAATGTCATTACTAGCTGGTCAGCTCGGCGGAAGAATTGATATCAGCCTCACTATGAGGTGGCTTGCTGGTCTGCGTAATAGCCACATAGACGCAGACACTCCGCATAAGCCACGAGCCTGGGCCGTTGATGTGAGAATACTATGAACACTCATGGAAGGCCCTCGGATTCAGGCGTCCATATGCGCTTCCAATGCCAATTCAGTCCGAACCCATAACTTGGAAAGGCTGACGGCCAGAGAAGGATTGCTCGGTGGCACGCAGGAAACAAAGCCAGAATCGGTCATAGTTCCCATAATAGCCATTCTGGTATGGCTTAATCACTGTCCTGATATTAGCACTATTCCACAGCGTCCAGATGTAAAGAACATCAGCTCAACAATCCCACAGAATACGCGATCAGGACGATGGGTGGAGCTTGGGATGTCCGCCCAGTGTTGTCTTCACGACTTATGCATGCGTTCCATTCATCGTGAAAGCCTTGCATGAATTCTTGAGTATGGACTGTGGCTAATATTGGAGGATCAGGCTGCCCCTGATAGTATCACCAGTATCGGCGTTGGCGGCCCCCACGCGACCATTGGCGAGGTGCCCGAGTGGATCTACTGCGCCCCTTTCTTCCTCCCGGTTGCAAGATAAACCCGACTTCTGCGTGAAGCAGCACTAGAGCCAGATCAATTATAATTAAGCTGGTAGGGAATTACATGGAGGAAAACAGAGAAAGGAAAGAAAGGAAGTCCTCGACAACAATGGCTGTTTGTTGTGTTTTGTCTGTTTGCCCTGTTTGCGTTACCCCGCACCGGTCACGTGGTTATCGCGTCTCGGCCAATTGCTCCGCCTTGTGTGCGGAGTAGTTTCATCAACCTCCTCGGCCACCGACCATGGATCGATCACATTTGATCATCGACACGCGGCTGGAATCATCAGCAGTCCACTGCATCTCTATCCAACACGTCTGTCCGTCCATCCCGCATACCATCACCGATCTAGACCTGCTCCGCCCCATGAGGGATGGAGAGAGGGCCACCGCCATGTGAGTTACTGGGCCCGTGCGAGTTGCTCGGCGTCGGGTGGCTCGGTCTGCCCGACGGGGACTGCACCCGGTCCACCGTGGTCGATTCGGAGAAGAACGACGGACGGTGCATCGACACATCCCACGACCCCGGACCATTCTTGGCCTCCCATTCATTGAAGTCCTGGCCCGGGTTGACGGTATGGTACTGGGCGAGCCTCAGGAAGGTGAAGAAACCACACGCTAACAGACTTCCAAGCAGCGGTCCGACCCAATATATCCAGTGATACCCCGGGAAATTGCGGTTGATGACATCGGGGCCGAGGGAGCGTGCCGGATTAAGCGAGCCACCGGTGTAGTAGTCGCCTGCACGAGTTAGGATTATACCTTGGTCGAGGGTTATAGAAAAACTCACCGACCAACTCCGTGACGAAGAATACCAGGCCGATTCCCACCGGGGCTAGGAATGTGGACTTGTGTTTCACCACGGCCAACATGATGATGACAAGCACCAGCTGAGCTGTCAGGAACATCTCGATGAACAGTCCTTGTGAGATGGAGGTGCCGCCGCCCAAGCGAGTGGTGACGTTCAAGGGTCCGGGGAACAGCGCACTGACTACCCCGGCAGACGCGATTCCTGCCACCAGCTGCGCGCCGAAGACCAGCACCCCGCGGATAGGGGACAGTCCACCCACCAGGCACAGGGCCAATGTGACCTAACAATCAGCACCATCCAATCCATCGTTGGTAATCAGACATACCGACGGATTGAACAATCCCCCGGTGACGCGGTAAAATGCCCACACATTGACCATCAACGAAAAGCCAAAGCAGAGAGACGAGTACAGCAGATTCGACGTGTCGGGATTGGCCCCCGCGGCCGGCTTCGGGGTGTTGGATACCTGCGTCCCGGCGAACGAGAAGAAGAGGAAGAGAAAAGTGCCGACAAACTCGCCCACGACCGCGATGACGTTGTTCCTGGTAGTGTCGGCGAGATGGAGCATGGGAAGCTGGCTATGGGTGGGAGTGATGACGGGCGCCGTACCCTTGCCCCGGCGCCGGGCAGAGAACCATTGTTGCACCTTCATCTTGAGATTACGTTACTGAGGAAGAAGCTAGGGGGATGATGGAGGAGGCACAGCAATTGCCTGGCAGCTACGCGCTTTATACTTCCACCAGCAGCTGGCCAGCCGGACTCGACGTCACGACCGCTTCCAGCGACGCCGAGTCGATGATGAAGCCCGCGTCTAATGCGGTTTACGAAACCCACATATGAGAATGCCCGAGTAGAACCCGATGGCTTGTTTGTGACCATGGTTGACGTAGAGGTAGAGCGGACGGGTGGTTCTGGCCCTGCTCTGTGGCGGCGTGAACCAGGCAAACCGACCCGTCTGGGAAGTATATCACGAGGGAGGGAACGCAGCGATGGTGACAGCTGAGATGCCTTGCTCAGCCATCTCGGATTCTTGGATGGAATTGAAATGTGCAGGCCCAACACGCGCTCCTTGCTACCGCCTCTTGCTACCAGATCCAACGCAGGTCTGAAATTGAGTGATACAAAGCCCGGTAGTCCTCACGGGACTGTCATCGGTTACCCCGGGGGTTGTCCTGAAGCGTGCAGTTCGGCAGACGGTCCAGGCCGTAGAATGGAACGCTCCAGAATCGCACAGTTGGGAGATTCCATCGCTCTGTGACACAGCGGATGCACATGTAGTCAGCGACGCATCCGGGGTGCAGAGAACGAGGAGTGACAGGAGTGGACGAGGAAGAACCAACAAACTCGTCGGAGTTTGTTGAATACGAGCCCAAGCCAGCATGTGACGGCCGGGGTGGCACGCTAGCCAGATCCGGTCCCAGCCGGGATCACGTGTGTCGAGTCAATGTCATGCCTCAGGCACAATGCCTCCGGCCGTCGGCAAAGCCGATAAAATCTTAGTTGATTGACATTTATGGTGGAGCATCAGAGTTAGCTCAGATCTGGCTAGCTGCCTATCGCTTGTGACCAACTTCCCGCGGAGTTCGTTATTGAAGTGGATCACTCAGGGGTGTAGGGGCTTCCGGACGCTTCACCTGTACACAGCCTAAGACGCAGGAGCAGGACGCTAGTAAATAATAGATACAATACTAAGTTCTTAGAATTATGATATTAATTATTAAGTGCTTGAGTGCTTAATCTCTCCTAGCTAGTGGCCACTGGCAGATTCAGTTTTAGTGATTGCCAGAATATATAGTAAGTACTTACTCAGATTCTTATCTGCTTCTTATCCAGATCCTGTATCCGGGCTTTATCCCGCTGATAGTAAGAATATATAATCTAGTATATAAGATTTTATAGAAATATTTTTTATAAAAACAAATCCAGCTAATAAAATAGTAGTAATAATATTTTTTTTTAAAAAAAAAAAAAAAAAAAAAAACCGCGTGCCATAATCTGATCGACGCCTTTTTCTTTCCCCCATCGGCTCGCCCAGAACTTGAATGTGCCGTCGGGATGGATGTGGACAGTGGCAACTTCGAGTTCCAGCTGCCGTCAGGAGCCCAATTGTAATTACGTTTTGGGTATCATTTCGGTCCTTGGAGGAACGGTGCGCCACGGAACCCCTGTAATCTGTATAGAGTTAGCAGATGTTTGGCTCCGATGTATTGTCGGGCAGGGGCATACTGAATCTGAGTACTTGTAATTCGCGGGTTCTAAGTATTGTTAATGATACTGGAGAATAAAGGGATAACAGGGAGAGACATACTGCCTTTTCTATGGCACTCAATATGTTCGTTGTGGCTATTCCAAACCTCGGGCCCTCGGGCCCATTCATAGTAGCAATGATATCAGTGGGGTTGGCGCTGCTGACATACTGAATGAGCGTTCTGGCTGTCGATTGGAGCCTTCGAGTGAAGCTGCGACTCATTGGAGCTGTTGAACAGAGCCACTCGACTAGAACAACTAGGATGACAAGCGTGCTGATAATATATCGACAAAATGACTTGGTCGTAACGCGGTTACTGCAACAAACCCCGAGATATAGTTCCGATATTGATGTTACTCGCGCGGCCTCCTCGCAAAGACCAAAGCCTTTGCTGGTTGGTATAACCCCTCCTTCTGGACCACCTGAGACATGTTTGTGATAGTATCACCAGTATCGGCGGGTACGGAGTAGATAGTCTAGATAGATCGACTCGCGACTCGCGACTTGCGACTTCCCCATTTGGAGATTTGCGTGCCAAGACGTCGAACCGCCCGACCGGGAACAACCGACCTCCATCCATCCAGCCTTTCACTCTTGAACTCTCCCAGCTCCCTCGGAATCTTGGGCGCGGGCTTAATTTACTAGAGGCATGTCTCGCCTTTGGCGTCTCGCTTCCGCTGTTTCACGCCCCAGGCCCAATTGGAACGCCCGTCCGTGCGCGCACGCGCCCTGGGGATGGATAAAGCACCCCATCCAGCCGCTGCCCATCAAGTTCACGCTCCGCAGAATGTCCACCACTACCCCCCAGCCTACCTCATCTCCCCTGCGCTCATTTCCCACCTCCGGCTTCGAGGTCCTCGATCCCTCGGTGCCCGTCGAGGAGGAGACCTTGCCCACCTACAGTGCAGAGAAGTACTACCCCGTGCACATCGGGGAGGTCCTGGGCGATCGGTACCAAGTGGTTGCAAAGATTGGATTTGGTGTGACATCTACAGTCTGGCTTGGTCGTGACATTGTGTATGTTCACCACCACCATCACCACCACCACCACCACAATGATGTTTGCTTACTTGTACTGGACCAAGAGCACCTCCCAATATGCCGTCTTGAAAGTCTACGTCACAGGAAGAGAACGGAACCATGAAATCGAGGTGTATGAACGCATCGAGGCGACCCAAACAGATCATCTTGGTAAATCCTGCATCCGCAAGCTCCTAGGTCACTTTTCCATCGACGGGCCCCATGGCCGCCATGTTTGTCTGGTTCACGAACCCCTCGGGCTGAGCCTGTATGAATATCTGTTTTTCCTTCCGGGGAGGATCATGGAATTCGAGTCGATGAAAGCGTGTTTGAGGCAGGTGATTGCTACCCTGGATTGGCTGCATACTGAGGCGGGGGTTATTCATACCGGTAATTTATGATTAACCTTTCTTTCTGTTTTGGCATCAGATGGGATGGAAATCGCGGCACTGACTCTTTCTGACTGACTGACTAACTCACTAATTGTAAAGATTTGCAACTGAAAAATCTCCTCCTCCCCGGAAGCCCAACATACCTCTCCCGGGCCGAAACGGTCGAAATGAACTCCCCCACGCCCAGGAAAGTCCTAGATGACGGACGACGCACCATCCACACCAGCCAGATTGTCGTTCCGGGCAACGGACTACCCCTTCTCAGCGACATGGGCGAATGTCGGTTCGTCTCGACGGAGAAACAGTTCGATGAGATCATGCCGAACGCGTACCGCGCCCCGGAGGTGATCCTTCATATGGGCTGGGATGAGAAGGTAGATATTTGGAATGTGGCTATGCTTGTACGTTACCCTCCAATTGGCCCTTCCCTCTAATGAGGGTTTCCCATCCTGGATCTGTATCTGGAACAAGATACTAATCGATTGATGGTATGCTCCAGGCGTGGGATATTGTTTCCTCGCGATGTCTCTTCCAAGGCTGGAACGCGGATGATATCTTCGCTGATCGTGTTCACGTCGCCGAGATGGTGGCCCTGCTGGGACCCCCGCCGAGGGACTTTGTTGAGAGGAGTAAAGTCGGGCATGTGTTTTGGGATGAAAATAGTAAGACTTCCCCGATGTGCATGTGCTGTGGATTAGTAGCAGAGACTGATGTGAAATAAAATGACCAGACACGTGGAAAGACCTCGCGCCAATTCCTGACATTACACTGGAGAGTCTGGGAGCGAAGTTCAAGGAAGAGGAGAGGGACAAGCAGGGATTCTATCGCTTTCTTCGGAAAGCCCTGCAGTGGAAGCCTGAGGATCGACCGACAGCGAGGGAGTTGATTAACGATGAGTGGTTGTTGGAGGGACTAGGGATTCCGAAACGGGATGAGGTGCAGTAAATTCTGTTTCTGAGGATGTGTTTTCTGGTGGGATGTATGGTAGATTTACATATCATCTTCTCTTGTCTTTTTTTATTCACCGTCTCGATGATATCTGGTTCTGGTTCCCCTCTCCACTCCCTTCTCTCTTCCTCCTCGGCACACCAACCCTAACTAACTAGCCATCACCCATTCCCTCCCGGGACCCGCATGCATACCATGTTGGTTATATGATATCCTCTCCGTCCAATCCAATCCCAATCCAGCAGATCTCAAAAAAAAAGATGAGGAATGTACATGAAGGGAAAGGGTCTTCACCACTAGTAGGTATACCAAGCAACGGCACAGTACGGGTTTATATACCTCTACCTGCACGAATATCCCCTAGCTTATAAATCAAGACATCCTATTTGCAAGGCCCTTTATGACCGAATACTCAATAAATATTACCTACAAGTGATATCCCTACCCTGCATCATATATCACGCAGTACACATAGTACCGAAGCTAAGCCCAGCTCAGCTATCCCTCAACGTGGAAGATTCAGGAGTAAATCCTCCATCACCTCCCTGCTATTCATACACTTGAGCATCTCCAGCTCGGGCCTGATCACCTGCATATCGGCAAACGAGGCCAAATCCACATTGGGAAACCAATCGTGAAACAGCTGGACCTTGAAATCGCTGTTCATATACTGCGTCATATCCCTCGTCAGGGTATCATCGAACGTGTCGTTCTGGTTGAGCGTCCGCAGGTAATGCGTCGACTGTCGCTCCCCGAATATCACCGATCTGCTGAGCGCATTGTGGTAGATCTGCAGGTTGTCTGGGGTGGTGATCTTGAGCAGGTCGGTGAAGAGCTCGCGGGCGAGGTCGATCGAGTCGAGGCCGCGCTGCTTCGCCACGATGTCGCTGTCTAGTAGCAGCTGGAAGATTTCTTCGATCGGGGTCTGAGGATTTTGTACGAACGATGGCTAGGTTAGATATGAATGATAACTGGTTCATTCGCTCCCACCCCTTGGCTGGGAGTCTACTCGCCTGTTCGTATTTGTGAGAGTGCAGGATATCCATGTGCGCCTTGGACATCTGCAGCAACCTCGCCCGACTCATCCGGTGGTTCTTTTTTGATTGCTTGTACATATAGATGTATCCGCCTACTCGGTCGCAAACTGCGTCCAGCGTGTTGTTGCTAGACGGCGTGGCCTCCCTTCCGGCTCGCTCGTAGCCTTCCTGTAGGATCTGACGCAGGCCCTTCACTTCGTATTTGGCGACTGTCTTGCTCTCTGCGGAGGGCCGTATATCCAGTTCCTCTATTTTACGCTCTAAAAAGCCCTCGCTCATGATGAAAACCTCATGATGTCTGGGTTTCCACATCACGTCCATGGTGTCTCATTTATGTTGGACTCGTTTATTAGGCCGGGTTGAAGATTTCGGGGGGTTCAGGCAGAAGGAATAGGTAAGGTGGATGTGATATGACCCCCAAGAGCGCTCTGGGCCCTAGTCTCTACTTATGTCTTTTCTGAGCGATGGTCACCCCCACCTCCTGAAGCATGTCACCTCCTGGCCCACTGGAGGATCCCCGCACATGTGAGTTCGACGGGCATCTGGCCCACATTCTACCCGCCACTACCATCATCGAGCCAGTTCTGGGCGAACATCGGAGATCTAGTCTGTCACTTTCACAGCCCTGGACTCGTCTTGAAGGTCAGCCTCCGGTCATCGTTGAATCTATGTTATAACTAAGCACCATTAGTCAGTCCCCTTTTTTTTTCTGAATGTAAACCTTCCACATATCGATCAAGGGGAGAAAAAGACTCGCCACCTAAAAACAGAGCAGCAGAGCGCCCCAAACTCTATTCAACCTGGCGACCACAACGCACCCGACACGATCGATCGATCGATCGGACTAGAAGGATCCAGCCAGGTTATACACCCTTCATGCCCCTCCCACCCAGTAGGTCTGGACCTGTCTGACTGTCATTGACCTCACGACTCGCACAGGTGTGGTGGTATCTTGGTTTCCACGCGACGGGAGGTCCCCGGCTTGGCAGATCGGGGTACGGGGGTAGGGACTCGGTCTGTGTCCATGGTACCTTGTTAGCTGTCTGTCTTCAGCTGAGCATGAGGCTCTGTTATTTCGTGCAGCGTCTTTTCCTGATCGGTCGGACTGGTCGGGGTGGATCAGTTTCAGGGTCCAGCTGTTGCTGGTGACAGGGGTACGATGCCAATGAGGGGCGTGATATTGGCTAGCTGAGTCGCTCTAGCCTACATCAGGCAGAGGAAGAAAAGGCGAGAGAAGAGGAGAACCGCAGAGGCGGTGCATTCCCGCTCACTGCAGGCAACTAGCCTGAAGCACCACCCAACCCAACTGACAGATGAGGAAGAGGTAGAGGTAGTAGAAGAAGATACACAGAAAAAGGCATGCGTGAGAGGGGCATCCATAGACCAAATGAGTAGACAAGAGACGGAAGAAGCAATAAAGGAATGATGCTAATGAGGAGGAAAAATAATAAGTTTGGGGGAGGGGGAATTAACTGAGTAAACACCCTACAAGCCAAAAAGGGAAGGTAGCTCGGGGTTCAACTGAGCTGCCGGGAGATGAACCCATACTAGCCGTATTTAGTTAGCGTGGGTATTGCATGCAGGTGTGTTCACGGGCGGTAAGGATGTTTGTTCTGTTGCTGTGGATGTTGCAGGTAGGCAGGTAGATAGAAATGAACATGATACACCGGAAGTTATTCGCAAATAGCTGGACTGCTTATATCAATACTCTGGTTTGCCGATCCAGGAGACTCCACCATAGCTACTAGCTACTTACTAGCTACTCGAGATGCCTTGCGTTCGTCTCTACTCCGTAGTAATAGGCAATAATACCTCCTTCTCTTCGCTCACCGCCCTGGCAGTATCTTCAGCTTCTGCTTTTTGGTTCATGTTTACATGCGGGACGGGGCTGTGGGCAATATTCTATTCGTGGGTAGTTTTCTGGATGTAATTATAGTACCGAGGCTGGGTTGTTATCTGGATCGTTCGCTTGAGTGAGGCATGGGGGTTGTTCAAAAAGTCAGAGTGGTGCGGGGCATGTTTTATCGACCAAGTACTAGTATATATCTTCTTCATCCTCCGGATCCGGTTTGATGAGACTTTCAAGAAGGTAGTACTATCGAAACTAACAGCAACTATCTGGTTTAAGCATCCCTACACAGTATCACGAATTAAATACTATTGTAATTCAGAGGAATCCAACATAACCCTCATGGTATAGTATAATCCTCAAATTCTTCCCAGCTAAACTAGACATGACACCGATCAACGTCAGACCGATTTGTAAGCCGGGTCGCCGTGGGTCACTCTGCACTCAAAAAACCGGGCATTCTGGCATCTGCATCTGCATCTGCGGCATTCTGCCCCCGTCTCCTACTGACGGATGAACCACATTCATTGACATTGACATTGTGTGCTATTTGGACGGCATTGATTGCATCAATCCTCTGAGTACTTCATCATCTTTACACCACTATACCGCAGTCCGCCACAGGGCATCTATCCTTCTTGCTTATCAGTGACTGATAAACGGCCCAATCACCACCCCCTACGTCATACACAACTACTTTGTACGCTACGCAATGGTCAAGATCGGGGTATTTCCTGCATCAGGCGGGCTGGGCACGAGCGTCATCAACCATCTGACCAAACTGGTTTCCCCCTCTGAGTTGGTCCTGGTGGCTCGGAAACCTGGGGGTCTGGATGCGCTGGCCCGGGCGGGGGCGACGGTGCGACAGGCGGACTATGAAGAGCCTGCGACGCTGGCGGGTGTGTTTGAGGGAGTTGATGTGTTGATGTTGATTTCTTATGCGTCGTTTGAGATCCAGTTCCGCGTGGAGGTAGAGTGTTCCCGAGTCCCGAGTCCCGAGATACCTCTTGTAGCTGCAGACGTTGACGGAGAACAGGCACATGAAGTCGCTATCGATGCAGCGCGCCGCAGCGGCGTCAGGCACATCTTCTACTCGTCGCTTGCGTTTGCAGGGGATCTAGAACCGACTAGCGCCGCGCACGTGATGGGCGCGCATCTGCGGACGGAGCAGCTCCTCGCCGAACGATCGGGTGGTGGCTTCACCTACACCGCTATCCGGGAGGGGCTGTACTCGGAGTCGTTCCCGATCTACACCAGCTGGTTCGATATCCACCACCCCGCTGACGAGGTGGCTATCCCGCATTCTGGCGAGGGGCCGGGGGTGGCGTGGGCGAAGCGCGACGAGCTGGGCGAGGCCACCGCGAGGATCATCGTGGACTATGCGGCTGCCACGGACCCCGCGGGGTTCCCGTACCTGAACCGGGTGGTGTTGCTGTCGGGTCCTGCGGTGCTGTCGCTGCGGGAGACGGTCGAGGAGCTGGGGCGCGCGGTTGGGAAGCCTGTTCGCATTCGCGAGATTTCGGTCGATGAGTACGTGGCGCTGCCGCAGCATGGTTCGAAGCATACTTACCACGGCATTAATCTGACGCGGCAGTGGGCGTCCGCGTGGGAGGCTATTCGGCAGGGCGAGACGGCAGTGGTCTCGCCGCTGCTGGAGGAAATCCTGGGACGAGAGCCCGAGAGCTTTGCGATGACCGTGCGGGCTCTAGTTGGTAAATAGATAGATAGTACGGAGTATATGGATCGGATTTTGCATGACGTCGCGCGTTGGAAGTAAGATTCAGGTGGTACTGGTGGCTGCGACCTTAATCGTAGGTAGACTGTAGAGGTGTTCTCTGGTGGGGGTGGGGGGGGGGGCGGGCGGCATGCCATCTGCCGACTCGCACCTTCTCGGCACTGGCCCCTGAGGCTAGGATAAACTCCGATACACAGTTTACCAGGAGGGGGCCGCCGGGACAGCAGCAGACCGCAGAACAACCGAGACCCCTGCCGTTGGCCGGGATAAGTCATATCCGCGGCCTGGATGAGGCCTTAGTCCAGCTCCTCCACGGCATCCTACAGTAGTGCTCCCGCCGGGCGAATGACAGCCGGGGTGTGCTGACCTTCACCTGGATCTGGGGGATTGGGAAGGCCGGACCCCGCCGCCATCGAATCTGGCGGTGGTCAGAGCTTGTGGATCTCGATGACGCCGTTGCGCTGAGGAAGATAATGCAGGCGTGACTGGATCTGATCAGTCCAACTCTATGCGTGTGATCTGCCCTCTGGAAGGGAGGAGGGGCCAGAATCAGTTGCACCTGTCACTCAGGTACTATATTCTCGAGCAGGGTTCCGGGATGGGCAACCATTCAGGAGATGGTCCAGCCCATGTTTTGCATCCTTCGTCGCGGTCTGTCTCTGATCGATCCCAGCAAGCTTGGGTGAGATTAGCTGAAGCTGAAGATTCGATCGGGAGGGATGCGGGGTTACTGTTCCGGGTTGGTGTCATGAAGCTAAACCCAAACCTTGTTGTCTCGGTGACGATGGATATTATTCAGCATACTGCGGCGCAATCGTTGGGATCAGTCATCCACCGCGTAGGGCTGAGGTACCGTGACTCAACTCATTCGAGACATCCACGACGGCGGGCTGATGTAGCGACAGGTACTTATTCCAGCACCCTCCCGACGGACCGAGTCTCGTGTGCCGGGAGCGATCGAACCGTGAACAGGTTACCTGGTCAGCTGCCGCCGCATCAGAGCATCAGAGCACTCCGGAGTCATGAGGACGAAGCAATCGCATCTCGTCCGAGACGATCGGGTGAAATTGGACCTGGCATCCCTATGCGGCAACGGGCGGCGACGAGAAAGATTCCGCAATCCTGGAAGATCTGAAGCACCAGGATGGTGTATCAGGGCTGGGCGATGCACTAGGGAAGGGTCTGAGGATGCCGGATCACACCACTGGTGGCATTGCGGCAGACCCTGGGCCTCCGGGATCCGGTCCGCCTGGCGAAGGCGCTGGGGAGAGTAAAAGCCAGAAGCTTACTCGCCGAGGCTATTTGGCTCCACGTCCGAAGCCGAGAAATTTACTAGCGTCCGCGCTGGGCCAGCGGTAGTGCGGTCGGAGATTTTATGTAAGGACTAGTCGGGATCGAAATCGAACACACCAAGTAAGTAAGTAGTTACGAGTCGTGACTCGTGATTAGTGATATGTGTTTTATTATTAGGACGTGCCTATAGTAGCACCATCCGGGATGGTGGTTCCGAGGGACTTAGTCTTTAGTCCTCCGTCCTTAGTACGTACCTACCGTGGATGGGTTCCGTCGATGGGGCTAGGCAGAGTTTGGTTCCGGATGGAGACAATGGATACTGCCGAGACGTCATTGCGGGTGACACCAGCCAGGAACCTTGGGCAGATTCATCATCAGCGCGATTATCATTAGGTGAGATGTGGGCGCGCGGGAAAGAAAAGGGGGATGGGGGATGGGGGAGGGGAGAGAGAGGGGGAAAGAGGGGAGAAGGCCAGCGCAGCGAGACAAGCAGGCAAGCAGACAAGCAGGCAAGCAGGCAGGCAGGCAGTTCGTTCGGCCGGCTGTGAGAGATGGAGACGAGATGCCGTGGGCTACTAACTAGATACTCCGTACTGGACCGCATAGTGCATACATACCCCCCCCACTCTAAACGGGTGCTGGCCCGCTGGCTGGTCTGTGTGTGCTTCGGCGCATCCGTGATGATGAAAAGGGACGGAGCGAGTGCCTGAAGAGAGTAAGGTACCTGAGGAGCCGAGGAGGACGATGGCTTCGTTGTTTCGAGTGTCGCGCCTGATGAGAATAATCGGGCATCTGACAGCCCTCTGACTGGCTGCCGTCGCCTTTAAGGGGAGGTTGCTAATGTCCGGGCCCCCATTGGTGCACCGTGCCGAGACCTCGTCCGCCGTGAGTGGTTGTCCATCGGTTCATTCACCAGCCGTCGGACAGGGTTGTTTCTTGAGACTGCTTGTCTCAAGCCTGCATGGTGCTTCTCGGAGGCAAATACATTGCCAGGACGACCAGACGGCGGCCAGGGAACACAGAGTAGCAGTGAGGGAGGCGGGGACCCACTGGCGGTTTGGTTTTGATGTGTTTACGCATTTCGGCCGGGAATCATCACCTGGCAGATACCTGATCTGTCAGGCACCCACGGCATTACAATCCCGCTGATCTCTCGGTTGGTTCAGGTTGCCCAGATTTGCTCGTGACAAACGGATAAAATCTCCCCAAGAGGCAACAGACTCGACTCTTAGGTAAGTGGGACGTCGCAGTCCGTCCGTCGTCCGTCGTCCGTCCTCCGTGCTGGCAGGGCAGCAGACGAACGAGGGGTAAAATCAATTCCGGCGTGAGCAGCTGCCACTGGCAGCGGTGGTGGTGGTGGTGGTGGTGGCTGTCCAACGTGAGAGTACTCTCCAAGCAAACGAGCGACAAAACCTCCGGCCGACACTTCGGACCCGAGACTCGGCCGTCGTAGGCCTTGGCGTGGGAGCCATTCCTCATCCGGGCGGGCAACTCCACTTTTGGCCTGGCGCTTTCAAGTTTCAACGGTTGTGCATCGATCGATCCACCGATCCCCCCGTCCTCCGCGTCCTCCCTCCTCCAATCCCCCTCCCCTTCCTCCTCCCCCTACGTAGACTCTCTGGTTAGCCTGTCTGGTCTGTCGCCCTCGCTAGTCTCCGTCCGTCCCAGTCAGAGTCTGGCCCCAAATCTGAGCGGTTTGCCTCAGCAACTCAACCTGCTGAACTTTCCCCTGCTCCTCAATGGGCCACCCGACGGCTCCCATCGGAGCCGACCGAGTCTGGATGCCCTGCATCCGGCTGGGGTGATCTCGGCTGCGCTTCACCGGCCCTGTGCAATTATCGTTTCGACAATGGTCAGGGCTTCTAGTCCCAGTGCACTGGCTTTCGCTTTTGCCGTGCTTTTTTCGACCTTGCCAGCCATTACATCATTCGTCTCGGCCGGCATACGCATCGGTTTCTACCACCGGCTTCTCCTGAAACCGTGACACTTTATATAGTCCATCCCCCGGGGCTCTCTGTCCTAGGCTCTTCAGATCCACGGTTCAATATCAATCAGCTTCCCTATTTACCTCTGCTACTACCTCAAACCATTTCCCACCGCCACTCGATCTTCACTGTCGACATCTGCCTCCATTCGCCTCCTGCCATCCACCATCCACCATACAGATCTCTAGCATGGCATACCCCAGGTCCGAAGCCTTTACGTTAGCCGACGACGAACGGATGTATATGAATCATCCCAGTCCGATGACTCGTCCCAACGAGTCCTTCCCCAAGGCCGACCCCCTCTCGGCCAACTGGAACTACGACAGCGCCATCGACCTGTTCTCCCTGAACACCATGATGCCCGAGACCTTCCCCTTGGAGATGTCCAACGAGATGATGAGCTTGGACCCCAAGGATTTCCCCTCCGACTTCTTCGCCCCACCCCCAGACATCAGCGGATTCACCATCTCGAATCACTCCGGCGAAGACGCTGCCTCCTGCGGCTCTCTCTCCTCGGTATGTTCTCAGAACCACTGTTCATCTCAAGCCCCACTAACATTGTAGTCTCGCAGGATCTCGAAAGTGACGATCAGTCCTGGTCCCCGAGCCACATCTCTCCCCTCGAGCCCATCCGCATGGAGCTGCCCAAGGTGGCTCCCCGCGCCGCGAAGACCTCGACCCGTCGGAAGACGACAGCCCAACAACCCCCCAAGCCCCGCGAGGCGACAAGGTGGTCGTCGAGTCCTGAAATTACACCGCAGGACTACCCCGCCGCCAGCCTCTCCCCCCACCCGCCCCCGCCTCTCCTGTCACCAACAACCGCAAGACCACCCGCAGCATGTCCGGCGACTCGACAGCCAGCACCGGCTCGGCCCAAGCAACCGGCCGCAACGCAGCCAAGCGGGCAGCGCACAACATCATCGAGAAGCGGTACCGCACCAACATGAACGCCAAGTTCGTGGCCCTCGAGAAGGCGATGTGCGGGGGCGTCCAGAAGCCCACCAAGGGCGGCTCGGCGTCGCTGAAGAAGTCGGAGATCCTGACCAATGCCATCGCCTTCATGCAAGAACTGCAGGAGGAAAACAAGGCCCTCCAGAAGGAGCTGGTCATGGTGAAACAGAGCATGGTCCCGGCTGGCATGTGGCGACATAAGGCAGAGTACCATGCTTGAGCATAGAGCATAGAGCATATTGCCATGCATGTCTCCTCGCCCTTTATGACCGTCACGTATCTTGTATAATATTATGAATTTTTCCTTTGTTCCTTTTTTTTTTGTCACTTTGTCTGGGTCTGGCCCTCTCCTGTCGGGCGGCGAACGGCGGATGCGATGTTTGGTTGGGACTTGGAGTGTGGTGTTGTATACCCGGATAAAAGTTTCTACCTAATCATCCACACTCTTCATGATACTTCTTCTAATAATTAAGAAACTTCAGACTATTAGTTATCTCTGACCTTACTTTAATTACATCTATATATCTGCATCTTGTTTCGATATTATATTGTTTACTCCTGAGTCCCGACGGGAGGAGTTTACCCGTCCGTTCCTTTTTTTTTTGACAGCCGACCGGCGGGCGCAACCCCGCTCATCCACTCTATAGTGCAATATAACCACCGGCAGCCAAGTCATCCTTGCGCCCGACACCGTCGGTCTCCAGTGCGTCTTAGTCCAATCCAGGTACCCGACAGCCTATCTATTTTAGTTCTCTACGGCTAGGTACGTTGCATTTATCACATCCCAAATTCACCTCTCCACATCACCCCGGCCGACCGCCCTGGTCCAGACCCCTACCCAACCCACATACCCACCGACTGCGGACTGCCTGACGTCTGCCACTGACTGACCGACCGACCGACCGACCAAGGACCGACCGCTCCAGACCTCTGAGTCTAGACCGCTGGTACTCCGTACTTATCCTGCATCGCATCGCAACAAAAATAGTTGATGGGGATGTGTGTCGCTGTTATGCTTATGCATGGAGCTTGACGATGAGGATGAGGGGTATTTGTCGGTGAGCTGCCACCTACTAGCCTGGTTTATGATATGTATGCGAGATATGTGCAGGATGGATAGATGGATGGGCGGAGTGAGGGAGAGAGGGAGTGAGAGAGGGAGAGAATGGGTCTAGACCTCCGGTTTACCTGCTACATGTAGTAGCTGGGAGGGTAGGTCGGGCCTAGATCTATGTACAAGAGAAGATCGTAAGTATGTACTATACATCCCTCTGCGGAGTACCTACGGAGTACTTATCCGTCGATCTATCCGGGTTCAAGTTGGCGGGTCACCCACCCACATATACAGTGACTTATCCATGCATAATATAGTGATGATGAGATAAATAGTGATGCATGCTTCATCGCTGCCTCCCTGTTCTGCTCGCACTGCTCGCACTGTTCACTTTTTTGGCCCTGTTTACTCACTACCCTGCTGCTTGTTTCTTTTGGGGCCTAGATGTCTGGAGTCCTGGAGTTCTGAAGTTGTCGACTTGCAAAAAGCCATCGAGAAAAAAAAAATGGAGAAAAAGTGGAGAGTATCTGTCGCTACAAGGAACGTCCGCTGTGGGAGGAACCATACTGTTTCACTGGGAGAACAGGCGCTCGGGAAGGGCATTTGAAGAGGTTAGTAGTATGTTGGGTAATACAGTGACAGGGGGGTCCCTAAAGAGGTTAGCGCCTGGTGGTGACTGCCCCCCCTCCTTCCTCGGCCGGTCACTCTCCGGTATCCTTCCTTCTACCCCATTGATTCTCTCCTGGAAGATGAGTCTCGAGAACCGCCCTTCTCGACACCATCTCGATCGCTGTCACGATGTTGCGTTCGATCCGAGCAGTTCACTATCGGGCGGGTGAACCACTGAAGTCGGCTAATCTGAGAGAACATCAACAGGAACTTCGCTAACGGGCACAGGTGCGGAGAAAGAAAGAATCCTCAAATGGCTCTACAAGACATCCTCTTACGACGTTCAGAATGACATGCAGAGCCATCGAGCAGTGGGAACAGGAGACTGGTTTCTCAAATTTTGGGAGTATCAGCAATGGAAGACAACTCCCGGGATCATATATTGGCTGAACGGAGTTGGTGAGTCGGAATGTCACTTTTGCCAACAGTGCTGACTTTTCAAAACAGCGTGGTGTGGCAAGTCGGTTCTTTGGTATGCATGGAAGCTCTAGTGATGAAGCGAGGATAATAATCGGAAGCTCAACAATCATGGATGATATTGTTTTGACTCCCAGCAATTGTCAGGGAAGGAGATATGCTTACTGGTACTTCCAGTTCAGTGACCTTCAAACACAGCGACTGGATGACATGATCAGATCCATAATTCGACAGCTCTGCCCGGTTTCCCTTCCCGACTCAATCCGGAAGCCCTGGAAAGAGCACCACAGTAGGGGAATCCTACTTGATGTGGGGAGACTTGTGGCTGCCCATAATGATGTCTTGACTGGCCTCAACGACGAGGTGTTTTTCATCTTGGATGCATTGGATAAATGCCCTGAGTCGTCTGCATCCAAATAACGCAGCTCACTCCTCCGCCTTCTCATTGATATTATGGAGAGGCATGAGAATAAGCTTCATATTGTCGTGACCAGTCGCCCTGAATTGGATATCAAGGCCAAGCTCGATAAGTATCCGTCATTGGACCTGGAGCAAAAATTGGGGAATGATGTCGAAGCATTCGTGCGTGATAAGGTTACTTTCATAGACCCAAGACTCTGTGGGATGACATAAAAAAAGCAATTGTTACGAAATTGCTTGAAATTCCCAAACGGTATGTTTCTGTGGGTGAGACAAGAGGTTACAGCTAATTTCTCGCGGCGCAGGCGTTTTCGTTGGGCAGATTTGCAAATCAAACAGTTAGAAGAATGCCCCACTAGCGAACAAATTATGGACGCCCTGGGGACTATTCCACCAGACCTGGAGAGTACTTATCGAGAGATCCTCGACAAGACCACGATGAATGAAGATGCAGATGTCTTGCGTGTGCTCATCGACAGGAGGGAACCTGACGTGGATGTTAACGAGCGTCTTTACTTGTCGGCAGTAAGCACAATGATAAGAGCGTCTCCACTGAAGGTTATGGAGGCTCTTCTCAACCATAGTGGGCCCAAGTTTCCTTTCGGCGAGGCTATCATACAAGGGGCAGCTTCTCATTACGATGGGCTCCAGATGATAAAGCTGTTCCTGCTCAAAAAGCAAGCCGGGTTTGTTGTCTCTAGTACGGTCTTAGCAGCCACTGCCGGCAATAAGAATAAAGGAGTGGAGATATTGGAGCTCTTGATAAACAGCGCAGACTGCAAAGTTCCGATTACCGAGAAGGTCATATTAAAAGCAGCTCTAAATGAAGGTTCATCCTCATTGGCCTATCTACTGGAGCTCGAAGGGGAGTGTCAGGGGCGAATGCTCCCCTTTGCTGACCGGTTATTGGCGGCAGTGGTCTGGCGAGAGGATACCGAAACTCTTAAGATTTTTTTCCGTCGACACCCAGAGGTTCGAGTGACAAAGAACATGTTTCTCAATGCTACTTCTAGCGCAGACAGAATCATGTTCCTATTGCAACAACCCCATGATAGTCCACCAGTTATTTTGATGCTGGAACTGATTGAAGAGGATGCCATTATTAACTAGTGGGGAGGTACGAAAAGACATTTATGGTGGGGGAAAACAGGCTAATGAACGAAGAAGGGTTAGGGGACACACTCACGATGCTGCTGGAGCACAAACTTGCGCAGGTCAGCGAGGACGTCCTGGAAGCCATGGCTCGGAACTCCTACGCGTTAGAAACCCTTCTCAAACAAGGCACCCGACCTCCGAATTACACCTGGAACCGTGACTAGCGCAGCCGAAACTGAAAACGCGATGCGTATTTTACTTGACAATCGCACCAATGATACTCCCATGACCGAGGACGTGATTCTCGACATAGTCACCAATGTGATGGGATTGAGTGTATAAAACAGGCCTTCGAACACTTTGGCCTGGACATGCCGGTTACGGAGAATGTGATGTCGGCTGCTGCTAAGAAACACCCAGTCCTGCAGTTGCTTCAAGAACAGCGACCAACAATGGCAATCCCCGAACGGATCTTGCACATTGCGGCTCATCACAGCGTTGAAACATTACAGTGGCTCCTTCAAGAGCGAGTACCGGCAGTGCCCTTGACAGAGGACCTCATAGTCGTTGCCGTTGCAAAATGCCCCAAGGCGCTACATTTGCTCCTTCAGGACCCAAGCGTGAACGTGTCACAGATCTGGCGCGCAATATGGCACCTGGATCATATCGATGGCCTAGATTTATCTCAGTATAGATTTGACGCATGGGACCTTCCTATTTGGGGATGATAGCTTCGCGGCACATGCTGGACTTTCAGGTTGTACTAGGATATGACAGAGTACGGTACTCCGTGGATGTGTTATCCAAGCGGGGGATTAAGCTATCACGACTGTTCCACCATACCGTCTGTATCCTGCTGGGAGCGCAGGGTCCAGCCGGAAAAAGCCGAATTGCCGGCGGGAAAGCGGGTGGGGCCGGCGCCTGGGCGTTCCTGAGGTTGCACCTGTGGCAGCCAATCAGGGGCGCCCCGACCCTGGCAGGGCTTGGCTGCCAAGAAATGGAGGATCGTCACTGGCCGTGACTGGACTGGTCTTGAACACAGTCACACCCTCGCCGGCCCTCATGGCCAATCCACAGCATGGCGGCCTCATGTCCTGAACATCCCTGTCCGTATCCCGTCCGGATGACTGCCAGTGCTACTGTCCCGTCGATGGCCGGACAGCTGGCTGGCCGGCCGTACTCTGTATGGCTGCACAGGACGTCCATCCCTTGAAGCGGGTCCATCGCCCCGCCCTCCCAAAGAGGCAATGGCATGTACATCCTGGCAGACCCCCTTCTCTCCCCTTCACTCCCCTTCACTGCCCTTCACTGCCTGTAAATAAATAAATACCCTCCCCCTTCCCCTCCCTTCGCTCCCTTCCCCTCCCTCCCTCCCACTCCACGCCCTCGTCGCGTCACATCCTCACCATGTTGTCGCTTCTTCGCCAGGGCGCTGCCATCTCCCTCGCCGTTCTGGCGCTTCTCCCTGCTCCAGCTAGTGCCGGAGTCTTCGAGAAGCTATCGGGCGTCCCCAGTGGTAGGGATCCTCGCGTGTCGGTGGTGCCACCGTAGCTGACGCGATACATCCAGGATGGAGATACGATAGCACCCCCAATGGAAACGACCCCATCCAGCTGCAGATCGCCCTGGTGCAGCACGATGTCGCCGGCTTCGAACAGGCCGTCATAGGCATGTCCACCCCCGGCCACGACGACTACGGCAAACACTTCCGCACCCACGACGAGATGAAGCACATGCTGCTCCCCAGCGACGACGCCGTCGACTCCGTCCGCGACTGGCTCGAGTCCGGTGGCGTGCATGACATCCAGCAGGACGCCGACTGGATCAAGTTTCGCACCTCCGTCAGCACCGCCAATGCCCTGCTGGACGCCGACTTCAACTGGTACACCAGCGATTCGCGCCATCTCCGCCGTCTGCGCACCCTGCAATACTCAATCCCCAACACCGTCGCGCCCCATGTCAACATGATCCAGCCGACCACGCGCTTCGGCCAGATCCATCCCAACCGGGCCACCATGCGCAGCAACCCCAGCGAGATTGACGAGCGCTTCCTCGCCGCCGCCACGCGCGCCCAGAACAACTCCCACTGTGACTCGACTATCACGCCCCAGTGTCTGAAGGACCTGTACAACATCGGCACTTACAAAGCTGATGCCAATTCCGGCAGCAAGGTCGCCTTCGCCAGCTTTCTGGAGGAGTACGCGCGCTACGCAGATCTAGCCCGGTTCGAGCAGCAGCTCGCGCCCGAGGCCGTCGGACAGAACTTCACCGTGGTGCAGTTCAACGGGGGACTAAACAACCAGTCTGCTACTGGCGACAGCGGCGAGGCCAACCTGGACCTGCAGTACATCCTGGGCGTGAGCAACCCTCTCCCGATCACCGAGTTCAGCACCGGGGGTCGCGGCCTGCTGATCCCAGATCCGACATCCCCGGACCCCAACGATAACAACAACGAGCCGTACCTGGAGTTTCTGCAGAACGTGCTGAAATTGGACGATGCCAGCCTTCCACAGGTCATCTCCACCTCCTACGGCGAAGACGAACAGGTACCCCTTCCTTCCAATATCCCATCACCATCTCTAAACACCCCCCGCCAACACTAACCAACCCCCAGACCGTCCCCGAATCCTACGCCCGCAGCGTCTGCAACCTCTACGCCCAACTCGGCAGCCGGGGCGTCTCCGTCCTCTTCTCTTCGGGTGACTCCGGCGTCGGCTCAGGCTGCCAAACCAACGACGGCACCAACCGCACGCACTTCCCGCCTCAATTCCCCGCCTCCTGCCCATGGGTCACCTCCGTCGGCGCGACCACCAAAACCCTCCCCGAAGAAGCCGTCAGTTTCTCCTCTGGCGGTTTCTCCGACTACTGGGCCCGCCCCAGCTACCAAGACACCGCCGTAAGCACCTACCTCAATAACCTGGGCCCTCGCTTCTCGGGTTTATTCAACAGCTCAGGCCGCGCTTTCCCCGATGTCGCTGCCCAGGGCGTCAACTACGCTGTCTACGACAAGGGAAGACTGGGGCAATTCGACGGAACGTCCTGCTCATCACCAACTTTCGCGGGCGTGGTCGCGTTGCTTAATGATGCGAGATTGAGGAATGGGAAGCCTGTCCTGGGATTCCTCAATCCGTTACTGTACGGCAGTGCCAAGGACGCGTTGAATGATATTGTGAAGGGCGGGAGTAAAGGCTGCGATGGAAAGAATCGGTTTGGCGGCCCCGGGAATGGAAGTCCCGTTGTGCCGTATGCCAGCTGGAATGCCACCCCGGGTTGGGATCCGGTTACGGGTCTTGGCACGCCGAATTTTGGGCGGTTGGTGGGGGTTATTAGGGAGGTGTGATTTTATTCGTTTTCGTGGGGTGTTATTGTGGGATGAGGATTAAGGGGGGGGGGATACGGGAGATAGGGTGGAAGATATGGGGAAGACATGGGATGGGAGGGGACGTTTTCTTGTTGATATTGTATTTTATTTAATTACTTTGTGGAAGGTGATGATGAATGTGAAGTGTGGATATGAATATGCATGTACATGCGTGGGAATGGGATGTGTATTAACTTAATAAACTATAGAATGGGTTTACTGTGGATTGTGGATTAAGCATAATGGATTGTGGATATAGATACATGAATATGGTACATCTGACCCAACCCGACCTGATAGACCAGTCCAGTCTAGTCTCGTCCAGTCCAGTCTCAGTGACGGGATAAATGCAATTCAATCCATTATTTCTTTTTACAGAGAAGTGAAGCGGTTTTTCATAATTGCGTGCCAGTCCTTCATCTCCATTCCATATCATATCACCCACACCCCCTGTCAAGAAGGACGGATCAAGTGTCATTTCTTGATATCGATAGCTTCCGTTAACTCTACCCTTGAAATATGTGGAAGTTGGGGGGGGGGGTAATCAAGTGGATTTCCATAGATGGTATCTGTATGCTGGAATGCTGGATTAGAAGCGGAGAGAATGGATGCAGCGGGGAGGTCTGGGGCTCGGGTGGTTCGGGTGGATATTTTTGGGGGGGGGAGGGGAGCAGGAAAGCACTGCAGAGCAGCGGGCAGGGATGATATCGAGATAGAAAACTAGATCGAGCGAGATCGATCAACAACCCGAACCAATCCACCAACTCAATCCGAAATCGAAACATGATGATGATGATGATGATGCCAGCAGCCCAGCAGATCTTGTTTCTCCATACGTATTTATCTTGTTTGTCGTCTTGGTCCGGAAAGCTAAATAAAAACAGGATTCGAAGAGCCGTGGTACTATACCATCCCCATGTGGTCTGTTGTTGTGTATTGCGGCGTGGAAGCGTGGAAGTTTACATCATGTGTGCCCGGGGAAGGTAACTCAGCACTACGGTATCTACCTGCCTGGTTCATTGCCAGGCCTGTGAAATATAAAGGTAAAGTAGGAAGGAAGTCTAAGACGGACGGGGGATATTTATTCTGCGAGAGGGAGGAACTCGGCTTTTTCTTTTTCTTTTTCTTTTTTTTTTTCTAGGAGAAAAGAATTTATAGGCTGGGTGGGGCATTAAGGATAGAAAGCAGATAACAGGTAATAGTGTTTTCGTCAAAATGTATGTTCCCGGTTGATTTTTTTGAGAATACCGTTCTCACGATATGAATGAAGGTATACGACTTCAGTCGCTTTTCTTGAAGCACTATCGGAGGTTTGTACACCACCCCCCACCCCCATTGAAACCCACGGCTAATCAACTCCACCAGTCCGGAATAACACACATATTCGCCAACCTCGGCTCCGACCACCCCAGCATCCTCGAAGCCTTAATCCAAATGCAGCACTCCAGCCCCCACCCCCGAATAATAACCTGCCCCACCGAGCTAGTCGCCCTCTCAACAGCCGACGGCTACGCGCGCCGTACAAACCACCCGCAATGCGTGCTCGTGCACGTCGACGTCGGAACCCAAGGCCTGGGCCAAGCGGTCCATAACGCATCGTGCGGACGCGCGCCGGTGCTCATCTTCGCGGGCCTGTCTCCCGTGACGGTCGACGGGGAGATGAGAGGTTCTCGGACGGAATGGATTCATTGGATCCAGGATGTACCCGACCAGAAACAGATTGTGAGACAGTATTGTCGGTTTGTGGGGGAGGTGAAAGTCCCCCGGAATGTGAAGGAGATGGTGGGGAGGGCGGTGCAGTTTGCGAGCTCGGATCCGAAGGGGCCGGTTTATTTGGTGGGGGGGGAGGGAGGTTATGGGGATGGAGATTCAGAGGGATGATGATCATGTGTTGGATCAGAGGGTGTGGGGGGCTGTGCGGCCCGGGGCGTTGGCGGGGGATGCGGTAAGGGAGGTTGCGGGGTTGTTGATGGGTGCGAGAGAGCCGCTTTGTTTGGTTGGGTATACGGGACGGAATCATGGGGCTGTGGGCGTGTTGGTGGAGTTGGCGGAGCTGGTGAGGGGCATGAGGGTGTTAGATACAGGGGGCTCGGATATGTGTTTTCCGGCGGATCATCGCGCGTGGTTGGGCATGAGGTATGGGGTGCATGGGAGGATAGAGACGGCAGATGTGATCTTGGTGTTGGATTGCGATGTTCCCTGGATTCCGGCGAGGTGTAAACCGCAGCACGGCGCGAGGGTCGTGCATGTCGATGTTGATCCGTTGAAGCAGCAGATGCCTGTTTGGTTTTTCGGTGCGGAGAGAAGATATCGTGCGGATTCGGCGGTGGCTTGTCGGCAGATAGTTGATTGTATCAGGGGGGATGAGGTGATGATGGAGAGAACGCGCTCGGAGGAGTTTGATCTGAGATGACGGGGGTTGGGGCTGGAGCATGAAAGGTTGCTGGAGGGTATTGCTGCCAGTGCGGTGCCTAATCCTGATGGTTCGTTTGGAGTGGCTTACCTCTGCAGGCTGCTACGCGACGTTGTTCCGGAGGATTCTATCTTCGTAGTCGAGGCTGTGAATAATTCGCCGGTCGTGTCGGATCAACTTCAGGCTACCTTGCCTGGTCAGATCGTGAATTGTGGTGCCGGTGGGCTGGGTTGGAGTACGGGCGCGGCGATGGGGGTCAAGTTGGCCACGGATGCGTCTACCAGAGATGGACGCGGGAATATGGTGGTGCAGATTGTTGGCGATGGGGCGTTTCTCTTCAGCATCCCCAGCAGCGCATACTGGATCTCACAACGATACAGCATTCCGATTCTGACAGTTATTATAAACAACGGAGGTGAGAGACCAATACCACCATGTCTGGTCGTATACTCACTCGCTCAATAGGCTGGAATGCTCCGCGGGCCTCTCTTCAGTTGGTCCACCCCGATGGCATGGGATCCAAAGCTACCAATGAGGAATTGAACATTTCGTTCGCGCCGTCACCCGATTACTCGGGGATAGCTCGTGCAGCGTCTGGTGGTAAGATATTTGGAGCGCAGGTGCGTGAAGCAGAAAGGCTCTGTAGTGTTCTGGAGGACGCAGCCCACGCCGTTTTGGGAGGAACGAGCGCGGTGGTGGATGCGCTGATCGGCTAGACAAAAGGAGGTTAATGTAAAGAACTGATCTAAGCAGTTAATGTCACTAGTCAAGACAGCCGCCTCTGGTGTTAACTCCCTTTCCTAGCTAGACACCAAGGTTAGTAACCTGTTGATTAAAGCAGATGGCATTTGCCGAGGTAAACTGCGGATCAGTAACACTGAACAGGGGGTGCTGAAAGGGGTGCTGGCATGGATCTCGATCCCTTGATCTATATGGGAAGTAGGGTCGGACGTAGACATGAGGCTGCTCGACTCGGGCAATAGAAATTTCGTCTTTTTGACTGCATGTTGATGACAATGTCAGTTCAGCGACACGAGTCCGCTTTGAGTCCGAGTATATCCTGCACAGAACAGGAGACTTTGCTGGATGTTAGTCGCTGCAGTTATGATTGTCTTGGAATAGTACGACCGATGCGTGTAATTTCCCGAGAAGGAATTGAGCTGTGCCTGATGTTAAAATACCCCCAGAAAGAGGGATCTAGCTAGACATTATCTTTATTAGCTTCAGACTGCATCTGCTATGCGCGATGGTTAGGTATCGATGTAATAACTGAGTAAGTAATGTAATTATATCAACTTTAGCTCAAAAATAGTCTTGTTAGTAGCTGCCACACGTGTAAGCCGCAACTGCGCCTGGCTGCATCCATCAAAGAATATTTAGACGAAGCAATGCAACACTGCAATTCGAGCGCGAGACGGAACGTTCCCATATTCTTCGCGATTGATCCTGCAGTAAGTAGCTAACTGAAACGGCTTTAATCTGCCTGTTCCTAGTAAGTATACCCCGGATAGTTTCCACATATAGTCCAGGTAGATGTCGAGTGCGACGCAAGTCATCCCGAGTCTGCCGGTAAATGTCAAATGCGGTGACTCAGAGCCATCGAGACTGAGTGCATCTGGCTAAATACTCCGTCGGGTCCATCGGAAAGCCTTATCAGCAGCCATCACGATATCGTCGGCACTGTCAACCTATCACACCTAGCCCCAAGACTCATCCTGCGGAGACTGCCACCACCCAGACCCCGTTGTCGGACTGCCACGGGGCGGGTATGACACGTCGATCGACATTCCACTCCCGGCCAAGCCTACACCCCGCATTCCCGTCCCTGCTGGATCGGAAACCGGGTGAGATGAGACGGGCAAGATTGGAACTAGGCTGCTTTGATCGATGCGCGTGTATCACCGTTTCTTTGTCCTCGCGTTCCGCAGGCGTAATTGTCGAGATAGCCGGGTGAAATGGGAGGTGTCGGTTCGATGGCTATTATCTATGGTTAGGATATTCTGAATCGCCACTCCTGTATCGTATCGGGGTTAATTTCTATCCGACCCCTGACTCTGAAAGACTGCCTCGGATCGACAATCAGCTGCGGCGCACTTATCGCCTCCGCATATACCTGCCCGATTGGGAAACATAACGGAGATTCTGGAGATGATTTGTATCTTAGGAACTCCGGCGGGCTGAACGATCTTAAGGCCAGATACTGTGTACTGTGTACTGTAGATAGATGTGGCTGCGGCTGGTGGCTTGCGGCTTGCATGTTGCAGCTGACGGTGACTAAAGAGGGTCAGAGTCATTTCAGGTACGCCCAGTAGATGCTCAGATGGCGAAGATGATCCGTATAGAAAGAGCTGAGACGTGAATGCTGCTGTGATCTGGCGATGACGTCTCGACTCTTGACTCTCGACTCTCGACAACCACGTCCGGCGCGTCACGATGGGCTCCATTATGCCTGCGAACGGCCTCGCCAAGTCCGAGCTGCCAACCCCACTTGGGAAGTCCTGCCGAGCCTAAAAAAAAACCAGCCCCCGCAAAAACCAAAATTCCCAGGGCAAAAAAATTTCACTTATCGCCAACTTATCTTTTTGCCCACTCATGGAGATCTCTTTCATGACCAATTGATCCCAGCTCTGATTACCCTCTGATAACCCGTCTCACCTTTCCCGACTAAGCATGCTGGCCTCGTGAGGGGAAGCCACGACTGCCCACGCCCTTGCATCCTGGATTGGCCATATATGAACCCGCCTCGCAACGCACCCCCAGGCTGCTAGACGTCTTGCGGAAAATGGGCAATTGGGTACACGACTTGCCCATTGATCTCACATTCCCTGTTGAATGACTCGCCACCTTTTCACTGTAATTGTCCGTCCGTCATCGATCTCCGGATGGACTTGGAAAACCACGGCCCGATCAAACCGATCCAATCGGTCGACCAGAGCGTCCAAGATGCTCACGACCTCGCGGCCATGGGCCATGACCAGGCCATGAGTCGCAAATTCGACATGTGGAGCATGCTCTCGCTCGCTTTTTGTGTCCTAGGTTCGTTGGCCCGAGCACCTGCTTTCTGGCCTTGTTCGTGCTGCGCGGGCGCCAAGAACGGCAGCTAATTGCGACCAGGAACCTATTCAACTTTTGCTCAGGATCTCGACAGTGGCCTCACCAATGGCGGTCCGGTGACCATTCTCTGGGGTCTGGTGCTGGTTACTGTATGTAACCTGTGTGTGGCCGTTTCCCTGGGGGAGCTGACCAGCAGCATGCCGACCGCGCTCGGCCAGGCGTATTGGGTGTTCCGGCTGTGGGACACCCCGCTCGGTCGGTTTGCCTCGTACATGTGTGCGTGGATCAACACCTTCGGATGGTGGACCTTGACCGCCTCCCAAGTCGCCTTCATGGCTGAGTTCCTGCTGGGGATGAAGGTCATGTTTAAGCCCTCCTGGGGGGCGCCAGCAGTGGGTGGCTGGAGTTTGTCGTCTACATCGGCGTGGTCTTCGTGTTGACAGTCATCAACCTGGTCGGCTGTCGGAGAGAGAAGATTCTTCCCTGGCTGAACAACTTTGTCGGGATCTGGTTCACCGCCCTGTTCGTCGTGCTGTCCCTGGCTCTTCTCATCTCGGTCGGGGTGAAGAAGGGACTCACCTTCCAGCCTGCTTCCTTCGTTTTCGGGGAGTGGATGAACGAGACCGGCTGGGAGAACGGCGTCGTGTGGTTCACCGGCTTGGTCCAGGCTGCGTACGGTCTGACAGCCTTCGACGCGGTCATCCACATGGTCGAGGAAATCCCCGCGCCGCGTCGCAACGCCCCCAAGGTCATCTGGATGTCTGTCCTCATGGGTGCCATCACCGGTTTCATCTTCATGGTGGTCTGCTTGTTCTGCATCCAGGACGTCAACGAGGTCATCAACTCGCCGACCGGGCTGCCGTTTATGGAGCTGATGGTGGAGACTGTCGGCCTGGAAGGGGGAGCCGTCCTCATCGCACTGTTCATTTTCAATGGTCTCGGACAGGGGATCAGTATCTTGACCACCGCGTCGCGGCTGACGTGGGGTTTCGCGCGCGATGGCGGCCTGCCGTGGAGCGGATACTTCATGCACATCGACCCGGTGTGGAAGGTTCCCGCGCGGGCGCTGTGGTTCCAAGGCGTGCTGATCGGGCTCGTGGGAATCCTGTACCTGTTCGCCAACACCGTCCTCGAGGCGATCCTCAGCGTCAGCACCATCGCATTGACCATCTCGTACGGCCTTCCGATTGCCGCCCTGCTGGTGGTGGGACGCGACAAGCTGCCCCCGGGGCATTTCCACCTCGGACGGTGGGGGGCGCTTATCAACTGGATCAGCGTCATCTACTGCCTCATCACGACCGTGTTTTTCCTCTTCCCCTCGTCCCCGAACCCATCGCCCAGCGACATGAACTATGCGATCGCCGTGTTTGGGGTAATGCTCGTGGTGGCGGTGGCGTTCTGGTTCATCCAAGGCAGCAGCACGTACCTGAAGACGGAGGACGCCATCAACCAGATGATCCAAGCCCAGCGGTTTGAGGTTGAGACGGCGGAGCAGTCGGACGAGAAGAAGGAATAGACCTGTATATAATATAATATAGTTGTGGATATTTCCCAATGATTCAATGACCTCCACGGAATAATGTGGTTTATGTAGAGGAGAGAAGCAAAGCAAAGCAAAGCAGGAAGCCGATCACGGGGAGGAAACCCGTGACTATGGCGGGGTAGACACTCAACCGGACAACAATCAACCCCTCACTCCTTCATCCTCTGCACATCGCTATAGCCAGCCAGATCTGGAGGACACACAAGCATCCCCCGAAAGACTGAACCCCTCCAGCCCAATATCCCACATCCGTTCTAACGCGTCGCCTACCCGTCACTACGAACCATTCCGATTCATACAGCCGCGATCTAGATACTCGTCGGACTCCAACGCATACGATCCTCTGCCCAATCTAATCGCTATCCTGCTCGTCGGAACTTTACGGACTCGGCATCCGAAAATCGGGAACGGATGCAACCCCTCCACATGTGAGAAGTGACTCCAGATGAGGAAGTATTTCCCTGGATTCGGGTTTATCACCTCGCGTCAGCGATAGGGATGAGGATTAATATATAGTTAGTGCAACCGGATTGGTAAGAAGCGGAAACGTTCCGTCAGTCAAAGCAAGACATTGGCTAATTGTCGCTTCCCCAACAGCATTTGGGAGAGAAGCTCAACAGATATATACTTGGGATGCGGTCAACCGGATGAAGCGAACGAACATGCTCACTCGCCTTGATATATCCACCGACAAACGCTCGCTACGGGGAGATCAGAACGAACGCCAGCCGCTGACACAATTTTGAAACAAGGAAACTGGACAGTCCAGTCCAGACCCGGGTCTGATTAATAGAGGCTCGATGTCCCGCAGCTTAAATCAATGCCGGATGTCCCCACCTGCTAGCTGGCTATATCCGAGCCTAGATACCTGTGCCTGAGGCCCTGGCCACGTAGCTTATCTGCAGCGAGGGGCTTGACGCAGTGACCCAGGTGTTATTATGCCCTTCTACCATTGAATTTCTGGATCCCGGTGCACTGATCTCGATCCGTGCCTTTACCGGGCTGCGAACCGACAGCCACCATGATCCGCAAATGACCCGCCACCTGGCTTTGATCCACGAGGGGGCTCGGAATAAGGCTGGAACAGAAATTGCAGACTATGGAGCTGTGGGACCTGAATGGTCGTCATTCTTCTCGACTATTTGGATCATCTTAGGTCATCGCAAATAGTCCTTCCAGGCACGACGAGTAATACCGACCTCTAGCGTCTTAGCAGTGGACATGATGCTGCGATTGTATATCCGAGGGCACCCAACGCGAATCTTCTTCGGTGGATCGCCCTGCCATCTGTGCCAATGGAATGTCGTGTTCGGGTCCGGGTGGGGCGACTCGGAATTACGGGCTCAGCTGCATCGGGTATACGGCTTTACGGACGCGCCTTGTCAGGGACCAGTGCTCCGTGCTGGCTATCCCAGGGAGGAGGGCAATATAACAGAATGAATTCCCCTGCTGCTCTGGATTCTGGCAATCGAGTCTCTGGATTCTTCTCTTCCGCGGGGTCTAACAATTTATGGGCTGTGATTCATACGAGGTACGCCTAAAACGGCCCGCTCAGATCTATATTGGATACACTAACCACCGGCAATCCTGCAGCTAAGACAAGTGGATCATCGTTCATAATGGACAACTCATCGTCGGGAACCGTGGACGTCGAGTCTGGAGACTCTCTTTCAAAGCGCTTGACCCTTACATGGCGCAATTTGAGTGTGAACGTCACTGCCCCCGATGCTGCCCTGGGCGATACCCTGTTATCCGTGGCCGATCCACGGCAGGTCATGGGGTGGTTCAACAGGAACCAGCGGCCTAAGAGGGTATGATCGGACGATAAAGCCTCTTGGTGCTTTACTGATGGTGCGGTAGACAATTCTTAAGGACCTCACCGGTCAACTACGACCAAGCGAGATGGTAGGAAACGCGAGCGAAATAGTGAGTGGTGTTTGCTGACTGCTTTAGTTGCTCGTTCTCGGACGGCCAGGATCCGGATGTACCTCTTTCCTCCGAGTGCTTTCCAACGATCGCGACGCATTCGACGAGGTCGTCGGCGAAACCCGCTACGGAAGCATGGACCACAAGCAGGCGAAGAAGTACCGACAGCAGATCATGTTCAACAACGAGGACGACGTACACTTTCCCACTCTGACAGTCAACCGGACGATGAAGTTCGCCCTACGAAACAAGGTCCCGAGGGAGCGACCCGAACACTTGCAGAACAAGAAGGACTTTGTTCAGGAGAAGAGGGACGGGATTCTGGACTCGCTGGGTATCCCTCACACCAAGAAGACCCTGGTTGGAAACGAATTCATCCGTGGTGTGTCTGGTGGTGAGCGGAAACGTGTTTCGTTGGCAGAAATGATGGCCGGTCAGGTAAGATTCCTCCTCCTCGTCCCATGATGGGTTACTCATGGATGCGCATCATAGAGTCCGGTGCAATTCTGGGACAACCCGACTCGAGGTCTGGATTCGAAGACCGCCGTGGAATTTGCTCGCATGCTCCGACGCGAGGCCGATGAGAACGAGAAGACTATGGTGGCGACAATGTACCAGGCTGGAAACGGTATCTACGATGCGTTCGACAAGATCCTCGTCCTTGCAGACGGTCTGGTCACCTACTACGGGCCCCGCTCGATGGCTCGGGCTTACTTCGAAGATATGGGCTTTACCTGCCCTAAGGGAGCCAACATCGCCGACTTCCTTACCTCAGTTACGGTGATTACGGAGCGCATTGTCACCCCGGGAATGGAAGAAAAGGTACCCAACACTGCGGCTGAGTTTGAGGCCCGTTACCGCCAGAGCTCCATCCACTCTCAGATGATGGACGACATCGAACCCCCGGAGAAGCTGGCCATTGAGGACGAGAACCTGGCCATTGCCGTAGCTAAGGAGAAGAGAAAGAAGCACATCCCTCGTCCGCAGAGCGTCTACACAGCTAGCCTGTGGGATCAGATCATCAGCTGCACCATTCGGTAAGTAGTCGTGAATTAGTTTGAGAAACGAAGCTGACCGTCCTCTAGCCAGTTCCAGATCTTGGCCGGTGACAAATTGTCAATCATCATTAAGATCGTTTCTTCCATCCTTCAGGCTTTGGTCTGCGGTAGTTTGTTCTACAACTTGGCCGACGACAGTACTTCCATCTTCCTGAGACCTGGTGCTCTTTTCTTCCCGGTTCTGTATTTCCTGCTCGAGACAATGTCCGAAACGACCGCATCCTTCATGGGACGTCCGATTCTTTCTCGGCAAAAGCGATTTGGATTCTACCGCCCGACGGCGTTTGCCATCGCCAACGCCATCACGGATATCCCTATCGTCTTGATTCAGGTGTCATGTTTCTCATTGATCCTCTACTTCATGAGCGCGATGCAGATGAATGCCGGCCGTTTCTTCACCTACTGGGTCGTCATCATCGCCCAAACGCTGTGCTTCATGCAGATGTTCCGTGCGATCGGTGCCCTGTGCAAGCAGTTCGGTAACGCATCCAAGATGACTGGTTTCCTCTCCACGGTTTTCTTCGTCTACGGAGGTAGGTTCCCACGGAATTCCGCGACGGCGACCTTCGCTGATGTCAATAGGATACCTCATTCCCTTCGAGAAGATGCATGTCTGGTTCCGCTGGATCTTCTACCTGAACCCCGGCGCGTACGCATTCGAGGCATTGATGGCCAACGAATTCGTGGGCCTGGAAATGGACTGTGTGGAACCCGACTACATCCCCTACGGACCCGGCTACCCAACTGGTGTTTCTGAGTACCGCGGCTGCAGTGTGAAGGGAAGCACTGATGGGGTGATCAACGGCGCCACCTACATCAAGGAACAGTTCAACTACTCCTACCACCACATCTGGCGGAGCTTTGGCATCCTCATCGGGTTCTGGGCCTTCTTCATCTTCCTCACCTCGATGGGATTCGAAAAGCTCAACAGCCAGTCCGGATCGTCCGTCCTCCTTTTCAAGCGCGGTGCCAAGAGCAAGAAGGCCGACGAGGAAAGCACCGTTGCCCCGAAGTCGGAGGGAAGTGCCCTTGCGCAGACGGGAAAGCAGTCGACGTTCACGTGGAACCATCTCGACTACCACGTGCCGTTTCACGGTCAGAAGAAGCAGTTGCTTGATCAGGTCTTTGGGTTCGTGAAGCCGGGTAACCTGGTCGCTTTGATGGGTTGCTCTGGTGCGGGAAAGACTACGTACGTGTTTGTGATGAATGGGATGACCGCGGCGCTAATTCTATTGCAGACTGCTCGATGTGTTGGCTCAGCGAAAAGACAGCGGAGAGATCTACGGCTCGATCCTGATTGATGGCAAGCCGCAGGGTATCAGCTTCCAGCGTACGACTGGTTACTGTGAGCAGATGGATGTTCACGAGGGCACCGCCACCGTGAGAGAAGCTTTGGTGTTTTCTGCTCTGCTCCGTCAGCCTGAGAGCGTGCCGCGCGAAGAGAAGATAGCCTATGTCGACCACATCATTGATCTCCTGGAGTTGACTGACATTCGGGACGCGCTGATCGGAGGTAATTTTTCTTGCCGCCCTTGATGAGGACTATACTGACAGGAACAGTTCCCGGAGCTGGTCTCAGTATCGAGCAGCGGAAACGAGTGACTCTTGGTGTGGAACTGGTTGCCAAGCCGACATTGCTCTTCCTCGACGAACCGACTTCCGGTCTGGATGGCCAATCTGCTTACAACATTATTCGTTTCCTGAGAAAGCTGGTCGACAGCGGACAGGCTGTGCTGGTAAGTGTGTCTGTCTGGAATTGACAGGGTCTAATGCATTCCAGTGTACCATCCACCAGCCTTCCGCCGTTCTGTTCGACGCTTTCGACTCGTTGGTCCTACTCGCTAAGGGCGGAAAGATGGCCTACTTCGGAGAAAGTAAGTCTATAACACCCGTATCACAATTTCAGATCTAACAATACCAGCTGGCGAGGACTCCGGAAAGGTCCTCGGATACTTCGCCAAGAACGGAGCTCCCTGCCCCCCTGAAGTCAACCCCGCCGAGCACATCGTTGAAGTCATCCAGGGCAACACCGAGAAGCCGATCGACTGGGTCGATGTCTGGAGCCAATCTGAGGAGCGTGAGCGTGCGATTGAGGAGCTTGAGTCGTTGAACAAGGCGGGCCAAGCGGAGCCAGACGAGGTGGAGGACCAGCACAACTTTGCCACCCCTATCTGGTACCAATTCAAACTGGTGCTGGAGCGTCTGATGACCCAGCTGTGGCGGTCACCGGTATGTCCATCCATCCATTGCACCTCGTGAAAATAAAAGCTGACGGGTCAGGATTACATGTGGAACAAAATTATCCTGCACGTCTTCGCCGCGCTGTTCAGTGGATTCACCTTCTGGAAGATGGGCGACGGCACATACGCACTGCAGCTTCGACTGTTCGCCATCTTCAACTTCATCTTCGTGGCTCCCGGCTGTATCAACCAGATGCAGCCGTTCTTCCTGCACAACCGTGACATCTTCGAAACCCGCGAGAAGAAGGTAAGCTGCAACACCACCCCACGTCAACAAACCATCTAACCAAGCCAGTCCAAAACCTACCACTGGATGGCCTTTATTGGCGCCCAGGCCGTCTCGGAAATCCCATACCTGATCATCTGCGCCACGCTTTACTTCGCATGCTGGTACTTCACAGCTGGCTTCCCCATCAGCGCATACATCTCCGGCCACGTCTACCTGCAGATGATCTGTAAGTCCCCCCCGATTCCCCCTTTCTCCTCCCCCAGAACCAAACCTAACAAAAGTGAAGTCTACGAATTCCTCTACACCTCCATCGGCCAAGCCATCGCCGCCTACGCGCCCAACGAATTCTTCGCCGCAATCATGAACCCCATCCTCATCGGCGCCGGCATGATCAGTTTCTGTGGCGTCGTCGTGCCCTACTCCAGCATGCAGCCCTTCTGGCGCTACTGGCTGTACTACCTCGACCCCTTCACCTACCTGGTGGGCGGCCTGCTGGGCGAAGTCCTCTGGGACGTCAAAGTCACCTGCGAAGCCTCGGAGTATATCAAGTTCAGCGCCCCGTCCGGCCAGACCTGTGGGCAGTATATGAAGGATTTTATTGCCGAGCAGACGGGGTATCTCCTCGATGCGAATGCCACGAGCTGTGAATTTTGTCAGTATTCGATGGGGGCCGATTATGCGAAGAGTTTCAATTTGGAACAGAAGTATTATTCGTGGAGAGATGTGAGTTTTATCCTTTTCTTTTATTCTTTGCTTGCTTGATTTGTTTTTGAAAGTAGATTGCTGATGGTGTGATGTCTAGACTGGAATCACCGCCCTCTTCTGCATCTCGTCCTACGGTCTGGTGTTCCTGATGATGAAGCTGAGGAGCAAGAAGACGAAGAGTGCAAGGTCGGAGTGAGTGATACCAAACCCACACCCACACCAACCGGGTTGGTACAACGCGCGGACAGAGAGTTTGTTTATTTGTGAGGACGAGAGAGAGAGAGAGAGAGAGAATGAGTCGCACGCAACACACAGAGAGAGTGTGTGTGAGTAAGAGAGGACAGAGAATGCGAATGGATAATATACATAGAGCAAGGTACTCCTTTTCATACCCTTACATACATACATATACATCGATAGACAGATACACCCACCAGACCCCACCACACCACATTGGGCACCGGGCTGGATATATAGACCCATTGATCCTTTATACTTTACACTGTTTAATACAATTACTATCGTTACCTGCACTACCCTCTTCTCCTCCAACTTCACATGATTGTCTCATGGTTCTGATGCACGTCGAATAAAAGCTCTGCTTGAGTCATTAGCAGATGCATTATGTATATAGGTAGTTGGTTAGGGCGTGATGCGTGATGGTCCTGTAATAGGATGTGAAATATCAATGCCATGGGTTTTGAGAATTGACAGCGGCTGAGGTTGGGGATTGGGATTGTTGCCTCAGTACTACGAGGAAGAAGGAGGGATGTATGACTTGGCGGTGGTGGGGTGGTGAGAATTAGGCGCAAGGGGGGTGGACGATGACGTAGATATCTCACTTTTGTGACACATGAATAATATACGGATATAACTACTGATCATAGACTTGAGCGAGAATAGGATGTTTGAATGTATTGGTCTAAGGTATACATATACAAGAAGAGAACTAGTAATCCGTCTATCCATCTATAACACAATTCTGGGTATAATAACAAAAACCACAAAAAACCGTAAAAATCAATCAAAGGTGAGTAAAGAAGGAAAGGAAAGGAGAAAAAGCAGACGAAAAAAAAAAAAAAAAAATCAAAACCGAAACCTCGGTGTCTCCGCCTGCGTCCTTATATACGCGACATCCACCAACCGTCCCAGGATCACATACTCCAGCTTCAACTTGATGCTATACACCAGGGCCTTGAAGGTAACCTGAAAGGTAAAGTACCCGGCATACTGAATGGCCACGACAGACAGATCTAGCAAGATAATGGCGATATTGACCAGCAGCAGCTGGGTAAGCACACTGCGCGACAGCCCGCCCGAATCCATACGGAGCATCCTCACCGTCTCACGGATATACAGACCGGAGAGCAGCAGTTCCTGCACGCAGAACCAAACCAGCTGGATGCGCTCAATCACGCCAAAGGCCAGATTAATCGCATCCGACCCCGGGCGCGCATTCACGGCCAGTTCCAGCGCGGTGCTCGACGTATGCAGCAGTACTGCATCCACGATGATCAGATACAGCAGCGCGCGCAGGATCCTCTTATGGTGAAAAACCAGATGCAGACGCGACCACAGCACGATCGATTGCCCCGTTACCATCCCCGTCCAGCCGATGTCCACGATTATGATCTCGAGGAAGTAGTGCGTGAAGGTTACGCCGAACATCTTGAGCATGTAGCCCAGGCCGAAGGGGATGATGCTGAAGGACGCGATCAGGAGACTCCAGAAGTAGGATCCCTCGTATCGTTTGAAGGTGTTCAGGCAGAGGATCACCAGCTCGATGGCGTTGCACCATGCCAGCGCGATGAGGATCGGGAACACATATTCTTCGACGGTGGTGTCCAGGTGCCGCGTTAGGCCGGTGGGGTTGTTCGCCGACGTGTTGTCAAGGGTGAAATGGGGCATAGACTGTGAGCATCGGGGGGTGGTGGTGGTGGTGGTGTGGGGTTGATTGAGCACGAGGTCGTAGAGTCTGGAGATGTGGATGATTTGATTCGGAAGGTTGCCTGCCGTGTGTGTGCTGGATTCTACGAGTGTAGAAGTGTAGAGTGAGTGAAAGAAGGAGGCGAGGGAGTCGCAAAGTTGCCCCAGTCGATCTGTCGCCGAATCGGGCCATCCGGGCCTTGAATCCCTCCCGGCAGTGGCGTCATCGATCGGGGGTTGCTCCGGAAGCTTAGGTGTCATTGGCTGGAGATACCATGCCGCGGGTACTCTCGCCAATTGGAGACAGGGCTGATCGGATGCGCTAGTCTCTCTCCGGCGAGGACTCCTCGGCAAGTGGAGGTCTTTAATTGGTGGATGCTTGCAGTTATATCAGGTGATCCAGTTTGCTCTGTTTGAGATGTTTGCTCAATTTGTGCGCTTTGACTCATTTGTCTCGTTTGTCCCATTTGTCTCGTGCACAATACGCGATGCGTCTCAATTCTCGTCGCATCTTCGTCCTCACCTTCGTCTGCGCAATGCACCAAACTCGAACCTGACAACTCATCCAACCCATCCTGGGTCGAGGCAGCTCTCATTTGGATCGGGGAGTGGTCTATCATCGAGAGGTCAAGACCTATCGCACGATTCCTACTGTCTGGATTGTGCGAGCGCGCGATGGATGCCACCGACCATGAATGAATGTCCATCCTCCGTGCAGGTGACCGGTAGCAGGTCCTCACTGCCTTTGGTCAAATGGCCATGTCACTTCAATCACCGATCGACGTCGGATTCTGAGTCAAACAGGTTCGGTTCAATTTGGCGATTCAAGTTTACGATTCAAGTACCCACCAACCCAAACGCGATATCGAAGCCGCCGATTCGAACGCCCGCACCTCGATCCCACCGCGCAGACTACCCTACCATCACCGAGATAAAGTGCGAACGGTAGCTGAAGTGGTATCATGTGGCTGGCACATCTACAACTGCCCGGCATACCGAATGCCCTGCAAGATCTGAGACAAACGCGAACTTAGGCCATGATCCTCGGAACGTGACCTCGATCCTACCCTGGAAAATCGAATCGCATAGTTCAAGCCAGTCGACTCATAATTGCGACTCGTGAATGTGTCACTGGGAATACTGGATACTGGAGCGATAAGACTGGCCTGACCGGATCGAAGCTGTACACGGATTTCATCGAGTCCCGACGACGTTTTCGAGCGCGTGCGCAAGATGAGGCCGAAATCGAGCACCGATGCGAGGACGACAGGACGAGGAAGGCACAGCATATCGGTGGTGGATTGTGGATTGGGCAAGTGGAAAATGTGACAACAGGTGTCTGCCCCTATATTGCCTACGTTGATTTTGCGAGCTAATCACACTGGATGTCGGTCGCAACTAGCAACGGCGTCGAAAGCCGACCTCGGACGAGTCTGCCTGTTTGGATGATCTGTCACGCACGATGACGTTGGAATATTGGATGCATGCAATCCTGCTGTATCTTTACCCGAATGGCCGACGGCGCTTGAACCCCTTTCCCCGCACAGCTTGCGGATGTTAAGTTTCCGGCTCTGCGTCCGCACCTCTGCTCCCTGCGACACCATCGCTGCATTGGAACGCTCAACCTCATATCATGACTCCCCCCTTCCGTGCCGAACACATCGGCTCTCTCATCCGACCCGACGAGCTGCTGGCTGCCCGCAGTGCCGCTGGCCTGGGGAACAGCTACACCAAGACCACTGTTCCTGAAGGTCTGGAGCGTCTGACCCAGCAGGCGATCGCGAAACTGGTTCAACAGGAACTGGCTCATAATGTACGCCCCATCACGACGGGCGAGTACGAGCGACCCATCTTCTATGCCGGGTTCTTCGAGCGCCTCGAAGGGATGCAAATGACACAGGTCCCCATCCCCGAAGGCTATCGTAACGGGCTTCCGACCCTCCGAGCGCTCGAGAAGCTGGGAATCAAAACGCGAGACTGCTCAGTAGCGGTGGGCAAGATTCAGCACGTCCACAGCCCCTACCTCGCGGACTGGGAGTACCTGCGTAGCCTCGTCCCCCGCGAACAGTGGCACGAATGCAAACTGAGCATGCCCCCCATCACCTGGCAGCACCAGCACCTGCAAGCGGGCACCGCGTTCACGGCCTCTAGCCCGTACTCCACGGACAAGGAGTACTTCGTGGACCTGGCGACCGCGTTTGCGAAGGAGTTCCGGACGTTGTATGATGCCGGGCTGCGCTCCATCCAGATCGATGATCCCGCGATGACCTTCTTCGTGACGGACGAGATGCGGTCCGGCTGCCTGGCAGACGGCATCGACCCGGACGAGCTGCTGGACCTGTACATCTGGGCCCACAATCAAACCTTGAAAGACCGTCCGACGGACCTGCACGTCGGTGTGCATCTCTGTCGGGGCAATATGCCCGGGTCCACGCACATTCTCAGCGGATCGTACGAGCGGATTGCGCGGCGCATGTTCACGGGGCTGGAATATGACACGTTCTACCTGGAGTATGACACGGAGCGCGCGGGCGATTTCCAGCCGCTGCGACATTTGCCGGTCGGCAAGAACGTGGTGCTGGGCGTGGTGTCGACGAAGACGGCGGAGCTGGAGACGCTGGATGAGCTGGAGGCCCGGGTGTATGAGGCAGCCGATGCGATCGCGCAGGGCCAGGGACGCAGTCGGCAGCAGGTTCTGGACACGACGCTGGGGGTCAGTCCGCAGTGTGGGTTCGCCAGCGTGGGTCGAGGCCGGGGAATCGGAATGACGGAGGAGCGCATGTGGGAGAAGCTGCAGCTGGTGCAGCGGCTAGCAGACAGGGTGTGGCCGACCAGCAGCAGCTAGATATTGTCTTTTTGACCTCGGTTAGTGATTGCGTGGCAGCATAATGAATGAGCAATGAATCCGTCGGACGCCGATGCAGGCCAGAGAGACAACGGCACACCTGCATTGTGATCCACTGCACTAGTTTCAGAGCGTCTCTCTCTTCCGTGATTCTGCACATATCCGCTGCCAAACCTAAATGAATTGAAGCTGTGGAGGCTACTGAAGCCACCGACCTGAGGACGGAGGGCAGGCCTGCATGACAGGCCGCACGTGGTGCAGCAGTTGGCCGTCCGCGATCGCCCGTGCGAGATGAATTATGGGTCCGCGGCTTCGGCAGCGACGGATACGCGGCTTCGCTCTCCGGCCTGCATAACTCGCCTGGAGTGGAGGACCCAGGAGCGAGACTATATAGCCCTCGACGCCGGCTATCCATCCCTCGGTCTCCAGCCCTCCAATAACCAACTGAGCAGCCACCATGCACTTCCCTCTAGCTCTGTCTCTGCTGCCCCTGGCTACCCACGCCATCAACATCATCTCCTCCAACGACGATGGCTGGGCCGAGATCAACATCCGCACCCTCTACGACTCCCTCACCGCTGCTGGCCACTCGGTGGTCCTGTCGGCCCCGGCGGAGAACGAGAGCGGAACAGGTAACATCGCCGTCTGATCCGCTGGATCTACGCTCACTCACACCCACACAGGCTCCGACGATGCCACTCCCACCACCCTGACCGAGGCCTGCGAGTTCGACAGCTGCCCCTCGGGCAGTCCCGCCGAGGGCTACAACGCCTCGCAGCCGCGCTGGAACTACGTCAACTCGTACCCGGTCACCTCGATCAAGTACGGGATCAACACCCTGTCGCCCGAGTACTTCGACGGCGCGCCCGCCCTCGCCGTCACCGGGCCCAACGTGGGCACCAACCTGGGACTGGACGTGTTCTTCTCCGGCACGGTCGGCGCGGCCACCTACGCCGCGGAGGTGGGCATCCCCGCGATCGCATTCTCCGGCGACACGGGGTCCCAGACGGCGTGGGACGTGACGACCCCGACGTACAGCACCGTGTACGCGGAGCTGGCGACCAAGGTCACCGACGAGCTGGTCGCGGCGGGCACGCCCTACCTGCCGGACGAGATCTGGCTGAACGTGAACTTCGGCGCGGTGGGCGACTCGACGTGCACCAGCGCGGACGACTTCAAGTTCGTCCTGTCGCGCATCTTCACCGCCATCCCGCTGCTGACGCCGGCGGACGTCGAGACCTGCGGCAGCACGCGGCTGCCGACGGAGACGAAGGTGGTGGACTCGGACGGCTGCTACGCCAGCATCTCGGTGGGGTTGGCGAGCGATAAGCTGGACGCGAACGCGACGATGCAGGCGGTGGTTCTGGACAAGCTGTCGGGATTGTTGACCTGCTTGGAGTGAGATCGGTAGATAGCGACGTCAATGGAAATGGAAATGGGATGGAATGGGGATGTCTCTCCCGCTGTCTCGGACGTAGATTACATCCCCCCACTATCACGATATTTTAGTCTCCGCGTCAGCCCTAAGTCGCAAGTACGCGTGATCCAACCACACCCCGTCATTGGAGCAGCCCGACGTCCCTGACCCTGGCCAGCCAGATATGTTCTATTGTTCTGGTATATTAAGGCAATCTAAATCATCCACCAGTCTGAGTGACCCCCGCATCCATCATGCAATCGCAATCACGCTACCCGCCCGCACCACGTTCCGCTTCTGGCTGCTGTCAGACGCTAGATTCCTGCAGGTTCCTCCCTCCAAGACAGTGTTGCATCCTTCGCATCCTGGTCGCGAGCCAGGATCGGGGTGTCTGAGTCGGGGTCTGCGTCTGATAACCCTGATGCGGAATGACTCTTCCACCTAGATACTACGTACCCTTCTTGCACCTGCAGCTTGCAGCTGCAGCCTCCGAGGTCGGACCCATCGATCAAGCGATGTCGATCCTGAAGATTCCTTCCTATCAGGGTCGGGTAGCGTGTCTGTGTGTCTGTCGACTCGTCACGGAGCGAGCTCCGAGGAGGAGCAGGAGGAGCAAGATAAAAGGCGCCGATCTTTCCTCGTTCCTGGTGTTTTTTTTTCCCTAGCACAGACGAACTCTTTCTCCTGTTACTACTTTATATATCTACTACCTGGTCTCCCTCCATCTCCCTCTCCCTCTCCCTCTCTGTCTCTGTCTCTCAGCATTACATTGCACTACACCCTAAACCCTTTTCTAAGAATCATCCCCTTCATCTTCACCTTTCATAATAATATTTAACATGTCCCTCAAAACCCTCCTCGTCGCCGCCTCGACCCTCGCGATGGTGCGCGCCTCCCCCGCCGGCAAAATGGTCATCCGTGACTGGATCGCCAGCGACGAGATTGTCGGTTTCAACCAGACCGTGCCGGATGATCAGACGGGCGATATCTATCTGGCGTATCAGCCGTATCTGAAGGTCGTGAATGGCTGCGTGCCGTTTCCGGGTGTGGATGCCGAGGGGAATACCGAGTATGTTTTTGATATTTGGTTTAGTTGCATGCATGCCTACTACCTACCTACCTACCTACCTACCTACCTACCTACCTGCCTGCCTGTCTGTCTGCCTGCCTGTCTGTCTGCCTGCCTGCCTGCCTTCCTGGTCTCGAGTGACGCAGGCTATACTTTCTGAATCTGAATCCCAGCCCTAACCTCAACCTCAATAACAACCCCCCCCCCCCAAAAAAAAACCAACACTAACATCCCCCCCCCAACCAGCGCCGGCCTCGCCATAACCGGCTCCTCAGACGGCGACTGCACCTCCAGCACCGGCCAAATCTACGTCCGCTCCAACATCTCCACCACCAGCACCAGCACCAGCACCTACCCAACAGCGCTCATGTACTCCTGGTACATGCCCAAAGACGAACCCAGCCCGGGAATCGGCCACCGCCACGACTGGGAAGGTGTCATCGTCTGGCTGGCCGACGGTTTGACCGTCTCCGCCGACAACATCCTGGCCGTGTGTCCCTCCGCGCACGGCGGCTGGGACTGCTCCACGGACGGATATACCCTCGACGGCACGAAGCCGCTGATCAAGTACGAGAGTGTCTGGCCGGTGGATCATTCGTGTGGGCTTACGACCACGGTCGGGGGCACCCAGCCGTTGGTTGCCTGGGAGAGTTTGACCACCGCTGCCAGGGACGCGTTGCAGACGGTCGATTTTGATAAGGCGATTGTGCCGTTTAAGGATGCCACGTGGGAGGAGAATTTGGGGAAGGCCAGTTTTTAAGGGTTGATTGTTGATTATTTATCTATCTACCTATTAAGTTGTGAGTGGGTGTATGCTGTATAGTGTATAGTGTATGGTGTATAGTTGGGTTGGGTGGGGTGGTGGGTGAGACTAGGAAGTGGCGGGGTGTATATAACCTGTATCAGTGAATTGAACAATGTATGTTTTGTGTGAGTGTAGTGACAGAGATGATCATTGTCTTTCTCCCTTTCAGTGATTCTCGGCAATGTACCCAGGTGACTTACTGTATTACATGTGGGTTGGATATGATATAATATTATATATGATCCAATGCTAAAAGTTGAATGGATATTCTCTACACCATGAACAAACACACTACTATACTACAAACAAACATACAAAACCCCATTAAAACATCCTTCCCCTACACTCCCGATCCAGTCTAACACAGGTAAAGATGAATTCTGATTCAAAGTAAAAAGGCTACCTAGATTTAGATACAGTACTTGGCGGCAGGCAGCCAAAGATCAACATCCAGATCAACATCAAGGTAGAATGAAGATGCTACAACATCAAGATGGAAGCACACTAAGCGCTAGCAATGCACTGGTAGTAGTAAGGGTTGTAGCTGTGGCAAGACGAACCGGACGCGCAGGCCGACGCCCCGGAGTAGTTGATGCCGCCGCACTGGCCGTACAGCGACTGCGTGCCGCTGGACGAGCCCGCCGTGGCGGCGGTGTAGGCCGGGGCCGGGGTGATGGTTGAGGCAGGCACCTCGGGCTCGACGGAGGTGGGGACGGCGACGGCGGCAGGGGTCAGGGTGGTCAGGGTGGTCCAGCTGGAGGGCACCTGGACGGCGATCTGGGAGTAGCTGGAGCTGGAGGGGGCGCTGGGCTCGGCGATCTCGGTGTTGGCGGCCACGCTGGTGGTGATGGCGGCGGCCGGGGCGGAGGTCGCGGCGGCGCTGGCCACCCCGCTGGCCACCCCGCTGGCGCTGCCCACAACGGCGGTGCCCGTCGAGGTGATCGCCGAGGTGGTCTGGGTGATGGAGACAGCCCCGCTGTAGAGGCTGGGCCCGGGCACGGTGTAGGTGGCCAGCGAGGAGTAGATGTTCACCAGGATGCCGGCCTCGGTGGAGGTGTACAGCTCGGTGCCCAGCACCCCCGAGGGCGTGGCGGTGCCGGTGCCGGTGACCTGCAGGTTGAAGCACTGGGGGTAGTTCTGGGCGCCGTCAGTCTCCTCGGCGCCGTGCAGGGCAATCAGCTCGTGGCGCAGCACGTAGTTGCCCGGCGCGATGGTCGGGGGGATCTCGACCATCCAGCTGTTGTTGTTGGCGATCAGCTGGTCGGTTCCCCAGGTGCCCGGCACCTCGGAGTCGCTGATCAGCCCGACGCCGTCGATCTTGAAGAACTCCAGCTCGGTCTTGTCGGCCGTCTCGCAGCTGCCTGAGCAGCGCGCCAGGTAGTCCAGCACAGGCCCGTGGTGCGACGACGGCCACGCCGTCCACTGCACGTTGACCTTCTCGCCCGCCCCCACCACGACGTGCGCCTGCGCGTTGGTCGCGTTCTCGTGGCAGATGATGTTGGGGTTGCGGTACTCGTCGGGCGAGATGAAGCCGTTGCCCGTGTTGGGGGTCGTCCACGCCGCCACCTTCGGGGGGTCGGTCTCGTAGGGGAACACGTTGATGTCGAAGCCCTCGTAGTAGACGCCGTCCACCACCAGGTTGGTGACGTGCCCGTGGGCCGCCACCTGGGTGGTGGCCGACAGCAGGGCCGCCAGGAGGGAGGCAGACTGAGTGTGACGCATGATTGCTAGTGGTGGGGATAGAAGACAAGAGATAGAGAGAGTGTGAGAGAAAGTGTAGAGAGAATGTATGTGGTGAAAGCGTAGAGAGAACGAGCGACCCAGCGCAAGGAATGTGAGGCTTCAGTCAATGAAGCGAAGAGCGAAGAAGGGAAGAAGGGAAGGAGGAAAGTCAAGACCTGCTGGAGAGGAAGAGAGAAAGACAGACCGACTGGCGGTGCGATGGAGGTCTATTTAACCCACCATCGCCGTCTGTCTCTCTCTACCTGCGTCGCATCTCAAACGGCCATGCCTCCGGTGCTCCACCAGGAGTCGGGCTGCCAGCCGCCGGCGACAGGTCGACACACGGCGGGTAGGGCAGTGGGTCCATCTGGGCCCTGAGGGGGGGGCATCGGAAGCGCTGGAGCAATTAAGGTGAGGCCGGAACGGTGCTATCCAGTCTAGGGCAGGGGCAAGTGTTGCAGGTGGTGCCGATCCGTCTGATATTGAGCCCCCTAGGGTCTTGGCTGTTGTCGGTGTTTTCCCTCTTCACCCGTTGTCGGTTGTCCGTCTGGCGTCCGTTTGTCTCTGTAGACAAGCTTTTTCTCGTGGAATAGTTCGATACCGCCGTCCATCCGTGACTCGAACGCTTGATCCCCGACCGCTGCACACGAGGATAAGAATAGAATCAGGGCCCGGCTGGGTGGATCCACCGCCAGCCACTAGACTAGCCAGGCAATAGCACCTCCCTAGCTGCTCGACTTGCACAATTAGATTAAGCTGGCCCTGACTGGCTTAATCTCGCCAATCACGTCGCCCACGTCTGGACGGCCGTCCCTGGCAATTTTCTTCCTGTCAGATTTCTCCTCCACGCGCCCAATGACAGTTGGCCCGGTGGATCGATCCAGGTGCATCGAGCGCTTTCGACTTTCTATCTATCTAGCCCAGATATTTACTGGTAGACTGACTAGTTATCTACAGTGTCGGCCGAGCTTTCCCTTCGCTTCCCTCGGGGAGACCCCGTTGCCCTGTTCTGCGCGACGGGGCTGGCGGGCGGGCCTCCTCGTCGTACTTCTGATACGAATCTTGCAAGGCAGATGGGGTTGCATGAATCGCCAACCACCACCCTTGCGCAATGTGGCGGCATTGTCCATATCCGCATCTGCATCCGCATCCGCATCCTTGCCGCTGGTATTGTGTCCTCCACCGTCCACACCGGTCGCTGCCATCCCGAATGTCTGTTGTCATTCCCGGCCGTGCGATGGACAAGCAAGCTTAACCACGAACCTTATCCCGCCCTCGTCAACGGCGAGAGACGGCGACCCACCGGCACCTTTCTGGATGGCGCCGGTGGCAGACGTGAAACGCTCCTGTCGCATATTAACCGTGACCAGCCACGCCACCCGCACGGGGCTTTCCCTGCCCTAGCTTTACGGGCCCGCGAAGCGCCGGCCACCCAACCCAGTCAGCGCGAAGTCGTCCGGATTGGACGTGGACATGACAGGATGGTGGCGATTAGGATTGAGTGACCTGTAAGGCAGGGTGAGATTGCAAGGGATGGCTGCCGTTTCAACTGTCCGGAAATCAGCCTCGCGGTGAAGACGCCAACCCTGTCTGACTGCCCCTTCAATCAGCATAGACATGTGCTATGAGATGGGTAGGCGCTTAGTGCTGGCACCCCTCGGAGTCTCCCTTCTCGACGGATCCTATCATGACAACACGCGGCTGTGGGCCAGCCAAGGACTGGACAGGACTAGCCAGCTATGTCGCTAGCAGAGAGCTGTGGTGTGGTGCCAGAATCCAGAGGGCCTTCGGGTTCGTGTTACTATTAACGGCGTCGCGTCGGCTTTCGGATCCCAAGTTGATGCCGACATCTGTCTGAACTCTGGGACCGGTCGGTTGGCATCCATCTCCACTGGATAGACTGGATAGTGGATAGGATAGGGGCTGAGTGCGGTTGTGGATAAAGTCGGGATATGGAATCCAGTTCCAAGAACAGCCATGTGGCTGGCCGGCGGTGACTACCGAGGCATTCACGGTGTAGCTGTCAGTCAAGCTCCACAGCATAACTATCAGGCTGTGCGAGAAGACACTCTTCACCTGGCAATCACAGTGAATGTCCCGCCCTCGCTGCAGGATGCTCAAGCCCTTTTTTTTTTTTTTGCTTCAACGGCTCTCGCTTAGGATGTATCATTCTCCAATAAGTCCAACCGGAAAGAATACACAAGAGCCTCGACGATATCAATTTACCGTAAGGAAATACATTCCAACCACCCTCTCAACTCGCGTAACTACTATACAGGGACATCCCATGATATTTTCACGCGAAATACGAAGGAATGTCTCGTATTGACGAAGAGGGTTCCCTGCTTGTCAAGCTCCTCGGTAAGGTCAATCTGGTCTGGTGACTCTAGTCGACTATACTCTGCTTGGCCCCAAGTCCAAAATCACCCGTGGCATCAATAGCGACCCTGTTGGTTGGGTCTAGTCCTCCATGGTTCAGCTTTGAATCTTCCAACTACGCCAATATTATCGGATTTTATTCTGTTCGCTCTTCTGTTCAGCTGATATGAGCTGGACTACGCTCGATTTCCCAGTAATAGGCATATACTCTCCTCATATGACGTTTACTTCCTAATATCTCAGCAAAAGGCCAAACAGGCCACATGATAGCTATCTTGAAATCCAGTCTGGTCTTCTAACATTTTTCTGCGAACGCCTCGGAAACCCCTTATAGATCCCGTTCCCGGATAATTGATAAGATATTTCTCAGCAGGTACCATCTGAGATCACGACTCGAGAGTGCAAGGGGAAACGATCTTTCAGACGCGGGCAACTTGTTCTGCACCCGACTTTTGCGAAACGACCCCATCGCAAATGGGACGACATGCGCCGTTTGAAGAGTAGTCGTTGTCTTGGTTCAACACCAGGAATATGTGTGCATCCGAGGTAAACCTCAAACCTGCCAGAAACCCTACCCCTTTTGGCCTGGGGCAATATCGCCAGCCCCTAGCAAATGGGAGCGCCTGCTGTTGGTTGTCCTGAGGATTAGGATATGTGCAGTATTCCTGTTCTCTTTGGTGGATTCTCATACCCATCTGCTGTCTGTGACTGAGTCTACTTGAACGGCGTTTGTAAGGTGATGGTCATGGTGACCGGGTGATGAAGGTGTAAAATATCTTTATCTGGTGGGTGACTTCAGGTGAAAGATTCACCACGGACTAGATCTTCTAAACCACTGAGTATTCTTAAAGTCAGTGTAACTTCAGTGTGATCAGTTACGATATAGAAAAGATAATTGACACATCCCTTTGAACTAACAGATGTATATTATGGCGCATAGCAGGTTTGGTTCTGTCATCTCAGTTGGGATATATCGAATACTGTACCAACCTGATTACATCCAGGCCTGGAGTGCTCTGTGGGAAATGTGGGATGTAGGAAACAAGAAGTGATAGGGTGGAATTCAGGGTTATATAGAGGGGTCGTCAGGTGAAGACAGTTAACCGGCCAGACCCCAGTCCTGGTCCGGATTGATGGGTGACATTGAATGGGACAAAATACTATATCTTCGAGACAATGTGGACTAATGGCCTGGAATAAACATATCTAATTGCACTTCCAGTGAAGAACTACCAATCCACTTCCTGAGAATTCACCCCATCGATCAATGCTAACTGGCTCATCTTTCTACCTATGATCTTCCATTCCGGTACTTACTCTCTCTTACTTACTCTGGCACGTCATCCTCAGGCCACCGGAGCCTTCGAGAAGACGATCACCTGACCGCCGCCCCCCTGCTGCGGCGTGCCTTCCGGAAGCAGTAAGCCGGGGATCCGTTCTCGGTCAGCGGTGGGCTTGGCGGGCCCCGCGATTGGCCAGGACGGCCGCTGCGGAGCGGAAGCCCCACCGGGCCGGCTCGCGAATTAGGTAATGGGTTCTAGAAGGGGGGGAAACCTGAGGCCGGGCCACCCACAGTCGCGGCAGCAAATTCTCACGATGTTGGAGTCGTCTTGGGGTCGAGTGACTCAGACTCAGACTCCATCTGCATTCTCGTCCGGTGGCTCGATTGCTCTCCATCCCGACATTCCATCTGACAGTGGACAGCGGACAGCGTCACGAACTCGTGAGATCCCGTTTGTGTCAATGTAGAGCTGCTAGGGCTGCGTATATCAGATTCTTCCTCTCGTCGGCTCCTTCGACGACTCCACTCTTCGTCACGTTTCATCCCGGCTCGCGTGTTGGATTTTCACCTCCCAGCCATGGCCTATATCACTCCGGATAAGGCCGAGCCCGATCTCAATGTCCAGGCCAGCGGTTTCTTCCGCGATGCGTCGGACCTGAGCGACGCGGAGAAGCAGGAGGACAAGAAGGACGACCCGAGTTATAACGACACCTTCGGCGACGAGGAGTACGCCGAGGTCAAGTACAAGGTCTTGAGCTGGTGGTATGTCCAATGTCCAACCCCAATGTCTGATGACCAATGACTAATGTCGGATAGGCAATGCGGCTTCCGTGAGTGTCGGTAGTGAACAACTCCCCTTGTCTTACTGACCAGCCTAGTGATGGTTGCGGAGACGGTGTCTCTTGGTATCCTGTCGTTGCCCGCCGTGGTGGCCACGCTGGGTCTGATTCCGTATGGACTGACCATATATCCTGTCATTCGGCCTGCTGACTCCATACAGCGCCGTCATCCTGCTCCTCGGCCTGGGTCTCCTGGCCACCTACACCGGCTATGTCATCGGCCAGTTCCGCTGGGCTTACCCGCATATCCAGAGCATGGCCGACGCCGGCGAGATCCTGTTCGGGTCCATCGGGCGCGAGGTCTTCGGCACTGGCCAGCTGCTCCTCGTGGTCTTCATCATGGCCAGCCATCTGCTGACCTTCTCCGTCGCCATGAACACGATCACCTCCCACGGCACCTGCACGATCGTGTTCACCGTCGTCGGCCTGGTCGTCTGTTACGTCCTGTGTCTGCCTAGAACATCAGCCAAGGTGTCCTACCTCTCGGTTGCCTGTATGTCCATCCCGGCAGTCGTATCGTGTCCGTACTAACGGTAGACAGCATTCGTCAGTGTCTTCTCAGCCGTCATGATCGTCATGATCGCCGTGGGCATCGAGCGTCCTTGGAAGGGGGCCATCGCCGCCACCGTGGACACCAGTCTATACGAAGCATTCCTGGCGGTGTGCAACATCGTCTTCTCTTTCTGTGAGCACCCCATCCATTCATCCATCCATCCAAACCCACCCCCCACCTACCCTCCAGCTAACACGCCCCAGCCGGCCACGTCGCTTTCTTTGGATTCATCTCCGAGTTGAAAGATCCTCGGGAATATCCCAAGGCGCTGTGTCTTCTGCAGGGCATCGACACTGTGCTCTACATCGTCACCGCCGTGGTGATCTACATCTACGCCGGGCCCAACGTGACCTCGCCTGCCCTGGGGTCTGCCAGTGCGCTGGTCGCGAAGATCGCGTACGGAATCGCCCTTCCCACTGTAAGTGCCCACCTCTCTTGTTGAAATCGACCAGCAGTGTACTCAGAGTCAGTCGTATTGACTAACGGTACCAGATCATCATCGGCGGCGTCGTCAACGGCCACATTGCCTGCAAGTACGTGTACGTGCGCATCTTCCGAAATGGAGATCTCATGCACAGTCGCGGTCTCGTCGCCACGGGGTCCTGGGTCGGTATCATGCTGGGCCTGTGGATCGTGGCCTGGGTTATTGCGGAGGCGATTCCCGTGTTCAATGATCTGCTGAGTTTGATTGTACGTGCTATCCTCCTCGCTAAACTGTATCACCCGACTAACATCATCCACTTAGGCCTCTTTATTCGCGAGCTGGTCGACATGTAAGCATACCCCATACCCCTAGACCTACCAATTCACCCCCCATTAACCCATTAACCCACTCACTAACCACACAAAAAAAAATTCAGTCGGCTTCAGCGGGATGTTCTGGCTCTACCTCAACAAAGACCAACTCTTCTCGTCTCCGCGAAAGATCGCATTGACAATCTTCAACCTGTTCATTATTGCGATCGCAGCCTGCATCGTAAGTTTTTTACCGCTTGATCCTATTCTTCTTCTGCTTTTCTGGCAATGAAATGCAATACATTCTAACAACCGGCTCCAATTCAGTGCGGTCTTGGACTCTACGTTTCCGGTCGCTCGTTGCATGAAGATACCACCACCGCGAGCTTTTCTTGTGCGAATAATGCTTGATGTGAATGGATAAGGATGTGGTTTGATGAGTATGGTTGGGTGTGGGGGTGTGTCTTGTATAGTAACGAATGGGTAGAGGATAGAAGATATATAGAAGGCGGATGGATGGGTGGATAGGTGGATACTGATGGGATTGGGATTGGTATTGGCATTCTCGTTGTACATTGGTTGGCTGGGTTGGGTTGGGTTGGAATGTGAACATACTGAAATGAGTTTTACTTAATGTTCAAAAAAAAGTCCCCTTCAACTCGAACACTGGCAGTGCGGAGGTGCCAAGGTTCCGCTGTCGTGGCCCCCCCGCCAAGACTGCCGCCGGAACTGTCTTGGCGTCGGTCGGCCTTTCGCATCTGTCGTCAATTCATTCTTCCCCAGACAACCTCTATAGCCATGGCGCGTCCCGGGCCCACCCTGCCGCTCCTCCGGGGCACCACCACCCTGGAGTCGGCCCTGGAGCAGGAGGAGGACATGCTCCGCGACCTGGACTATCCCGAGCAACGCATCGACTTCTTCCCGTCCCTCTACAGCCAGCGCGGGGAGATCGAGAAACTCGCCTCGCACCACATGGGCATCGACTCCGACACGTGTCAGGTCGGCGGCGTGAAGGAATGGATCCATGGTAGCTTCAACCTGTGCATCCCGCTCTACGTGCCAGAGAAGCGGGCCGTCATCCGCTTCGCCTTGCCCTACAAGCTCGGGGAATCCACCCACCCCGGCAATGTGGACGAGAAGCTTCGCACGGAAGCGGCCACTTTCCTGTGGATGCAGGAGAACTGCCCCGACATGCCGATCCCCCGGTTGGGGGGCAGAGTGTGAGCCAGACCAATCCATAATCCATCCTTCTGGTCCCTGGCTGATGCAAGGTGCGCAGTTTACAAAACCCGAGAATGTCCCATGGACAGCCCGGGTGCTTTGGTCGCTCCGGCGGTGTATCGCACGGCTGTTGAGATATCCTCTACCGTGTCGCTATGTCTGCCATCACCGTTCATCGATGCTGGAGACTGGCTACCTGGTCATGGATTACGTCGGGGGTCCGGGGGTGCAGATGCTTTCAGAGACATGGGATGAGGATCGTCACGACCAGGGGAGGAGAATCAACCTCTTCCGGGGCCTCTCGCGCATCATGCTCTCGCTGAGCCGGATACCCCTCCCACGCATCGGATCGTGGACGTTGGACTGCAACGGCATGCTGCAGCTGTCCAACCGTCCGCTCACCCTGCAACTGCATCAGTTGGAGAACGGAGGGATCCCGACCAACATCGGTCGCAGTCTTACCTACTCCACTGCCGACGCATACTACCTGGACCTTTTGTCGTGCCACGACAGTCGCATCCGATCCCAGCCGAACTTCATCACCGATCGGGACGATGGCCGGGCCCAGATGGCTCGACTGACCATCATGCGAGCGCTCGTCCCCCATTTCGCCGACCGAGAGCTTCGCGAGAGGCCGTTTCTCTATCGCCTGACGGATCTCCATCCAAGCAATGTCTTTGTGGACAGCAACTGGAATGTGAAGTGCGTGATCGATCTCGAGTGGGCGTGTTCGCTTCCCGCGGAAACCCTCCGTCCGCCGTACTGGTTGACCGGTCGCTCCGTTGACGATCTCACGGACGAGCACCTCGACACATATCGACAGGCGTATGAAGAGTTCGTGGGTGTTTTCGAGGAGGAGGAGGAGGAGGAGGAGGAGGAGGAGGAGGAGGAGGAGCTGGCAAACCGGGAACCTTTGGTATTTCCAGGCCCTGGACAGCCCGAAAGGTCTGTATAACCTTTTCGGACAGCATATCCATCCCCTGTTCTCGTCTACCGCTCGCGTGGATTCAGACTTTCCGCGAATTGTATCAGACTACTGGGCTGCCGATGTAGAGGGGGTAATTGCCGCCAAGCTCCGAGACAAGGAGGGGTACGAGGAGATGCTCCGTCGGCGGTTCGAGAATGCTGCCGATCAACCCTGAGAAGAGAAGCGTGTCTGTGCACATATACCAGGAGGGGGTAAGAAAGCATGTCGAATGGGTGGAAAGGAGCTGGACGATATCGAATAATCTCATCCCACGTCTGTTTTTGAGCGGGGCTTGCACATAGGACATAGCCCATCTTGTTGAAGCTACCGAGTGCCCAGGTAGGCATGACAGCTGCGGATCAGCCCTACAGCCGGGCTGCGGCCCTGGGGCCCTGGCCCTCTGCCCCCTTCCACATCCACACTTTGTCCCATTATTCCCCATCCACAGCCTCATTCACCCTGCCAGCAGACGATCTCAGCCCCCAAAATAGCCCTCCGCTCAGGCAGCCGTGTTTCAGGGACAGCTGAGATGACGTCATTCCCCCCCCGCTTCCCCTTGGCGCGGTGTCCCCAGCCTCGTCCCTCATAAATACCCCGCCACCGCCAGGGTCTCAGGGTCTATCTACCCCATCACATCAACCCTATCTCCATCCTCAACTCTCCCCCTCCATCATGCCCGGACACTTCGGCCAAAAGATCCTCAACAGCTTCGGCATGGACCACCACCACCACCACCACCAGGGCCAGCCGTACCAACAACCGCCCCCACCGGGCGACAACCGCCTAGCGGGCAACCGGATCATCCACAACGACGAGCGTCTCCTCTCCTCGCATCCCGCGGGCACCTATCCCCGGCTAGCCCGGCTCTCAGACGGACGCATCTTAGCCTCCTTCACGCGGTTCTACGGCGGGGGCGAACGCGCGCTCCTCGTCTCCATCAGCAGCGACAACGGCCACACGTTCACCGACCACGGCGAGGTCACGCGCGGCCACGGCGACGTGGACAACACATTCCTGCTCGAAGTCGGGCCGGGCGTCGTCCTGGCGGCCTTCCGCAACCACGACAACGGTCCCAACGGCCCCGTGCACTTCCGCATCACGGTGTGTCGGTCCACCGACTCCGGGCGCACCTGGGCCTTCGCCTCGCAAGCCGCCGAGAAGCCCGCCCCGCTCGGCATCTGGGAACCCTTCATGCGGCTGGGCCGCCGCCCGGGCGAAATCCAACTCACGTACTCCCAAGAATTCGCGCACGACAACCAATGCACCATGCTGGTCCGCTCCTTCGATCAAGGCTCCACCTGGTCCCCACCCCACTGCCTGCACGGCGCCCAGGACCCCCGCCGCGACGGCATGAACGGCATCGCGCGCACCTGGGACAACGGCCGCGAAGCGCTCGTCATGGTCTTCGAAACAACCAGCTACGGGACCTTCGACGTCGAGGCGCTCCTCAGCTACGACGACGGCGAGACCTGGGGCTGGCGACACCAGGTGTACGTGCCGCCGCGGGGGCATAACGCGGGGGCGCCGCAGATCGCGTCGCTGGGCGATGGGTCGCTGGCGGTGATTTTCATGACGGATGAGGATTGTGGCGAGGTCAGCTGGACCAAGAATGCCTGTGTCAAGGTCGTGTTTGGCGCGCCGCCGGTTGAGGGGAGGGTCCAGTGGACGCAGCCGACGGCTGTGTGTGGGGATATGAGCCATTGGCCGGGGATTTTTGCCCTGGATGAGCGGAGACTGTTGGCGTTGTATGAGTGTGGGGGGCCCAAGGCGAAGACGATTGCCTTGGAGATGTAGCGATGCGATAACATGAGGGAGATGACTGAGATGGAAGCTGGATGTGTCTTTTATCGAGCTGGATTGGATATGGGCGTTGCATGGATGTTATGTGACCGACTACCGACTAACTACTTACCTACTACCTACCTACTACCTACCTACTACCTACCTACTACCTACCTACTACCTACCTACTACCTACCTACTACCTACCTACTACCTACTTACTACCTACTTACTACCTACTTACTCAATCAATCACCCACTACCACTGCTCTACCTCTCAGAGTAAACAGCAACGATGTTCATCGTGTTCGTTGGTTGTAGCCTGCTGCCGGGCGGTTTCGAACCACACTCACTGCTCCCCAGTTTTGCTGAAGCGTGACTAGTTAACTCTGCCGTACCGGGGGAGTGTTTTGCCGACGGTGCCGATGGGGTAGCCGGTGGGATGGTATGATGATCAATTGCTGACTGTTATGGAGTTATGGTGGGACGACGGAGGAACTGTGATGGTAGTAATGGTAAAGTAATACAAAGTGATTGCTTTAGTTGGTGATTATCTGCTTTATACATAAAGGGTTTATGCAATCCGATCCTCACTTTCTTCTGTATACTGTACTTATATAACCCATTCCATCTGTAGTATATACCCTACCCTCCAATATACAACAACCCATGTCAACCCCGCACCCAAATATCAATATCAACAAGAAAATCATTTCAACCCCGCCACCAACTCCTCCACACTCCTCATCTCCTTATCATTATTCTCCCCCACATCCAACGCGACCAACACCCGACTGACACAATTATACCCCGCCACACCGGCCGTCAACTCCACGATCTCCCGATCGGAGAACCCCGCGCGCTGCAGCCCCGAGAACGTCTCGTCGCTGACGCGCACTGTCCGCGTCATCTCATCCGCATACCGCACGATCGCCCGCTGCTTTTCGGAGAGCGCGCTGCCCTCGAGTGCGTGCGTCGCTGCAGACCCAGCCATACTTGTAGTTGCATCCTGCTCAGACTCAGCGAGACAAGCCAGCGTCCGCACGGCCTGCAATTCGTCCGGCGTGATCCCCCCCTTCAGCGCGAGCGGCGCATGCGCGTTCCACTCGTAGATGGCGCCCGTGAGGACCGCGACTCGGCACACGGCCAGCTCGAGCAGGCCCGGGTCGATCACGGTTTGGGTGCGGATGGCTCCGAGGAAGCTGTTCCAGCCGTCGGCGACCGGGGGGGAGTGCAGTAGGGAGAGGTCGAGGGGGATCAGAGGGCGCGGGTGTCGGCGGGCGGCGATGCGGGTGTAGATTTCGGTGGTGGGGGGGTCGGAGGTTGGCGGGGTGGAGGGGGCGTAGGGGAGACGCATTTTGGTGTAGTTGGATTGGAGTTGGATTTGGATTTGGGATTTGGGGTGGTGGTCTGCAGTGAGGTCATAAGTGAGGGAGTTAGTTGGGGGTTGGTTGTGATAGAGTTGGGTGGGTGGGGTTACTGCGTGCGGATGTGGTGGAAGGGATGTGGATAGGGTTGAAGTCTAGATAGGAAGCTGGAGGATGGAGGATGGAGGCTGGCTATTTAGTCCAGGCTGTCGAGAGGAGCGTTTACCCGCCGGCTGTCGCTCCCGATGCCGCTGCCGACCGAAGTGGGACGGTATCAATCTGGGGTTGCGGGGTTGTGATGGCCGAGTGTTGAGTGTTCAATGTTCAATGTTCATCCGATCGATGGCTGAAACAGCTGCAGGATGCGACGGTCTGAAACCGAATCCTGATCCTCTGCAGTCTGCACATTCCATCCCTGCCGTGGATCCTGGTGGTACAACTCAACCACGGTCCGCCCGAACGGTCCGATGATGTCTACCATGACGCCCTCTCTCCGCGTGCGTACAATCCCGATTGCCTCCAGAACCATCCCTGTCGATCTCTCGAACAACCCTCCGAAAGTCTCAGACAGACGGCTCACCGTCGTCCACATTGCTACATACCATTGGTCCTTGCAGCCTGTCCAGACAGCCCTCACAGCCCCCTCGCCTCGTGTCCGCAGCCCACCACCCCCCCAGCCAATCTCCGTCGTGATGATCCCTCCCATCCCTCGACCGTTTCCCTCGACCGTCCGTCCAAACTCAATACAATCCATGACAGCTTCTACCGGTCCCCGAGCCCTGGATGCCTCCCGCCGGCTGGTCTAGTACCCACGAAGCATCCGGTCGCGGCTATCCTGCAAGGCGGACGCAAGGGGCCCTGCAGGGTCTCCAATTGATTGCCCTCGCCGTGCGGTAGCTGTAGCTGTCATGCCGGCTCTCGACCGTTTGGGCGTCTCCCACTCTTCCAACGCCCTTCTCGTGGCGTAATAATGATGCAGCCTGGAGACCAAGACCGCCATTTGAGCCTGCCGTGGCACTTGCCTACATTCTCAGAGTCAGACCGCGTCACTGTATCACTCCCTGTGCCACCCTGACCGCTGCCTGGAGACTCGGAGGGTTTTATATAACTACTACTAAACCTGGAGGGCGCGCTGCCCGCCGTCCACTGTCTGGCTTGCCTATGCTCAGTTCACGTCGCCGTCATGAAGTGGTCTGCCCTCACTGTCGCCCTGGGGCTCGGTACGTTATCCCCCACCTCAGCCCTAACCCCATCCCCATCAACCCTCTTAACCCCCACACCCGCATCTACATCCACATCTACATCCATCTGACCACCTCCCCCCCCCCCCCTCCAGGCCCCGCCGCAGCCAGCATCATCGCCTTCTCCCCGCCAGAAGCCCCAGAAATCAGCTTCAGCCTGACGATCCCGAACACCACGGCCGCGGCCAACACCGGCCCGATCTACATCCAGATGGTGGCGCCGACCAGCATGCAATGGGTGGGACTCGGGCAGGGGGCCCAAATGGCGGGCTCGAACATGTTCATCATGTACGCCTCCTCAGGCAGCAACATCACGCTGTCACCACGCAACGGACTGGGACACTTCGAACCGAAACCCAACCCAAGCTCGGAAATCACCCTCCTCCCGGGCACCGGCATCACCAACAACACCATGACGGCCAACATCCGCTGCGACAACTGTCTCACCTGGCAAGACGGCACCGGATCCATGGACCTCTCCAGCAGCGCGGCCCCCTCGCCCTTTATCTTCGCCTACCGCCGCGGCAACCCCATCAACTCCGCCGCCACCGACACCACCCTCCCCATCCACGACACCACCGGCGGCACCACCGCCATCCTCTCCCGCGCCATCTCCCCCTCACCAACACCAACAGCAGCACTGCCATGACGAACCCCTTCGCGAACTACAACGCCAAAACAGACTCCCTCCCCTTCTCCTCCTCCCCACCCCACGCGCCTCCGAAATCCATGCACAAGATCCTCATCGCCCACGCCACGCTCATGTGCCTGACCTTCGTCTTCTTCTTCCCGCTCTTCGCCTTCCTCGTCCCCTCTCCCCTCCCCATCTCCATCGCCAAGATCCACGCCCCCCTCCAGCTCTTCACCCTCGCCCTCGCCATCGCCGGCTTCGGCATGGGCGTCTACCTCGCCTCCACCAACCACGAACTGCGCCACGCGCACCCCGTCATCGGAATCATCGTCATCGGCATCTTAACCCTCGTGCAACCCGCCATGGGAATCATGCAGCATCGGCATTTCAAGCGCGAGGGCGGGAAGAGCGTCTTCGCGTATGCCCATCGCTGGGTCGGGAGGTGTATGATTATCCTGGGGATGATCAATGGCGGGTTGGGCTTCAGGATGGCCGGTGTGGGGGGCAGGTTTGCGCCCAGGGGCGTGGTTATTGCGTATGGGGTTGTCGCGGGGTGTGTCGGGGTGGCGTATTTGGTGGGTGTCGTGGGGGGAAGTTTAAGGGGGGTTGGTTGGGAGGAAGAGGACTGTGGAGGGCGTGGAGGCGCAGGGGTCGTCCGTTGGTTCTGGTCGTGCTGGAGAGGGGGATAAGGAGGGCGTTAGGGTTAAGGAGGAGCCTTAGGGTTTTTTTTTTATATTTTTTTTTCTTTCGGTTATGGGCTTGTTTTATGGAGGGGGACGGGGGGGGGGTTGTTTGATTGAGTGTTGTTGGTTCGAATTGGTGTTGGGTTGGTGGATGTGCGGTTGTAATGGGGGGTTTCGTTGAAATTAGTGGGTTGGATGAATGGATGGATGGGTGGATGGATATAGGCCATCTCTGCAAGATATTCTGGGTGGTGAAACGGGATTTAAGATTGTGGAGGTGGTCGCGGGTTGAAGACTGCAGGATGAAGGCCTCGACCTGCAGTGCCAGCAGTGAGCAGTGTTACTAGCTCATATATAACACTGGCTGTGTTTAACACGGTATGAGGAGACGGGCGAAAGAACGATGAAATATCCATGCGATAGGAAACGGGACGAGACAAACATGAGACGTTAAGTTGATACTAAGTAATGCCAAAGACATGGATTAAGAAGCAGCCATCTCTAAGTATTGCGTTTTGCTCTGTTATCGATGGATGAGTCTGTCGAGAGGAGATAATCCCCAGCACAAGATTAGTAGTATAGTAGGTAGACTAGCAAATCGCCATCAGAGCTGAAGCAGTACCTGTGCATGATCAATCAGTGCTGTCTCTGGTGATCGTCTCGGAGAGTATATCGATGTCAGAAGTGCCATTGACGATGGGAGGCAGGATCCAATAAGAAGACTGGTAGTGGCTATAGTGCATCTGCTAGAATGAGCACTGGAACCCATCCGAGCGTTGAATACTGTTATGGTCGAGTTTCATGCCCGCTCTCTCACCTCACTCAGACCCTCATCCCCCAAAAAGGAGGAATGATGGTATGATTGTCTCCCAATGTGCCTGCCATCTGACCGGACCCAATGCCTCGAGGGTCTCCCCAACCATGTCTTCGTATCAAAAAAAAAAAAAGAAAAGAAAAGAAAAAACAAGAGCTGTCTATCTGAAATGCACTGTCCACCGTGACATTAGTCATGCGAAAGTTGGGAGGATATATCACCAGAACCAGTACTAGTCCGTCTATCCTGTCGAAAATCGCTCCTTTCCATACGAGCGATGGGCAGTGTGCAAGTAAACCAGTCTAGCAATAAAGAGTGTCATGTCAACTAAGACACCAAGATGGATCTGACAGTGGTGGGTACACCTGACAAAAAGAGTTCAGTTGTTGAGGTGAAACTCGCTGGAGGATGGATCGAAGGCAGTTCGATAAAGAGACGGTCGCATGCAGCGCGCTGTATGCTTCCCCCCCCCCCCATCTCTCCCAGCTTCCGGCAATGCAGTCATCGAATCGAACAAAGAAGACGCGATCGGGTCGCTCACCCTCACCCTCATCCGACCCAACTGCCTCATTATTATTTGTTCTGACAGCGCCAGCCAACCCTCCGGCGAATTTCTCCCTTAAAGAACGGGTAATACGGTAGAATAGAGTTGAAGCGAAACAAAGAATGGGCACAGGTCAACGGGTATCTACCACCACCAGCTAGGGCTGCAGCCGGTCTTCAACAGCAATACGGAGTACGGAGTCGCAAATACATAGCAAATAGATACTAGCTGAATAGAAGCAGCCACCGCCACCACAGCCAGGCTGGACTGCCAGCTATCTAGTACGCCAGCTGCCAGGATCATCCGATCATCGGGTCTGGAACCGCCCCTGCGCAGCCGCGCTAATGCCGTGCCTGGACGGGGCCCAATCGCCGGCTTTTGTTGCTGCTGGCTGGGTTCCAGAAGGGGGGAGGAAGGACCTGTCAGTCAGAGATAGACAGGTGGACTGGTCAAAAGTCGGTGTGAGGTTGGGAACCGGTCAGTTGTCTGGGCCTGTCGGCAGGTGCTGTTTAATGCCCGGATAGGCAATATAGGCGATGGATGGAGTTGGGGGGGTGGTCGGGGGGGTGGTCGGGGGGGTGGTCTGGGGGAGAGTAAGTTACTGCGGACGGTTACTAGTTGAACAGTTGGACTAGTCTGCGGTCTGGAATTGAGGGGCGATCTGGGGAAGTTGGGGAGTCAATTGATCTGGAGATGGTGCGAGGAATTGATGAAAAAAAAAGAGAGAAAAAGAGAAAAAGAGAAAAAAAAAAAGAGAGAGAGAGAAAAGAGAAAAAGAGCTTGAAGCTTAAAAGGGTCTCGGAGGCAAAGCTGTAGCTGGAGCTGGAGCTCCAACCTAAACCGACGTTTGTTACCTGTATCTAATACCCCGCGTCTCCATTTTCAGCTGGCGGTCCCTCCGCGAGACATTCTCGCTTTATCCGATCGCAAGATGGCTTTTCGGGTGAAAACCTTGATGGTAACTACACTATTGCTCCTCGATTTGGCCCTCAATCAATAATCCCACCAGACCCGACAGCCAGGGTCCAGCCTCCAGCCTGATTAGCCACATCCGGCGAGCGACTCACCTCGGATTCTATTCTCGTCCAGCCATGCCCTAACACAGGTACTATCCTGGACTGTGTTACATTCCATCGTCCATCGTCCATCGTCTCGTCTCGTCTCGTCTCGTCTTATCTCCATCCATGCCCTAACACATCACCGACCACCGAAACAGCAAGTCAGTCGAAGTTTGCTCCACCCGCCCGGATCCCGCCGCCAGCTCTGACGCAAGGCTGCCCAAGCCCAAGCACGGGCCAGAGTGCTCCATCTCCACATGATGTAATGCCGTCCGTATCAGCTCAAAACCGGCGGTGACCCCATCCTCTTTTGCCTTTTCTCTCTTTCTTCCTTTCTCTCTCCTCTTTCTTTTCTTCTTTTTCATTCTTTCTCTCTCTCTCTCTCTCTCTCTCTTCTCATCCAACCCTCATCCGCCACAATGCCTCCCCTCAAGCTCAACAGCAAGAATCTCTCGCAAATCTCCGCCTCCGCGACCGGTGCGACCCAGATCAAGGTGCCAACCTATGCGCGCGGGGCGGCCGTCAAGGAGGGGATTGTGCACGTCGGGGTGGGCGGCTTCCACCGGGCGCACCTGGCCGTGTACGTGGACCAGCTGATGCAGCATCACGGGGTGACCGACTACGCCATCTGCGGCGTGGGCCTGCAGCCGTTCGACGTGGGGATGCGCGACGCCCTGGCCGGGCAGGACCACCTGTACACGGTGATCGAACGGTCGGCGCAGGGCAGCTGCGCCAACGTGGTGGGCAGCATCAACTCATACCTGTTCGCGCCGGACGACCGCGAGGCGGTGGTGGCCAAGATGGCGCACCCGGACACGCACATTGTGTCGCTGACGATCACGGAGAGCGGCTACTACTACAACGAGAACACGCACGAGCTGCAGGCCAACCACCCCGACATCCAGGCCGACCTGCACCCCGACAACGCCCACGCCCCGCGCACCACCTTCGGCTTCCTCTACGCCGCCCTCGCCCGCCGCCACCAGCAGGGCCTCAACCCCTTCACCGTCATGTCCTGCGACAACATGCAGAAGAACGGCGCCATCACCCGCCACATGCTCGAGTCGTTCGCCCGCCTCCGCGACCCCGCCGTCGCCCGCTGGATCTCCGAGCGCGGCCACTTCCCCAACGCCATGGTCGACCGCATCACCCCCCAGACCTCCCCCGCCGACAAGGCCGCCCTGGCCGACGACTTCCACCTCCTCGACGCCTGGCCCATCGTCACCGAGCCCTTCTCCCAGTGGGTCATCGAGGACTGCTTCTCCGACGGCCGCCCGCCCTTCGAGAAGGTCGGCGTCCAGATCGTCAAGAACGTCCACGACGTCGAGCAGTTCGAGATGCACAAGCTCCGGCTCCTCAACGGCAGCCACTCCGCCCTCGGCTACCCGGGCCAACTGGCCGGCTTCGCCTACGTCCACGAGGTCATGGCCGACCCGCTCTTCGGCAAGTTCGTCTGGCAGATGATGCAGGACGAGGTCAAGCCCCTCCTCCCCCACATCCCCGGCGTCGACCTCGACGTCTACTGCAGGACCCTCATCGAGCGCTTCTCCAACCCCACCATCATGGACCAGCTGCCCCGCATCTGCCTCAACGCCTCCGGCAAGATCCCCCAGTTCATCATGCCCTCCATCGCCGAGGCCATCGCCACCACCCGCCCCTTCCGGAGACTGTGTTTCGTCGCCGCCGCCTGGTTCCGCTACGTCAACGGCGTCGATGACAACGGCAACGCCTTTGTCGTCGATGACCCCATGCGCGACGAGCTGCAGGCCAAGGCCCGCGCCGGTGGCACGGACCCCTCCTCCCTCCTCAGCATCAAGTCGCTCTTCGGTGATGACCTCCGCGGCGATAAGCGCTTCTTGCAGGAAATCACCGCCGCCATGGAGGATATCGCCCGCGACGGCATCCTCAAGACCCTGCCGAAGTATGTGGACTGAGACCCGTTGGACGATTTGACTGGTTGGGTGGTGACTGGTTGAAAAAGTGTCGTTTGTCGATAGCGTTTGATTTCTGTCTGTGATTGTCTGATCAGGGTATTTGAAAAGCATAGATCGGGTGGATAGATGTGTGTGTGATGAGATGATGATAGATATGTGATTGGATGAGTTATGAGTGGTATGGTATGGTATGGTTTGGTATATAGGTATAATCTTTGTCGAGATTGGTATATTTAGTGGTATAGGGTACAAAGCGTTTCGTGTTTAGTATTCAGTTCAGTGTGCAGTTCAGCTTATTATCATCCATTACTGGAATATCTGCCCTATCCTACGGCTCTGGTGGAGTTGCTACTACTATATTTTCTAGACATCCAAGGAAGAAACCATCCTACTTGGTAAACTGGGAGTGACATCATGATCAGTCAGCTACCGTAAAGATATTTATAGTCTACTTACTATACTAAGGACTAGTAGGGTTGATATTCCAGGTACTATTACAGACGGAGTACAATCATACATCAGGTACATCTCACTCCATCCACAGCATACACAGCAAACAGTAAAGAACATAGGTAGGTAGGTAATAATATAATCTATCTATACATAATCCCATCCATCATCATAAGGTCAATCAACCAACCATATATACTACACCACCACCACCACAACAACAATAATCGTCTAAATCATCAAAACTTCAGCACCGCCTTCCCCAAATTCCTCCCATAGAAGATCCCCACCAGCCCCTCGGCGGCATTCTCAATCCCCTCCGTCTGGTGAATCAGCGACTTGAACGACCCCTCCTTGATCCACTTCTGCACGTTCTCCTGATGCTCCCTGGCGTACTTATCGCCCATGCCCTTGTCGCCGACGATGAAGCCGCGCATGTCCAGGCGCTTGACCAGCACGTTGGTGATGTTGCGGATCGGGTACCGCTCGCTGGCATTGTACTGCGAGATCATGCCGCACACGACCACGCGGCCGAAGTTGTTCATCGCGTCCAGCGCCGCCTCGAGGTGTTCCCCGCCGACGTTTTCGTAGTAGATGTCGATTCCCTGCGGTGCCAGGCGCTTCAGGGCCTCGGCCGGGGATTCCTTCTTGTAGTTGAACCCGCCGTCAAACCCCAGCGTCCCGGTGATGTAGTCGAGTTTCTCATCGGACCCGACCGATCCAATCACCGTCAGCCCCTCGTGTTTCGCCAACTGTCCGACCAGCTGTCCCACGGCGCCGCTCGCCGCCGACACGAAGATCGTCTCCCCCTTCTTCGGCTTGCCGATCTCATACAGCGACGAATACGCCGTCAGACCCGGCATTCCCAGCGCCCCCAGGAAGACCCGCACGTCCTCGATCGCTAGCGGGTTTTCGAGCGCCCGCACCCGCACCAGCTGCTCCGCCGACACGGAGATGTAGGATTGGATCGGCAGGTGGCCGATGATCAGGTCGCCTTCTTTGTAGCTCGCGTGGTTGGATCGGAGCACCCTCGCGATGATGGCGCTGTCGATCGGCGCGTGGAGCGTGAAGGCTGGCGCGTAGGACTTCGTCTCCGCGGGGCGCATCCGTCCGCGCATGTACGGGTCGAAGCTGGCGTACAGCGATTGCACGAAGATGCCGTTCTCCGGCGCTGGGGCCGACGAGTCGTACGGCGCCGGGGTGATGGTGAGGTCTTGCCCCGGCACGGGGTAGCCCGTGGGGATTTGGGAGAAGGTGAGGGCTGAGTTGGACATTTTGGTGGTGGTGTGGTGGTGGTGTTGTGAGGGAGAGTGAGGGAGGTATAGGGGTAGGGGTTATGGTTGGGGTTGAGTTGTGTTTGTGAGGGTTGTTGGAGGGGAGGGCTGATGTGGGGGACGGGTTTATATGTAAAAGTAGTAAGTAGTCTGCGGTCTATCTACCAGATGGGTCTACGGAAGGGGCAATGATGGCAACAGCAATGAAGATACAGCGAGTGGGGATAAGAAGCAGTGGCGATTACCAAGCAGGCGTAAAACCTCGGTATAGCAACAAGAAGCTTCTCGACTCCAACCCCTACTTCCTGCTTCATGGTTCAATCGGCATTGCCACATCCAGCAGCGGTGGGCTGCACGCCTCGCACAGATTGGTGCAAATGGCGGCGCCGGTGGATCGCCGGCCCCAAAGTCGGGGGAGATGCTTCTTCAGGGCTGCTCCGGTGGCCCGTTGCAAACTCTGAGACTGAGAAAAGTTATGTCGGTGGGTCGGGGATAGTAAAGTCATTATTAGGAGTAGGACTGGCAGGATTATTGGAGATTGGAGACTGGCTTATCAAGCTTTTCTGCTTGATGGAAATGCCGAGGTTCAGGGTAGGTTCGTGGGTGAGTGAGTGAAGAAGAGATGAGATTATGAGATTTTAGGGTTGGTTCGTTGTGCAGAATTAGTCAGCTTGTGCTGCACTGTGTAACTTAATCTGTAGAGTTCAGTGGTCAATCAGGGGTTCTCCCTGTTCTTCCGTCTTCCATGGGGTTTCTTGTTCCGGTTAGCAGCCGAGGTTCCCTCTCAAAGTAGATAGCGTGCCACTCACTGTGTCCAGTGTTGAGGTTGACGTTGATTGTTGAGGTTATCGGGGTATTCACTATTGCGCCATCGCTCATCACTCTCGAAATTAGAAAAACACCAATCCTTTGCCCCCAAAGCTTATATTCTTACCCACCTGGACATGAGCCAACCAACACCATACACCTAGTATCTACCAGATCTCATATCTCAATGGAGGCCCTTGTGTTTCTTCTTTCTTTTTCAGTCGTGCAGTAAGAACACCCGCCCCTCCAGTTCATAGTTCATAACAGCAGACAGAATCGGAATTGGAATCGGAATCCTTACCCCTTGCAGAAACGCCCGAGCCGCGTCGGACCGTGTCTAGAGTCTAGAGTCCAGCAGAACGTCGATGAAACATGATGTCTTCCTGCATGTCACTTGAATAGATCCAGTCATTGCACGTCATTTACAAAATACACCGGGGAGGAGGTGGGAGACTAGCTGTCACGGGAGCGGGAGGCGGGGTGGATGATGGAGTGACAATCAGGACAGAAAAGGGTCTCTGTGATCACTGGTCGGGGTAGTAGTAGAGGTCTGTCATATCGCGAGACGGCTTGATTGAGACTGGGGTGAGGATAAGGATGCCTCCTCACGGAAAGGTGTAGTCCCCGTCCCCCGTAGCTGTACACCATTCGTTGCCGTCTCATCAGGGCAGACTACACCGGGTAGTCGCTACCTCTGCAGCCCCCGAGAGTTATTACTTGACAATAGCCCAGTATGGCTTATTAGAGATGTCGAAGAAGTCGGTCTCGGAGGCATCCGAACCCTATTCTTAGGGGAGAATGGGGGTTTTCTGACTGCCATGGCAGAGAATAATCGGATGGCATCGTCGCCGAAGGAGAGGTTGGAGAGAGAGAAGATATTTAATCCGAGGGATCAGAGCGGGATAACGCCATGAGTCAGCTATGCGTGCATAACTAACATGTACAAAGTATATAGATAAGACCGCCGGGAAACGCCGGGCCGCCGGTACACCGCCAACCCGGTTGGGCTGACCCCGGCAGAACGCGCAGGCGTCAGATAACAGGCAGATGAGGCCATCTCCTCGTCTCTGCTGTTGACTCGTACCTGAAGGTGTCCTGCTTCACTATCCTGCTGCATCCCTCGTGTCCAGCCCTCCCCCCTGCTGTGTTGTGGTTCCGTGTTGCACTCCCAATAGCCGAGCTTGACTCCGCTCCACCCACCACGATGGAATATTCCCGCATCATCCTCGCCGTGGTCATCTACTTCGGTAAGCAGTGCCCAGTCCAACCAACTCCAACTCCACCCCACGCTCGACCCTCTTCTAACATTTGACATCAACCCTCGTATAGCCCTCCGCCTGATCAGAACCCGTTTCTTCGGCAACAACAGCAGCTCTACCACCACCATGGCTCACGGCAAGGTCATCGAGGTCGACAAGTAGGTCCCCTCCTCCCCTCCTCCCCTCCATCGCGTCCGCCCACTAACCCGACCCCCCCCCCCCCCCCCCCAGCCCCGTCATCTTCAAGGCCCTCACCTCCTCCGGCCCCGTCGTCGTCGACTTCTTCGCCACCTGGTGCGGCCCCTGCAAGGCCGTCGCCCCCGTCGTCGGCAAGCTCAGCGAGACCTACCCCAACGTGCGCTTCATCCAGGTCGACGTCGATAAGGTGCGCTCGGTCGCGCAGGAGCTGCAGGTCCGCGCCATGCCTACGTTCGTGCTGTACAAGGATGGTAGCCCGCTGGAGAAGCGCGTCGTGGGCGGGAATATGAAGGAGCTGGAGGAGGCTATCAAGGGCATTTCGGCGTGATTGGGTGGGATGTGGATGTGGATGGGGATGTGGACAGTGGTTAAACACGGAGGGCATACAGCGTGGATGTATGGGTCGCATGGAAGCATGGGTCGCGTGGATGCAGGATACTATCGCATGGATTATCGGGCTAGCATGATCGACAGCGTGGATTACGTCTGGTCAGCATGGTCCAGCGTGGATTACATCTTGTCAGCATGGTCCAGCGTGGACTCTGGAACGAACGTGGAATACGAAGAAGCAATTATCTGCTATTGCCATAGCACCCACTAGTCCACCATCGGTCCCGAGTCATATCTTCAGCAGCTCAGCTAGCCGCCGCTCAGGCCCGAGCACAAGCAACAGCAACACCCTCCGACTGGCTGCCTGGGTGCCTTGTGCGACTGTAAATATAACCCTGTCCCTGTCCCTGTCCCTGTCCCTGCCCCTGCTCCTACCCCTATAGTACCCTGGAGATAAGCATGCAAGGTTCAGCCATCCAACCGTTCCACCGGGCTGACACGAGATCGGGCATCCGACGATCACAACGTAGGAGGCGACCGACCTGTGCGATGAGATGGTGCGGGGAGTGGGACAATGGGCACCATCGTGGTCATTCTGAATGCAGCCACGACAAGTACTACCCAAGACTCGCGGTGAGGGGTAATCGATGCATGCATGGCCGACCAGACAATTTATAGCTCGTCATCCCCGGCGCACTTCTTCACAATTGTCCTGTTCTGTTCTCTTCCACCCATACTACATCCAACCATGGCGTTGAACACCACGGTAAGATCCTCCCCAGCTCTCCCCCCCCAACCCAGCCCTAGTTAACCAACCGCTTCCCCCCAAGACCTTCCACAATGTCATCAACAACGAACTCACCTCCACCACACGCACCCGCCACGCCATCAACCCGGCCACCCGCCAGCCCAACCCGGAGGTCCCCCTCTCCACTGCCGCAGATCTCGACCGAGCCGTAACGGCAGCCCGCCAGGCATTTAGCAAATGGTCTCGGACCTCCGTGGACGAGCGCCGCGCGGCAGCCCACGCCTTCGCCGATCGTCTCGAGGCTCATACCAAAGACTTGGTGGCTCTCCTCACGCAAGAGCAGGGGAAACCCCTCGCGCAGGCGACCATCGAGGTCGGGATGGCCGTGCAATGGGCGCGCGAGCTCAGCGGGCTCGTCCTCCCCGAGACCGTCCTCGAGGACACTGACTCCCGCCAGGTCATCCAGCGCTACGTCCCGCTCGGCGTCTGCGCCGCCATCGTGCCCTGGAACTTCCCCGTCCTGCTGGCCGTCGGCAAGATCATCCCCGCCGTCTACACCGGGAATACCGTCCTCGTCAAACCCTCCCCCTTCACCCCCTACTGCGGCCTCAAGCTCGCCGAGTTGGCCACCCAATGCTTCCCCCCCGGCGTCGTCCAGGCCCTCAGCGGCGGAGATGACCTCGGCCCCATGATCACCGAGCATCCCGGCATCGACAAGATCAGCTTCACCGGCTCCTGCGCCACGGGCCGTCGCGTCATGGCGAGCTGCGCGAAGTCCCTCAAGCGCTTGACCCTCGAGCTGGGCGGGAATGACCCCGTCATTATCTGTGAGGACGTCGACATTGATGCCATTGTACCAAAGGTAAAGCCCCCCCCGCCCCCCCGCCCGCCAGCCACCGCGCGCTCTTCCATGAGCTACTCATCTGAATGGAGCACGTCAACCCATGAATATCGCCGACACCGCGGAAAGAAATGAACGATCTCGCATACACACACTAATATCTACTCTCATCCTCTGCAGATCGGCACCCTCTCCTTCCTCTGCTCTGGCCAAATCTGCATGGTCATCAAACGCCTCTACATCCACGAGTCCATCTACGCCGAGTTCCGCGACAAGCTAATCGCCTACATCCAGACCCTGAAGTCCGGCCCCGGCACCGAAGCGGACGTCTTCTTCGGCCCCGTCCAGAATAGCATGCAGTACGACAAGGCTAACGATCTGCTCAACGCCATCAAAGCGGACGGTCTGAAGACGATATCTATCTCCGGGAATAGTCGTCCCGGCGCAGCAGCGGGATACTTCATCCCCCCCACCATCGTGGATAATCCCCCGGACTCGTCGCGCGTCGTGCAGGAGGAGCCCTTCGCGCCGATTTTGCCGGTGTTGAAGTGGGCGGATGAGGATGAGGTCGTGAGGAGGGCGAACGCGTCGGAGTATGGTCTCGCCGCGTCGGTTTGGAGTCGGGATTTCGCCCGTGCGAGGCGTATGGCGGACAGGTTGGAGGCCGGGTCTGTGTATGTTAATTCGCATTTTGAGTGCGCGCCCTGGGCGCCTTTTGGGGGGGTGAAGATGAGTGGCGTGGGTACGGAGTGGGGGGTGAATGGCTTGTTGGGGTATTGTAATTCGCAGACGTTGTGGCTGCATAAGGGGTGATGTTGTCTTGATATAGCAAAATTGTCTTATCGTGGAGCTATGTCTGTTTTGTTTGTCTAATATCAAATCTTTCATAACCCCCAACATTCATTCATCATTTATACAACAGGCCATCTCCCCCCCACTCTCCCCTGCAAGCCCGCCCTCTCCACCACCTCGCGACTACACCTCTTCGCCTCTCGGACCACCTCACCCTCATCCATCGTCACCAGTTGCCCATCTCTGACCAAGACCTTCCCATCCACAACCACCAACCTCACATCCCTCCCCGTAGCAGAATACACCACCGCACTGACGGGATTAAACCACGGCTGCATCGCCACGCCCCGCGCATCGATCGCCACGAAATCGGCCTTCTTCCCCACCTCCAAACTCCCAATACTATCCTGTAAGCCCAACGCCTTGGCCCCGTTGATCGTCGCCATCTCCAACACCTCCTCCGCCGTCACGACCGTCGGGTCCCCGCTTACCCCCTTGTGGATTATTCCGGCCAGTTTCATTTCTTGGAACATGTCGCAGGAGTTGTTGCATGGCGCGCCGTCGGTTCCCAGGGTGACGTTTACGTTTGCGCGCTGCAGCGAGGGCACCCGGCAGGTTCCGGAGGCGAGTTTGGCGTTGGAGGTCGGGCAGTGCGCGACGTGGGTGCCGGACGCGGCGAGGAGGGCCATGTCCTCGTCCGAGAGGTGGACCATGTGGGCGAGCACGGTGGTGGGGGACAGCAGGCCCACGCTCTGGCAGTAGGTCATGGCGCTGTGGTTGCCGGTCGAGGCGAAGAAGTCCAGGTCGGCGCGCACTTCGGCGCAGTGCATCGTGATGGGGATGTTGTGTTGGCGGGAGAGGGCGGTCATTTCGCGGTAGAGGGCGTCGGAGACGCTGATTTGGTTAGTGGGTGGGTGGTGAATGGGTGCAAGCTCAGCCTGTCTGAAATACTTATATTCCCATCTGTCTCTGGGGCTGGAAGGGAGAGGATAGAGGGTGAGGGTAAGGTAGGCCAGGGTAGAAAAGAACTACTATCTCTCAGACTCACCCGCCGGGGGTCCTCGCCCCAAACCACACTCGAATGCGCCCATCCGCCCTCCCGTTCCACTTCTCCCACATGCGCATCGTCCCCATCAGCGACGTCTCGCGATCCTCCACCAGCCCCGGATGCATTGCCCACGCGTCGTCCTGCGCGTACCGCCCCGTGTCCATCACGATCTTGCCCAGGCACCCGCGGATGCCGCTCTCCTCCACGGCGCGACACAGTCCGTCGAAGCCGTAGCGGTCGGCGAACTATCCATAGTAAAATATCCCGATTAGCCCTAACCATCCATCCCATCCTTCCTATTCTTCGCACCAAAACAATCAAAAGGGAGAGGAAGGGGAAAAATAACACACCATACACTCCAAAAAACACGTCGTCCCGGCCTTCAACATCTCCGCGATCCCCAACCTGGCGGCGGCGTACCCATCCGCAGGGGTAAAATTGCCCTGCAGGACCCAGATGCGCTCGCACAGCCACGACACCAGCTCGAGGTCGTCGGCACAGCCGCGCAGGAGGGTCTGCGCGGTGTGCATGTGCGTGGAGACCAGGCCGGGGATGATGATGTGGCCGGTGAGGTCGACGATGTCGTCATGGGGGAATCTGGCGAGCAGGAGGGGGGTTTTGTCGATGGCGGTGATGAGGGGGCCGGTGGTGTGGATGGCGCCGTGGAGGAGGATTTGGCGCGTGGGGGAGAGGGTGATGATGGTGGCGTTGGTGAAGAGCATTTTTTTTCTGGATTCGAGGATTGTGGGGTTGTAGGGTTGCGGGATCGGGGAGTGAAGTGTTATTACTTGGAGTTAGGTGCCGACAAATATCTAGTAGATGTTCGGTGCAAGATTAATGTAGTTAACTGGATGTGAGGGTTGTTGGCTGAGGATTTGTATGGCGACGGCCGACGGAGACCTCCGATGTGGGGGGGGTGCGATTCACTTTGATAAGAGCATGGCTATCGCGGAGAGTGCGGGGTGAAGACAGATATAGTCTGATCGATTGTCACAGAATTTAGTTGATCAAACAGGGGTTTGGAGAACCCGCAGTATGTACGGAGTGCCACTCATCCCTACTACCAGCAGTACATTCATTTCCCGCTCGTCCAGCCGATTGGGTCGTGTATGCAGCGTGTTTGGTGCCCGGAACTTCGATCATCCGCCCCCTACGTGTCAAACCTAGTATCATTCAGTATCGCACCTACTTAGGTGTCTGGACACCTTTTTAGTCGAGTGGTCTGTTTGGTCTGATACTACGCAACCTGAACGCGCTTCTCCTTCCGAGAACATCATCATCACCACCTTCAACCCCCCGAGGACTCTGCCCAGGCCCGGAACCATCTTTCTTGCATCTTTACCTTCGAAAGCTCACCTATCTTATTCTATATCTAAGAACGGACGCCTTGTTTCGCGAAGGCTACACCACCGGCCGACTCCACTCTCCCGGTCTGTTGGACCCAGCGGCTATTTCTCCTGACAAATTGTCACCATCTCTGGCAGCTCCCGGCTGGCTTACCAGGGTTGTGTTGAATGTGAGGTCTTCCATGAGGCTCCAATACAAGATATAATACCCCTTCAGGAGCGCTTAATGACATATTGGATACTTGGCCACGCCTATCTACCCGACCTTGGTTGAGCACAGCAGCTACCGCTTCTTTCTACACGCCGGGCTTGGATGACTCTCTGGAGCGGGCCTCCGCTATGCCATCCGACCAGATATCTCCTGTTTTTCGATATGCGCAATTTGATATCAGAGCTCTTTGTCGGATCTCCAGCAGTCTTCGACAGGACACCCCGTGTACCTGTGACATCGACCAGTACCCTGCGAGCGGAAGTTTCAACTGGGCTATCTTCATCACTTTTGAGGATGGAGTAGAGTGGATTCTCCGATCTCCACATATGGGGCATGGGGAGATGGCGATAGAAATCGGTTCCAAACTGTTGGCAAGCGAAGCAGCCACTCTGAAGTACTTGAACCTGAACAGTGATATCCCGGTCCCGGTGGTGCACTCTTATAGGTATGATCCATGCAATATTGTCAACACCGTGCTAATTCGGAAAGTACTACGGGCCATAATGACATTGGCATTCCATTCATCCTGATGAGCAAAGCCCCCGGTTGGCCGCTCGAAAGAGCATGGAAGTCTCTTGGGTCTGAGAAGCCACACATGGCTGACGATCTCAAAGTCAAGGTTCTTTACCAGCTTGGACAGATTACATACAAACTTTCTCGATTACGATTTGACTGTATAGGCTCTCTCTTGGAGGAGAACGGGATCTTCGAAGTGGGGGAATGTCTATCCCGCGGCCACGTGCTGAATGACCGGTACTCTCTAGAGGATGTGCCTCGAGGGCCATTTCATTCAAATGCCGAGTTCTTTGACAGCCTTGTAACCTCCTTGATTCAACATGCGGAAGTTCTACCGTTGTCTCACCACTGCTTTGTCGCCCCGGTCCCCAGTCCTAAAGATTTTCAGTCGAATGATCAGTATAGGAGAGCCTGTGACTTATGGAACGATTTTGTTGCCATTGGAAAGAAAATCGATTCTTCCGATAACAGACTAGACTATACCGTCGCTGCGAATATCCTCCAAGAGCTGATTACCCAATGGGATTCGAAACTACCAAAACCTGATGTACAGTCCTTTCCGCTTTCTCATTCTGATTTGAGTGTCAATAATATCTATGTCGACGACGACTACAATATCACACGCATCATTGACTGGGCCTTCTCTTCGACTGTCCCGGAAGCTATGATGCTAGCCCCTCCCGGGTTGCCGCAGTCACGTAATGAACTAGACGAAGATCTTGTTGTCTCCTTCAAAAACGGATTTAAGTCAGCAGTTTCGGCCAATAACCTTGGCGAAGAACATATGAGAAGCTCGGCCGAAACAGCTCTTGATCTTCTGCAGCAGAGCAAAGTCTCGTGGCCCTTGAGTCGGCTTCTGAATTTCGACTCTATTGATGATTACAGTTTATTTGCCGCTGTCTGGGATAACGCCTACGGCTGCGAGAGGGACATGAAGGCCTTTTTCGCCGAACAAAGATCCCTGCCCAGCTACACCAAGCTCTACAGCGAAGTTCAATTGGACGATGAGCCTTATCAGAGAACGCAAAAGTCGGAGCAGGCCTATTTTCGGAATAACATACTGAGAAGCTCTGTTGCTAGGAAATTAACTTTAGTATCACAATGGAAATCTCAATACATGTCGTCCACTCAAAACAGTCTTCGAAAAGGAGGAGAGTTGTTTGTCACCAACTCAAGGCTATGGAAGTGGATCCTGGAATTCCAACAAGAATGGGAGGACATGGTTACCCCAACAGTCAACTGAGACATGATGATCGTTCATATCACGAGCGCTCGCGAATATACTCTGCATCGATATACTCGATACGTCCAGTCTCATCATCTATAACCTAAGAGTTGAATGACGTCTTGGGGGAATAGCAATAGTCTGAGATTGAGAATAATATGGAAAGAAGTGATTGACTGCTAGACACAGCACTGTCAGAGAGAAGGTGCTCTATTTCAATCCGGGACCTTCGCACGGCCCTCTGAGCAGCCTTATGGCCGTTTTTCGGGTTATGTTATGGAGTCATGTTGTAAGGATAAGCGCTGGCGCCTCGACCAACGATATGGAAGTATGTGGCACGAACAGCGAGCGAGGGGCTCATAGTCGGGGCAACCCACTAAGCAGATGGTTGTCGCAATTTTTTCGGATGTTTGAGGTCAGCAATGACCGCTTGGTCTACCATACAGGCACCGTATCAAAATGAAACATAATCAAAGTCACTTCAGCCTTATCTGTCTAATACAACCCCCTCAAATACTCCCCCAGCGCCATGATCGCCATCGCCTGCCCATACGGCATCGCCGTGCGAGGGATCTGCTTATAGAACTCCAGACTATCGCCCATCGGCGTCCCAAAGCTGGTATTCTGCAGCTCGCCCTTCGCATCCACAGCATCCACCACCGCCGCAATCGCCCTCTCCGCCACCCCCCGATACTCTGCGCCAATGTACCTCTTCCGCACGGCCTTCAGCACCCCATACGCAAACCCCGCCGTCGCCGACGCCTCCACGTACGAGTCCGCATGATCCAGCAGCGTATGCCAGTACCCCGTCACATCCTGCAGCCCCCGGAGCGCCTCGCACTGCGCCGCCAGCGTATCCACCAGATGTGTCCGGATCGGATCCCCCTCCTCCATCTCCAACAGCTCAATGATCTCCGGGATCGCAATCGTCACCCAGCTATTCCCGCGCGCCCATCGCGCATTCGCGAAATTGTGCCCCCCGTCCGAGAACGTCCACCCATGGTAGAACAGCCCCGTCCGCGTATCGAACAAGTACTTGATATGCACGAGAAACTGCCTCTTCGCTTCGACAATATACTCCCTCCGTCCCAGCAGTTTCCCAATCTTCGCCAGCGGCAACACCGTCATCATCAACGTATCGTCCCACAGCTGTCCCTCGTTCTCGTTCACATACGTGACGTGCTGCATCCCCCCGAACCGCGTCCGCGGCAGCTCGTGCATCGCCCACTCCCCCCACGCTTCCAGCCAGGGCAGATACTCCGCCTGCTGCGTCTTCTCGTATACATATGCCAGGGCCAGGAACACGGCCATCGTGTTGATGTTTTTTGTGGTCCCGCCCTCGGCGAACCGTGCCGCGAACCAGTCTTCGATTGTGCGGAGGAGAGCGTCGGAGCCGGTCAGCTCGTGGTATTTCCAGATTCCGTACAGTCCGATCCCGTGTGTCCATTCCCACCCATTCCAGGACTTCGTGTCGATGATTCGTCCGTCTGGGAGGGGGAGGAGGAATTCGCCGGTTGTGTCGTGGATGGTGATGAGGTTGGTGATCAGGAGGTCGATTTTTTGGCGGATTGAGGCGGGGGAGAGCGTTTGGGGAGGTGGCATTGTGGTGGTGGTTTGAAGTTGAAGTGATGGTTTGGACCAGCAGGTTGGAAGTAAAGGTGAGTCTTATTTCTTCTCCTCCCTTCCAGAGTTGATGTTGGTACAGTCTTCCGTCTTAAATGCTCTCAGCTCGACCCCTCCAGCCAAGCCCTAACTCCGGGCATCGGGCCATCTCCCCCCGACGCCACGTCAGGTCTCTCCCTCCCCACACACCCAGCGCTGCAGATCGTTCCCATGCAGCAGGGGCCCCTGCCACCCCAAGCAAGCCTTCTCGGGCCAATCGCCCCCGTCGGACCCTGCCGTCCCCGGATTCGCAGACCTGGGGTGCTTGCAAGGAGAGTAAACGAGGGGTCGTCTCATTGGGGTGAAATTGTACGCCATGAGCCCCTCGCTACGGCAGCGAGGGGTCAGATGATGATACAAGATAAAAGGGTTCGCTCATCCTTGATGAGCGAGAATACCTCCCAGTCTGTTTATCCTTGGCTCATAAGATCGGTTGGTTAGAAGACCCCCCCCTCTCTCTCTCTCTCTGTGTGTGTGTGTGTGTGTATTTGTGTATTTGTGTGTATGCATCATGTCCAGAGAAAACATCACGCTAGAAGAGGCAGAGGCAGAGGCAGAGAACAAAGGCGTCTCTCTCAAACCGCAGGACATCTCCCACGTCGAGCGCGTCCTTTCCCCCACCGACAAGCTCCACGAAGACCTTGACGCCTCCCGCGTCGACCAGGAGGTCCTGGCATACGCTGCCCGCGGCCCTGTCGATGTCGATGAGGCGGAGAGTCGTCGTCTGCGACGCATGATCGATCGCCGCGTCCTGCTCATCATGATCGTCACGTACTTCCTGCAGGCGCTGGATAAGGGCACCATGTCGTTCGCTTCGATTATGGGGATTCGCGATGATACCCATCTTAAGGGGTCGGAGGTGTGTATTCTGACTATTTTTCTCTTTTCTGTCTTCTTCTGTTCTCTCCTCACTGAAAGAGAGCTAACTGGAAGACAGTACTCCTGGCTCACCACCTGCATCTACATCGCCGTCCTGGCCGTCGAGTACCCCACCAACTGGATCATCCAGCGCGTCCGCATCGCCAAATACCTCGGCGTCAACATCATCTGCTGGGGCGCCGTCCTGGCGCTGCACTCCGTGTGTCGCAACTTCGCTGGCCTGGTCACCGTGCGCACCCTGCTGGGTGTGTTTGAAGCGGCCTGCCAGCCCTCCTTCGTCTTGCTGTCGGGCATGTGGTATAAACGGGAAGAGCAGGCTTCGACGGTTACGTATTGGTGTGTCTTGTCCTCAAAAACCCTAACCCAAGGCTACTATCTATCACCCTCCACTCCCCTAAAAAGCCTGTCATCGTCCACTCCCCCCCGAAACAACCCACCCACTAACAAAAAAACAGGTACATGATGAACGGCGCGCAACAAATCGTCGGCGGTCTTCTAGCCTACTGCTTCAGCCTACTCGGCAGCCACCGGGTGCTCAAATCCTGGCAAGCGCTCTTCCTGAGCTACGGCTGCCTCTCTATCCTCTGGGGCCTCTTCGTCCTGTACTGGATGCCCGACTCGCCCATGCGCGCCAAATGCTTCTCCGAACCCGACAAACACCGCATGGTCCACCGCGTCCGCGCCAACCAGACCGGCCTGCAGAATAAATCCTTCCGTCCCTATCAGGTGTGGGAGGCGCTGTCCGATCCTCAGGTTTATTGTTATTGTGCCATTCAGGTCTTCACCGCCCTCCCGACTAGTGGGTTGGGCGCGTATGCGAATATTATCATCTCGGGATTTGACTTCACCGAGTTGCAGACGCAGTTGTTGGCGATGGTGCTCGGTGTCTATATTGTTTTTGTGCTGTTGGTTTCGGCGGCCCTGGTTAGGAGGTTTGGGCAGAATTTGTTGGTTATGTTGGGGTTTATTGTACCGTGGGTGATTCTCTTTTTTTTTTTCTTCTTCTGCTTCGTTTGAGTTTATCTTTTACAATCGTCCTGGGGGGAGATGTCTTGCTGACTAGTTATGGGTGTATTGGTAATGTGATAGCTCCTTCATCGGCACCATCGTCCTCATGACCGTCCGGAATACCTCCCTCAGCACAAAAGTCGGCCTCCTCTTCAGCTACTACATCACCCTGTCGTTCTGGTCCGCCCAGAATCTGGGTCTGTCTATGGTGACGCGCAATATTGCCGGCGCGACCAAGAAGTCGACTGTCGTTGCGGCGACGTTTGTGTCTTGGGCTGTGGGGAATGCCATCGGTACGCTACCTTACCCTACCCTTTCTTCCTCTCTCTCTCTCTCTCTCCCCCCCTCCGCTATATCTTCCACTTTTCCTTCCTTCCTTCCTTCTACGTTTCATTCTCCATCATGGAATAGATCATCCTTTCTCATAGACTATATCTATATACCCAGTCCCCCCCTTACGAAAAAAAATATAATAACAAAAAAAAAAAGGCCCCCAAGTCTTCCTCCCCCGCGACGCCCCCCGCTACTTCATCGCCTTCGGCGTCCACCTCGCTTGTTACTCCGCCATGACCCTCGCCGTCATCTTTCTGCGTTTCTACCTCATCCGCCAGAATCAGCGCAAGGATCGCGCTATGGCTGAGGCGGGGCTGCATATCCTTGATGGTGGTAATAGGGGGAGGGAGTTTGAGGATAGGACGGATCGGGAGAATGCGTATTTTAGGTATGTTTATTGATTTTTCTTTCCTTTTGGGGGGGGGGCTGCGTTGGTGAACTGTGTGGATGGGATAATGGGATACAGAGAGAAAGCGTGTTGAATGGAATTAATTCAGTGGGGTTTGTTTTGACTGTGTTTGTGCCTGTGCTTGTGCTTGGTGGCTAGGCTCTATGTGTGTGTAGGTGGGGGGGTGCTTCTGTAGAGATGCAGGGACGGACTGGGATGCTGTTGGCGTGGGGATGTGGGATGGGATATAGGATATAGGTTGTAAGATGGGATATGGGATGGATATGGGATGGATATCAATTCTGTAAGCATGCGATGTATTATCCCGGATCCTAGTATAAAAGTCACCGGAAGCTATCTAAGCTCTCCGTGCAGATGCATTATTAAATACCCTCCAGAAAAATCCAACACCCTCCTATCAGCTATCCCATCAGGTACACCCAGGTACATCAACACCATCAGCGCTACAGCCTCGACTCCTTCCCATCCAACCCATACTCCGCCACCAGCGCCTCCCCGCACGTCACCCCCGTGACATACGCCGTCGCCTGCGTATGATTGTTCGTCAACACCGGCAACACACTCAGATCGGCCACCCGGAGCCCCTGCATCCCCAACACCCGAAACCGGCTGTCCACCGCGGCATCCTTCTCCCCGGGCTTCCCCATCTTGGCCGTCCCCGACATATGCCAGCTCGACCCGAGCGTGTTCCGCCAGAACTCGAGGATGTCGTCGTCCGACTCCGACGGGGGCGCGATCAAGGTCTCCACCGTGTCTTTCGTGAAGGATGCGTGCTTCGTCACCTCGAGTGCCTGGCGGTAGATCTCGATGCACGCCCGACGGTCGAATGGGTGGGAGAGGAACTTCGGGTCGAAGAGAAGCGGCACCTCGGGGTCGGAGGACTGAAGACGCACCTCGCCGCTGGATTGCTCGTTCATGAGGAATACCAGCAGGCACACGTAGCTGTACTCTGGGGTCGCCTCGGGCGAGATCAGGTGCAGCGGGAAATGCGTCATGAATTCGTAGTGCGGCACCGTCGGCTGCTGCAGGAAGGACTGGACTGATGTCGGGAGGGCCTGGAACTCGGGCGATGATACCAGACGGTCTGACTTCAGCCACCCGGCCGCGATCTGGCATGAGTGGCGTGCCCACGGCCCGCTGCCGTCTTTCTGCCATTGCGCTAGCGCGGAGTCCATGGCTTCTGGCGAGCCGAAGAACGCATTGCGGTCGTTTGTGGCTGGGTCGCGCTTGAAGCACAGCGGCGCGAAGAAGTGGTCTCGCAGGCCCTGGCCTACCGCGGGCAGGTCGTTGATGACCGGGATTTGGAACTGCTGCAGTTGTGCGGCTGGCCCGATCCCCGAGTGCATTAGGATCTTCGGCGTGTCGAGAGATCCGGCCGTTAGGATGACTTCTCGGGATGCGAGGTCTGTGTATGATTAGTTGAAGTCTCGACGGTTGACAGCACAGGACGACGAGACGACTCAGGACGGGATAAAAAGGGCACAACGGTGACCGCACAGTTGACAGGACAGACAGGTAGACTTACATCGTGCACCCCTCGCGTCCACCCCCACGGCCTTGGTCCCCTCCAGTATCAACCGCTGCACCGGTGCCTCCGTGATGACCGTCAGGTTGGCCGGCGCCCCCGTCAGCAGGTCCGTCGCGGTGACCCTCCGGCCCTGGTGCGACGAGTTAATCACCAACGCCATGCCGATGGGGTCGCCCGAGTTGTGATCCGGGTTCCGCGCCAGGCCCGCCTGCTCGAAGACGTCCATCATGAGAGGAAGATCCTGCTCCCACTCGGCCGCGTACCCGACCTTCAGCCCGCCGCGCGACCCATGATCGGCCGTCTTCGGGGCCGCGTATTTGGCGTGGGTCGCATCGACGATGGCCCCGTTGAAGGTCTCCAGGCCGCGGAACCGAGCCTGCATGCGCTCCCACCGGAAGAAGTCGTCGTCCACCAGCGACGCCCACTGGTTGTAGTCGTCGCGCGCCCCCACGGTGTACACCCCGAAGTTGATCGCGCTGCTCCCTCCCAGCACCTTTCCGCGCGAGTAGTCGATCTCCCGCCCGTTGCAGTGCGCCTGCGGCGTCGTCTTGTAGCCCCAGTTCAGCTCGCCGTTCATGAAGGTCTGCCACCGCTGGCCATCCACGCGAAGGGCCGGGTCGTCGTTGCGACGGCCGGCCTCCAGCAGCAGCACCTGCGGGCGTCTCGCCGACCGGGCGATTGTGGAGGCCAGCGCGCACCCCGCCGGTCCACCTATATCCACATTAGCCACCCGTCGGAGGGGAGGGAGGGGGACGCTGGCACGAACCGCCCACGACGACAAAGTCCCACGTCTGATCGCCAGATGTCATTATGGTGTAGGGGGGCAACAGGTGAACACCGTCTGAGGGGAATGGTTTGGACGAACAGACAGAACCGCCCGGTCAGCAGCGCGACACCCTGTTTAAAGAGTAGGCCAGTTACACGGGCGATCGACGGGGATACAGCGTGAGACGACGGCTTGACCCCGCTTCCCCCCTGCTCAGTTCCCCCTTGCCAGGGCGGGTCTTAGACCTGGCCGGCGGTCTCGGCGAGTGGCCGCGTTGAGGGGGGCATGTGTGAGCTCTGAGGTGTTGGACTTGTTTGGTTCGGTCCGCAGTTGGGGTTTGGGGCCCAGGATTGCTGTTCCCCGGATAGGCTGTGATGGGCGCTCCACTTGGGAGACGCGGGACGATCTTCGCGATAGAGTGAGGCCAGTCTGTCTCACAAAATCATTCCACTCAAAAGGGGAGGACCGTTCATACATGTAGGTATCAATTCTGATAGCGAGCCTCTCCCCTCCCATGGCCTGCTCCAGATCCTTGTTGGCGCCGTGGCTGCATGCACAGGCTCGGAGGAAGAACCACCGAGCAGGGAGCAAGGGACCACGCCCGTCGAGACTTGTCGACTGCGATCGATGGTCACGACGGTCGGACGTGGGGCTGTAGCGAATGCGATGCAGTGAAACAGATTCCTCGCGGCGCATGACCGTCCCAGGTGAGGAGGCTTTTCACATTCCCACTGTCTTTTCTCCCCCGGGTGGCTGGACAGATTGCACCGGGGCATTCCCAGACCACGCATCTACAACCCAGACCGGTTCCTTCGGTCGCTAGGACACACTCCCATGGGGATTCCAGTTGTGTTTGTTCGTGGCCGCAAACTACCCGACTAGTAGGCGAGACGGTATAGTATCTGACAGCAAGCCAGCAGTTAGGAGAGAATCGCGTCGTCCAGCAGGGGAAGAGGTTGTGCGACGCTGCAGGTCGAAGTGGGGAGCGGTTGCGATCTCGCAGCTGTCAATCTGTCAATCAATCAATCGTGCATACCCGAGCTGATGTTCCTGTCGCTGCAGTCGGAGTCCCCGGGGGGGCAACCGATCCGTTGGCTGTCAAGGTGGAGCTTCCCCTGTTTGCTGGTTGATTCTGCTCTGGCCGGGACGCCATGGGTATGGGCATTCACTACCCAGACTGTGGGGAAGCTGATGGAGAAGAAAGACCGGGGGATGTTGGCTTGGAGAGGCCGTGGTATATAAACTGGAAAGGGCGGGTGGGTCTATATTGCCCGGCATTATGACAACGCCATCACAAAGGCACAATCACAATCGGATCTGACCTCGTTCTTTTTCATCCTGATGAACATGCTTTCAGGGTCAAAAAAATATTAGACGGTACTCCATACTAGTGCGATCACCATGTCGGATGCTGTTTTTTGGACTACCTATGTTATCGGGGCTACAGCAGGTGGTGGTGCCACTACAGGTGCCACTTACGCAGAGGACTGTAGCCCGCCATTACGCCCTGCGCGGCGTATTTCCGTAAAGCCTTCTATCCCTAACCCTGGGTGGTCGAACGGTCGGGGGATCACCGGAGTGGCAGCCCAAGTGGCAGCCCGATCTGGGCTCATCAGTGGTGGGCGCTGGACGCGATGGTCTCACGCATATCTACAACCTGAAGCGACCCATGCATGGATGGTATCTCAAATCCGCGTGCAATCAACACGGTTGGCGCAGCAATGGTCGTTAGTTCTCGCGGCCCTCGGACGTTCGTGCAACCTGCGACGCATGCCCGCGGAGAAAGCCATGCCGATGCTCGCAACCTCGTTCGAGCGCGTCCATCGGTCGCATGGGTATAATCCTTGGGGTATTGAGGGGAGGATGTCTCGACGGTGTTCTCAGGCCCTTTGCTCGACCGGTTCTATCCCTCAAGTCGATGACGGGTCGAACGCCAGCGACTCGACGACCATCCTGGGTATACAACCGGACTGAAGCATTTCCTTGGTCGACGGGTCGAGAAGATAGGCTGGTTGTCGCATCCGAGGCCAGGTGTTGAACCTAGTGCACCGCTATGATTAGAAGGATGTTGAGGGGGGACACTCCGGCTTCCAACACCAGGCCACACACACACACACAGACACAGTTCCCGACTGCGATCCCCTCATCGCCGTCCCATCGCCGAGGGACCGTGTCATGGGCAACTCTGGTCGGCTTCTGGCTGGAACAGGAAGCGTGTGGTCACCACGGAGGGAACAGACGCAAGGGACGGGAGAGGCGTGTTTCGAGGTCGTCGTATTGCCTGGTTCGGGGTGAGTTTTGCGTTCAGGCCGTGGGATTTGAGTCAGAGCGAGAGTTTGGGGGAAGGGGGAAAGGTTGAAGGTCGGCCGGTCGGATGCGACAGAGGAACCAGACGATGCATGCCTCAGGCTTTGCAAAAGTACGCGCACCAGCCACTCCAGCACAGCACTTCCACCCGACCGCAGCGCCACAGCATTCGCCTCTCGGAACGGTGCGGAACCGCGAAGGATACGGTACCGTATCACCGTACGAGCCCCGGCAGTTTACGGGGGCTGCTAAACCTGGGGGGGCCTAGTTAGTGGCCTGAGTCCTCCAGGTCAACCCCGGACTTTCTTTTCCCTGCAGCATCTTCTTCTTCTTCTACAATCCTCGCCTTTCGCCTCTCTTCTCCTCTTCTCCTCTTCTCCTCTTCTCTCCGCTCTCCTCTCTACTCCATCCTTTCCCCTCCCCGTTCATCGTCGAGGGTCTAGTCTCTCCCTCCCCTTCCCTCATTGAACTTTCCTGCCCTTTAAATAGCCCGTCAGCGGCGCCATTGGGACCCCGACCCGACCCCTTGGCCCCCGATCCTCTCCCCTTTCGCGCCCCCTTCGTTCTGCAGGCACCGCTGCACCGGCCGCCACCGACCCTCGACAACCACTAGCGCATCACCCGCCGCGGTGGAAATAGAAGTCCGGCGCCATCAATTCCTTCTTCTGTGCGCCTCCTCTGCCACCGCCCTGACGACCCGATCTCGCCCGGCCCATTCGCACACCGGACCAGGGAACCCGGTGCCGCAGGGACCCCTAGCGATCGGTTGGCCAGCTGTCGCATTGGGGAGATAAGGATGCCAGTGAAGCCGTGGCGTGGTTGCAACACTCTTCTTCCCTCCCGTCGCTCTCGTCCAGGAAACCATGACTCCGTTCGCAAGTGACCACGGTGGTTTGTGAGTTCATCCTGACATGGCGCTCTGCTGCATCGGCCAGCCATTTGGGACCTACACATCTGACTCGCTCTCTCCCCTCGTCACCTCGACTCCGCGGACGCGACGGCCTCATCATGTGGGATAACCTCTCCATCCCGCCCGAGGGCCTCATCGGAGGATACCAGGGGGGCAGCATGGCGATCAAGATCCTGATGGCCGTCTTCAGCGCCATCGCGCTGTACAACGCCATCGAACTCGTCATCCTCATCTTCCTCACCTTCACGCGCTACACCGGCCTGTACTTCTGGACCATGCTGCTGTCCGACGTGTTCGGCGTCATCCCCCACGCCGTCGGTTATTTGCTGGAGTTCTTCGCCATCGGTCCGCTGTGGTTCGCCGTCACCTTTTCCACCATCGGCTTCTACTTCATGGTCCCCGGTCAGTCGGTCGTGCTGTATTCCCGCCTGCACTTGGTGGTGCAGAGCCAGACCCTGCTGCGGCGGGTGCGTTACCTGATCATCTTCGACGCCATCGTCCTGCTGATTCCCACCACCATCCTCACCTACTCCACCATCTACATCCGCACCGACCCCATCATCCGGGGATACAACGTCATGGAGCGGATGCAGCTGGCGTGGTTCTGCGCGCAGGAGATCCTCATCTCGATTATCTACATCGTCGAGACGGTCAAGCTGCTGCGGCTGCGGCCGGACAAGGACCCCCAGCGGCACAAGACCATGTACGAGCTGATCGCCATCAACCTGGTGATCATCCTCCTGGACGTCGCCCTGCTGGTGCTCGAGTACGTCGGCCTGTACACCCTGCAGACCACGCTCAAGGCCGCGGTGTACAGCGTCAAGCTCAAGCTGGAGTTCGGGGTGCTGCGGAAGCTGGTCTCGCTGGTCAATACGCGGCACTCGGACTCCAGTTCCTCGGACCGGGAGGAGTTCCCCAACTTTGTGGACCCGGACCAGATCACCGGCGACGTGACGCATGCCACCCGCGCGGACGGACGGCCGCCACAGTACCCGTGGACGGCGATCTCGATGGACAGTCTGGCCCTGTCAGAACGACGACGGAGCCGAAATCCCACCTCCCTGGAGGTGCCCCGATCTCCGTGACCTCCTGTTCTCCTGCGAGGCTTCTTCAACCATCTCGCATTCGAGATCACTAGCGCCCGAGGTCTTGTGAACCGACACAGGCCTATGGTGCTGCGCATTTGGGGCGATTCGCATGCCCCTAGGCCGCTTGCTGGGCTGGACAGATGCCCCCCCCCCCCCCCCCCCCCCCAGGCCACTCGCCGGTGCCCGGAACCCGTCTGCCCAAACCTGACGGCATTGCTGTTCCGGGACCATCAGACGCCGTCTAGAACTGACGGTGTCCCTTTCACCTAAGATTTGGTACATCCTGGACCTGCACATATCCCCACCATGTATCCATATATCCTTCCGTATGTCTTTTTCTTTCCTTTGTTTTCTGTTTCCTTTGCCGTATCCTCCACGGAGGCTGTCTAGCCGGGAGTCGGGATTCGAGGGGCGCGCGCGCGAGAGGTATATATATCTATGTAGACCACGTTAGACATGAAATAGAACCACCCCGCCACGGTTGTCGGGGGGGGATAGACGATGTACCATTCTAGGAGGGTAAGCGAGCGACCGCGTAGGTAATTGCAGGTTCGCTCGGGCCCAGCCCGAGCCGTCGGAAGGGTGGATAATAATAACTAATGGCCTCGTCTCGGGAGCCGTGAGTCGGGACCCATACGTAATGCGGCGGCGGCGGCGGCATGGGCCAGCGTCGGGTCCGCCCAGATCGCAGTTTCAGCCTTTTTCAGGCCGGGCCCGGAATGGTCGGGTGGAGGGTCGAGTGGGATCGAGTGATATAGGGAATAAACAACAGACAGAGCGGTGAGGCCCCGGTGCCTGAGGCGACGGCTGCCGATTCCGACACCGCCTGAGTATTATTACCTATTACTTGGGTATGTACTGCATGTACTACGGTAGTACGGTACCTACTAGGTAGGAAGTACAGGACGCATACATCGCATTGATTCCTATCCTCCCTGGCCGATCGGGACGAGTCTATTAATATAATATCAGTAAATATTCAAGAGTATCTTATAACTAAGTACTAGTTAGATAAAATATTAAATTATAAAGAGTAAGTATCTCCGATCAATATATTATAGTTTTTAATTAATATTGTTCTGCTATATTATTATTTAATTATTGATTTTATTATAGTACGAGTCTATAAAAGATATGATCCAGGCAGATCGATCGTGAACGCCGTCCCCACCTGCATGTGAGATGCATTCGAGCCTGCCCGATCTTCTAGATACACAGTTAGATACTTAGTCCTGCTGTCAGCAGCCACCGAGTCATGGGCCCGGCAGTCCGTACCTGACTCCCGGGATGGCTGCTGCATCGCATTGTCCTGCCGGGTTTCCCCCCCTGTCGGGCGTACGTGGCACCTGTCGTTGTGGCGTAGATAGTATCTGCATGCCTCTCTCCCTCCCTGTCAGCTGGGAACTGGAACTGGAATTGGATCTGGATCTGGAAACTGGCAGGACGGGTTATATCCGACCCAATCAAGACCGGGATGGGGAGGGCCAAATTAGGGGCCTTTTTCAGTTACTGCTAGATACTAGTAGTAGTACTAGTAGTAACTACTAGTAGTTGGTAGTAGGCACTTGCGTCAGACCCCCCACCCCCCGGAACTTGCTACTATCAGCATCAGCATTATTCATAGGGATGGATTGGAGTAGTCTCACATCATTCTCACTACTCCGGACCCCCAGAATCGCGTCATGATGTTATGCTGACTTCACAGTCTGGTCGGACATGTTTCGAACACGATCCGTATTCATCATTACACAACATCCTCGGGCCTTTACTCTGATCCATGCGGGTTGAAACCCACCCATTATTATTATTCATTTGTGTGCAAAGGCCAAGCAAGGCCAGGCAGCCTCAGGAATAAGGAATTACCCGACCGCCGAATTTATCGTTGAGGGCGTCCGCGCTAGCCCGATCCGAGGTTGCGGCAGCACGGCCTTCTGATTGGCAGGAAGGCCTTCCGGTCGAGAGTGGCCGGCCTTTTGGTCGCCAAATAAAAAATTCCAACTTCGTTTCCATAAATTCTCTCGGGCGGGATGAGCGGTGGGGAGCCCTGGGGAGAAGAGGGGGGGGGGCCGATCGCGGATCGGATTGGTCCCTGCCAACTTTCTGGCCACAATGGGGGAGCGCTAGCCCGAATAGGTAGCCCGACCAGCGAGTACTTTGGCGGTCATTGGCGGGCGGGGTGGACCCACCGCCCACGGGGGAAAAGACGGCGAAGCAACCGATTCTGCGCCCACGGCGCCGGAACAAATCTCCAGTCGGACTGGACTGTGAATGGTGAGGGGCTCAGCATTCACGAGTAGTAAGTATCGTGATCGAGTCAACCTCTCCCTCTCCCTCTCCCTCTCTCGACCTCTCGACCTCTCCCGCAACATCACCGCCTATATCGCTCTCTATTATCGTCCCTGCGTCATTTCTTCACTAGTGGTTGACAGGTACCTCCTTCCTTCTGTGCACCCCCCCCCCCTCCCCTCCAGAGTTGGTATGTTTTAGGCTCCCTCCTGGCACGCTCATGCATGGCTGCCAGGACGGTGTGTTCCACCACCGCTAACTCGATTTCTCTACTCCAGCACACTCTCACTCTCACTCTCACTCTCTACCATCACCGCACTCCCTCGATCCTTCGGTCCTCTGTCCTATCGCCCTTCCTCACGCCATCCATCCATCGACCCGCAACCGCCTCCCCCCACCCTTGCGATTGCTATATACTGTGTGATCGCGTCTTGCCAGCGACCCATAACCACCCCCCCCCCCCCCCCCCCCCTCGCTCCGGCGCTCTGGAAGGTGCAATCGTTCGACGCCGAGCACTCCCATCGCTGATGTCACCGCCCATTCCCTCTCACCACCCAATGCCCCGTTGACCTCCCTTCCTTTCCCTTCCAGCTATGTCCTCACACAACGACCCCGCCCCGTCGACAGGCCACAGCCCCGATCACGATCCCCCCACCGCCGAGGTCTCGCAGGCCCCGAACGGAGAGCGCCCCGGCGCGGCGCAGGATCCCCCAGGCCCTTCGCACCATGACACCGTTCGCGGGACTGACCGAGTCTACCCCATCCGATCGATCATCTCCGTCAACCCCTCCTCCGCCACGAGCCCGCCCCAGCCCGATGCCCAGGGGACTATACATTCACCGCGGAGTGGCGCTCGCTCCTACTCCATCATCGATGCGCACACCTGGGATCAGTTGAAGTCCCAGCCCAGTTCCAACCCACAGACTGATTCGTCGCGGAGTCGTTCCCAGAGTGCAGTCGAGTCAATCCCCGGGCAGCGGTCGCATCAGTCGCCCGATGTGCGCTCGCCCACATCGAATCCCGACAGCTCGACGGGCGCGAAGGACACGAGTCCCCCCGACTCGGATCATCCGGGCCTGTTCACCACCCGGTTCCAACATGTCATGACGGATGGGGGGCATGCCATTATCACGGGCAACACCCCAGATTCCTTCCGCGCCTGCGAAGATGAACCCATTCGTATCCCGGGCGCGGTGCAGAGCTTCGGTGTCCTCGTGGCGTTACGGGAGCCCTCCGAGGGCGTGCTGCGGGTCCATGTGGCCAGTGAAAATTCCGAGGCCATCCTGGGCCACTCCCCCGGTAATCTCTTCGCGCTGGAGAGCTTCACCGACCTGCTGCAGGAAGACCAAGTCGACATCCTCTTGGATCATCTGGACTTTATCCGGGACGATGTCTACGATCCTGCCGCGGATGGCCCGGAAGTCTTTATCCTGGCGGTCAATAACCGACTGGGCCGTCCGCGCCGGTTCTGGTGTGCCATCCACGTGCATCCCGACCACCGGGACGTCATAATCTGCGAGTTCGAGTTGGAGGATGATCGCATCAACCCGCTCAACGTGGCGGGTCGGAACACCCCGACCACCCCGACGGATACGCTGGGCTTCGAGTTCACCGCTGATAAATGGACCGGCAGCACCGTCAACATCAGCCAACCGCTGCGCTTGCTGCGGAACGCGCGCCGGAGACGCGGCGAAGCCGCGGCTATGGAGGTGTTCAGCATCGTGAGCCAGATCCAAGATCAGCTGGGCAATGCCACCAACATCGATCAGCTGCTGAACGTCTCGGTGGGGATAGTCAAGGAGCTGACCGGATTTCACCGGGTGATGATCTACCAGTTCGACAGCGAGGCCAACGGATTCGTTGTGGCCGAGCTAGTCGACATGCGCATGACCAAGGACCTGTACAAAGGACTGCATTTCCCCGCCGCGGATATCCCCCGGCAAGCCCGGGACTTGTATCGCATCAACAAAGTGCGCCTCCTGTACGACCGGGATCATATCAGCTCCCGCTTGGTGTGTCGCAGCGTCGAGGACCTGGAGACCCCGTTGGACATGACTCACGGGTACCTCCGGGCCATGTCGCCCATCCACATCAAGTACCTGGCCAACATGGGTGTCCGGTCCTCCATGTCCATCAGCATCAACGGAGCCCGTGACCTCTGGGGCCTGATCTCCTGTCACTCCTACGGTGACTCCGGCATGCGGGTGCCGTTCCCCATCCGAAAGATGTGCCGCTTGATCGGGGATACCCTCTCGCGCAATATCGAGCGCCTCTCCTACGCCTCGCGTCTGCAGGCCCGCAAACTCATCAACACCATCCCCACCGACGCGAACCCCTCCGGGTACATCATCGCCTCCTCGGACGATCTCCTCAAGCTGTTCGATGCCGACTACGGCGCACTGTCGATACGCGGGGAGACCAAAATCCTCGGCAAATCCACCGAGTCGCAGGAGATGCTGGCACTCATCGAGTTTCTCAAGATGCGCCAGCTCAAGTCGGTGGTGGCGTCGCACCACGTCAAGAAGGATTTCATTGATCTGCATTACCCCCCGGGGTTCAAGGACATCTCGGGGATGCTCTATGTGCCCCTCTCGGCCGACGGCAAAGACTTCATCGCTTTCTTCCGGCGCGGCCAGCTAACGGAGATGAAGTGGGGGGGCAATCCGTATGAGAAGATCATGAAGGATGGGCACCTCGAGCCTCGTAAGAGTTTCCAGGTCTGGAGTGAGACAGTCGTCGACCAGGCGCGTGAATGGACCGAGTCGGAGGTCGAAACCGCTGCGGTCCTATGTCTGGTGTACGGCAAATTCATCAAGGTGTGGCGGCAGCAGGAAGCTGCCTTGGAAGGGTCGCAGCTGACGAAGCTGCTCTTGGCCAACTCGGCCCACGAAGTGCGAACGCCCTTGAACGCCATCATCAACTATCTGGAGATCGCCTTGGAAGGCGCTCTGGACAAGGAAACCCGTGAGAACCTGACCAAGTCCCACTCCGCCTCGAAATCCCTCATCTACGTGATCAATGACCTGTTGGATCTGACCAACACCGAGAGGGGGAGGAACCTCATCAAAGACGAACTGTTCGATCTCCCGTTGTGTTTCCAGGAGGCGACGGCGATGTTCGATGGCGAGGCCCAACGCAAAGGCCTTCGCTATACCGCCATCGCGCATCCAGGGCTCCCCACCACCGTCATGGGCGATGGCAGGCGCGTTCGGCAGACCATCTCCAATCTGATCTCGAATGCCCTCCAACACACCTCGTCGGGCGCGGTCACGGTGGAAATGTGGCGGGCGCCCGTCGCCCCCGAGCCCGGATTTGCCACCATCCACATGACGGTGCTCGATACCGGATCGGGGATGTCGTCGACGACACTGGAGACCATGTTCCAGGAACTCGAGCAGGTATCTGCCGAAGACGACAGCTACTTCTTCGACCGTGATCCGAACAATTCGTCTCCAGCGCCCAAGGACGCCACCGAGAAGGGGGTCCTCGGGCTGGGACTCGCCCTGGTGTCCCGCATCGTGCGGAATACTCACGGCCAGCTGACGGTCCGGTCCGAGGAGGGAAAAGGCAGTCGCTTTCAGATCTCGCTGCAGTTTGCCACGCGGGACGAGGAGGAACCTCTGGGTGAGCCGGAACTTCCCACTCCTCCGAGTCGGGACGAGGAGGGCTTTGTTCCCTTCTCTGAGGCCAAAGAGGAGTTTGTGCTGGTCGATCACAGCTCTCCGGCCCCATCGGAACGCTGGCGGCGCAGCGGTAGCCTCCGGGAAGGGGGTAGCCAGTCTGGCGGCGAGGACACCAACACCCCCGATGGAACGGCCGATCAAGCGCAGCTTCCCTCGTCTGGCTGTCCCAAGCTCGTGACGCTGCCGCCCACCCCCCAGGCCCCTGAGCAGCCGGAGGTGAAGGAGCTGAAGGAGCCCTCGACATCCCAAGAACCCCCCACCTCTCACCCCGAGCCGGCGATGTCCACGGAAACTGCCCCTCCCCCTACCGATCCAAAGCCCCCTCTCCCCGGGACGTATCGTGTGTTGGTGGCCGAGGACGACCCCATCAACGGCAAGATCCTAGAGAAGCGGCTCGGCAAAACCGGCCATACCGTCCATCTCACACTCAACGGCGAAGAATGCGCGGCTGCCTACCGCGCGGATACCCAGGTTGACCTTGTGTTGATGGACATCCAGGTAAGACTCGCTCGGTTGAAATTCCCGACCCGTGCTAATGGCCGCAGATGCCGATTGTCGATGGGATCAACTCGACCAAGATGATCCGCCAGTTCGAGCAGACCTCCGATACTGCCACCCTCTCTCCGATTGCGAGGCGGAACCACCGGGTCCCGATCTTCGCCGTGTCGGCCTCACTGCTGGAGAAGGACCTGCCGCTGTACGTCGACGCCGGCTTCGACGGGTGGATCATGAAGCCGATCAACTTCAAGCGCCTCAGCGCGCTCCTTGACGGCCTCCAACAGGACGATCCTCGGAACCAGGCCACCTACTACCCGGGCTGCGACTGGGAACAGGGTGGATGGTTCAGTCCGACCCCTCCAGAAAAGCTGTAATCAAAACACCTTTCACCTACCAACTCTCACCAACCACTTCCTTCCCTCCCTCTCTCTCAGCCAACCTCAAAATTGACAACCGCCTCCTATATTTTCCGCCCCGCCTTCCCCTAACCCAGTGCGGGGCCCAGAGCATCGAGCCCACTGGGCCGCCACGATGATGAAAACGAACGATTATTCCGAGGCGTCGACTGACCTGACCTGACACAGTCAGTCATATCCATCTTGCGCCCTCGCCGTCTTAAAAATTTCCTCCATTTGTGCCATGTATACCCCATTAGTTGACTGCTCAGACATAGATCCTTGTTCTTTTTTTGGGATATGGGTCCGTCGAGACGGTTTGTTTGGTTCGGTTTCGCTGGTGTCACCCACCCATCATTGCATGGTCGTGTCATGTCATCTTATCTCATGCCATCTTATTTTATCTCATGTCATGTCATATTACTTCATGTGTCATGTGTCATGGTCTTTCATGTCTAGGTCTATGAGCATACGTACAAGCCAGATATCAAACGTTTTTTTTTTTTTTTTTCAAATGGACGTTTTCTATTTCTTTTTTCGATTTCGATTTGGTGGTTGCCTTCCGGGGGATGTGTTATTATTAGTATTCTCTTGATGAGGGATGATACGATGATACGATGAGATAATATGATGAAATGAAATGTCAGATGACACGAGACGATATGTATGTACGTATGTATGTATGTATGTATCTATCTATCTGACCATTTCCAGAATGATCATTCATTTATTTATTATGGTTTTTGCTTTGTGTTGGTTGGACTGCGCTGCTGATGAACGATTTTGAGGGAGAGAGAGAGATTTTGGTGAATTGTAATGTCTTGTTTGTATTGTTTCTGGGTTGGGTTGGGTTGTCTGGTTTGTCGGATTTGTGTGGGGGGTAGGGTAGGGTAGGGTAGGGTAGGGTAGGGTATGGTGTGATATCTGGCTAGAATGGAGGCTATGGTGGTGCTTTGCTTAATCAATTACTGATCCTGAGAGATGGGAGATGGAATAAATTGGTTGACTATGTGGACGATTCTACTCCTCCTCTCTTTGTGAGTTATTGTGGTTCAATCGTGGTATTATTGGTGGTTGTACTCTGTCTAAGACAGCTATCTGTGTGTGTATGTATGTATGTATGTATCTATCTATATCTATATCTATATCTCTATGTGTCCTGGACATACAGGATATCTGGTCATTACCGAGTAGGGATATCAATGGGTCTAGTCTGGTCGGGCCTGGTCTGGTAATATTTGCATTTGTAGAGTTATTCCTGAGCTGCGGCTGGTTGTTGAGATTTAGAGAGAAGAGATAGAGGTGGAGATAGAGGTGGAAAAGAGACATAAATACAAATAGACATATAAATATGAATATGAATGTAAATAGAGAGAGAGAGAGAGAGAGAGAGAGAGAGAGAAAGCTGACTGGACAGATACATACATACATACAATACATACATAAATAGGCAGATAATATATAGATAATAATGATACGAGTACGTGCGCGTATACAGAGACATAAATGAATGACTGACGGACATAACATACACACATACAGCGTTACTTGTGGGGTGGGGTGGTATTGATATCTGTAGGGTGGAAATAAGGGTGCAGGATATGGGTTGTGAAGGGGAGGGGGGGGGGGGGTTGCTAGGGTGTAGACACGAGGTCTGACAGCAGACTCCCCCTTTGTCTCTGCGATGCGGTAGAGGGAAGGTGAGGGAGAATATATTCGGGGGTGAGAAGCAGGAGGTTTTGTTCAGTGGGTGAGGGGTGTTGGGTACCTGTGGAGTGAAGGAATGAGGGTGTTGCTTCATTGGGTAGCCAGTACTGAGGGGATAACGGTGTTGGTTCTCTGTGCTTGGGATATGCTAGCTGATATGGGAGCTGCTCATAGCCGCCTCGACATCCGGCTCGTGGCTTGCATGCTCTGGGGTGAGGGCGCGAGGAGGGGTGGTCACGGAATCGGACTCAGCCGATGTGATTGAAATGCTGTCGTCCCCGTGCGGAAGGGTGGAGGAATGCGGGTGAGGACGTGGATGTGGACTGGGGCGAGCTTGGGTCTGGGTGGTTTCAGGGTATTGCCGTTGGGTTTGCGGCTGAGGTTGCGATTGAGGGTGCGAGCTGGCACGACGCTTGGGAGCTGCGACCATAACGGTCCCGACCGGTGCTGTAAGGTCTTGGTCCAGCGGTAAGGTGTCAGTGCCCGAGGACCCGACGCGGCCGGTAGAATGCACGAAGCGAATGAGTTTGTTCAGGCAGGCGAATTCCACTTTGACTTTCAGGCTGCTGGCGAAGAGGATGAAGCCCGCCGTGATGGGTCGCGAGACCACGAACTCCAGCACCACGTTCGCTGTGTCGAGCACAAACGCCACACTTCCACCCACGATCAGGTAAATAATCACCTCTCGGGTCTTGGTGCCTCGGATGTAGAGCAGCGGCCGCAGGCTTCGAGTCGCCTCGTATGCAAATATGATCAAGATGACGAATTCCCGCGCACAGTACCCCACCACGGCGATGTGCCCGAGGACGAGCTCCGGCTGGATGTAGCGTGGGTTTCGGGTGACGGCCGCCGCAGGTAGTAGGATCAGATGCGGTACCTGGAAGGCCACCACGCTAGCGATGATCAGGTACAGCAACCAGCGAGGCCGACGGCCGCCGGTAACCAGGTTGATCCGGGAGTACAGGATCAAGGAGTTGCCGACGCTGATGATGCTGTAGACGTAGGCGAGGCCGACGGCCGAGACGACCGCATATTTGATGGGATACCAAACGAAGAGAACGCAAAAGGGTATTGCGCCGAGCGTGCTGACGATGCTGACCAGTATGCTCCAGAAGTACATGCCCGTATGGCGCTTGAAGACGGTGAAGACGAGGATGAGCATTTCAAAGCCAACGAAGCCCGCAATGGCAAGAAATGCCGTCACAGCCAGTATCTGGTCCCAAGGCACTAGGCCTTCGTATTGCGCTCGTCGTCGCAGCTGCAGCCCTGCTGTATACTCCATACTTGGTCAGTCACTCTATTGTGTGACATGAAAGAGGCTTGTTGGCAGCGACCCGGCCGGGACCCCTGCAGTGAAGAAACCGTCGATTATAAGAATAGAAGCTGGCCATCGAGGCTCAGATCGACCCCCAACAAAGAACCGTATGGGTGGGATGAGACGGACCGTCCGAGGCAGGCAGATCACACAGAGACAGATAGGGTATTGGTATCATCGCCTGCGCCAGGGTCGCCCAAACATGACAGCCATCGTAGGTTGAGCTTTGACGCGGCAGTCCATGGTAGCGGTTCGGTTCAGCCCCCAGAACAACGCGATTCGCTGCCTGACAGCGGTTGATTAAGGTTCTGATAGGTGCTTACGAGCTGCGAACATGGAACCAAGAGGGGTAGCGCAGCATCGGTGTCCGGCATTTCATAGGGCAGGGCCCTCCGAGGGGATGTTAAAGCCTATGGAGGCCGTGATAGTGAGGGCAGGGAACTGAGCTATGGATTGTGGATAACGGATGGTGGTGAGTGCTACTATGGGTTCTGGATGGTGGCGATGGCTGTGGATAGGGGATCGAAGGTTCTCGACTTGAAGCAGGAACTCTTCATAGCCCTCCATTGTCCCGCTGACTCAAGCTTCCGCTGACTGACAAAGAAGGCTTCGTGCTTTGTCTTTCCTGGAGAGAAAGGATGATTTGGTGGAGGTTAATACTCCAGACCAGGGAATGCAGGTACATTATGATCCGATCCCCGTCCCTGCTTGCCAATGGCCCGGGGGTGGGTAACTGGATGACTGACAGAATGACTGCCAGATAGACACGGACCACCAGCTCTGGAACCGCCGGTGCGCTCGGGCCCGTGAGGAACAAAGAAGGTGATGCACGGATTGCTTGTTGGTCCGTGGCCGTGACACGGGGATGTTTCTTCCGACAAATCGGGGTCCTCACCCACGGCTTGCGATCGTCTTGCTCTAGTAATAGATAGTAGTAGCTCGTCATTCTATCCTCGGCTAGCCCCGCGCTGGCACCGGGGTCTTGTTTATGCCTTCTTCAGGGCGTCCGTGGTCCGCAGCAGCAGATCCGAGGAAGTGGTCAGTGCCACTGATCTGTGTTTTGGCAGACAATCTTCAGCCACGGTCACTATGACCCTTTCGCGCGGCTTGCAGGAACCTGGGAAATGCAGAAGTATCCAGCACACCCTATCTCATCGCTCCATGAAGCCCGACCCCTGAATGCCACGGAATAGAGGATCCATCCAATGCTGTCGTCGAATATTGCGCCTGGTCGATAAAAAGTCCGACCCTCCGTAGTGGGGACCACTACACTCAGTTGAGGAACATTGATCGACGCCTAGGATGTATACCCTTATTTGTGAATGACGTGAGGAGTTGGAAGGCCACTGGATCCTTCCATCGAACTCCGCCCAGCACCGAAGAGAGCACCTCCAGTATATCAGTCTTCAAGAGTCCAGACGGCGACACTACGCGCGGCATTTCCGAGTGGCATTCCCATCCGCCACTGGGCTTTCGTTTCCACCCCGCAGTTAGTTCAGCCCCCTACCACTGAGGATTGATCAATAACAAAACAACGCGCTGCTCCGCCACGTAAGTTCCTGCGCATGGGTCCTCGTCCCAGACCTGCCCTTAGAGTCCTCTGGTATTGCTCAGGGAAGTGTCGGGACTCCGACCCACCTAGACTATCTGATGGAAGGCCACTGACGCAATGGAACCTCTGGCCTAGGGCCTTCTAGAAAGTATTGACCCCGCGATGCTTGGGTGAAAGCACGATCCGATCCTTCGCTCTCTTTGTTTCTTTTCGCTGTCGCCAACCGAGATATTCATAAGCTTTATCGAATCTATAGTATAGCGCAGTCTATAGGAAGCCATCGTGTTGGGGTCCAAGCTCGTGGCGCGTCGTTCTCCGCGGGCTAAGAAATGGTATCTCCACTATCCCGTTAACCCGTCATTCCGGGTTGGAGGTCTAGAAAGGGCTCGCCGCAAGGAGACAAAACAGACTATTGCAAACTGAGGGATGGTCTCTATTGGTGGGGTTGTGGTCGGATGAAGAGTCTCTTGGTTTGGAAGATGATGGTTGGTGGCTGCCCTTCTCAATAAGCGAAAATATATACAGTGCGAAAGGCGGGACATCCCGTAATCGAAGGTGAAGAAGGTACGCGCTCCAGCTTCCATCATCCCGACTATTGTGAAGGCTAATCTGCCACCATCAGGTAAGCGGAAGCATGAGACCGGAGGCTGGGGTTGGAGGAGGGGAAATACCACCAGACACAACCAGACACCAGGACGATTAGCCGAATGGTCGGGTATTTTCTCGAGACATGGAAACTCCACTGCGCGAATCAACTGCCTTGTCTGGATGGGTGAAAGAGCAGGAGGGGCTGTCAGGATTCAAGGCAGACGGATAGACAGACTGTTCGGTTGTTGGGTGCAGGAGGAAAGAAAGAGACGAGGGGCAAGTCGAGGCCCTTCACTGCGCTGACGGCCACGTGACCCCTGGCTGCCCCCCCCCAAGCATCAGCCACTACAACCCCGACGCTGAAACAAACCCACTCGGCTCAGATGGCGTCCAGAGTGTCACAGAGGGGCGGTGGTAGTTGCTGCGTATTCTGACGACTACCTTGCGGAGAAGACCAATTTCTGCGTCTCCAGAAGGTAACTATACATTCCCCCACACCACTTTAGTGTTATCAAAATGAGCGCAACTGCGAAGTGCAGGCAAGGATACTTGTGACTCAGCAAAATCATATGATTCTAAGCCTTGTACTAATACTAGATTCTGTCCACAGCATCCAGTCCATCAAATTCTATCCACCTTGCTTCCATCCCACGGAACAATCTATCATCCCAACCTGTCATCCGTATCCATGATCGGATGCTGTAGCTAATTTTGTACCAGCTCAAACAGTGCAGCTAAACGGTGCAGCTCACGGTCCAGCCGCCCAGGTTCAACGGCACAAGCGAGTTCGAGGTCCCGTCCAGATCCAGGTACGTGTGCTCAGCCGTCAGGGTGCCCACGACCACCCAGTTGGCGTTCTTGATCACGCAGTTGGTGTTCGCCTGGAAGGAAGTCAGCTGGGCCGACGAGGCCACAACCGCGCCGCCTGCTGCGATTTTGGTACTGCCGTAGAGGCTCCAGATGTTCTGCACGCTGCCATCCTCGGGGATGGTGGCGCTGCCCTGGGCACCGCTCTGGTCATTGGCGAAGGCAATGGTCGCGGTGGGGATGACAGGAGAGGCCGAGATGGAGGTGGCGAGGAGGGAGAGGGCGAGGGCGGCGATAGACTTCATCTTGACGGTTAAAGTGGGTGGGTGGTTGTGGTGGTAGTGATATAAGATGAGGAGCTTGGATTGGAAGAAGACTGATGCTGCTGCTCTTGGTTTGTGCTGCTGCTTGGATGATGCTCCAGATCTCGAGGGACGAGGTCCGCTTTATACCCGTTTCCCTCCCTGGGCTGTCCCGGGGTTTCGTGCTGCTCTGGTGATGTCCGCGAACAGCACTATCGACAGCCTGGGCATTCGGTGATGTTCTGGTCATGCGATTCTCGATCGTTCGTATCAGTAAGCCCGTGTCTCACCACTTGAGTCTATACCGACCCAACAGGCTTCAGGCGTGCCATGGACTCGATGTTGCTTTCGCCTGACAGCCTGCGGGGCGTATACCGTCGCCTGGATGTCGCAGATCAACGTCATTGGGCGCAACCATCGCGGATTGCCTTCCAGGCGTATCCGATGCTGGGATGAGGGACATTCGGATGGGGAAGGTGACATGTCGCGAATATCGGCCGACACCGCGAGGCGGACATATGAGGCCGGGATGCAGGTCTTAAACCTACTGCAGAAGTCAGAACGACGGACTGCCCGGACCGACCGGTGCAGACTGGTCGCGGGGGCTCGTGTTTTTGGTAGGAACACGAGATGTTCCCCATGTCCCGGCAGGGTCGTGATGTAGAACGCGGTCATCGTGGAGACCGACCGAGCTATGTGTGAGTCGGGAGATTGGGTGCAATGGACCTGGGCTATGGACAGTGTGGAGTGATTTCTTGCCTCGGAATCCGAGTTCTAGTCGGGTGCAGGCCGCAATACGAGCTCGCTGTCTTGGATGGGAGGATGCTAATTTAAGATGGCGGGAAGGAGGATCTCCCCACAATCCCATCTTCTGGCAGCGAACCCCGGAGTCCCCGGAGTCCCCGGAGATCCATCGTCCACTGGGGGACGGGGGTTGGTGTCGATCAGAAGAGTGAGACACCACATCGATGGTTCCTCTTTTGAGTTTAAGCCCTCTGGCAGGGTCCAACGCGGCGGGGGACGGCCGGATAGATGCCAGAAGAAAGGCATAAGCGGTGTTTAGTGGGGGACTTTTGTTTTGTCCGAAGCAGGTTGTATGGCGTGTTGCCCCGGTGTCATAAAGGGGACCGGGTCTCACTCAGGGTCACGACGTAGCATTCGGGGCTGGGGGGGCACAGATCCGATGAATTGGGGGGTGTCTAGACGGCCATGCTGTGCAGGTGTAACGGCGTGGGATTGGTGGTTGACAGAATAGCTAACTTGCGCCGCAAGGGCCATTGTATAGTCTATGGCATGGGAGAAGGAAGGAGGAGGGAGGAGGGAAGAGGGAAGAGGGAGAGAGCGAGGGAGGGAGGGAGGGAAAGACGGAGACGAATGCCTCAGGCAGTTGGTACTGGGGAGGCCTTGACACCTGAGGGAGCAGGCGTTGCCAAGCCCCCTTTTGCCTCAGGCTGAAAAGGACCCGCCTCGTCGCCTCGTCTACAACTCCGTAGTTTTGTTTTCCTTTTCTCTTCTCTTCTCGCCTCTTCTCCTCTCACTCTCAATCCACCTGTCTCAGGTCTAAGCTTCGACGCATCTCTCCACTCCCCGATTCCCTCTAAAAAATCTTGCGAGACATGTCTTTCGCCGCGCCGGAAATAGACATCCGACGGACCTTCGTGAATTAGTTATTGAGTTACGTTTGTGGGCTCCACCATCCCTCCCACAGTCTCACCACCCTCTCCACCAGGCTAGCAGGCCCTCCCGCATCCGGACAGACCCCCCCCCCCGCCCTGGACGGAATTCTAGTATCCACATTCAATGGTTGCACCGATTTTCTATCTACACTGTGATCCCTCAATCGCCAGGCAGTCCCTGCCCAGAGCTACTGGTCTAACGCCTGTGCTTGACACTGCCTAGGATTAGCAACGCGACCGTCGAACTATTGGAAGGACTCATGCTCACCATTTCCCAATACACCCCCTTCTGCCGCAGCAGGTCATGGTGGCCTCCCATCTCCAGGATTCCCGATCCCGGCCCGGTAGAGTTCTCGCCGAAGACCAAGATCATATCCGCCTTGTGGATGGTGGCCAATCGATGCGCGACGGCAATGATCGTTATGTCTCGCTTGGCGGCCAGGCGTTCCATAGCCCTCTGCACGATCTTCTCGGAGTGCGAGTCTAGACTTGACGTTGCCTCATCGAGCAGCAGCAGTCGGGGTTTTCGCAGCAGTGCCCGCGCGATACACAGCCGCTGCTTTTGACCCCCGCTGAGCGAGGATTGCGCGTTGATACCGAGTTCTGTGGCGTATCCCTCCGGAAGGGACATGATGAAGTCGTGGATCTCCGCATCCTGGCAGGCCTGGATCATAGCCTCTTCCAACTCTTCGCCGGTCGCCTCCAGGCCGAGGAGGAGGTTGTCCCGGACCGTCCCGCCAAAGATTCGGGGCTCCTGAGGCACCAGGGACAGAGCGCGACGATAGGAGGGCAGTTCGATGGAGCGGATGTCCCGTCCACCAAGAAGAATGGTCCCGGCGGTGGGTTCGTAGAACCGCTCCAGTAGCGAGATAATCGTGGATTTGCCGCAGCCAGACGCGCCCACAAAGGCAACAAATCCTCCGCTGGGAATCGAAATATTCAGGTCGAGGAATGTCGGCGTAGCACGCATCGGATACTGGAAGGCGACTCCGCGGAACTCAATGTCAGCGCCATGGCTGGGGTCAAAGGGCACCATTTTTCTTTGAGTCTCCGGCTGTGTTTCGTTGGAGTCTGCTCTCTCGGCTAGAATACGACTCGCTGAGGCCTTGGCCTGCGCGATGTTCGGACCAAAGCTAAAGAACTGCCCGGCCGATTGCCCTCCTTGGATGATTGCGATATACACGACGAAAAAAGCAACCGTCCCGTATTCCCGGGAGGCGAGAAGTTGTCCGCCGTACCTAAAGCCCACTGCATTAGGCAAGTTCGAAATTGAAAGCAAGATGACATAGGATCATACCAGAACGTCAGTGCCATCGCGCACAACTCTACGCTGTCTGAAAACGCATACACCAAGGTTCCTATCCAGGCCTTGCGGATAGCCTTCCTCCGCTGATCCTTCAATAGTTCTGAGTATTTGTGAATAATTTGATCCTCCATGGTCAGTGCCGTCACCGTCCGGAACCCTCTTATCGACTCCAGGACCAACTTTGAGCTGTTCGCGTACACTTCGGCATTCATGGCCTCGAACATGATCTCGTAGCGAATTCGCATGAAGGCCGCAAAGAACAGGAATGGCATCGCGGCAAAGAACGCCACGGCAGCCAGCTTCCAGCCAAATGCAAAGGATATCGCGACGCACCCAGCGATATTGAAGATGGAGATCAACGGGAAAGCCCCTGTAGGCCCGAACAGCTCCTGAAGCTGCTTGGGGTCCATGGACAGCCGAGAAACGAGTGTACCTGAAGAGTTGGCGTCCGAGTCAAAGTACGACACGGGCTTCCGCAGAAGGTTCAGGAAATATTCCTGCCGATAGGCAGATGCCACAAACTGGCGCCTGTCAGTACCACCGAACCAGAACGACTGCATACCTACCATGGATATTGAATTCGATGCCATTCCGACCACATAGTAGCAAACCCCCATCGCTAGGGCGAGGATAAAAAACATGAGCGACCAAAAATTGGCGGCATCGGCAAGCTTTTGACCTGTGAACTGGAAGACCTGTACCAGCCGTGCAACGAGCCAGCTTTGGAGGGAAAACCCCGCTGCGAAAGCCATGGATCAGTAGGCGAAACCAATGCTGCGGAGCTCACGAAACTCACCTCCTGAACCAAGTGCCCCCAGGAGAGTCAATAGATACAGTACCCAGTGATTGCTCTGCTCCCTAAACACAGTCACAAAGCCTTTCAAGAACCCCGTGCCCTTCCTCTCCATCGGTTGAACCCCATCGCCCTCGCCCTCAACAACGTCAAATTGAATGACAGGGTATTCCTCGGCCTGGAGGTTCTCTTTTGGGGAGTCATGCTCATCCTCCGCTCCTGCAGAAAGCTCAGAGGGAGGGTCCAACTGCTGGGCATGGACAAGGCTATGATATGCACCTCCCATCGCGAGCAGCTGGCTATGGGAACCCTCCTCGGTGGCCATTCCGTTGGCCATCACGATGATGTGGTCTGCTCGATGAATTGTTGACAGACGATGAGCGATGATGATTGTTGTGCGATCCTTCGACACACGATCCAAGGCCGACTGGACCAACCGCTCCCCACGAACGTCAATCGAGCTCGTCGCCTCGTCCAAGATCAGGATTGGCGGGCTTTTAACAATACTACGCGCAATGGCGAGACGCTGGCGCTGACCGCCGCTGAGGGTGATACCTCCTTCACCGACGACCGTCGAGTATCCCTTCGCGCGGTCGCGTTAGCCGCGCGGAAGACGCAACATGTCACAAAAACCGGAAGGATGCTACATACCAGTGGAAGACGCTGGATGAATTCGTCCGCATACGCTTCCTTGCATGCCTGGACAACCAATGCCATTTTCTTTTCCTCGGTCTCATTCTGCCACTCAGACCCAATGAGTCCGAAAGAAACATTGTTGTAGATCGTGTCGTCGAACAGGAAAGGCTCTTGCTGCACCAGGCCGATGCGAGATCTCCACCACTTTGTATCCAAGTCACTGATCGAATGCTGTCCGACATGGATATTCCCCATGCTTCCATCCCCGTTCCCGAGTCGGTACCACTGTTCGATCAACGCCACAACCGTGCTCTTTCCCGACCCGGAGGCCCCCACCAGGGCAGTCGTCTTACCTTTCTGCATGCGAGCATTAAAGCCTTTCAGAACGTTGATATCTGGACGTGTCGGGTAGGCAAACGTCACGTTATCAAATGTGATATCTGACTGACCGGCCACATCTGCGTCGCGAAGGCCATCGACTGGGACCCGTTCGGAGTCTATCATGGCGAAAAGTCCCCCGGAAGCGCTGACGGCCTTTGAAATAATAATGATCGGGTTCCCTATATTACCCAGAATGCCGACCACAATTAAAACGGAAAAGAACACCCTGCAGATCGTCAGAAGGAGAGTCGCTCGATGACCCGGGGCCATCGGCCTTACGTGATAACAATGTCGATGCTCGCAATATGACCATCCCGATACAGCTTTAGACCATACCAAAACGCCAGGGCAAAGCTGCAGTAGAGAGCGAAGAAAAGCAGAGCGAGATGGAACCCCAGCACGACGGATATCCCGAGGCCCCGTCGCTGAGCCTCTTCCGTCCATCCGACATACTTCCTTGTTAGCGACGCCTCTGCACCTAGCGCAAATACCGTACGGACGGAGCTGAATACTTCTGCGGCGACCGAAGCATGTTGGTCATCGGCCTTGTCCACACCCTGCTGTGCCTTGACCAGCAAAGGGACTGTGACCGAGTATCCCAGAACAACAAACAGGAGGGCGGAACTGACCACAAGCGTGAGCGCCCAGGAGTACGAAAATGCGATCGCATAAGCTGATATGAGAAGGGCTAGGCCCTGAAACAGCACAGCAAGCCGATCGGAGACACTTTGCTGAATGGTGTTGGAGAGCCCGGTGATGGCATTGGTGATCGTTCCCACGGGAATCCCGTCCAGCTTACTGATGGGCTGAGCAAACAGAGCCTGCGTGTACTCCAAGCGCAAGGCAGCCGATGCATGAAGACTGACGATTCGGAACGAGAGCTGCAGCTTTTGCGTTAGCTATGCGCCCATGAACGTGATGTGGTCTGCCTCACCATGGAAACATAGGTGAGCACGAATTTGCCCACAAAAATGTACACAATATAGAGACTAAGGGCGGGGGTTAGCCTGGGCTTTTAGAGATCCATGGACACTGGCTCCTGACCTGTCTTTGTCGACGGTAGATTTGAAGCTCTGCTCACTGACGCTGTTGCCGGGGACAAAATACTGGGTGAACGTGCCGACCAGCTTCCCAAACACGATGTTCATCAACGGGAGAGCCTGGCCAAGGTATCATCAGTGAGTCAAGTCTGGATACCAGCTCATGGCCTAGCTTACGATTCCTGAGCCCATGGCACAAAATAGACCCAGGGCGATGGCCACAATGCCGCCATCGCGGGCGCCATACGACAGGATCCGCTGCGCAGCGTGTCAGCCCGTCCCTTGGACATATACATTCGCCCGAGTCAGATGGGCAGACACACCAGGTAGTTTTTCGCCGACACAGGCTCGATTTCAGCATCATTGATGTTTCTGGTGGCCACTGCACCAGCTGAACGGCCATCCTCTGCCGGCCGCGCGTCAAGATCCATTTTTGGAGGAGGCGAAGTTTCCCGCATCCCAGCCGGCGACGATGGTGACGGCGAACAGCCATCCATGAGGGCTTTTGAGAGCAGTCTCCAAGTGCCGGGGTATTTTTCCAGCGCCCAACCGGCCGGGACGGGTCGCGATCGATGTATGTATGCATGGCACGATGCCCATTCCAGTCCGAACCGACTTGTGGTCGGGCCCGCCCGGTTCCGCATTAGGAATTCCGTCCCCTGCCCCTTGCTTGCAGCACGACGCCAGGGACATCCGGGGACTGGCATACGATCGAACAGGGGCCGCGGAATGTGGTCCCCACCGCAATTCGCCGACTACTACCTCATTGCGCCCCGATTATTGGCTCGACAAAAATATCCTCGACAACCGGACGGCGGTTGACTCAGATGGCGACCCGGCTGACTCACGGGGCTATTATTGAACTGACCAGATGGAAGCTGAAGAATGGATGATGGAAGATGGAGGATACAACATTGTTGTGCTAGGGTTTCTACCGCGCTCGCCCGTGGTCTTGTTTGTCCCGCGGATCAACCCGAAAGCAACCGGAAGTAACCTGGGAGCCAACTAGGGATTCACGGTCTTCGGCCGAGTCGACTCGTCATGATCTCGATCCGTGTAACTCGAGCGCAGGTTCTGCTGACCCCTGATACAGGCACAGACACAGGCACAGGCACCGGCGCAGTCGCAGGCATCATGGACGTCACATTGGACCATGGGACTGCTGCGGATGGCGCCTGTCAGCGCCGCCAGTCCATGCCGTATTTCTTCCTGTATATAATAATACATTGTACTTGGCGTTGGACAGGCCACCCCTACCAAACCCACTCGTGCTTTCAGGACAATTTCCAGAAACTACAGTTAGCCTCCCATCTCGAAGGCTACGTACAGCTCTTTTCAGCTGAGGAGACTACCAATGCTGTGGGGGTATAAGAATCCCTCGGCCAACATCCCCAGAAGACGAAGGTAAGTCTCACAACCCAATCTTAGTCGACATGGAAACAGGCGGCGGCAGACAGGTCCTCATAGCGGGGGCTGGTCAAGGATACGTCGCGAAGACAGCTCAAGTCACGACTCCAAAAAATGATGGAGAGAACGATGTGATTTTGTCAAAGGGGGAGCTTGATGCAGGACAGCATACTTATATTTCGATTACGGAAACTCCGCCATCGCCAGCGTCTAGCGCTGATGCCTTCTTGGAAGAAATCGCCGACCTCTGCAATTGCCTGCCGCAGGATATCGAGGATGTGTACCCCTGTACAGCATTACAGGAGGGGATGATGGCCATGACAACCAAAAGCCCCATGTCGTATACAGTCGTCCACGAATACCGCGTCCCACCCAGCATCAAGCCGTTTCAGCTGCAAGAAGCCTGGAACCGAACGGCGCATGCCAACCCGGCCCTCAGAACCCGCATTGTGCTCACCCAGACCCAGGGGTGCGTTCAGGCGGTGCTTCGGGGTAATGTGGCATGGAGAGAGATCTCCGCAGAAGACGACGATATCTTGTCTGACGATATGCAGAGCTTGGCATGGAGAATGGGAGGACAGCTAGCATATCTGACCCTGAACCTCCCCCGACATGTCCTGCAGGTCTGCTTGCATCATTCCATCTGTGATGCATGGTCTATTGGACCGCTTTTGCGTCAGGTTGAGGCCGCCTACCGGGGGGAAAGTCTTATGTTTCGGCCATTTAGACCCCTGGTAGAGTACATCGAGGCAACTCGCGAGCAAGCCACGGCGTTCTGGAAGGCGGAGTTACAGGACGCTCATCTTGCATCCATGTCCTCCTACCCGCCTCTGCCCTCCCCCGAGTATACCTCCCAGCCATCCAAGTCACTGTTTCACACCTTTCGCATAGAGGCGGGTACTACCGCCGGCTTCCCCGTCAACACAAAAATGCGCCTCGCGTGGGCAGTGCTTCAAAGCTTCTATACCGGCACGGACGATGTCCTTTTCGGTGCCATCAACGTTGGTCGGAGCGTGCCGGTGCCGGGGGTAGAGGAGATGTTTGGGCCTGCTTTGACGAGCGTCCCAGTGCGGATTCGTCTGAGCTCCCAGCATACCATAGCAGAAGCCCTTCAGATGGTCCAGCATCAATGGGCTACAAGCATGGAGTTCGAACATATAGGTCTGCAAAAGCTGCTGCATATGGGACCCGGTCCAGAAGCAGCTTGTCGCTTTCAAACGCTGATGTCGGTGGAGCCTCGCAATGGCCACCAGCTTCCTGAATTCTTCACACCGCACAAATCCATCCAGAAAACGCAAGAGCTCTACCCACTTGTCTTACGGTGCAAGCCTTCCGATACCACGATAGAAGTCGAGGCTTTAGTTGACCCTGGGGTGGTTAGCCCTCTGCAGGCCGAGCGAATACTCGGTCAGCTTGGCCGGGTATATGAGCAGATTGAGAAGGAACCGTCAACCATCATCGGGGAAATTGACCCAGTCAGTCAAGAGGATCGGGCAGAACTTCTTCTCCGAAACATCTCAGTGGATCATTCCACAGCAGCATGTGTGCATGACCTGATCTCGCGACGCGCCCAGGTCCAACCGACCGCACCTGCCATCAGTGCCTGGGACGGTGAGCTGTCATACCGGGAACTTGATGACCTTTCATCGATTGTCGCTTCTCGCCTGTCGGGATTCAATATCCGACCGGGCATGTTTGTCCCACTACTCGTGGAGAAGTCCAAATGGGTACCGGTTGCCATGATCGCAGTTTTGAAAGCGGGGGGCGCATTTGTCCTGCTAGAGAAATCGTACCCAGTACCCCGTCTGCAGCAAATGTGTCAGGCTCTAAGTGCGACTTTAGTCGTGAGCTCCGAGGCCCATTTAGACTTGGCGGCCCAGCTGGGGGTGCCCTCGACTCTGGTCGTGGATGGACAGGTCGATGACCAGAGCGAGCTGATTGCCCTTCCACCGATCATCAGCCCCGAGGACCCAATGTATGTTACCTTCACTTCGGGCTCGACAGGGGCACCCAAGGGCGTGATTAACCATCATGCTGGGTATGCATCCAGCGCCCTGGCTCACGGTGAGCCATATCACTTCACCCCTCAGTCTCGCGTGTTGCAATTTGCATCTCCAGCATTTGATTCCTGTATCATTGAACACCTCAGCACACTCATTATGGGAGGGTGCGTGTGCATACCAACTGCACCTGACTGTCTGAGTAACCTGGTCGGAGCTATACAAGAGTTCAACGTCAATGTTGCCTGCCTCACCCCGAGTGTCACCAGAATCCTCACCCCGGGTAGTGTGCCTAGCCTTCAGGTACTGGCTTTTGTTGGGGAAGCAGTCCTTGCTAGTGACATTGCTCGTTGGAAACCGTACGTCGATGTTCGCAACGCATACGGGCCAGCAGAGTGCTCGGCCGTGTTCAGTGTGCAGCCACAGCTCCAGGAGAATGATCCCACAAACATCGGGTTTCCAACTGGCTGCATAGGCTGGGTTGTACACCCTAAGGACCATAGCAGACTGATGCCCCTCGGATGCCCAGGAGAGCTGATCATCGAAGGTCCCACCGTGGGGTATGGCTACATTTCCAATCCCGAACAAACCGATCTGGTTTTCATTCAGGCTCCCGGATGGCGTCAGGGCTTCCCATCCTCTTCTGCCGGACACATGTATAAGACCGGAGATTTGGTGGAGTGTAAGGAGGACGGGAGCTTCCGGTACTTGGGTCGAAAGGACACCCAGGTCAAGCTGCACGGCCAGCGCTTGGAGCTGGGTGAAGTTGAGCACCACGTGTGTCAGTTGTTCCCTGGGGCACAGCAAGTGGTTGTGGAAATGCTTCGGTCCTCTCCAGACCAGGTCCAGACCGACCATCGACCAGAAAGCATTCTGGCTGCATTTGTCCGTCAGGGGTCATCAGAGTCATCAAACGAGACACGAGAGAAAAACGCGTCAAGCAACTCCTGTTTGTTCTTGCCCTCAGCCCTAGACTTCCGAGTGGCATGTACGACTGCCGAAACTCGCCTGGCTGAAGTGTTGCCTCCCTTCATGGTCCCAGCTGTCTTCCTACCGATTGCAAGCGTGCCTCTCACTCCGTCGGGGAAAACGAACCGTCGTCAACTTCGTGAGGAGGCCTGCATGTTGTCATGGGAGAAGGTGCAGGGCTATCGCATATTAGCAGAGCAACCTCAACGCCCTTCGAACGAATGTGAGGATCGGCTGCGGCAGATCTGGGCGGAATGTCTGAATCGGCCTGTGGAGGAGATCAGCACCTCTACTAGCTTCTTCCGCTTGGGGGGAGACTCAGTCAGCGCAATGCAGGCTGCAAATAGCTGCCGAATGGCGGGCTGGTCGGTGACGGTGGGCGACATGTTCCGATATCCGACCATCACCAAGCTCGCCGAACGGATGCAGGAGCTGGGCAGACCGCAGCACCTGTCTCCCAGCCTCCAGGAAGATCCGACCAACAAGCTGTTCCGGCTCTCGCCTGTTCAAAAAATGCTCTTCGACTATGATCCGAAGGGCAACAACAGGTTTACGCAGCAATTCCTTCTGCGAGTTACTCGCTCGATCTCCGCTTCTACCCTTCAAGGGGCAATCCAGGCAATAGTCTCCCGGCACTCGATGCTGCGTGCTCGGTTTATGAGGGATAAAAGTGGTCAGTGGGCCCAGATGGTTTCATCAGACACTGGTGGTTCAGTCAAGCTTTCTGAGTATTTCCTGCCATCCCTCCATGATGAGGAAGGGCTGCGTCGGATACTGGATGCGAGCCAGGCCTGCTTGGACATTGTGCAAGGGCCCCTGGCTGCCGTCGACCTCATTACAACAGAGCGTGGGTCGCAGTATTTGAGTATTATGGCTCATCACTTGGTTATTGATTATGTTTCATGGAGAGTGATTCTGCAAGACCTCGAGGATATCCTCGCGACCGGCGTACCGCTGCAACCGCCCTCTATCCCCTTCCAACAATGGTGCCAGCTGCAGCAGACATACGCTGAAGAGTCATTGGATCCGAAAACAGCGTTGTCTTCAAACATTCCAACCGCTCAGGTTGACTACTGGGGTCTAGGAAATGCGCAGAATACATGGGCCGACGTGGTACATGAATCGATCAAGGTGTCTCAGGATGCTACACAGGCGCTTCTCGGGCTTGCAAACGATGCTTTCCATACCAGGCCTGTCGAACTCATTCAGGCGGCAATTCTCTATGCCTTTGTTCAAATTTTTGATGACCGCCAGGCACCTGCAATTTTCAACGAAGGCCATGGACGGGAGCCGTGGGATGCCACAATTGATATTTCACGGACTGTGGGCTGGTTTACCACCATGGCGCCTCTTTTTGTCGATGCTCATAAGGGACAAGGAATTACCGAGCTGCTACAGCTCATCAAGAGTGGTCGCCGATCGATGCCGTCCAACGGATGGGCTTACTTCGCCTCGCGGTATCTTCACCCGCAGGGCCCAAGTCATTGCGAGGGCCACGCACCGATCGAGATTCTGTTCAACTATTCAGGACTATTCCAGCAGCTAGAGAGGCAAGATGCGATTCTTCAACTGGCCGTATCTGCTGACCACGACATCCTGCCTATACCTCTAGACTTGCCACGATTCGCTTTGATTGACGTGTCTGCAACAGTTACCGACGGCTCCTTTCACCTGAGTTTCGCATATCATCGACACATGCACCATGGAGACCGAATTATGCAATGGATCCAGAATTGTCGGTCTACACTGGAAGGGCTTCCGCGCCAACTACAAGATAAATGCCAATTCACCGTGCTGGACTTCCCTTTGCTCGCCCTCGATAACGATGAGCACCTACAAGTTCTGCTCCAAGACATAGTTTCTCTGACCGGTGCCGGACTATCGGATATTGAAGATATTTACCCTTGCTCACCAGTTCAACTCGGCATGTGGCTCGGTCAGGTGAAGACTTTGGGGAAATACTGGTCCCATATCCGGTGGTCTGTTGAGCCGATAGACAGCCAACTATCAGTACACATTGAAGATGTTCAGAGGGCATGGCAGCAAGTGGTAGACCGCCATCCTATTCTGCGAACTATCTTTGTTGACGAGCATACGAAGCACGGTCATCCTGTGCAAGCTGTGCTCGAGTCACTTCGAGCTGATGTCCAAATTGTCACAACCCAGGACATGGGAATGGAAGATAATATCTCACGTCAGCAATATCTCACTGGGAAGGGTTTGCCTTTGCATCAATTAACTCTTGCCGTTGGCCCTGGTGGCAGCATTGTCTGTCAACTCTTCATCCATCATATGCTGATGGATGGCGCCAGTCGCCACATCATTTTAGACGAATTTCACCAGGCTTACGATGGAATTCTGAGCAGCAAATCAACAGCCCCCTATAGCGCCTACATAGCTTACATTCAACAGCATTCCGGCCAACCGGAGAAGTACTGGACAGAGTACCTGAATGGTGTCAGCCCCTGCCTATTTCCTGCACTGGCAGCAACGCAACTGGAGGAAACTCACATGACCCCACACATGGTACTATTCGAGTTTCAGGACGATGGTAAAATCCGGTCTTTCTGCCACGATCAGGGCATTACAATATCCAGCCTCCTGCAAGTGGCGTGGGGCCTGGTGCTCCGAAGCTATATTGACTCGGATTCCGTCGTGTTTGGCTACTTGTCCGCTGGTCGCAACATTCCTTTGAAAGATGTCTCCGATATTGTCGGACCACTCATCAGCCTACTTGCCTGTCGTCTGACCTTGAATAACGATGCGGACCTCTTGTCGACAGTACTCCAAAATCAGACAGCTTATGCGAACAGTATCGATAATCAACATGGCTCCATGTCTGAAGTTGTGCACTCTCTTGGTCTCTCGGGTCAACCGTTGTTCAACACCGCCATGTCGATCCAGCATAACGTACCTGATCAAGTACACGGTGGTGCATCTGCTGTTGCTGTCAGGAAAGATGGGGGGAATGATTCGACTGATGTAAGTGCGCGTCCGACGCGATCATCATATTACCTGAATTCCATTTCTTTTTCTTACAAATGCCCTCCAATTGGACATTGAAGACCGGTGGCAACGGCGAAGCGTGGCACCCCAGCTTACTAAAAGTGCTGATGACATGTAAATTAGTATGATATCACTGTCAACATCACCATGGATTCGGTCAGCATTGAAGGTGACCTTACATACACCAATATAATCAGCGACACTCAGGCAGAGCTGCTTGCGGATACATTACAACACGTCGTCATGCAGCTCATAAGCCGTACCGCGTCTCGTGTGGGTGACCTTGACTTACTTAGCGACAAGAACAAAGACCAGATCTTTCAATGGAATCGCTCTCTGCCAGATCCAGTGATGCGGTGTATCCATCGAAGTATCCAGGACTACAGCCTGCTACATCCGAAAGATTTAGCAGTGGATGCATGGGACAACTCTCTCACGTACGAAGAGCTTGATGTTATCTCATCATCCTGGGCCCAGCATCTAGCTCATCATGGTGTTGGACCAGAGATGTTCGTTCCGGTCTACTGCGATCGTTCGAGCTCTGTTGTCGTGGCCGTCCTTGCCATCTTGAAGGCGGGAGGTGCTTTTGTTCTATTGGATCATTCTCACCCCAAGGAACGACTGCAAGACATGCTGCAGCGGGACCTTTCTTGCCCGATCATAATAACATCAGCTGAACATGCGGAAGCTGCTTCTACCATTGCGCCGAGGCTAATCCTTATCGAGGACATGTCGGAGCAGCGTCTACCAGGTGTCCAACCACTCGTGGAGCCCTCCCCATTGAATGCCGCATACGCTGTCTTTACCTCCGGTAGTACTGGCAGGCCCAAGGGCTGTGTCATTGAGCACAAGTCGCTACATTCTGCAGCCGAAGCACAGAGGAAGGCCTTTCGCATACATGCCAAATCCCGTGTCCTTCATTTTGCATCGTATGCATTTGACGCCTGTATCATCGAGATTTTCACCACTCTTCTTGCTGGCGGCTGTATCTGCATCCCACCCGACAACGAAAGGCACAATTTACAGGATAATATCCCAAAGTTTCGGATTAACTGGTCGTTGCTGGTCACATCAGTGGCCCGCACATTGAATCCGAAGGGTGTGTCTCCGTTGGAAACACTTGTGCTCGGCGGCGAGAAAATGACCGACCATGATGTTCGTCGCTGGTCGCCTTATGTTCAGTTGATGAATGCATACGGTCCATCAGAGTGTAGCATGGTCGCACTGAGCCAGGCTGGCTCCCATGTTCTCTCAACAGATCCAGCCAACATTGGCATCCCAGTTGGCGGCGGCGTTTGGGTAATGAACCCAGCCAATCCAAACCAGCTAGTACCAGTGGGCGCCATCGGAGAGTTACTCGTCGACGGACCGATTGTGGGGCGAGGCTATGTTAATCGTCCCGAAAACATGACTGCTTCATTTATTTCTTATCCCGACTGGATGAACGGTATTCGCAGCCCAGGAAAGAACAAGTTATACAGAACCGGGGATCTCGTTCGCCAACTTCCGGACGGGTCGATCCGTTATATTGCCCGACGGGATCGCCAAGTTAAGCTCAGGGGCCAGCGCATTGAACTTGCCGAGATCGAACATCATGTTCAACGATGCTTCCCACAGTGCACTGATGTGTTTGTCGATACAGTGATACCTGAGGCACTTCAAACGGTATACCTGGTGGCGACAATTGCTTTGCCTACTCACCAGGATGAAAGCAATACCTTCGAGAAGGCCGTGGCGCAGGCGAAGGCTCGTCTGATTGCGGAGGTGCCGGTCTTTCTCATCCCCAATGCCTTCATACCACTGCACGATATCCCGCGTCTCGTCAATGGAAAGGTAGATCGACGCAAGGTGTATCAACATGCCTCAGACGCCCTGTTGCAGCCAATCGGTGAACCGAGTGCCAGCCAGATCGAGTGGGGTCCCGATAGCCTCCAACCAGAGGAACGGCTGATGCAAGATCTATGGGCAAGTGTGCTCAAACGTCCTAATATAACAATCGGTCCTGATGATAACTTCTTCTTACTGGGAGGAGACTCATTGGCCGCTATGAGACTGGCCTCTGCCGCTGCCGCCCAGGGTCTTAGACTTGCTGTACCGCAAGTCTTCCTACATCCCCGGATGCGAGATCTTGCGTGCACCATATCACGCGACAAGAAGATGCCAGCCTCACAGATTGCCTTAACAAAAGAAGTTGAAACTCCAGCCCCATTTTCGCTTCTTCTGCAGGAGAAGAAAGACGGCATTCTACAAGACGCCATCGACCAATGCAATATTTCCTTGTTGCAGATTCAAGACATCTATCCATGCACGCCCTGGCAGACTGGGCTTGCCTTTTCAACAGCCGCATCGTATATGAAGCAGCATCGTCTCCGTCTCAGCCAAGATGTCCAACCGAATAAATTACGCACAGCGTGGGAAACCGTTGCAGCGAGCGATTCCATCTTGCGAACTCGCCTGGTTGATACAGGGGACACGGGCTGCATGCAAGTCGTCGCCAGATACGAAGGTTTAAATTGGACCAGCACGAAAACAAATCCGCCGTTGGTCCTGATCGAAAGCCCGTGCTTCGGGAAGCCGCTGGTCCACTTTGAAATTTACTCGCCTGCCGATAACCGGCCAGTTGACCTTGTGATCACGATGCACCCTGCCCTTTTCGATCCACATTCATTCTCGCTCTTATTAGCCAAGGCTCAGTCTGTCTATGATGGGCTTCCCACTATTGGTCCTGATCAGTCTGCGTCCTTGGTCAAGCACATTCAGTCTCAAAAGGAAGCCGCCTTGTCTTTCTGGCGAACTCAGCTAAGTGACGTTGAAACCGACCCATTCCCCTCGGCACACCCTCAGCCACTCGCGGACGTTTCATCCATGCAAATACAGATTCAATCGACGGTGTCAATACCTAGTCCAACAGATGGTGTGGATCGTGCCACCGCTATCACGCTTGCGTGGGGCCTCGTACAATCCCAGTATCAATGCAGGGACGACGTAGTCTTCGGAATCATGTCCGATAGGTTCAAGGCATCTATATCGAGTGCAGAGGCCCTTACCTTGCCAACAACGGCAATCGTCCCGTTCCAAATGTCCGTTGGCGCCAGTTCGAGCGTGTCTCAAGCCATGGCCAATATTGGTCAGCGGCTGGCTGATCTAGGGCAATTTGAGCAGCTTGCATTGCCAGAGATCGCGGCCTTGAGCTCCGGAGCCAAGATTGCATGCTCATTCCGGACACTTCTGGCTATTGAAGGGAGCCATATTAAAGAAGAAATCGATCCAAAATTCGCCAGATATCGTGGAACCGATGACTTTGTCCATCCATATCCGCTGCAAATTGTGGTTGGCTTAGAGCCAAACCAGCTAGTCATCAAGGCCGCGTTTGATGTGTCTGTCATTTCGGAATGGCAAATGCAGCATCTGCTTGATCAGTTCAGCCACATGCTTCAGCAGGTACATAGTCAGAACGAGTCCCTCGTGGGAGATATTCTAACGGTGAACCCTGGCGATATCCAAGAGATGGAAGCATGGAACTCCAACGTACCCTCCTCGTCTTCTGAAACTGTGGCAGATCTGATTTATCGCAACTGTCTGGAGCGACCGTTCGCTCCTGCCGTGTGCGCTTGGGACGGAGACTTCTCCTACGAGGAACTGGAGTTCGAGGCAAACCATCTAGCGAATATTCTTGTCGCCTACGGTATTCGACCCGAGAGTGTTGTTGCTATATACTCGGAGCGATCACGATGGGTGGCTGTGGCCATTCTCGCTGTCCTTAAAACACGAGCGGCTTTTGTGCTTTTGGACCCCTCACATCCGCTGGCTCGCCTTCAGACGATCTGCTCCGACGTTGAGGCATCGGTTGTCATTTCTAATACAAGCTCTAAGACTAATGCCATGAATCTGGCGCCGAATGTCGTTTGCGTCGATGTTCCGGTCAATGCACTGGACTTGCAGCCGGCGAAGTATGGCGCAATTCCCGGTGACCCTCACAATGCTCTTTACATCGTCTTTACATCCGGGTCGACTGGGAAGCCTAAAGGTGTGATCATCGAAAACGGATCATTTGTGACCATGGCGAAGTCTTTCATCGCCAAGACGGGTCTCGGGCCACATTCCCGATTGCTACAAATGTCGGGATTTGCGTTTGACGTTAGTATATTTGAGTATCTGTTCACATTGCTTACCGGCGCATGTGTGTGCATACCGTCGGAAGCCGAGAGAATGGATGCAGTCGGCGAGTCGGTCAAGAGTCTGCAAGCAACCCACGTTGTCATGACTCCCACGCGTCTTCGAGCTCTGACCCCGGCTGACCTGAGACCCATGCATACGGTGATGCTGATCGGAGAGACCCTTCGGGCCAGTGACATAGAACAGTGGACAAAGCATATGCGTGTGATCAATTTGTATGGCCCCACGGAATGTACGGTACTCTTCACCGTTCAACACATGGTGGAGTCATCTCGACCCGCGAATATCGGTCGGCCCATAGCTGGCTCAGCATGGATAGCCGATCACCGGGATCCCCACCGGCCGGTCCCCATCGGTGCCGTGGGAGAGCTACTTCTGCAAGGCCCTCTCGTCGGTCGGGGGTACAAGAACAACCCCGAAAAAACAGCTGCTGCCTTTATCCCCTGTCCACCATGGATTCAAAGCCTGGGCAGGAAAGGGAATCCGAGTAATCTTGCGGTATACCGAACTGGTGATTTGGTTCGCTATGAAGCCGATGGGACTTTCCACTTCCTTGGAAGAAGAGACTTTCAAGTCAAGTTACGTGGCCAACGAGTCGAGCTGGGCGAAGTTGAGCAGCAGGTACAACAAACCTTCCCCGGTGGCCTGAGAGATGCTCTTGCCCTGGTCATCACACCGGCTGCTGCAGTCAAGTCACAATGCCTGGTTGTCTTCATTGTTCCGGAAGATGCTGCACAAGCACCTAGACAACTGCCTTCGCTAATCCCACCTCTAGCCGTCATGGGTTCAAGCAAGCTCAGCAAAAATATTGGAGTGGCTAAACAGCGTCTTGGGAATATCCTCCCGAGTCACATGGTACCGACAGCTTTTGTTCCCCTTGAATACCTCCCCAAAACTAGTTCAAGCAAAACCGATCGACGACAGCTACAAGAGGCAATCGCCGCCATAACCTGGCAGCAATTGGAAGCCTTTATTCCAACGGTCTTCGAAGACTCTGTCATAGATGCATGCCCTCAGCAAACAGATAGCGCTCTGGTTAGTGCAGCAGATGCGAATGTGGAAGCAATATATCCCTGTACACCTGCGCAGCGTGGTATGTTGCTGACCCAGATTGAGGATCCCGGGATGTACTCTGTTCATTTCATTTGGAAGATGTCTACTGTTTCAGGAACACCAGTGAGTGTTGTGCGGTTGAAGAGTGCGTGGCAAGAGGTAGTGGCGCGACATTCTGCACTTCGAGCTGCCTTCCGGTTGGACTCATCAGTTGGTGGCCATTTCGAACAAGTTATATATCGAAACGCCGAGGCTCCGGTAACCATCATCGCAGGTGTCCCTCAGACCATGCATTCCGACGCACCGGATGCCCTTGTCCAATCACCTGCAAGGGGGTCCTCTCATGATGGTAAATCATTACCTCACCATCTAACAATATGCACCGCTACAACAGGCGAAGTCTTCTGCAGGCTTGACATTAATGTGATCATCGATGCGACGTCAGAATCTTTGCTCGAACGCGATTTATGCCGCGCGTATGATTCGTGCTTGTCCAGGGGGTCTCACATCGATGCTTATCCGGGATATCTCGAGTTTGTGAGACAACAACCAATGAAACCGGCACAGGATTTCTGGAAGTCCTACCTACAGGGTTACAAGCCCAGCCATTTGCCTCGCAGCAGGAGCAACTTGGGAAAAGAATTTGCGAACAGACAGGAGACATTGGAAGCTACCCTTGATAACTGCGGGTCAAAGATTGAGTCTTTCTGCCACGAGAGTGATTGGACTCCGGCCAACCTATTGCACATGGCCTGGGCTTTGGCATTGAAAGCTTTCACTGGATCAGATGACATCTGCTTTGGCACACTTTCCTCCGGGCGGACGGTCCCAGTGCCTCACATGGATGAGGCTGTTGGGCAATTTGCTAACATGTCAGTGTGTCGAATTCGCTTCACGCCAGATTCGACTTTGGATGACGCTGCCTTGGATTTACTGGCACAATACTATAATGTCCTCACATACCAATCATTCCCCCTTGTTGCTATTGCACGCTCTGTGGGGTTGATGATGCAGGATTTAGCTCCTACCGCTGTCAATATCCAATATGAACCGCCACATGCCCCAGACAATCAGTACTCCCTTCGAATGCACAATATCACTGGCAAGGATCCTGTCAATGTAAGTCTCTCCTGTTCGAGTTTCTTTCTCCGTTGAACCTCCTAACCATTGGATCTGTTGAACAGATCGATATCACGCTATTTATTGCTCTGCAACGGGACGGACACATGAAAGTGCTTCTGAATTACTTTCCTTCGCGGGTGGCGACAATTCTCATGACTCAGATTTTCGATTACTTCCAACTCGCCATTTCGAAGATCATTGAGTCTCCCCAAGCGCGTATGAAGGAGATAGAGCTCTTCAGTGACCGGGATCAAAGGCGTTTATGTCAATGGAACCCGCCATGTGCAGAGGGTCCCCCTGTTTGCCTGCATGAAGTTATCGAGAGTCGGGCTAAAGAACACCCTCAACACCTCGCTATCGTGGGCTGGGATGGACAACTCACCTACGAGGAGCTGGATCGAGCAGCTACTGAGGTTGCAGTGTACCTCCGCGAGAGAGCCGTCATCGAGGGTAATCTCATACCCATTTGCTTTGAAAAGTCGAAATGGGCGATTGTCACCATCCTCGCGATAATGAAAGCTGGCGGCACTATCATCCCTCTCGACCCTGGCGTGCCTTTGGTCCGACTGCAGGAGATTACAAGTCTTATCAACGCCAGAGTCGTCGTCTCATCAATGGCTCAGACATACCTGTGCGACAGCCTCGCTGAAAATGTCATCGTCGTCGATAACCGCTGCCTTGTGGATTACTTGGACAATACAGGTGGCTCGGTTCTGCCGTCGACCTCCCCCGATCAAGCAGCATATATCTTGTTCACGTCGGGGACAACCGGTACCCCGAAGGGGGTCATTGTTTCGCACCGCTCTTACGCCAACTCAGCATCGGGCCAAATCAGCGCCTTCGAACTGACCGCTGCTTCCCGTGTTTTACAGATGTCGTCTTATGCGTTTGACTCGGCCATGCTGGAGATCCTGACAACCTTGATCGCAGGAGCAACCGTCTGCGTAATCTCCGAGTCAGAACTGAATCAAATGATGGTCACGGGCATCTGCCCCTTTCCCGTGTCTCATGCATTTTTAACACCTTCGCTTGCTAGTGGCCTCGATGCTACGCAGTCATCCTGGGTGGAAACCATGGTTCTGGTTGGAGAGCCCATGACTGATTCACACATCGAGCAATGGAGCACTGCGTGTCGATTAGTCAACGGATATGGTCCAACTGAATGTGCCGTCTGCTCTACCGTCTCGCAAGATCTTGTACCTGGCGACGATCCTCGCAACATTGGCTGGGGTGTAGCGATCAACTGCTGGGTAGTCGACCAGCATGACAGCAACAAGCTTGTGCCCGTTGGCGCTATAGGGGAATTGGTGCTCCAAGGGCCTTCGGTTGGGCAGGGGTATCTTGGGCAGCCGGAGAGGACCGCGGAGGTATTCATCCCACCACCACAGTGGCTACAGACCTTTCACCCGGGGCAGCCTGCTACAGAGAGACTCTATAAAACCGGCGACCTTGTACGCTACGAGATATCTGATGGATCTCTCCGTTTTGAACGACGAAAGGATCGTCAGATCCAAGTCAATGGGCAACGTGTAGAGCTGCAAGAAGTGGAATACCACATTCGGCAGTTTTTCCCACGAGCCAAAGAAGTGGTTGTCGAAGAGGTTCGAGGGTCTAACCAAGAAGTAAAGGACTCTTGGACCACCACAAGCGCTACTTCCTTCGTGCCCCGCTTGGCTGCATGTATCTGGTGTGACGGGGATGGTGAGGATCGCAACTCGAGGAAGGCTAGTGTGGATGCTGAACGCCCTCTCCTGGGGAGGCCCAGCCCGGACTTCCATGCTCAAGGAGCAGCTGCCCTCAATCAACTGCGCAAAAGACTCCCGGGGTACATGATCCCTGACATCTGTGTGCCTCTCACTCGAATCCCGCGATCGACATCCGGCAAGACTGATCGGAATAAATTGCGCGAGCATCTCAGAGCCGTCCCATCGCACGAATGGCGCGAATTGGCGGAGGTTCAGCGGCGCAAACAGCCTGTGGAGGGTGAAAAGGCGAACAAGTTCCATGGAATCCTGGCCGGTTTGCTCGGCATACCCGCCGAGAAGGTGGGCGCGGATGACAGCTTCCTCCATCTTGGAGGAGACTCGATCCTGGCCATGAGAATCGCTGCTCGCGCGAGGATGGAGGGCCTGGAGATTCACTCCGGCGACATCTTGCGGCATCCAACCATCCGCGAATGGGCCGATCTCGCACGTACCATCGGAGGCCCCGTTTCTCAGCCTTCTTCTCACGCCCCTTACTCCCTGGTCACGGACACTGAACGCAGGGAGGTTCTGGAAACCTACCTCGACCAAGATGGCGCATTGACTCGAAACGATGTAATCGATGTCCTTCCCACGGTTGAGTTCCAAGCTTACAACATTGAGAACCCTACCGTGGTCCACATTGCTCACATTTTCAACGGCCCTCTCGATCTGGCTCGGCTGGGCCGTGCGTGCACCCAGGTAGTCTCGCAGCACAGCATCTTACGGTCGGCGTTTGTGACCCTTGCCGGCCAGATCTATCAAGTCATACTCCGCTCGATCCAGTCTGAGGTTCGTCACTTGGAATGCGAAGATGCTAAGTCATGGATCTCCCAGATGCACGGGTCGAAGCCAGAACAGCAGCATCTAGATCAACCATTCATTGAGTTTACCGTGGTCAGCAGTCGGACTCAGGACGAATGGGCATTTATGATCCACATGTCACATGGCCAATGTGATGGGTCCTCCTTGCCTGTGCTTTGGCAGTCACTTGCGGACGCCTATAATGGCCATGGGTCTCCCAATAGCACCGAATTCAAGGACGTGGTTTACCACCGGCTGGCAGAAGACCACACGCAAGCCTTCGCCTTCTGGCGGGCATATCTTGCCGGTGCTTCTTCCCCAGTCATCGACTTCGCTCGCGATTGTTGTTCGTCCCAGAATTTTGAGCAGACTTCCGTCAGCCGACAACTTGGACAACAGACTCTGCCAGCTGGGGTTACAATGGCAACACTGGTACATGGCACTCTGGCATTTATCCTGGCCCAGTATTCCGACCGCCCGGATGCCATCCTCACTCAAGTGGTCCACGGCCGCGGCGGTTCCCTCCCTGGCATGGACCAAGTCATTGGCCCCTGCGCAAACCACCTGCCCATGCGGGTCCGAATCGATGTGCAGTGGTCTGTGGCCGAGCTTCTACACCATGTGCAAGCCCAACGGCTCGAAATCGCCCCTTACGACTACATGGCATTTGGGGAGATCGCCGCGAAATGCACAAACTGGCCAGCGCACACTACGTTTGGGTGCGTGGTGAATCACCAAACTGTGGCCTCGACGAGTGGCGTAGAACTTGACGGTGTTCGCACGGTCTCCAATACATGCTGGACTACTGGAAAGAAGGCTCTTGCTCCCGGTCAGATGGTCCTGACGTCGATTGAGCGGGAGTCAGGACTGGAGATTTCCCTCGCGGCTGCTCCAGATGTGATGGATGCACCTACAGCAGAGCTCGTGGCCCAGGATCTCAGCGATGCCATTCGGCTCTTTGTTGCAAATCCGGATCGCCGTCTCGTCGACCTGGCCGACGAGGGGTTCGTGCTCATCAGCAAATCGTCCTGTGGCTCCCCTGCAGCGCCTGGCACTCCCCCAAACTAGGGGATGCACCAGGGCTTCTCTCGTCAAATCTGTTGCGAGGTAAGTGACTTCGCGTCTAAATGAATTGGTGCTGACTAATAGGGTACCAGAATTCATTTCTCGTTGTTGGAATGGCGTACCTTTGTATTTCGAGGCTTGTATCTATGTTTCATTTCTAGTTCTTGTTATACTTGCTGGAAGATTTTATGCCTCTCCAGGGTTACATATTCAGATTCCATTACTGCAGCCCGACAGGAGGGACTGTTTAATTGCCCCAGCAGATAGAGCCAGTACATAGGGTTTGAGGAGTTAATAAATCTGCTTGTCCCAACCAAATACGAGGAGGCCATCGCCTTAAGTCTGGCTCGACCCACCGATCGACCCGCGGCCAACAAACATCATCATCATCATGATCACTTCCCCTCTTTCTCCTCCTCCTCCTGTCTCTTCCTTTCCTCTCTACTCACATAGCTCACATTTCCCCTCTACCCAAGGACAGCCAACATGAAGATAGTCATCATCGGTGGCGGCATCTCCGGCTTCGCGACATATCTGGCCCTCCGCCAACATCTGCCTCGCCCTTCACCCCCCGCCACCGACCACGAATACACCATCTACGAGGCCTACGACACGGGCCAGGATACGACCTTCCGTGAGCGCCCCGAGGGAGGCCCACACTCGTCCACCCTCATCGTGGGCGGGGGTCTCGGCGTCGGGCCCAATGGGCTGCACGTCCTCCAGCGCCTCGACGCGCAGTTACTGCGCGACACCGTCCAGGGTGGATACGTCGTCGACCACAGCAATCTGAAAAGCAAACACGGCCGTCTTCTCGTGCGATTGGACTCCCGTGGAGCGTGCAGCTCCGCCCAGCAGACCGCGGGGCATCAGTCCCCGATGCATCTGCTGGGCACCAGCCGCCATTCGCTCTGGCGGTGTCTGCGTGTGCGCATCCCCGATGCTGTCATCGTCCACAAACGCGTCTCCGGGGTTGTCGCCAATCCCCAGGGTCGGAACCAGGTCCACTTCACTGATGGCAGCCCGTCTGTGGAGGCGGATCTGGTCATTGGGGCCGATGGGCTTAAGAGCACCGTCAAACGGGCTCTGTTTCCTGAGGCGAATGAGGACCCGTATCCTCCACATTATGAGTACGTGTGAGCCTCTTTTTCTGCCCTACTCACTTGGCCTTGCTTCACGTCTAACAGTGACTGCAATCCAGAGGCCTCGTCGGCATCGGCGGGTTCGTCCCCTCTGCACTCGTGCAACCATACGTCGAGGACGGGTCGATGAACTTCGTCTTCGGTGGCAACGGATTCTTCGGCTACTTCTACGCAGACAGTGCCTCGTCGGCCTCCCATCGCGACTCGCCCTACCACGTCTCCCCGCCGGGGGACTTACTGGGATGGTGGTCCACCTATTCGATTGACGAGTGCCCGAATCCTAAAGACCTTGACACCGAGGACGTCACCCGTCAGCTGCGCGAGCGCTACAGCACATGGCCCGACCCCGTCGTCCAAGCGGTCATCGCATCCATCCATGTCGAGAACATGTGGCCCATGTGGACGTCGCCGTCGCTACCCACCTGGGAGCGCGACGGGCTCGTGCTGGTCGGTGATGCCGCGCATGCCCTGCCCCCGACCTCCGGCCAAGGATCGTCCCAGGCCTTGGAGGACGCGGAGGCTTTGGCCAGGATCCTCGGTCATTATCTGCGTCCCTCCTATGCCGAGCCCCAGCTGGACAGGGCCACCGAGAAGCTAGCCCTGAAAGCCGCCGCCAAGCAGTATATGGACCTCCGACGGCCCAGAGTGCAGGCCATCCTGGAGCGGGCCAAGGCCATGCAGAATACCAAACGGGACATGAGTTTCGTCCAGGAATATGTGATGTATCTGCTGCTGTGGCTGATCGGTAAGTCTCGCCTCTCACCGTCAATTGTTTCACCCAGGCATACCCGACTTATCCATCAATAACTAGGCTGGTTTCCCATCCTATTTTCGAGGCAGCAACGCCAGGTCTACGACTACGACCTGCCCGCCGAGGTCAACCGGGTCCTGGCCAGGGGGGGGTCGATGGATTAAGCTGTGGGCTCCACCATGAGCCCCATCGGACCTGTCGACTGGGGGCCCTGCATCAGTAAGGAGACCGTTGTCAAATGTGGCGCCTGCTCAGCCTCCGAAACAGGCAAAACTGCCAGGACCAATGCCAATATCATGCACCAAGGATCACCGTTAGGCCTTCCGTCTCTCTGGATGGACTCGCGGTGTATGCGACAGGTCATCCACCCCTTCCTGGACCGCACGCATATCCGCCGAGCTAACTATCGATCTGCGTCCTGCACGGCCATGACACCGCCACGGCCGTTGCCTGCGTCCCGTCCCAGTCGGGGCGTGAAGCCCATCCATCTCGCTATAAGAACTCCCGCGCGGCGGTTGGCCCAGTCCCCAACCCTACCCTACCCCATCTTTCCCTGCTCTTCCTTCCCTCTCCTCCCATATACCCATCCCCCCTTCTCTCCACAATGCCCGACACTCACATCCCCTTAACCGGGTACCTCTTTGCCCGCCTCCACCAGCTGGGCATCCGCAGCGTCCACGGCGTCCCCGGCGACTACAACCTCGTCGCCCTGGACTACGTCACCCCGGCCGGCCTCCGCTGGGTTGGCAATGCCAACGAGCTCAACGCGGGCTACGCCGCCGACGGATACGCTCGCATCGCGGGTCTATCGGCGCTCTTCACCACCGGGGGCGTCGGGGAACTGTCCACCCTGAACGCAGTCGCAGGCGCCTACTCGGAACGAGCCCCCGTCGTCCACGTTGTCGGCACTCCCCCGACGAGCTTTCAGGACCGCGGCCTCAATCTGCACCACTCCCTCGGCGACGGCAACCTGCGCGTCTATGCCTCCATCTACGAGAAAGTCACCTGCGCGCAGGCCAACCTCCGTGACGCCACGACGGCCCCCCAGATGATCGACGACACCCTCCGCCAGTGCCTCCTCCACAGTCGACCCGTCTACATCGAACTGCCTGCCGACATGGTCACGGCCCCCGTCCCTGCCTCGCTCCTCGACACCCCCATCAACACCGCCCGACCCCCCAACGACCCCGACCTCGAATCCACCCTCATCCACTCCCTCCTCGATGAACTCTACTCCGCCCGCCAACCCCTCCTCATCATCGACGGCATGGCCGCCCGCTACCACATCGAAGACGAGGTCAATACCCTCGTCCACCAAACCGGCTTCCTCACCACCACCACCGCCTTCGGCAAGGGCATCGTCCAAGAATCCCACCCCACCTTCTACGGCGTCTATACCGGCGCCGCGGGCAACCCGGACTTCATGCACTGGGTGCAGTCCTGCGACTTGGTCCTGCGCATCGGCTCCCTCAAGGCCGACTCGAACAGCTACGGCTTCACGGCGCTCACGGACTCGCGCGTGACCATCGAACTCGACCAGGATCTCTTCGACTTCCGCGGCACAAAGCACAATATGTCCGATATCAAGTCCTTCCTGCAGAGCCTGCTCCGCGAATTCGAGCCCACGAACCTCCAGGCCAGCAATCGCGGGCTCGAGTTCATCCCCCCTTCTCCCACAGACCTCGCTCTCTCCCTCCCCGCAGAAGGACCTATCACTCACGATCGTTTCTGGACCTACATCTCCCGCTTCTTCGGCGAGGGAGACACCATCATGACTGAAACGGGCACCTCGTACGTCGGCAGCTGCGACTTCATCCTCCCGGCCAACACGACCGTCGTTAATTCGGGCATCTGGCTGAGTATCGGGTACATGTTGAGTGCGTGTAGCGGCGCGGCATTGGCCCAGAAGGAGATGGTTGCCTCCGGTCTGCGCGGACCCGGTCGGACCATTCTCTTTGAGGGAGACGGCAGTTTCCAGGTCACGGCCCAGGCTGTCAGTGATATCATTCGGAATCGCATCGACGTGACCATCTTCTTGTTGAATAATGATGGGTATACCATTGAGCGGTGAGTTACACTCCTCCCCTCTCCTCTTCCAATAGTCCTCTTCAGAGGGTACATGGTATACTATACTTTAGTCCATGTTGGCTGATCCACCATAGATACATCCACGGCATGCAAGCCGAATACAACGACGTGCAACCCTGGCGATACCTCGACTCGCCGTGGTACTTTGGCGCCCCCCGCGATGACCCCGATTACCCGGTGTTCACGAAACGGGTGACAACCTGGAGCGAGCTGGCTGACGTCCTGGACCATGAGCAGTTACGCGCCGGAAAGGGCTTCAATATGGTTGAGATTGTCATGCCCAAGGAGGATGCCCATCCTAGGCTGAAGGAGCAGATGCGTATCGCTAGTCGGCAGAATAATGCCCAGGAGGAGGAGAGGTTATAGGGATGTGTTTTGGGGGGTGTTGTTGTGGCGTATTTGCTTTGTGGTTTGGATTCAGTTGAGGTGATGTAAAAGTTTGATTGAGGTTGGGGTAGGGCTGCAATTTCATATCAATGCGTGTACTATTGAACGGTTTTGGGTATATTCATCGAGGGTGAAATTGTTTGGGTTCTACTTCGGGGTAAATCAACCAGTTGGCCAAAGCGTACAAGCCTTTTCACGTACTTCGTGGCTGGTTCCCGATGACAGTAACCGTCCCAGACGGTATCGGCGCTCTGTACCCTTGCGAGTCCGAATAAAGCACTGGATTAAAGCTGTTCAGGCACATAGACAGTGATGGTGCTGCATGTTGACAGGCCCTTTTTTCGTGAAGACAATCGACTCATGTATAGCCTTAGTATATATACCCAAATAGCCAACCCACCGGAGTGTAAACAACTAAGGTAGCAAATTCATCCAGACCTCATTACTTCAACCTAATATCTCCTCAACCCCATGTCCATGCCCAACCCAATCCAACCCAACTGATCATCTTATCTACATATCCCCCTTCCCGTCGCATGCCATCAAGAGTAATCAAATAATAATCAAACCGACTCCGCATGAACAGCCCCCATCTTCACCTCCCCCGCCTTCTCACTCACACTCAGACTCCCATTCACTCCCTCACCCCTCGGCACCGGCATCGCCATCGCATCCGGTCCATCAAATACCACGGCCATCTGCTCGAGGCTGTATCCCTTTGTCTCGGGGTAGAAGAAGTACGCCGTGACGCCGAACAGCAACAACATGACAATGAACACGATGTAGTATTTCCATTCGATGGCGTCCAGGGCAATCGGATTGACGAACGTGTTGAAGAACATCCCCACGATCGTGGCTACCCATGTCACGGTTAGACCGCGGGATCGGAGACGGTAGGGCCAAATTTCACACGGGTAGGAGGTGAGGAAGGGTGTTCTGGGGCAGGTTTATTGTCAGTTCTTTCGTTTGCTGTGTGATATGGTGGGGGGGGAGGGGGGTATTTACAGCGCGATGCAGTATCCTGCGAAGAAGATGAATAGAAATGGGATCACGGCCGCCCCTGTAGCGGAATTGTTCGTGACTTTGAAAGATCCGGACAGTGCTGTTACGAGCACATAGCTCAGGAACATGATGGCTGCGGACGCAAGGAAGAGAGGCCGACGGCCGAGTCGGTCGATCAGGAATGCTCCGATCGCAGCGAAGAGGAGATCCCACATCTGCAGACACGCCGAGATGAGCGTCTGGTCTCGCACCTCGGTCACGCCAACGGAGTCGAGGATGAGGGCCAGGTAGTACGACACGACCCCGTTTCCGGCCCATTGGGCAAAGAAGCCGAGACTGATCGAGATCATCAATCTCCATCGGTTGCCGGGGGTCTTGACCATATCAAGGTAGCTGGCACTGCTGTGCGCTTCTTGCTCGGCTCGAATGGTCGAACTGATCTCGGTGAACTCGTAGGCTACCAGCGGGGAGGACTCATCGCCAGCAGCGTGGTAGCGGGTGAGGATCGCGCGGGCTTCTTCGTCTCGTCCAACTGAGATGAGCCATCGCGGACTCTCCGGAGCGAAGAGGAAGCCCGGCAATCCGACGACGGGCACCAATGCCTGGAGCAGCGATGGCAATCTCCACGCCCACGAGGTTGAGTATGTTCGTGACGCGAAGACCACCCAGGCAGCAACCGTTCCGCCCACGTACCAACCGGACATGAACAGCGAGTTGAAAATGCCGCGGTGGCTCGGGTAGGCAATCTCGTTGATGAGCAGAGGGACGGAATTGCCAAACAGAGCAGATGCAATGCCCAGGAAGAACCGGGCAAGCATGAACGCAGTAGCATTGGGGGCGGCAGTCTGCAACGCACAGCCCAGGGCTAAAAACGAATATCCAAAGTACACCCCCGGCTTACGCCCATACCGATTCGCGATCCACGCTGCCGTTGGGTATCCTATGCCACACCCGAGCCAGTAGATCGCATTCAGCCATCCCAGCCTTGCGCCTGTTGGGGTATGCATGAAGTCGTTCCACTGGTCAAGGGCCTCGAGGCCGTTCATGAGGGATCCATCGTAGCCGTTGGCGGACGAGAACAGGACAAGAGAGAGGATGATGAGATTGAGACGGAGAAGATGGGGTCGCTTGTACCATGCTGGGCCATCAGGGAGGAGTGCGGCCAGTTGGTCGTCCCCGCCTGGCTTGGGTGCAGTATCAACCTTGCCGATACCCATGGTTCTAACAGTCGGCGGGTGTCGAGGGAAGAAGAGGCAGGGCAGGCAGGGAAGATTGGGCCTGCAGAGGTTTATATTCGAGCGATGACTCCCAGTCCCGACATACGCCGATATCCGTTTCCCTCGCGGCCTGTTGGCCGTTCTTTTCCGTGGCGGTCTCTGGTGACGAAGCCGTCGACCAGTCCATCATCCCAGAGTGTAGTTGACCCTGCTTGCACCTCGTGGAAGGCAAAGCCACTAGAAGCGTTCGCCAATCGCAGTCAAGCGGGTACGTCCATAGCCATGAGATGGACTCCAGTCGTCTGGTCAGCTGCGCGAGGTGAGTCCACCGACGCACGGGTTAGCTGGGGAATGCATGGGATGACTGTGGGGAGAACCGGGGATGTTGGGGTTTGGGGCATCGGCCCTGCCACGGAGAAACGGAGAAAAGGAGAAACGGAGAAATCGCAGGATCAGATCATATCTTTGGTCGTGCAATCAGAGCCCTCGGCTTGGTGGATCTGCAACCCGAGTCGGGCCATCGCCGATATCCACCCACACGGATGCACTGGCGGCAGGCAGTAGGAGACTCAGACTTGGCCAGCTGCCCTCCGGAAACCCGCAATTCCCCCCAGCCATGGCCAGCAAAGCATACATAGGAAGGACGCCCGCAATGTTTGCGAACCTGCAGTCCGAAAAAAAAAACCCCCCCAGCGCGCTCTTTCCCGTTCCTCCTGCAACCATAGAACTCCCTGGGCAGGGGGCTCGCAGAACATAGGCATCATGCCTTACGTGGATATCCCCTCCGCAGAGACGGACAAAGCGTTTGTCCAGATCGCAAACGCAGACATTGAGGATCTCCTGAAACAGCTTACACTCGACGAAAAGGTTGCCCTGCTGACAGGTGGGTTGGGTTGTTGCTACCCAAGGGGTTACCTGCTCCGTGGACGACAAAGCTGACATCCCATTCTCCCAGGCGACGACTTTTGGCACACCGTTCCTATCCCACGACTGGGAATCCCGTCCATCCGATTATCCGACGGCCCAAACGGGGTCCGCGGCACACGTTTCTTTGGCAGTGTGCCGGCAGCATGTCTTCCCTGCGGCACGGCCATCGGGGCCACCTTCGACAGAGAGCTCGCCGTGGAGATAGGCCATCTGCTCGCTGCAGAAGCCAAGGCAAAAGGCGCCCATGTTATTCTGGGTCCTACGATAAACATCCAACGAGGTCCACTTGGGGGGAGAGGGTTCGAATCGTTCTCGGAAGATCCGCTCCTTTCAGGGACGCTGGCTGGCCACTACTGCAAAGGCTTGAAGGAGAGGAATATTACCGCAACGCTGAAACATTTTGTGTGCAATGATCAAGAGCATGAGCGCATGGCAGTCAATTCCGTTGTCACCGATCGGGCGATGCGAGAGATCTACCTTCTCCCGTTCATGATTGCAATCGCTCTTGGGAAGCCGGGAGCCATCATGACGGCATACAACAAAGTAAACGGCATCCATGCGTCCGAAAGCCCGACACTACTCCACGATATTCTCCGGGGTGAATGGGGCTGGGAGGGCTTGCTGATGAGCGACTGGTAAGAACGCAGTGCCTCCTTGATGCCAGTACTGTACTGACTGTCTTCAGGTTTGGAACGTACAGCACATCGGAGGCCATCAACGCCGGACTCGATCTGGAGATGCCAGGCCCAACCAGATGGCGCGGTGGTGCCCTCGCTCACGCTATTGCGGCGAACAAAGTCCCCATTGCGATCGTCAATGATCGCGTGAGAGCTGTCCTCAGAATGGTCCAGCAGGCCAGTCGATCCGGGATCCCCGAGCACGCCCCGGAGCTGCAATTGAATCGAGCCCAGGACCGTCAGCTACTGAGGAAGATTGCGTCGGAAGCCATCGTTCTCTTGAAGAATGACGATAGCATTCTGCCGCTTGATAAAACCAAGAGAATCGCAGTCATCGGTCCGAATGCGCAGGTCGCCACTTATTGCGGTGGCGGCAGTGCAGCGCTGAATCCCTACGAGGCCGTCACTCCATTCGACGGTATCTCGCGGTCCGCGTTGGGCGGCGTGGAGTTTTCCCAGGGTATATACGGGCATCAAAACCTGCCATTGCTGGGCAAGCGCCTGCGTAATCAGACAGGGCTCGCGGGGTTCGATTTGCGGATTTTCAACGAACCACCCACGGTCTCTACTCGAATGCCGCTCGAGGAACGGCACGAAACTGACTCGTTGGTCTTTTTCCTTGATTACAACCATCCGGATCTCCAGACGGTGTGGTTTGCCGACGCAGAGGGGTACTTCATCCCGGAGGAATCCGGACTCTACGACTTCGGCCTCTGCGTCCAAGGAACTGGGAAACTTTTCGTGGACGGAAAGCTTCTAGTCAACAACGCCGACGTCCAAAGACCGGGGCCAAGCTTTCTGGGAAGCGGCACGATGGAGGAAAGGGGAACAATGGAGCTCGTGGCAGGAAGACAATACCGGGTCCATGTGCAATGGGGGTGTGCGAAAACCAGCAAGTTCAAGGTTCCCGGCGTGGTCGACTTTGGCCATGGAGGTTTCCGATTCGGCGCGTGTAGGCAACTATCCCCGCAGGAGGGGATCGAGGAAGCCGTCAAGCTGGCGGCTAACGTGGACCAGGTGGTTCTCATGGCCGGATTGAGTGCGGAATGGGAATCAGAGGGCGAAGATCGCATGCACATGGACCTGCCACCGCACACGGACGAGCTGATTGCTCGTGTCTTGAAGGCAAACCCGGATACCGTTGTCGTTCTCCAAAGCGGAACTCCCATGGCGATGCCGTGGATCACAGAAGCAAAGGCTGTGCTGCATGCTTGGTATGGTGGAAACGAAACAGGCAACGGCCTGGCAGATGTCATATTTGGCGATGTCAATCCTGTGAGTCGCTTCTCCTCTGACGGCGAATTCGAATACTAACCGCCGAGTCCTCGCAGTCCGGCAAACTTCCTCTCACTTTCCCCCGACACCTCAAGCATAATCCCACCTACTTGAACTACCGGTCTGAGGGTGGCCGGGTCCTGTACGGCGAGGATGTTTATGTCGGCTATCGGTTCTATGATGAGATAGAGGTCGATCCCCTGTTTCCATTCGGTCACGGACTTTCATACACGTCCTTTGAGCTCACCGATCTGCACCTGCAAAGAGACTCAAACATACTACAGGTGAGCTGCAAGTTGCGCAACACAGGGCCAAGGCCGGGAACGGAAGTGGTCCAGCTGTATGTGGCGCCCGTATCACCACCGATCAAGCGGCCGCTGAAGGAGTTGAAGGAGTTCCGAAAGGTTTGGCTGGAGACTGCGGCCGAAGAGGTCGTGACCGTCCCACTGGACCTGGTGCGCGCCACCAGTTTCTGGGATGAGAAAAGCAGCAGTTGGTGCAGCCACAGTGGCACCTATCAGATTATGTTGGGAACTAGCAGTCGAGGAACATTCTTGGAGGGTTCCGTAGAGTTAAGTGAGACCACTTTCTGGTCCGGCCTTTAAACAGCATGCTTTGCTCACTCGCACTGCTGCATTAATGGTACAAACATAATGAATTATGTCACTTCTTCATCCGATCCGTATCCACCCATGTCTGCAAATGCATGGTGCTCATGCTTTCGCTGCTGTCCAGACGGGACAAGATGTCGGTCGATTGTTGGAGATATTCAGCAGCCCGCTGCGCTTCCGGGTCGTCTGGGTGAAACGGGCACGCGAGAAGGCTGGCCGCGATGTCGCGCACTTTGCATGCGAGGTGTAGACCGTTAGCTTCCAAGTTGACGAGGGGAAGGCTGTACAGCACGAAGAGAAGCTGGCGGCACAGCTTTTCCCTCACCAGCCACAATGCCTTTGAATCTGTCGTAGTCTGTGGGTAAGAATCTGCAACCACCGATAGCCCTTGAAGGTGCGACTGAGCTGCCTCCAGCTGATCAATGAGAAGACTTTGTAGCCACAGATGGGTGACATGCAGGTTTGCGCGCATGGAAGCAAAGTGCGATCGCAGTTCCTGTGTCATTGTGCCATCTCCTGTAGCATCGTCGAGGGTCTCGTCTGTGGGCCGCCACGGTCGCAGTGGTTGTGGGATGTGCTCTAGGAGATATCGCAGACTCTGCAAACGATCTTGAAGATATGCCACCTGAATGGCGGGGTCACGGGCTCGGACACAAGGACATGGCTCTACAGGAGTCTCGACACAGGGGCTGCGGAGGGCGGCCCAGAACACGCGGGAGTGGAGGATGAAACCGGTGGCGAGGCAGGGGGTCGGGGAAGGTGACATCACCACCTCATTCTCAAAGATCATCTCGTCGTCCACTTCCAGAGGCATCAGATCTTCCGGGTTGATGGAGTGCAGGAGGATCGGGTCCAGGTACGACAACCGCTCCCCTAGCACGTTCTGCAGTTGATTGTGGCTAGCACAGGAACGACCGATCAGCTGTCGCGCGTGAGGTGATTCCCCAGGGCAGCCATCTACTCACACAAATCCGTACAAGATCAGCCAAAAGCCCTTCTTCCGCAGCTGGGTCTCGATGCAGTTGAGGCCTTCGTATTCCGAGATGCGGTGGAGGTTCAACAGTCGTGCGATCTGCGTGGCCTCGACGTCCAGCATGCGAGAGGTGTTGTGGTCGCCCAGCTGACGGAAAGTGGCGTAGAGCAGATAGGAGATGGCGAATTTCTGGAAGCTGATCTGGTCGAAGTAGGTGGAGTCCCTCAACCCCATGATCCGATCGTAACAGCACCGCGCCATCTCCCGGCGCGAGGCAAACTGGAGGGGGGGGTTGTAGGACTGATAGACCTGGAATCGGGTGGGCATGGTCGCGACGACGACGGCCGCAATGGCGATGACCAGGGCGCGGAATCCCTGATCGTCTCGGTCGCGGTTTTCCCGCAGCGCCTGTCGGAAGGAGGGACGGTGCACAATGGGAACCAGGGGGTAGATATAGTCCAAGTAGTCCTGCATGATGACACCGAACAGGGACCGATCCCACAGTTCGTCCGTGGGGTGTTTGTTGGTGGTGATGGTAGTTGTCGCGCCGGGAGATGCAGCCGGTTCAGCTCCACGCGTCCTGGGGCGTGTCAGGACGATTTATCGCGACAGCAGGGAGGGATGAATGGAAGGATCGTACCGTCTCTTGGGGCCTCGCGTCCGGGAGGGAGACAGGAAGGTGCATGGCAGGTTCAAGCGGTCGCATCTTCCACACTTGGGCGGGGAGACGCCGGCGGGGACACGGGGGGCCTTGCATTTCACCTTGCGCTGGCGACAGGTGTCGCAGGCATGGGAGGCGAGGTCCACGCGGGTGGGGGGAGATGGGAGATCCAGAGACATGGTGGATGAGCATCAGCCATAGTACTATGTATGGATAGAGTGAAAGTAGATGAAGTGGAAGGAGTGGATGGAGTGGAAGAGAGAGCCGGCGGAAGTTCGGAGATTCCGGCCGGTGTCATGCCTCAGGCCGAGAGACACACTTTACGTAATTATTCAATTGTGCCGGTCCGTGCATAAATGCTGCTTCCGCTGAGTCATCTCCGCTGGCTGCTTGCGGTTCCCGCCCTCATCCGGATGCTACCCTAGTAGATAGATGGTACGGAGTAACTAGTAGACTCCAGAGGGAACCCCGATCCCAAGACGGCGGAACCCTGGGGAGGATCCGCCCCAAGGAGGCCAGGTCGTCGGGGAACTCGTTTTCGTTGTCACCTGCTTCCTACGGAAGTACCCGTGGGAGTGCTCCACCCCCGAATTTATATATCCATGACAAGCGTCCCCGCGATCGCTACGGCAAGTGCTCTTACTACTACTACCAGGCATCCAGGCATCAAAAAAATCAGGATAGAGATGAAAGAGAACATCAATTAAATAGTGTGTGGATGAATCATGAGTAGCTAGTCGCCGATGCAAATCAAATCCGTCAAACCCGCCGCGGCCGTCGTCCCAGACGAACGCGCCGCGCGGTCGCTCATAAACGCCGTAAAACTGCGTGGAACGCCCCTCAGAACGCGTCTACCCGTCCGTGTTGGCGCAGGTGAAGCTGTTGCTGTTGGCGTCGTTGTGGATGGCCGTGCCCGAGGCGTACAGCCCCAGCACGCACAGGATCAGCCCGAACAGCGCGATGGCCATGTTGAGGATCGTCAGCGCGATCTTGCGCGGCGAGGCGAACCACTCGCCGTAGTTGAGGTGCAGCCAGTAGATGCCGCTGAGGCCGTAGCTGAACCAACTGGCGAAGAGAGCGCTCTGCGGGGGGGAAAGGGAGGGTTAGCCGCGGGGGGATCGACGCGGGGGTGCAATCAGGTCCACACTTACAATCAGACCGTTCAGGTCGCTGAACACGGGGATGGCCTCGGCAATCACCCAGGCGACGAGCCAGCAGGCCAGGCCCAGACCGATCCAGATGGCAACCGAGCGACGGCCCCGGCTGTGGATGAGGTCGGACTTGTGGCAGGTGCGGAAGTAGATGTACTTGAGACCAATGTGGCCGTTCACGACACCGGCACCCACAATCTAAGACGCGTCAGCGTTGATCCAACCACCAGACCGACGGAATGGGGAACTCACCGTGGGGATGGCAATGCCATAGGCGACCTTCTTCAGGAGGGGACCGGCGGAGCTGAGGGCGGGGGACTGGACGTCCTTGCCGACGTAGTAGTAAACCACGACGGCGGCGGTCGTGTACAGGCAGATCTCAAAGGTCTGCAGCATGAACAGCGACTTCTTGAAGTCCTTGGGCTTCTCCATCTCAGCGATGAGGCCGAAGAAGGCGACGTGCGCACAGTAGGCGAAGACGATGTTGGAGACCGCGGTGAAGGCCGTGTAGAGGTTGGTGTCCACGGTCGCCTCGATGATGCGACCCGGGTGCTTCTCGACCCCGACGCCGATCATGGTGACCATGACGGCGGTGAAGATGCTGAGGAAGGCTGTGGCACGGTGGCCCGTTAGACCAGGCACGGAGAGGAGGTCACCGACGGACGGGGAGGACTCACAGCAGAAGGAGATCCAGGTCATGCCCTTCATGGTGCGGGGGATGGAGAAGACCATGGAGATGATCATGCCCACCAGACTGAAGACGATGGAGCAGGTGCCGTGGTCGGTGATGGTGTTCATCATGACCCGGAAGGTCAGAAGGTGGCTGCCCATGACGAAGATGCAGAAGAGGAACTGGCCCAGACCGAAGAGCTCCCGGCCAAAGGGGCCCAGAAGGATCTCGCCGGCATCAGCCAGGTTCTGGATATGGGGGTAGCGTTCGCGGAACAGTCCGATGTTGTATCCGGTGTAGGTGGCCAGCAGACCCAGACCAACGATGAGGATGATAGCCCTAGCAGGGAGGAGGAGAATTAGCGGGGAGGGACCATGAGGGGCATCATGCGAGGCATCATGCGGGGGTCAGTCTAGTCACACTTACGGAATAAAGCCCAGGGTTGCAACGGCAGCGGGCAGAGACAGGACACCCAGGGAAACGGATTCACAGATCATGACTGCGGGGGAACGGACGGGGTTAGAGTTTGTCTATCGGGGACTCCGGGGGGGAGAAAGGGTTCTTACGCAAGCCGCACTGCCTGGGATTTCATGTCAGCTGGGGATGCACTGGAGGAGCCATGGGCGGGAGAGGAATACATACCACCACTTCAAGGTCTTGTACTTGATCTCGGCAAACTCTTCGTTGCCAAAGGCATCGGTCTCCTCCGGCTCCGGCTTAAGGTTCTGCTCGACATAGCTGAGGTCGTCCTTCTTCTCATTGGCGTCGATGCGGTCAGTCGCGTAGGGGGGAGGGCTGCCGTGGACAGTCTCCATGGTGGTGAAGGTGGTGAAGGTGGTGAAGGTGGTGAAGGTGGTGAAGATGGTGAAGGTGGCGGGTTTGGTGAGGTGTTGGGCGGCAAAGGTTGAAGGATGGACACGTCGGCGGGGGAGATGGCGAAAGCTGGCGGAGAAGAAGAGTAGGAGGAAGAAGAAGAAGAAGAAGAGAAGGTGAAGGGAGGGAGGGAGGGGGGGACAGGTGGATATATAGAGGAGACGACTGACTAGTAGCTAGTAGGATACTACTGCTAGTAGTTGTGGAGGGATTGAGTTTCGGGCAGGCGCGAGTGACATGCCGAAATCTCTGGGGAGTTTCGAGTCCTTGTGTGGGGATTGGGGAAAGAGTCAAGAGCGCGCTCTCCATCGTATGTTTCTACCGTTCTGGGCGGTCTCACCGGCGGTGCTGATCGGGCCCGATCCGACCACTATGACCCATCATGATTGGTCACCCCCCCGAGGTTCGGCCAGCCCGGGCCAATCGCCCGCCCGCCCCAGGGCTTCCACCCATGGATGCAAGGTGCCAAGCACGGCGCCCGCTGCAACACCAGCACGGCACGCAGGCCTGCCAGCTTCGCCCCCCCCCCCCCCCGGAGGTCGCCGCCGGCACGACCACATCGTGACAATGTCTCAGACAACTGGCAATTGCCCGGACTGATCCCCTTCTTCCCCGCAGAACACGCGCTAACAGCCTGAACTAGCTATGACTTGCCCACTATCAGCCATGTGGTCGTGTCTGTTGACTAATTCTTATTTCTCACTCCTCCGGCGCGGACCAATCACCCCCCGCCAGGGCCGTTTAAGCAACGCCCACGGCGAGCGCTAGTCCTGCATGGCTATCCCAAAGTGGGACCAACCTCGAGAAACCACCGGAGGAAGGCCGTCCACGAGTTACTTGGAAGTTGGAACTGGGAACTGGCAGTGCAGGCAGGCAGTCAGTCAGGCACAGCCATCGCTTGTCCAGACCACTCCGGGGGGGCCCAGCCCTCCCCCCCTTTCAAACCGCCAGCAGAGCCTCGTTCTTTTTTTACAGATCATGGGACAGAACCATGTAAGGGATACCGACTTACTTAGTCCTTCCTCCCGCTGGATCTTCCAAGTTTCCAATGCATAAATGTTTGTGTGGTGGGAAATCTCTGCGTGCCCGGAAGGGATGGTGCGCCGCCGCCGCCGCCACGCGGCAAAACAATGAGGCGCCACGTCCGCCCATCTCTGGCAGTCTTGACAGTTCCATTCGTGTCATTCTTATTATCGGTGTATCTGTCTATTTGTCGGCTCCGTCCTGTGTGCCCGGGCTATCTAACAGGTAGTCGGTCTGCAGGTACCCGCCTCTCCCCCCCCCCCCCATCCTCGAATCACCGCCGCGCGATTTGCGGCTTGCCACCGCAAACCCTCCCCACTGGCTTCCACGGCGGAAATTGGTGATTGGTGGCACGTAAATCGCACACATAGCGGTATCTATCTATCTAGTAGACGAGGTCGGTCCGATGGGGCATGTCAAATCACCACGGTACCGAAGAACCGACGGCAATGGTACACGCTCGGCTAGGCCCTTCCAGTTCCTAAGGAGTCGGCGTCGTTCGATGGTGGGCTTCTCGAAGCGAAAGAACCATTGCTCGTCGCCGATCCAGGCTCCGAGTCCGCCGCCGGGCACGACGACTCGGCTCTCAAGACTGACTGCTTCCGTACACCGTCTGGGCCATTGGTCCATTGGGGACAGTCCACCGGGTTTGTTTCTGTTGCTCGAGTCATGACACCGGGTCCGAGAGAACGGGCCATCTACCGGCACATACTTAGTTAGTAGTACTTACGTGGGTGGTTTCATCGGGGGATTCCGTGTTTGCAGGGACAGCTTGGGTAAAATTCCATCTGCTGAGAGAAGGGGATCAAGCACCTCTTTTGCCGATTGAGTTCATCCGGACTGCAGCAGCTTTTTGGGGGGGGGGGGGGGGGATGAGATGCATGGATGCATGGGAAGGGAAGGGATGGGATGGGATGGATGGAGGGGCCAAGGAGTGGGAGTGGGAGTGGGAGTGGGAGGCCTAAACTACGAGGCATCAGCAGGCACCCGACCGGCGAAGCTAGAATGGCGGTGCCTGAGGCGGACCGGCATGCCGCTGCGCTATCTCCGGGGACTTATCCCCGGGTAGGCACATCGCGCCTTCTCTTCCTGGCGACAACAAACAACTCTCCTCTCGCCTCTCTCCTCTTCCCCACAGCCTTGGCCATACCGTCCCTCGTCCACGTACCCATCAAGGGTTCAACCGCAAAGCCCCTGCATGGAATTGACGACCAGCAGGCCTAGTAGTCGTGCCGCCCCGTGTGCCGGTTCCGAGAGAAGGAGAAGGACGAGCTCAGATCGAGCTGGGACAGTCACCAGACCCGAGACCTGCCCCCCCGATCGACGGCCGAGAACGAGCCAGGAATGTCACGGTTCTTGCTCTTCGGACACGCGAGAAGTTTGAACGCCGGCAGTCAGGGTCTAGAAGCGAGGCGGAGCACCATGCTCGGATCCGGTTGCCTTCCTGCAAGGGTCAAGGGTCCCTCCCCCCTCGACTCCACCCGACCGGTTTGGCCATGAGGCTTGTTGGCATCTCCCACCTTCCACCTGCAGATGGCATCCCTAAGCTGACAGCATGGTTTCGGTGTGTGTGTGTATGTGTGTGTGCTTAGCATCAATTACTCCACAATCTGGCCCCCGAAGCACGCGTTCTCGTCTGCCCCAAGCCACACAGCTGGCCTCGTTCATCGGTCCCTTCACTGCGGGTTCATACCAGATACACTGGCTCCTCCAGACATCTCACTGAGTTGCACTTGCAGAGCAGTGTGTCTTTCCGGACCACATGTCCGGTGACTGTCTTCATACACAATCATTACTGTTTGCTATCTCGAATCCCAGCCACTATGTGAAGGGTCGATTTTCCTCCGCCCCATCCACATATATTGGTGAAGCACAATGCAATGGTCTACAAGGTCAGGATATAGACTTCACAGTTTGTTCAATTAGTTGGAGTCAGTGACAACCTACATGGGAAGGAGGAAGACAGCGGGGTAAACGCCGGACTGGAATCACGACGAATCAAACAAATACCGAGTTGAAGTTCCAGCAGGCATGAAGGATGACATCAGGCACTTAATATGGCCTCGCTATTGATCTTCACCAGGCCCTGATCTTCGAAGAATCGATCCCAAGGCCGCTCACCAGACCATCAAATATCTGTCTGCCAGTCCGAGGGCACCGCTCAGCACAATACCCACGGCTGCAATGATGAGCCAGTGCCCCCGACAGCAACTCCTGCAACGGAAAGAGCTTGTGATCTCCATAAGAAGCAAGCCACCGATAAGTGTCGATCGTGGCTGTGACGGCTCGTGAAAGTTCCTTCATCAATAATTCCACGTGTGCAATCGACCGTCTCGATGTGCTAGGTGATCTGCCGACACAAGAGCTCCAACGAGTCAACGGTCTGCCGCAGGATAGCGCACATCGTCTTAGCCAGCTCCCTACGCTGGTCCTCTACCTGCTGCTGTCGTTCCTCGGGTAAGAGCGATGGCTTTTCTTCGACCGAGTAGCGCTCCGCGTGGCCGATGGCGTTGCCTCGCTTGTCCCGGATTTCACCATCTTCGTCTACAGCTCGACCGATCAGGCGTGACAAATCGCCGTCCACCAGCTTCCCAACCACTTCGCCATCCGGATCGGCGATCAGACCGTCCATGCGCACGACGATGCTCTCTAGTCCTGCAAAGATACCGGGGTTGCCCCGCTGGGAAGGGAGGGGTTCGGCTTGGGCAAGCACTCGCCCGTTGTCCCCCCAGACCAGCCCTGCAGCATCCACGGACCTGCCCGCCAACTTTCGGGAATTGCCCACCACAACACGGCCAAAGATGGTCCCATCCGCATCGACGACATTGCCCAGCTTGTTCACAGTCTTTCCTTCCAGCACGGAGAGGTCCTCCGATTCTTCGTCCGATGGCTGATATCGCTCTGCCCGACCCTGGACAGTGCCATAACGGTCCACAATCTCGCCGTCCTCGTCCACGCGACGTCCGCGGAGAGTTTTGGCGTCTCCCTCGACCAGCCGGCCGACAACATCGCCTGAAGCGTCTTCCACAAAGCCAGTATTCCCCACGACTAGCTCTCCGAGTCCTAGAAATGGCCACTCGAGTTCCCGCTTGATCTCCGGTAAGAGTTCCACGCGCCCGATCACTGCACCGGCATCATCCCAGATCTGTCCCTCGCCATCGATAGGACGTCCCTTGACCTGCTTCAAGTCCCCCTCCGCCACTCGGGCGATTGGCAGGCCGTCGGCATCCAGGATAAAGCCACGTTTGTTGGTCTTGAGCCCAGCCAGCATGCACAAGTTGACCTGATCAGGTGGCTCCTCCCAGCGCTCCGCGCGGCCAATACTGTTACCTCGCTTGTCCAAAATATCCCCATCGTCGTCGACAGCACGACCAAGGAAACGATGCACATTCCCATCAACAACCTTTCCCACGCGATTACCGTTCGCGTCTTGGACCCAGCCCTCGGTGCCAACGAACGGATCATCAAAAGCCGTGAACGGTCCAGTGGGGTCGTCCTCGAGGGGAACAGGCTGCGCCTTGCCAATGACGCGGCCCTGGTGGTCCCAGAACTGCCCTTGATTGTCTAGCTCGAAAGCGCCCCGCCACAGCTTTTTCGAGTCTCCTTCGATCAGCTCGCCGACCTGGTTCCCTTCCGCGTTGATGATACTGCCCATCCTATTGCATGTGAGGCCAACCAGGGTCGAAGTGGGTGGAAGCAGCTGGGTATCTTCCTGGATATCCCCGGGTGGCTTCGATGTTTCGCTTTGATCCACTGCCGGAGCTGTGATATCTTCGACCGTAACTTGATTTTCTACAGCATTCGTCTCGTCGACGGCCTCGGCTTCATCGCTGATCTGCCGACTCTGGGGGATGGCGGTGTCAAGCATCCCACCAGTATATGTCTCCTCCGCGCTGGCCCTTTCCACAAGCCCTTCCGACCCGTCTTCCGTTGCCTTGAGTCTCTCTTCCGGCGATACTATCAGCTCCAGGTTCCCGAGCCGTTCACCCTCTTTACTGAAAACCTCTCCGTACTCATTCGCGGTCAACCCTGCCATCTTGCTGGAATCACCTTCTGCAACTCGTGCGACCACATCCCCGGCATGGTCGACGGCGTCACCCCTTCCTGTGATGCGAAGGCCCTTTAAAGGCTCAAGGCTCGACAGGTGAGGCAGCGGCTGTTGTTGATCTGCAGTGACGTCTTCAGCCAGTAACTTCACCTGGCCTATTAGTTCTCCGTTTTTGTTTCGCACCTCGCCCTTCTCGCCGACTGTCTGACCGACAATGTCTTTCGGATCGCCTTCCACGAGCTGGCCAAGAATTTGTCCTTCTGGGCCTCGCACGTTGCCGTCCTTGCTGACCGGGAAACCTTGCAGGCCGGAAATGTCAGTGGCAAAGTCGTTAGTGCCGACGTCGGTCACTTCTTCGCCCTCTGGCTTGACTTCGCTTTTCTCGACCCGCTGCGCACTCGCTCTGGCTCTTTGAATGCCCCCGCGCAAATGCCCCGCAAGTTCGCGTGCTCTAGCTGTAGGGATGTGATCGCCAATCTGCCACACGCCTGTAGAGACCCCCTTGAACCGTGAAGCAGCACCCCAGCCCCGATCGAACAGTGAAGTCGTCGTCGACCCCGAAGCCTCAGTCGGACTTGGCAGTTTGCACTCTCTCTGTTCCACGGGGGACTGAGGAGCCGATGATGTTTCCTTGGCAGATCTCAGATTGGCTTGCCCGGATCGACGCGCCAGCTTCGGCGGTGCCTTGGATCTGCGCTCTGATTGTATACCCTTGCCCTGCGCTATGCCGGAAGATGCGTCTGGTGCCTTTCTCGCAAGCCCCTCGGGAGCTGCCGATCGGCCTTCCTCCAAAGGGGTGGATTTCGCGACTTGAGATGCCATCTCTGTTCTCTAGTTCCGTAGCGGCCCTGCTGTGCTGCTCTCGGCAGTTCTCCTATTCCTCGAATCTCCTAGACGTGGGAGAAGACCTGGACGGTGGACCATGCCAGAATGGACCCCTATTGTTATCTAGTGTCGCGAAGGACCGTTTGCATGCTTGGTAGGTGGCTCGTTGATACGTTTTGTATTTCCCTTCGTGCTGAGCCTGGGTCGGGAATTGTCTGACATGCGGGGTGGGTGCAAGTGAAACGGCAACCCGACCCGAAGACATCTCAGCGAAGCAATGCTCTGACTTGTCCACCCTTCTCGGATATGGTTCGCTAAAGAGTGTTTGACGCTCGTGTTTCCCCCAGAGGCGATCACGGCCATGGTCGCGCGAGAGGGCAACCACGGCACGAGCTTCACGCGGGCAAGTCATCACCGTCCTTGAAGAGGGGCGGCAGTCGAGCAAGACCTAGACTGTTGGCACTGACGCTCAGACGAACACCGTGCCACCTGTCCTGGACAAGTGCTGCCCGAGTCGCCTGACAGCCCTGTCCCTGCTGCTGCTGTCTCCCCGTCCCAGTAGCGCAGGTGGCAACATGTGGCTGCAAGCTTGCCTATTGCTTGGAGCGCGTGTGCTCGTATCGGTAGCGCTCCAGAGCATGCTTGTCAGCGTCCCTGGTTCCCGTGGCGGCCGTGGAGCCGAACCGCATTGTCAGTGCAACGGCAGCCGTTGGGGATATGAACTGATTTTCCTACTGAAGTTCTTCATATGGATTGAACAGTTGGACTAACAAAGTCCAGTTGATTTCTATGATAGCTCGTGTGCTGCTACCATACCAAGCAGGTTGCGGTAATACCCAAAGGCGCCATTTTCCTCCAAAGGCAACAGAAATAATCATATCGAAGGTCGTCATTCTAGGTCAACCTTTTTAAAATACTCCCAGGCGACCTGTAACTCTTATATGGGTTAACAGACATGTTAACCACGGCGTTGTACCAGCCACTCATCCGTCTCAATTTGCATTCATGAATCCGTCCCATCCTCAGAGCTATATTACAGGCGCAACGACCAAAGCTTTTCCCGCCAAGGATCTAAAGACTTGGGCATATACCATTGCCATGGCGCGTGAAATTGAAAGTAACATGATGGAGAGAAGAAAAGGGGGTCCGGGAAAGAAACGACCCAGTACCACAATCTAGATGGGTGGCGAACCCAGCCGGTACTGCGAGAGGTCGTTGAGAAATCATTGCCTAGGGACGGTATGGTCAGCATCTTGCGATTAAAGAAGGTAGACGTTTTCGAACGGTTTCCTGGAGGTCGGATTTCCGATCTGGGGAAGCGCAGGCGCGACGGTCGGAATACAATGCCCAGAAGGGCCACATACAGCAGTGATAGAGTGATATCTCCGTGGATCTGGGCTTTCAGCTCCACCTCGATGTCGAGGTTCAAATCCAGCCGTAGTTTGAGTCCGTCCTTTCCTTCTTCCTGGACCCCCTGGCCGGCACTGCTCTCCCCCTTCGCCTGGAGATCCCCGTGCCTCCCGCGGACGGAGGTTAAGGACTGACCCTCTTCGTCGGCGGCCTGGTCGGCTCCAGTCCTTCGATATGGCTGCAATTCCTGCTGTTTCTGTCGCTGGCGGGTTCTTTGCAGGGCGCGCGGTTGTGTGCTATCCTGCTGGCGGCGCTGCACGGCCGCCACCGGCTGCTTGCCGTGGCGAGGACTGTCAGGTTCGGGCTCCGAGTCGGACTCCATCAGGACTTCTTCTTCTTCTTCTTCTTCTTCTTCTTCTTCTTCTTCTTCTTCTTCTTCTTCTTCCTCGGAAATGAAGCTCTCCTCCGAGGATACACTAGCCGCGCGCCTTCCCTTCTGTGGAGGCGTGATTGATCTTATAGGTTGCGTAATCGTGGGCATTGTGGTTAGGGCCAAAAGCCACCGGAAACACACACACGACGGACGGGGGAATGGAAATCAACAACACGCGCCAGAGTCTGGAACGGCGTCTTCTTATCTGATTATATACCCCCCCTTCTCCGTCGACGAGCCACGCAATCGTTCCGCTTGAGGCCGGACGGTCTCCCAACCGTACGAGTCAGGCCAGGTCCAGCACCAACAGAAGGAAGGGCACGGTCGGCCATCCTATCAGCAGTCTACTGCTTCGCACTTGAAGCGGAAAATTTCTTCTCGTTGCAACCCTCCCTGGCCGGCCTGGGCAGGCGGAAGGGGCCTTCTGTATGACATGACATGACGTGGGGGTCCGCGGAGCCTCAATGATTGGGGGCTCGCGCTCCCTCCCTCCCTTGTTGAACCGTTCCTTCACGAGACATGAACTGGACTGGTTCCAAAGTTCGAGACTGGGGGGGGCAGAGTTGCAGCGGGATGAATCATCGGTGTCTGTCTGGAATTAGGGCAACAGAGGGCAACGACCCCCCGGAACAGTCAGCATCATTCCAGTCGACTTGGGAATCCGCCCGGCCGGCGTGAATATTCTCAGGAAACGAACTCCGAGAGGAAAAGGGAAGGATAAAAATGACGCAGCGAGGGACAGCATGCGCATGCGTCATCTGGCGATGATTGACATCGCATTCTCCACTGCCGTTGCCGTGCCATGGTCTCGTGGCCCGTCTGACATCATTGGCGTCGGGCCCGACGCAGCGTTGGCTGACCGGCTGCGAAGCCCCAACCCTCAACGTCTTTGCCGTTAAAACCATTTCCACAACCTCATCCTCCAGTTCTCTCATCCCCTCCTCCGCAGTCCATCCCACTCCTCCACCATGACTGACCCAGCAAACCCGACCGACGACCCCGTCGCCCAGAGCCCTTCCACCCCGAAACGCAAACCCCGCAAGATCAACCGCAATACTTCCACTCCCGACAAGCCTGACGTGGCACAGACGCCGGAACCCCGCACGCAACCTGATGATGAGGACCCTTCCGCGGAGCCTGAAAAGGCCCCCGAGTCCGCTCCAAAGGACGAGCCAGAGCCAGAGCCCGAGGACGAAACACCCCAGGACACCATGAAGCACGAGGATCCCGATCCGACGGACACCCCCCAGCCAGAGGCCCCTCAGCAGGAGGAATCCGACCCCGAGCCTGAGCCTGAGCCTCAGCCCGCTCCACGCAGAAAGAAGAAGCCCTTGCCATACCGACCCCGAGAGGAGTCGTCGCGCGAACCCAGCGGCCGGGCCGTGGGTCGTCGCGACAGGGCAGCGCCCGACAGCACCGTCCAGCGCCGGTCTCGCCGCCGGCGTCCCGAGCAGGAGCAGCAGCTGGTGCCGCGGCAACAGCCCGTGCCAGAGGGGAGTCTGCTCCCCGAGCGGATCACGAGTTTCAACAGTCTGTCGCAGCCCCAGAGCGGCGGGGATTCCAAGAAGAAGGAGAAGAACGACCAGCTGAGCCTGCGGCTGGATCTGAACCTGGATATCGAAGTGCAGCTCAAGGCGCACATCCATGGCGACCTGACTCTCTCGCTGATGTAAGTATACGTACCGCCCTCTCCCGGCCCGATTCCAGTCACTCGGATGGATGGATTTGATGGCTAACTGCGCTGCGGATGCACAGGAGTTGAATGACGAGCATTAGAATCCGACATGTGTGATGAGATTTCCCAGTTTCCTGTTCCAGCCGGCGTTGCGGGCTGATTCCCTACCTCGTTCAGATGGTTGATGTACATTCCCTTGGGGGCCTTGATGGCCGATACTTTTTTCCTTCGTACTTTATTTGGGCAACAAATTGATCTTTGCAAGTGTCAAACTGGCCGTGGTATAGCTGTGGACCGGTCAGCGTCGTGATTCGATGGATATCGTTCCTGTAGCCATGTCCAACTCGAATGGAGAGCGACCGGCGGTCTCCCCCCGTGGATTCCATACATAGCAGTAATTGGCCACTCTCCTCTTAAGAAGCCCTCGTAAAATGCCACTCGATGCGACCGCCAGAAACCGATCCATCGACCGATCGGCCATCGCATCCCCAAGCCATGACGCGTCCCTCACCCCGTCCGCGCCACGCAGAGGTGACGTCATGCGTGGGGGGATCGCCCGGCCGAAAAGAAAAAGCATCGAGGCAACAAGGATCTCCATTTCAGTCTTCTTACTCATCAAATTGGGCTTGTGGTTTAGGGGTATGACGCTCCATTCGCATTGGAGAGGTCCCGGGTTCGATTCCCGGCGAGTCCATCTTTTTTTTGTTTTTGGTTCGTGTTGGTGTGGGGGAGATCAACTTATCTTTTATTTACTCGTTGATTGATAATGCGACATCCACGATAGGAATGGAGGTTCATCAGCTTAGTTGATATGGAGAGAGAAGAGGGACAAGAGGGACGAGAGACAACCAGAAGAGAAGAGCGAAAGCCCGGTGGAAGCACGTGACCCGGTCACCTGACCGCCGGTTGTCGTCTGCGGTCTCACGCTGTGTCTGCGCGCTATGAGGAGGAGGATCCTTGACGGTGAAATCTGGGTGAAATCTCACATCATGAGCCTCGAACTGTAGGTCTCTTGGGATGGGGGGAAGGAAGAGTCGGGGGGGATGGTGGTCCTGGTCCAGATACTATAGTACTAGTATCATATATATATCTGTATATATATGTATATTATGTGTAGTAGTATATATCTACTTTGTCTATTTGTTCTGGCCTCATGAGCTCACGAGAGGAGAGAACGTCCTGATTCGGGTTCCAAACATGACCATGACCAGATCGCCCGGAGTCCATGGGACTGGATGATTGTACACCAGACGCAGCCATCGGAGGATGATTATATTACATCGAGGGATACCATCATCCCTCTCCGCCTTCCCAACCCGAACAGGAACCTCTGCAGAATCCTCCCCTCACCGCCTCCCGTGGGGGAGAGCGTCCGCCTGGCCTGCCTTTTCAGGCCACCATCAGGCCACCACTCGGTGTCGTCTGGCTTTCCGCATGCGGGGGGACAAACGACTGGTAGAGAGTAAGGTAGATAGTAAAGGAGATAGTAAAGGAGTACGTAGTCCGTCGATGGACCCCGTGGGGCACGTCATTTCGACCCCCTGTCGCTCGGGAAGATCGACTACGGCAGTCTACACGACAGCTCCACAAAGCACCCCGGCTATACATCGGTCGGTCCATTGCAACTCGCGCGGTGATCCTGTCTCTCGGCGGGGGGGACGAGCATGAAAGATCCAAGTCTAAATTAACATTTGTCTATCATCCGGGTCCGACCCAACCAGGGCCAGCGCCACACACACACAAAAAAAAAGAAAGGCAAAGTTTTGAAAAAGAGGGGGCAAATATGTATCAAGAAGAGAAAAAGACCGAACACCGGAACCTACACCACGCACTCCACCCTCGCGGGGCGTGCGCGAAAGAACTCCGTCCGTCGTCACCGTCACATTTACAGAGCAGCCAGGGCGGCGAAGACAGCCACCACGGCGCCCGAGAGGGAGGCGGAGAGCCCGCTGGCACCGCCGGTGTACAGACCGGAGGAGGAAGCGGCGGCCGCGCTGCCGGACGAGGAGGAGGACTTGCCGGAGGTGGAGCTGGAGCCGGAGCCGGAGCCAGAGCCAGAGCCGCTGGAGCTACCGGAGGAAGAGGAGCCGCTGGCAGAGCCGGAGCCGATGGCACCGGCGCCGGACGCAGAGCCGCTGGGCCTCAGGGAGTAGGTGCCGTTGCCGTGGGCGGTGCCGTTGACCCCGGGGCGACCGACGGTGAAGGTGGGCTTGGCCCCGGCGGCGCCGGCGGCCCCAGTGGCGGTGGTGATGACGGCGGGCTTGGAGCCAGCGCTGCCGGAGGCGGAGGCGGTGGCGGAGGCGACGGCAGCGGACGAGGAGGCGGAGGTGGTGGTGTTGCAGGTCAGGTCGAACAGGGGGGTGGTGCTGAGGGTGCTGCCGACGATGCCGAAGCTGGGGTTGGGGGTGGTCGGGCTGGCGTCCTGCAGGATGTACCACCAGGTGTTGGTGTTGCCGAACAGAGGGCAGCCGACCTCATCCCAGTAGATCTTGGCGTTCTCGATGGAGGCGATGGCCTCGCCCTCGGAGTCGCCGCTGACGGGCCACCCGGTCTCGGTGATCCAGACCTCCTTGTCGCCGGCCACGGCCTTGGTCTTCTCGACGGACTCCAGGAACAGGGCCTTGGCGTCGGTGATGGCGTTGGCCATGGTGCTCTGGAAGAAGGGGTAGCCGTCGAAGCCCAGCCAGTCGACCGCCTCGACGACGGCGGCGTTGGAGGTGTTGGCCCACGAGTCCCAGGTGTCGACGTGGCCGATGGGGGCGTCGGCCAGGGAGGTGCCGGCGATGACGGCGCGGACCTCCTTGATGTACTCGACGAGGTCGTCCGGGTTGACACCGACCCCGGCGTCGGCCTCGACACCCTCGACGGAGTTGCGGTACAGATCCTCCGAGCCGACGGAGATACCGACGACGAGCTTGCCGAACTCCTCGCCGTAGGTGGAGATGGCGGACTTGAGGGCGGCGAGTTCGTTGGTCATGTCACCACCGGAGGCCCACAGACCCAGCAGCAGGGAGGTGTCCTGGGCGATGGCGGCGGGGATGGCCTCGATGGGGGTGTCGGTGGTGTAGGCTTGCTGGAAGGGGAGGTCAGCTTCTCGTGTTTGGTCTCTTTCTGATTTGTTTCAGAGGGTGGAGGGAGAGAGAGAGGAGAACGTACGATCATGGTGTAGAGACGGGCGCTGGTGAAGCCAGAGGTGCCGACGAGGGACTTGGCGACCTTGAACTCGGCCTCGAAGTCGGCCTGGAACTTGGAGCTGTCGTCAGAGTACATGTTGCCGTAGTTGAAGCCCTGGTAGGCGGCCTCGGCGGAGAGGGCGAAAGCCGCCAGCTGGGCGAGCTGCATCTTGGAGAGCATTGTGAAGGAGTGTATTGGTTGAGGGATTAGAGAGAGCAGGGGTGATTTCTTCGAAGACAACGAATGTAAGGAACAAGGGAGAGTGAATACCCGAGTTCAGGAGAAGATTCTAAAGAATGGAAGAATAAAGAGGGATGAGGAAGAAACAGAAGAAGAGGAGGAAGAGGAGGAGGAAGAGGAAGAGGAGAAAAGGCGGAGGATAAAGAGTGCCGCGGGCGAGGAGGTGAGTAAGCCCGGCCAGGGGAGACCGATGGATGGACCCAATCCAGGCCAACTCTAGACCCTGCCACGGCGGTGGATTCGCTGGATTGGCCGCAGCCGGAAATTCGGCAGCCCCGTCAGCCTGGACAGCCGCCCAATCAGCAGAGCGGGTGCCTGAGTCGGGCCCACCACGCCACCAGACGGGGGTGGGGCGACGCTGCCACGGTGGCGGCCACATGGGCCAATGAGGAATGTGCCAACCGGGATGGCCCCTCTTCGGTGGGCAGCCTGGGCAGCCAGGAAATTGGCACCACTGGGACGGTGGCACCAGTCCGTTAGTCACGCACCGCAAACGGACTAGCGGGGAGTGGGCGAATGGCGAGCCGGGCTAAAGCCGGTAGTCCCGCGGGAGGCCCAAAAGTGACTCGGGTAAAAATAGTAGTTCGCTATTCTTAGGCAGAGAGATCCTTCCTTGTTCATCATTCTTGTCCATTCTGGATAGTATGTAGTAGTAGTAGTAGTAGTAGTAGTAGTAGTAGTAGTAGTAGTAGTAGTAGTAGTAGTAGTAGTAGTAGTATCCCTCCCTCCCCCTCCCCTGTCCCGTTCCTGCCCCTGCCCCTGATGGTCCGAGTCCGACACCCGCATGCGGTGGGTGTCACCCTGGATCTACTATCTATCTAGGGCATCACGACAGACAAGTTGCGACCAAGGGTCGTAGGCGGGCCAGAGACCCTTTGTCTCGCTGGACAACCGGGAGAGTCATTGTGATGGACAGGTCGGAGGGGGTGGGACTCGGTATTTACTGCAGTGGTGCAGTGGTGCAGCGGTGATGCCGGTCACCTGACCGTTCCTGGAGGTGGTGGATGGTGGATGACGCGGACGGGCGAGACCCGTCGCTCTTGTCTTTTCTTTTCTTCTTCCCCCCGCACTGGCCACCTCCCTTCCTCCCTTCGATTCATTCAGGGACAGCGCCAGGGGAAGAAGGGATGAGTCCGGCGGATTGCCCGTTCCCAGCATCCACTGGCAGGGTGACATCGTGGAATCTCTCCGGTGCAGCACCGCTGCCTCCTTTGATCTATCCAGTGGACATGTCTGTCTGTCTGTCTGCCTGCCGACCCCAACAGTTCCCGCCGCCTCAGGCCTCCGGGCCTCCCCCGGAGCCTGATCAGGCCAACCGCCATCCCCCCCCGGCTGAGTCAGACTCATCCCGTGCGCCGCTCTTCAAACACCCAGGATCGGGAGGATCTGTCATCCCCCATCCTCCATCGTTGGGCTGCCTCTTTCGCAACGAGGGCTCCAGATCGATACCTTCGATGAGAGTGGGCAGGGGTGCAGGGTGCAGGGCATAAGCTGGCCAGGGGACTGTGCTGGGAGGTGGTCCTCCCACAGAAGCCAAAGGGAAGGGAAGGGAAGGGAAATCATACCAGAGGGGACAGAGGGAAGGACTGAGCAGATGAGAAGGGTCATCCTGGAGCTTCGCGTTTCGGATCCGCTATGTTGGATTGGGGCTGTCAATGGCAACCCTCTCTCCACGCCCCGAAACCGAATTGGCCCCCATGCGGGCGGGTGGCTGAGGCAGCAGGAGGGAAGGTTGCCCGCGGCTCAGTTGCTCCGGTCAGCCTTGGGGATCGATCGTACTTAAGAGTCTCGTGTCTGGTCGGGACCTGTTCAGAGTGCCAGAATCGGTCGAATATGATGACCACCGGATGAAGGTGACTCGGATGGTTCTGTCCGGATCGACCGCACCACCAACATGCCACGCACTGGAACTTAGCGTCCGATACGAGCGTCGGATTCGCCATCGTTCACCGACTCGAGCTTCGAGGGCGGAGATGCCAGCCATCGATCAGGTGCGGTTCTCCGTCCCTCTGAGTTGTAGTGCAGTTCGACAGTTTCCCGGCAGATGAACATGACCTGAGAGAATCGTCACCTGTTTCTCAATGGTGATGGGCTGTGCCAGCCACATTTCACCTAACAGGTACCCGGGTACCGAAGGAGGTGCGATCTGGAAGATATGCCTGGCCTCCCGGTTCCTGACCAGAGGGTCCTACAGTCTGAAGTAGACACCTCAACACCGTTGTGTCACCGGGTAGTTTCCCCGGGTACGATGGTTGACTGGGGTTGATATCCCCGACGGTCAGCTCAGCCATCCAAGGCGTATATTCCCAGTCCTTCATTCTGCTTGGATGGAGGTGATGGCTGATCCGATCGTAGTAAACATATCGGCATCGTACTCACGATGTGCTTTTCCCGGCCAGTCAGTCCACCAGTTCCTCGCTGGACCGTTCTGAGGTCCACCACCGGTGATTTGTTGAAGTACCGCCCAGCTGAAAAGGCAATCCTGGCCGTTCGAGTCACCCGAACTGGATTGGCCTTCAGGCCGGGCGACCGCACTGGACGTAAGAATTAACCGTGAGTGTTACACGATGCTTCGATCGAGTACCGACAGCAGGAGCCCGGACGCGGCATTCCTCGGCCCACAGGATGACCTCGTTACACACCTCAAGCCTGCGGGGTGGGCAGGGTCTTCACAGATCATCGCTGGGTCCGTCCGTCCCTGCAGATCAGGCATACTGGGCCCGACCGGGGCACTTGGTACGGCCGTGGTGGTCGATTGTGTCTGACATGATCGCCCGAGTCGGTCCATGTCGACATCCGCATGCATGCGAACCATGAGGGTCCGACGTCTGACGCCGCAAACACAAAATGAAAAGCCCAACTGTCATGTGCCGTTGAAAGCCGCGCGGTCTGATGTAAAAGTGATGGAAATAAGACCGTGGATGGCATCATGATGCCGGCATTCCCTCTCCCAGGGTCAACCACCCCCGGTACCGTAAATGCCTCTCTACATCGAGCTGGCAATGGGGGAAAAACGCGTGGCCTGGTGGCAGGGTCCCGATATAAAACTCGAGGCTGCCAGTCTGCAGCACCCATCCTCTGCAACCCTCCCAAGCGTCAGACAGCGTCTTACCAAATCCGAGACTAACCATGTCGTGCCCACGCATTCTTGGCCTCCTGGTCCTTGCCCTCTCCGGCACTGTCCTGGGCCAGATCGTCGACGGCGGCAAGTATGATGTCCCGACGGCCGGACCGCCTGCCAGCTTCTTCGCCGCGGCAACGACGCTGCCCGTCGCCACACTGCAAACTGCGGCTGCCCGGGCGAGCATCGTGCCCCCCAAGGCTGTCTACCCCGTGAGTCGCGAGAGCGGCGCCCCCCTGTCGACCATCCACAGTGACTGGGTCCGATTCAACCAGGTAGGCGCATGTCTGACCCGTGTGGACGACCGAACTGACGACTCAGGGTGCCGCGCTCAGCTGGGTGGCGGACATGGACGTCGACTGCGATGGCAAAGACTGGAAGTGCACCGTAAGGGAGAGCTTTGCAACGGAATCGCAGCCCCCACTGACCGGCCAGGCAAACGGCGATGGCCAGCCGCAGACCAACTGGGGCGCGTTGGCCGCCTACGAGGTGCCCTGGATCGTCATCCCCGACCAGTTCCTCGTGGCCAACACCAATCTCCTCCCGGGCAACAACGTGGCGGCCGTGATATGGTGAGTATGCTGAACACGAACCCGATGTGTCCGGACCTCCCAGGGAGCCCTCAGCGAGGAGTTCTCCTTTTGCCCCAGTGGCCTTCCGTCGCGATGCGTCCAGGCTGACCTTCCCAGCAACGGCAAGATGTTCTACGGCATCCTGGGGGACTCGAACGGCGACAACCCCCAGATCACGGGCGAGGCCTCGTGGGTGATGGCCCGGACCTGCTTCCCCGATGAGGGCCTCAGCGGCGGCAAGGGACACACGGCCGCCGACGTCACCTGTAAGACCAGACGGACCCTGGCGATCTGGGCTGGATTGTGCTAACAGATAGAACCAGACATCGTCTTCACCGGCAACAATGCCGTGCTGCCCCCCAGCGCCCTGAACCGGAACTACCTCACCAACTTCGGCACCCTGCGCGCCATGGGCGACAAGCTGGTGGGGGATCTTGTATCCAACCTGAAGCTGTCCCCACGGAACTCGACCCCGACCACCCTGGTGTCCCGCGCCACTCCCACCGAGGGTATGTCGACTTAGTCCCGGGTGTTTATCGCCGATTCCACAGAGGTACCTTGCTCACTGACGACTGCATTCGGCCTGCGACCATGGAGTTGCAGCTGGCCGTTGACGATTGCTGCCTGACCGGCGAGGCGTACCAGATATTAAAGCGAATGTCACCATCTAGCTAGCGAGTCATTTAGGAATCTACCGTACTCCGATGATCCCACGTTCACTGAAGCCTGACATGAGCTGACAGTAGACAGTAACATACCCGGAATCTCAATACAAAAAGGTAAGAGGTGGTCGACCTGGTCGAGCCGGGTTGGATACCTCCCCCACAACGTAGAGAGACATCTGGTGCAAAGACACCCAAAGCAGCAACCGAACGGCTGTCCCGATCTGCATTCAACATCGGCAAAAAAAACATACAAACAGGAGGGATTCGCTGGTGGTCACCCACCCAACTACTAACCTCCCGGCGTGTGGCTTAAGTACGGCTGAGCGGACGGGAAGCCCTGTTCTCCACACCCTATGGTCGTATGTATCAGGAAGAAGGGTAAATGAGGTTGTATAGAGCGGTTCGAAAAGAACGGGGGGCGAGGAGGACCCCTTGGGGATGATTTTGAGGAGAGCGACCGGGCGAAGAATGCATCAACGGGAACGGAGCGGGAGAATGGATACTTTCCCGGTTCGAGCGTGGGCTGGGATGGCCTCAACACCGACAATATCACAGGTCCTGGCCTGCAGCCGCATAGCGTACGCGCCGTGGAGGGGCTCTGAAGCAATTCCACCGAGAGCAAGGTCCGAGTGATGTCGATATGGTGGAGTCATCGGGGATAATGCTGGCACTGCTGGCACTCCAAGCACGGATCCACCGCATCGGACGGATATTCGTTCACCAGACGAAGCCAGTCGGATCCACTTGTCTTCACCCAGGTTGTCTGCAGGCCGCACTGACACGTCGGCCTCGAGATCTCTCCAATGCAGACGTCGCGCCATGGATGGATACTCCCGATCGGGACCCCGGACACCAGGCGTGCTTCTGGCCTGATTGGACAGGGCGGAGCGATGAAACATCGTATCTGCAGCGGTCGATTATCAATCTCGTGGTAATAATCGGACGGCGGCTGTTGTGACATCCGGATCCACAGCTGAAGGATCTCAGGCTGTCTGGCTTGTTCTCTTGGCGCCCTCTGCCCGAGTCCCGCAAGCCCTAACTAAGGGAGTCAGTCAGTCACTCTCTCCACTGCAGCATTCCCATTTCCGTCACCCCGTCACGGTCCTACTCGATCCAACCCGAGTTCTGACCATCTAGATACGGCCTACAGTCTACACCCACCGCCGCGGCCATCAGCAACAACAGCCCTACCCGCGGGGCTGTGGCACCCGTCGCAAGTGAAACGCCGAAGCCCTGAAACCGAGTCAGTTGCGTGTGCCGCCCGTCTCCCTTTTCGGGCCGCTGATTGGCCCCGGCTGGCATGCGGGTTTCTGGTTGATGAAGCCACAGGAGATGACAGGAAGCGACCCGAAATGACAGGCCCTATCTAACAGGCCATGGCGGCAGAGGGACTGGCCCTCGAGGGTCCGCCAGGATCCGGCCTCACGGACCTGTCGCCAAGAGGTTGATTGCGAACGGTCCTTTCATCTCGCCTCCTCGCCCTCCATCCCATCCTATTTTTATATTTTGATGCTCGCCTTCGCTCCTCTCCTCGAGTCGGCTCTGATCTGATCTCTTTCCATTCTGTCTTCGACTCGTCCTTCGTTTCTCCATCCCTCGTTTACCTTCCTTCATTTGCTTTGCGTGGCTGGTCCACTGTTGACGGCATTCCACTCGTTGTCTCCGCAAGCCGGAATTCCCTTCTCTAGACACTTTTCTTTTAGATCTTTCTTTTGACTTTCCTTACCTAACTCGGAAAATTCCAAAAAAAAAAAAAAGAGATCAACCACCGCCAGCATGGATTCCCTCTGGTATGAGATGCTCAACGACACCCTCTGCTACGCCAACCTCTGGGCCTTGGCCTGCCTGATCGCCCTCGTGTTCACCTGGCAGGTCTCCCTGCGTATCGCCGCCCACCTGCGTCGCCTGGCCAGCTTCACCGACTCGCGCCAGCTCTACCACCGCATGCCCCGGCCGCGCATGGCCTGGCTGAAGCGCCATCTGTTCGATGCCCCGCTGCTGCGGACCCGGCACAACCGCGAGTGGCAGCTGTCGTCCGCCGTCAACATGGGCACCTTGCCCGGCCGCTTCCATGCCCTGCTGCTGGCTGGGATCGTCGCCATGAACGTCGCTCTGTGCACCAACACCGTTCCTTACGGGGATAAGGAGTCCACCGTCGCCGAGCTGATCCGCAACCGCGCCGGCTTCATGGCCACTGCCAACCTCTTCCCCCTGCTGGTCATGTCCGGCCGCAACAACCCGTTGATCCGCCTGCTGGGCGTCTCCTTCGACACCTGGAACCTGCTGCACCGCTGGCTGGGGCGCATTGTCGTGCTGGAGGCCTTGACTCATGTCATTGCGTGGGGCGTGCCCAAGGTGCAAGAATGTAGGTCGGACTGTCCATAGATGGCGGACTCCCTCTAACGTGGCACAGACGGATGGGCAACGGCTCTCGGGACCCTGAAGAAGCCATTCATGTTCAACGGTTTGATGGTGAGTCCTCTTCGAGAAATGAGGGAGGACAAGAATAACTGACATGGAGGTGTGTAGTGCTTGATAGCCCTGTTGGTCATACTCTGCCAGTCGCCCTCTCCCATCCGCCACGCCTTCTACGAGACCTTCCTGCACCTGCACATCGCTCTGGCCTGCGTCGCCGTGGGATTCATCTGGCATCACGTCTACCGCTACTCCTGTCGCTACTACTTGTACGCCGCTGTGGCGTTCTGGGCTTTCGAGGTATGCACCCTGACACCCCCCCTTGAAGGACGAGGAGAGGGTCGAGAACCAGAGCCAGAACAAGCTAACCCGACCTCCTAGCGACTCACGCGCTTCGTCATTCTGGGCTACCGCAACTACCGCGTTGGCCACCGCACCACGGCTTACCTCGAAGCCCTCCCCGGCGACGCCGTCCGCGTCACCCTGCAGCTGGCCCGGCCCTGGACCTTCGCCCCGGGCCAGTACTGCTTCATCTACATCCCTTCCATCGGCGGGTGGACCTCGCACCCCTTCTCCATCGCTTGGGGCGAGACCGGCCCGTCCTTCCCGGGCTCCTTCAACGAGAAGGTCCAACTGGAGACGGGAGACGACATGGTGCTGGAGGACCTGAATTCGCGCAAAGCCTCGTCCATCTCCCTGCTGATCCGCCGGCGCACCGGCTTCACCGATCGCCTGTATCGCAAGGCCGAAACGCATGCACGCCTGCAGATGCCCCCGGATAACATCGGGCACCCCAATGGGATGGGACCGGCGGGGGGACGTCCCCCGTCGACCGACTTCCGCGCCACGCCCCTCAAGGTGTCCGCGCTCGTCGAGGGCCCGTACGGGGACCTGCACAGTCTCGACTCGTACGGCACGGTGATGCTGTTCGCGGGCGGCGTGGGCATCACCCACTGCCTGCCCTTCATCCACCACCTGGTGCAGGGCCACAGTGACGGGACCGTGGCGGCGCGACGCGTCACCTTGGTCTGGATCATCCAGTCGCCCGAGCATCTGGACTGGATCCGGCCGTGGATGACCACCATCCTCGGCATGGAGGGCCGACGCGACGTGCTCCGCATCCAGCTCTTCATCACGCGGCCACGCAATCCGCGCGAGATTAGGAGCCCCAGCGAGACGGTGCAGATGTTCCCGGGGCGGCCGAACGTGGACACGCTGCTGCGCATGGAGGGGGAGCACCAGGTGGGCGCGATGGGGGTGATGGTGTGCGGGAATGGGGCGCTGAGCGATGATGTGCGCCGCGCGTGTCGCCAACGGCAGGGGGGGTACCAGCTGGACTTCATCGAGGAGAGCTTCACCTGGTGATTCTTCTGATTGATGCCAGGCCAGTGGAGCTCTGAAGCACTCCCGGCAGCTCCCGCACTTTCTCGTCGTATGTCATGGCTCTGCCTTTCCCTGCGGCGTGTATCGTCATCAGTTAGCCCGTTTATAGTGTGGACAATGTAGCACCGTGGAGAATTATATGGTGATCTACGTGATCATTCCCGACAATGTACCCAGTGGATCGACAGTATATTTCCCGACTATGCGACTGCTGGGTGAACCGACAGACCTAGACAGCATTGCATTCCCACTGGCCTCCAAACACGGAGACGAGTGCCGCAAAAGAGCAACTCCAACCCCCGATTCGACAGCAGAACCCTAAAACACACGCCATGGACGGTCCTCCACAGATGGAATCCAAATGAGAAAATCACCCCTCCCCATCCCCATCGACTCCCTTCCTCGCCAGCCGCTGCATCTCCACCGTCCCCTCACAGACATACCCTGGAAAAGCCCTCGTCGGCACCCCCGCGGTGAGCATCTCGTCCAGCTCCTCGAAGGACCGCCCCTTCGTCTCGGGCAGCTCGACGAACAGAACCCCCAGGCTGATCGCCCCCAGCCCCGCGAAGATCCACCCGATCAGCCCTCCCAGGTCCGCCTCGTCGGAGTTGTACAGGTACGGCATCACCACGTTCCACACCGTCGAGAAGAAGTAGTTGAAGGTGAAGCCCACGGCCAGCGACTTGGCCCGGAGACGCACGGCCGACACCTCGCCCGCGATGGCCATGGCAGGCCCGATGGCGGGGCCATAGACCCACCAGGAGAGCTCGAGGAAGATGCCGACGACCCTGGAGGGGAGTGTGAGGAATCCGGGACAGATGGACGAATAGATCGATGGATCTAGAACGGGATAGACTCACCACAAGGCCGGACTCGAGTGGGGGAAGCACCCTGCGATGCCCATCACCGTGAACAGACCCGTCGACAGCCCGATGCCGAACAGGATCAGTCGCCGCCGCCCGCACACCGTCATCAGGTAGCCCGTCACCAGCGAGCTGGCGATGCCAAAGGCGATGCCGATCTCGGTCATCATGCCCGTCTTGGCCGACGACATGCCCGCCTGCACCAGGAAGTACGGCCCGTTGGTCATGAAGCTGGACCCGATGACCTGCGACAGCGCGTTGCAGTACAGGATGATCCGCGTGCGGCGCCAGTTGGTGCCGCGGAAGCAGTCGCGGAAGCTGGATTCGCGGGCCGCCTGGGTGCGCAGCTGCTCCTCCGTGTGGGTGCGCACGATGTCGTCGAGGAGGATGACTGCCTCGGAGGCCTGGTGGCCAAGTCGACGCAGCATGCGGCCGGCCTGGTCATGCTGGCCGTTCATGACGAGAAAGTAGGGCGACTCGGGCATGAATGGGAGGAAGAGTAGGATGACGCCGGGCCAGACCCAGCCTGAGGCGAAGAGGACCTGATTATCCGTTCAGTGGGACGATGCGGTGGTGGTGGTGGTGGTGGGGGGGGATGTCAAAAAGACAGACCTTGTACGCGGCATCGCTGGCCATCGACATGCGCGGCAGGGCGACGGAGGCGGCGATGAGATACCCGAGATTCTACCCGGCGATATCAGTTCTGGGGAAGCGTCTGATGGACCCTGATCATCATATCGAGTGGTGACACGCACCATGCAAAATGTAAACCCCGACAGAGCAATGCCACGCAGCTCCAGCGCCGTCACCTCGGAGATATACGTCTGACCCGTGGTCAACGCCAGCCCCAGCGCCAGCCCATTGACGATCTTGCCGGCGAGAAAGGCCCCCGGGGTGGCGGCCGTGTAGACGACGGCGATGCCCGCGGCGGACAGACACGCAGCCACCAGGAAGGCCGCGCGACGGCCGAATCGGTCCTGGAGAGGCCCCGCGGCGGTGGCGCCCAGCATGGTGGCGACTTGCGAGAGGGCATTCCACAGCGACTGCCAGTAGGCGGGGATCACGTAGGCCCCGGCGGTCCAGGTGCCAAAAGTGGTCCTGTGGGGAGGAGGAGGAGGAGGAGGGGGAGGGGTCAGTCAATCCGACAGACAGACTGACAGACAGACAGGAAGACTCACTCGAACGCGGTCATGGACAAGGCCAGGGAGAGCACAAGGTTGTCGAAGCCGTACATCAGGGCCCCGATGTTGCCGTACAGGCAGAACAGCACGACCCACGGGTTGTCGCGCAGGGCGTCCCACGTGGAACGGGGGGGAGACGAAGCATCCCCCGTGGCATTGGCATTAGCATTTGCATTCTCGTCAACCACCTCATGATGGCTGGTCTCGGACTTGTGGTCAGTCGACATGGTGGGGAGTGTGCCTCGACAGACCGTTCGGTCAGGGTAGAGGTCGCAGAAGAAGGGGACCGCATCGGGGGAGACTCGCGGAGAAATATGAACGTGCAAAACGGGCGTACCCCACGGGGAACCCGGTTCATGCATGTGCAGGGGCCTCGTTCCCAACTTCCTGGGGCGTGTGCCCTGTGCCAGGTTTCGAACGGAAATGCCGGGCTGATGAGGATCGTCGGGTCAGCCGTGGCCCCAGGGGATCGGCAATCCCGAAAACAAGGACGATCCCCGGGGTAATGCCCCGCGAGGGGGGGGTGGAGCATACGAGGAGGGATCGTCATGGTGATGATGATGATAATGATGGTGGTGGTGGTGGTGGTGCGGCTAGCCCTAACTGGGTCTACAGGATACAGGTTACATCTCACGGCTCACAGCTTGCAGTTCACGTTCAGACTTCGGACTTCATTCACGCTCCAATATAAACCATCTACTGCCACCCTATATCTATGTATCTGTATATTTACTGGAAACACACTGTCTCCCCCGGCGCCAGCACCGTCGGATACGTGGTCGCACCCAGGACGACCTCGACCGCCATCTCGCGCGTCGCCTCGACCGTGAGGGCCTCTCCCTGCGCCCATCGCAGGTGAAGATCGCCCCGGGGCGTGTGCAGCGTCCCCTCGGCCGCCTCGAGCAACTCACGGCGCGGGGCGATGCGCACGCGCGCGAAGCCGGGCTCGAGGGGCGTGACGCCGAACAGCTGCGTGACGATCTCATTGACGGGACTGGCGCTCCAGCCGTGGCAGTCGCTGCGGGCGTTGACGTCGTCCTCGGCCCACGTCGTCAGGTTCTGGGCCATCATCGCCCGCCACGGCGCCAGCAGCTGGGCGAACACCTCGGCGTACAGGCCCGTGTGCTCGGCCGCGCGGAAGACGTAGAACTGCATGGCGTACGAGCAGCGCGCCAGGCCGGGCGCCGCCAGGGTCTGGCGCAGCAGCCGGCGCGCAGCGTCCCCGGTCACCGTGTCGGTGAGGATGGCGAAGACCTGCGTGTGCTGGCTGTACTGGGCCACGCCCGGGCCATCCTGGTAGAAGGCGGAGGCCTCCCCGCGACACTGGGCGTTCACGGCGGCCTGGAGGGTGGCGACGCGGGCGCGGTACTCGTCGGCGGTGCTGCGGCGGCCGACGAAGTCGCACAGGTCGGCGGCATGGCGCAGGGCGTAGGCATACAGGAGGCTGTTGACCGTGGCGGCGCCCGTGGCGTGGTAGGCCGGGGGCATGCACGAGGCGAAGATGTGGCCCGGCACCATCCAGGCGGCCACCCAGTCGACGAAGGGCCAGGTGTCGGCCTCGAAGCGGCCCACGAGGCCGCGGGCGGCGTCCAGGCGGGCCTCGAAGTGCTGCACGATGCCGTCCACGGTGCCCAGGTAGCGGCGGACGAGGGCGGCGTCGGCGTGGTAGCGCAGGTGGTCGTGCAGCATCAGGATCCAGAACAGCGAGAACAGCGGGATCTGGCGGCTGGGGAAGCCGCTGGGCGACTGGGCCCCGATGAGCCCGTCGGGCGTGCGGCTGGCGTCGAACTCGGCCAGCGTCTTGCGGGCCAGCCGGTCGTCGGGCGACAGCTGGTAGCCGAAGCGCATCTGCAGGCGCGCGTCGGCGGCGAACTGGTTCTGCTCATAGAAGGGGCAGTCCTCGTACGTCTCGTGGCGGCAGTTCTGCAGCGTGCGCAGGCTGATGGCCCAGATGCGCATCAGGTCCGGGGGGGTGGCCTGGAGGAGGCGCGTGGTGACGGGCAGGGGGTACGAGGTCTCGCGCAGCGCGATGCCCGAGACCGTCAGGGGGGCGTCGGCCGTGACGATGTCCAGCTGGCAGTAGCGGAAGCACCGGAACCAGAAGGGCTCGAAGGCGTGGGCGGGCTGGCCGGCGGCGACGGTATAGAAGTCCCGGGGGCCGTACAGGCGCGCGCGGCCCCCCCGGGGATCGGATCGATCGGCCTTGGAGCGCGGCCGGGGGACGGGCGACGTGTCGACGCCGAGGTCCTGTTCGTAGCACTCGGCATACAGCAGGCTCACCGCGGCCCCCGCGCCCCCCGGCAGGCCAGGCGCACAAAGGCCGTCAGCAGATGCGCCACGGCCAGATCCACCGTCACGCGGGCGCGCGCCGGGACGACGACGGGCTGGTCGGCGCGGATCAGGGCCGTCCACTGGTCGGCGGAGACCGCGCCGTGGGTCTGGATGACGCCGTCCAGCCGGCCGGGGGTCTCGGGCAGCGCGGGGATGGGCCGCGGGGCCAGGCGCCACGGACTCACGACGGGCAGCATCTGGACGGCGGCCGTCTCCTGGGGCACGGCGGCCGGCCAGGCGGCGTCGTCGTAGGGCGGCGAGTGCCAGCCGGCGAGGGCGGCATCCTCGGTGACACGCTCGTTGATGCACAGGAAGGGGGGGCCCAGCAGGTAGTTCCACTCGGATCGGGGCACGATGCGGCGGGTGGTCTCCTCGCAGCAGCGCCACGGGGTGTCGGTGCCGACGGGGGGCCGCCCCGGGACGGCGGGGACCAGCAGGAAGCCCGGCCGCGGCCGGCTCACGATGGACGACGAGCCCGGGACGAGGCTGGAGTAGCGCAGCACGCGGGCGCTGAGGACGTTGCGGTGGCGGCCGCGGCGGAGATGCGGCCGGATGTCGACGGTCTCGTAGTGCCACTGGCCCCGGGGCGACTTGCAGGGCCCGAAGCTGACGCGGTGGCCGTTGACGAACAGCCGGTAGCGGCTGTCGGCGGAGACGTGGAGGAGCACTGGCTGATCATCCTGATCATCCTGATCATGATCATCGGGCTGCCACGAGAAGGTCTTGCGGAAGAGGAAGAAGCGGGCGGGCTGGTTGTCCTCCTCGCGGTAGTGGGAGGGGGGGAGCCAGACCCAGGGGGGGTGCAGCGACCAGTCTTCCATGGTTCTGGTTCTTCTCTCTGCTCTGGCGAGGAGACGACGGGGCATCCAGAAAGAAGCTCAAGTAGGGCTGAGGGGGAGGGAGGGTTAAGTAAGGTATGATGTTGTAAGTATGTATGTATACTTACTACGGACGGTCTGTGCCGGTCGGATATCCCGCTCGGGGGGTGTTGGCCCGATACGAGACAGTACAATACAATACGGTACGGACATGACCTGACAGCCCGAAACCCCAAACCCTAACCCGTTTGGGTTTTTCAGCCCCCGAACCCCTACCCTAAGGGAATTGGGGTCCATTATGGATTACTCGAGGCAGTCGGATGACTAACTAGTCTTCCATCCTGGATCATTCGCCACTGTCGCTCTTAATTAACGGGTCTTCGCCCCGCACCTCCCTCCCCACACCTGCAACCGAACAGCTGCCCTCTGACTGCTACTACTGCTGCTACTACTCTTACTACTGCTGCTGCTACTATTCTTACTACTCTTACTACTTCTATTAATCCTCCCTCATCATGTACCAGTTCGTCCTCGGTCGCTCCAGACCCGCCCTCTCCAACCTCGGCCAACGCCTGCCGGGTATGCCCTCGCGAGAAGCACAGGACGCACAGGAAGGATGGACTGACCCGAAGAACAGACAGGCCCCCCATCGCCCGCTCCGACAGCTACCACTCGGACGGCTCGCAGCGCGGCCACATCCCCCTGCGCTCGCTGCGCGTGCAGGGCGCCGCCTGGGGGGCCGCGGGGGCCAGCATGTACGCCACCCTGCACGGCGTCTACCTGATGCTGCGCGCCTTCCGCCAGATCCGATATATTTAGCAGGAACAAATAGCATGATCGTGGCTCTGGCACCTCCTCCTCCTCCGCCGTAGTACGTAGTACAACGTAGACTTCCATCGTAATTCTCCATCAGGTGGCGAAGGTCGGGTTCGTCGTGACGTCACGACCCGAGTGGCGTCGGGATGCCCTCATTTCCTTCTCCTTTCCCCCATCACATCCTCATGCCCCATCCCTCCTCCACCCCCCCTTCGCTATTCTGCCATCCGGACCAGAAGAGAGAGGATGATGCAACGCTCCGATCTCGTCCCCGGCGACCACCGCGTGTCCGCCCAGCAGCAGCAGTAGCGCTTCATCGACATGATCAGCCACAAGGTGCGCAACCCGCTGTCGGCGATCCTGCACTGCACCGATGATATCCTGGACGGCGTGGCCTGGCCGGGCCGGGGGGGAAGACGGGGGGAGGGGGAAGGATTGGGATGGGGATGGGGATGGGGATAGGGTTAGGGTTGGGGATAATGATGCCGACAGGATCAACCTCTGCGTGGCACACCAGACGAAAATCATCGCGACCAGCCCCGGCGCCAGCAGGCCATCGCCTTCGAGTACCAGGTCGACCGAGGCCCGCGTCGGCTGGGTGCTGGCCGACATGCACCGCATGAGCCCAGGTGCTCATCAACCTGCCGGACCACGACGGTTGCGTTGAAGCCCCTCTTCGGGCGAGACTCTCGTCCAAAACGTCCCCACAAGCGAACGCGATGAAGGCGAGTTGGCATCACTGGGTCGCCACCGTCTCCCAAACCGTACAGACCTTCGCGTTGCCCCGGGAGGATTGCCTCGACATCGCCCAACGAGACGGCGTCCATCGCCCCGGAAAAGACACGCGAGCCGGTCATGATATCATCATCATCATCTTCGCCAAAAGCAGGGTCAGGATGCGCGAGGAAGTTTGATATCCGTGTCATTGTCCGAAACGGGTAGCACACGGCATCCGACATGTTGCTCGAACCGACGCCGCGATGGTGACCATCTCGGTAGGTACGGCTTATATATAAACCATAAACCGGCACACCGAACATCTGCATTCTGAATCCCATGAGCCGGAAGACATCACCATGGCCCACTCCTCCAACTGGTCTCTGTGGACAACGATGGCTCTCTGGGCCGCGGGGGTGCGCGTCCTGACGCGGCATCTGGGCATCCAGCCCGAGTCGTCGGCCGTCCTGCTCGGGGAGATCATCGGCTCCTGGCTCGTCCTCAACGCGCTGCTCCTTGGGCTGAAGACATGGTACCGCCGCCGATACAGTCCCTTCCGGGATATCCCCGGCCCCGAGGTCAGTATGCCCCCTGGCGACCCCCCCCCCCCGGACGTGGACGTGGACTGGACTGGGCTGATATCGGGTGTGTGGCAGCCCGGCCCCTGGCTCTACGGCCACGCGTTCGACATCTTCGACGAGCCGCTGGGCCGCCGGATCACGGACTGGGGGAACGCGCAGGCGTACCCGCACGGGCTGATGCACTTCTTCGGGCTCTTTGGGGTCTCGTATCTGGTGCCCACAAGCCCCGCGGCCCTGGCGGAGGTGCTGAGCACGCGGGCCTACGACTACGTCAAGCCCGCCGGGTTCAAGCGCTTTACGCGGCGGTTCTGGGGCCATGGCATCGTGTCGCAGGAGCAGGAGGAGCACCGGCTGCATCGGAAGACCTACCAGGCGGTCTTCAACCAGGGCAACATCGCCCAGGCGCGAGGGCCGCTCTCGACCAAATCCCGGCAGCTGGTGGACCGCATCCACGGGCTGTGCGCGCCATCCCCGTCGCATTCGGCGATCGTCCCCGTCACCCAGCTGACGGCGAGGGTGTCGCTGGACGTCACGGGCCTCATCGCCCTCGGGGTCGACTTCGAGACCATCCTCGACCGGAACCCGCAGGTCCTGGAGGCGCACGAGGCCCTGTTCGCCGGCTCCCGCGACAAGCGGACGCTCTTCGCCCTGTACAACGCCGCACCGCGCTGGCTCGGGGGCCTGATCCCCCTGCGCGTCGCCCGGCGCATGGATGAGGCCAGCCGGGTGCTCCGTGGCGCCTGTCGGCAGGCGATCCGGTCTCGCGCCGCCGTCAAGGCGAACGGGCAGCGCCTGGACTTTGTCGCGCACCTGGTGCAGCAGGGGCTGTACGACGAGGAGGCCGCCATCTCCCAGATCATGGTCATCCTGGGGGCGGGCTACGAAAGCACGGGGGGCACGCTGGCCTGGATCCTCTACTGCCTGGCCACGCACCCGGACAGCCAGGCGGCGCTGCGCCAGGAGGTGCGGTCGAGGTCGAGGCCGATGGACGAGTCCGACTACGAGGCGCTCCCCCTGCTGAACGCCGTCGTGCTGGAGGCGACGCGCCTCTACCCGGCCTTCTCGTTCCTGCTGCGCAAGACGATCCGGGCGACGGCCATCAGCGGGCGGGCGATCCCCCGGGGGACGTACGTGGCGCTGTGCCCGCACATGGTGAATCACGCCCGTCACCTCTGGGGGCCCGACGTGGAGGCGTTTCGCCCGGAGCGCTGGGTGGATCGGTCGAGCCCGGCAGGCCCCAAACTGGATGCCACGGGGGGCGCGTCCGCGGCCGTGTGCATGCTGTCCTTCTTCTCCGGCGCCCGCAGCTGCGTGGGACGGGCGCTGGCGCTGGCCCTGATGAAGCGGCAGGTCGCCCTGCTGGTCGACCACTTCCAGCTGGACCCCGTGGGGGGGACGCCCCAGGCCTCGGGGCTGTTCGCCACCAGTCCACCGGCGGATCTGCACGTCCGGTTCACGCAGGTCCGGTAGCAAGTAGTTCTATGTATCTAGCCAGGAAGTGAGTTACCGGGGCACCCGGATCGAGCCGGATTGCCCGGATGTAGGGAGGGAGGGAGAAGAATCCGGAAGGGTTACTTACAGTCGACCGGATGCGGGTATGGGGCGACGAACCCTAACTCGAAGAGACCGCCCCCGCAAATGCACGTTCTTGCAAAATGAAAGCATCATCCACTCGTAGCCAGGTCCAGAGCATCCGGCTATATCACCGGCGACGGCGACGGCGACGGGGGGAAACACAGCACCCAGCAACCAACCGACCATGGAGGCTATGGAGGCTGGACCCGTCCGCCAGCCGCTCGACGTCCCGTCGCTGGAGGCGTATGTCCACCGCGCCGTGCCGGCGATCCAGACGCCCCTGCAGGTGCACCAGTTCCCCCGGGGCCAGTCCAACCCCACGTACCAGCTCACGGCCGCCGACGGGGCGCGGTACGTGCTGCGGAAGAAGCCCCCCGGCCGCCTGCCCGCCCCGGCCGCGCATCCCATCGAGCGCGAGTACCGCATCCTCGACGCCCTGCGCCGCCACGGCGCGGTGCCGGTGCCCCGGGTGTACAGCCTCTGCGAGGATGCCCGCGTCCTCCAGACCCCGTTCTACATCATGGAGTTCCTGGACGGGCGCATCTTCGCGGATGGCCGCATGCCGGGGGTGAGCCCCCACCACCGGGCCGCCCTGTATGGAAACCCTAACCCTAACCCCAACCCAAACCCTAGACCCTGATAAACCCTACCCCCCCCCCCCTTCTGCTGGCCTCCTGCCTGCTGGTGGAGTTTGCTGACGGACGGACCCCGATCAAGGTGGCAGGACGCCATCAGGACGCTGGCCACCATCCACCGGCTGGACGTGCAGGCGCTGGGGCTCGAGACACTGGGCCAGCCGGCCGCCTTCTACCGGCGCCAGGGATCGACCCTGACCCGCATCGCCCGGCAGCAAGCCCATCCCCCCCGGGCCCCCCTGCCCCATCTGGCCGCGATGCACCGCTTCTTCGCCTGCGCCGCGAGCCAGCCCCGGGATCGCAGCACCCTGGTGCACGGTGACTACAAGATCGAGAATCTCATCTTCCACCCGACCGAGCCGCGCGTCCTGGGGGTGATCGACTGGGAGTTCTGCACGCGCGGCCACCCGCTGGCGGACTTTTGCACCCTGACGCACGGCCACCCCCCCTCCCTCTCCCCCGCCCGGACGGACTGTACGGCCTGGTATGCCGACCTGGCCGGCTGGGACCCGACCGGCGACCTGGCCTGGGGGGACGCCTTCGTCCTGTTCCGGACGGCCGTGCTGACGCAGACCGTGCAGGCCCGGGAGGCCGGAACGAGCCGAGCCCAGGACCCCCTCCCGCTGGCTCGCGCGGCCTGGGCCCGCGTGCAAGGGCTGAGTCGACTGTGATGGAGGCTGCTGCATGGCCATTGGGGCCCAGAGACGGGATGGGGGGCGCATGGAAGACGACAAAGTCCGAGTGCCGTGGACCGTCTGTCCGCATGAAAGGAAGCAGCGGTCATATTATTCGGTGACCACACAGAGTCGCAACAACAACGACGACAGGCAGCACAGCAAGTACAGCAAGAGATATAACCAGAGAAAGAACCGCCATTATCAGCTAGCATCCTCCGCGATAATATATATCCGACAGTCAAGCTGTATCTGTCTTCAGAACTCGCATAGAATCAGGAACTTCTTTAATTTACGACGCCTGTCGGGCTGGTTTGATAATTTCACCGTAATATAAATCTTAAGGTCACTATTGAAGCGACTGTCCCAGCAAATATGTCAGCAAATCTTTTTATCCAGCCAGAACTGAGGGGGTTCATTCCTGGTATATATAACAAAATCTGTGGGCTGACCCTCAAGAATAAACCCTAATAAAAAAAAGCCCTAAAACACCCGATTACAAAAAATATATATAAAAGAGCCCGGTGACTGAGAAGCCTATAAAGAACCAGAACACAAGTGGGCAGGGAACAGAGCCTTTCACGTGTATAAGAGATAAGAAAATATTTACCGGCGTTGCTATCTTCACTATCCCCGGTGTCTTCAGAAAATATAATAAGATTAATATATTTAACAAGAATATTACTCTCCCTGTGGTGTAAGTTCACAGAGAGTGATCTGTGAATAGAAAGCTTCAGTGTCTGCTGCTGTGAAATAAAAGAGTCTGGTAATATGGAGTAAACTTTTATAACTAAGAGACCGAGTCAGATCATGCCCACTGGATAAATAATCCAATACCCAGCCTGATCCCCGATGGAGATTGTCAACTGCTCAGCGTCAATAATCGCGCTGGCGGCGGGGGCACCAGTAGTACCAGTAGTACCAGCACCAGAATCAACACCAGCGCCAGTACCGGCCAACAGCCGCCCCAGCTGAACTAAGAAATCCCCCGCCACCGGATATGCGATGAAACCGATCCGTTTGGGGGGGAAGGGGTCCAGGCCAACGCCATCTATCTCTGCGCTAGTGGCAACAAGATTACTTTTTCTTAAAAAAAAGAAACCCTAACCTTCGCCGTCCTCACCACCGGGCGGATGGATGCGTGCTGGAAGTTGCTACATTTGACTCAACAGGGTACTCGGAGAGTATCTACATTGCCTGTTGTCAGTCCCGTTTGTCGTTTGTTGCAGGACACCCCGGTGGAACCCTCGATCAATCCTGGTGCAGTGATGGCAACGAAACAAACGGCTTCAATGGACAAATTCAACTACGACTAGGCAGAGAAAATGAGAGAATTGAAACCCGTCCCCCGTCGTGGGCGCTGTCTCTGATCGTTGGGATACAGATCTACAGAGTCTACTCGCCAGTCAGGCGGACTGCAACATCATGGGTAAGCAGAACTGCAGGGTTGCAACATACTACATCTAGCTCCTGGGGACTGACAACAACGCCACGGTGGGGACCGTGTAGGCAACACAAACGAGCCTCCCTGCTCGGTCTAATACGCTTCACTCGTTCTCCTCCACCCCGATCACGGTCGACTTGAACTTCCGCGCCGGAAGCCTGCGGTTGAAGAGGATGTCGCTTTCACGGTACGAGCGGTGCTTGAGCTCCGGCAGGAAGAAGTAGGCCATGACCCAGCAGACGGTCGCGGTGCCGGCCCAGACGTAGCCGCACTTGCCCGCCAGGTTCCATCCGGTCGTGTTGAGCATCTTGGAGGACAGGTAGATCATGGGGATCTCCGCCACGTAGTAGCCCGCGCGCCCGACGGCGGTGCTCAGCGCGCGCAGGCGCACGGACGAGGTCTCGGAGATGATGGTGTACGAGATCGGGCCCTGGGTACCGGCAAACACGAAGGAGATGACGACGCCGAGACACGCCTGGGCGTAGTTGGTATGGTGGTTCTGGGGCACCGAGGCGCAGATGCCGAGAATGATGAGCAGGGTGATGTTGGTGGCGGTGCCCCAGAGATAGATGGTGCGCCGGCCGAACCAGGTGGTCAGCAGCCAGGACAGCCCGTTGGCGACGAACTGCAGGCACGAGTTGATCAGGTTGAGCTGGAAGGCCATGTTGGGCGAGATGCCGGCCTCTATCACGGGGGTCATCGTCAGTCGAGGCCGTTTCTTAGGGCACGCGGGGGGGGAACTGCCACTCACGCTCGAAGAAATAGGTCGCCTGGTTGGCGATCAGATTGCCGGCAAAGTTCTGGGACGCGTAGATCAGGCAAGTGATGATCGTACGCCGCAGATCAGTCCCCCTCAGCAGGTCCAGGAGGGTCGGGGCACCGCCCATCTCGGCCTCAATCTGCACGGTGCGCTCCATCATGGCCAGGCTCTGATGCGCCTCCTCCTGGGACGTGGCGCCGAGACGCTTGATGGAGCGGAGCGCCTGCTCCTTGCGACCATGCCGGATCAGCCACCAGGGGGACTCGGGGGCGAGGAAGATGAGGATAAGAAGGGGCGTCTGGGACGGGTCAGTCAGTCAGTCAGTCAGTCAGTCAGTCAGTCAGGATCCGGGCGAGGGAGGGAGCGGACTCACGGGGAAGATCCACTGCAGGGCCAGGGGCATGCGCCACGCCCACTGATCCGACCGGTTATTGTAGGCATAGGTGGCCCCGGCGACGATGATGGACCCGATCGACCTGCTCATCTGCAGCGTCGCCGTGCAGGCGGCGCGCAGGGAGAGGGGGACGATCTCACTGGCATAGGCGGGGGAGTTGGCGATGAAGAAGCCCCAGGGCACGCCCTCGAACGCCTGTCCGATCACCATGACGGCGAGGGAGTCGGCGAAGAAGGAAATGAAGATGGTGGCGTTCATCATCATCAGGGCCAGGATGGTCGTCCAGCGGTAGCCCAGACGGTTGGTGACGGGGCCGGCCAGGAACACCCCGATGAACGCACCGCACTGCCCGGACTGGAACAGGGCACTCTGCCAGCGCGTGGGGATGGTCCAGTCGCCGTCGACATGGACCCCGTACTTTTTTTGAAACGCTTTCAGGGCGACGAAGTTGGTGTTCAGGAACATGTCGAACGATTCCATGACCTAGGCAAGGGGGGGGGGTGCGGTCAGCGATCAATCGCGCAGTCCCGGGGGGAAGGGATTAGGGGAAGGGGAAGGGGGCAACCCACGATGGTAAAGCACATGGTGAACGCCCACAGGCAGGCCCAGGGGTGCTTCTTGGCCGCCTCCCATACGCCCAGCTGATGCTCGCGGTTCTCCCCATCGACGGCGTCGTGCAGGAGGTCCGGATTGTCCAGGACCTCGGAATGATGGATGTTGCTCTTCTCGCCCTTCTGCTCCTGGTGCAGCTCCTCGTGGGCCTTGGTGTCCGCCGACATTTCTTTGGATGGATGGATGGATGGATGGATTGGATGGGTCCGTGTCTGGACGAAGGGAGTAGGAAACCAGGCGTCGGGGACACAAGGGGCGGGCGTGCGGGTCTTATATACCCCTGACGGGACGGCCTCTTGGGGGGGGGGGGGGGTTTGGAGGGGGGGACTGACAAGGACGCGACGTCGTCCCACCGGGGATTTGCCTGTTTGCCCGACGGTCGAAGCGAGGTCGCACAGGCGACGATTACCGGAAGCAGGCCAGGCACCGCAACCAGTCCCAGTCGACCCAAGCAGGGCTAGCGGAGGGGGGCGCTGGCGCGCAGGCCGCTCGTGACGGGCACCGAGGGCTGGAGGTCTCACCGGCCGGGGGGGGGGGGGGGGTGGTGGTTGGTCACAGGAGAGAACTGGTCGGCCACGTGTCTGATGGGCTTGTCTTTTTTTGGGGGGGGGAGGGTCCCCATGCGGGGTCCCCAGACTGGCGTGGTCTGTGGGAGCTGGTGGTGCTTGTCGGAGCTTGTTTGGTGTCTGGCCACGAGGCTGACTGACAGGCCGGTGGTGGTTGGTGGAATCCGGCACGCCCCGAGGGCAACAGTCCGGGTTGGGCGCCCCGGCCGATTGGTCCGTTCTGGCCTGTCCAACCCAATCTGACCGACTCTGATGGTTGGTGGAAATGCGCGGGGGCGGACTAGCGCGGGGGTCCCAATCTCCGGGGACCTGGGGGAGGGCGGGCGCGCGAGGTGACATGGGGCCGGCCAGCCGGAAAAGAGCCATGCCGCCCTCCAACCAGCCTGTGCTGTCGCATGGTGCCGGGGTCCCCGTGATGGGCCCACCTGCGTGTGACGGCCCCAGCCCTGGCCAGACCGACTGGAGCAGCCGCGTGGATGCGGGCTGTCAGACGCGCGAGAGGCCCGAGGGAGGTGGCGTTCCGGGCGACAGCGCAGCCGGATGGATGGATGCATCTGATCACCCGTTCCCGCGGCATGTGACTGGGTTATCAGGGTTTAGGGTTTAGGGTTTAGGGTTTAGGGTTTAGGGTTTAGGGTTTAGG